CAGAGATGCCCCGAGAACACTGTCCCAAGTCTAGAGGAACACCAACTTCAGCACAGCAACTCGAGGAATGCTCCGTGTACCCCAAATCATCTCGAGATGAGAGCTGATTCCCTGGCTTAGGCTCAAGACGTATGCCAACTTTCCAGAAGCACCTCAGGAGGAGGCTTCTCTCAGCAATCGGTATGTGGGAGGGACCCCGAGTTGGCTGCCTCAAGGGGAATATACAGCGAGAAGCCCTAACTTGAAAGGAGGCCGGATTTCCTTGCAGTGGCTTGAATACAGGCTCGTCTTTGGTCTGACAACATGAAGGGATGTCTGAATCCCCTGTGGAGACCTTAGAGAAAGCCCTAGGTCCCTGCCTCATTTTGACGGAATGCCTCACATCCCGCTGACACTTCGAGAGGCACGCGGAGTTCATTGCTTCAAAAGGTGACGATGCCTGACTCCTGTTGAATACTGATAGGAATCCCAAAATCCCTGTGGCTACTGGAAAGGGTCCTTGGGTGCCCTGCCTCACCTCGAGAAGCGTCCCTTTTGCCCTGCCAAGCCTCGAATAGATTCCTGAGGTGTCCCTCGTTACTAGGCAGGAGTCCTGACGTCACTGAAGAAACTCGTGTTTTGAAGGGCCATCCCCACCGTAAGTCGAGAACATACCCCAGGTCCCTGCCGCAACTCGAGAAAAACCGTGAGCCTTCCCCCTAGAGGCGAGATGAGGCCCCATTCCCCTGCAGTGCATGCAGAGTTATTCCGTGATCCCATTCAAACAAGTCAGGAGCTTCGACTTGCTTAATGGACCTCGAGACAGCCCCAAGAACACTGTCACCAGTCTAGACGGACCCTGAGGTCACCCAGCAATGCAAAGCAGCTCCATGTGCCCCAAATCAACTCGAGATGAGGCCGGATTCCCCTGCATTGACTCCAGAGCCATTCCCTGTTCCACATTCAACATCACCGGTGGCTCGACTTCCTTCACGCAACTTCAGAGATGCCCCGAGAACACTGTCCCAATTCTAGAGGACCACCAACTTCAGCACAGCAACTCGAGGAATGCTCTGTGTACCCCAAATCGTCTCGAGATTAGAGCTGATTCCCTGGCTTAGTCTCAAGATGTATGCCAACTTTCCAGAAGCACCTCAGGAGGAGGCTTCTCTCAGCAATAGGTATGTGGGAGGGACCCCGAGTTTGCTGCCTCAAGGGGAATATACAGCGAGAAGCCCTAACTTGAAAGGAGGCCGGATTTCCTTGCAGTGGCTTGAATACAGGCTCATCTTTCATCTCACAACATGAAGGGATGTCTGAATCCCCTGTGGAGCCCTTAGAGGAAGCCCTAGGTCCCTGCCTCATTTTGACGGAATACCTCACATCCCCCTGACACCTCAAGATGCACGCAGAGTTCATTGCTTCAAAAGGTGACGATGCCTGACTCCTCTTGAACACTTATAGGAATCCCAAAATCCCTGTGGCTACTGGAAAGGGTCCTTGGGTGCCCTGGCTCACCTCGAGAAGCGTCCCTTTTGCCCTTCCAAGCCTCGAAGACATTGCTGAGGTGTCCCTCGTTACCAGACAGGAGTCCTGACGTCACTGAAGAAACTCGTGTTTTGAAGGGCCGTCCCCGCCGTAAGTCGAGAACATACCCCAGGTCCCCGCCGCAACTAGAGAAAAACCATGAGACTTCCCCCTAGAGGCGAGATGAGGCCCCATTCCCCTGCAGTGCATGCAGAGCTATTCCGTGATCCCATTCAAACAAGTCAGGAGCTTCGACTTGCTTAATGGATCTCGAGACAGTCCCCAAGAACACTGTCACCAGTCTAGACGGACCCTGAGGTCACCCCAGCAACGCAAAGCAGCTCCATGTGCCCCAAATCAACTCGAGATGAGGTCCGATTCCCCTGCATTGACTCTAGATCCATTCCCTGTTCCCCATTCAACATGACCGGTGGCTCGACTTCCTTCACGCAACTCCAGAGATGCCCCGAGAACACTGTCCCAAGTCTAGAGGACCACAAACTTCAGCACAGCAACTCGAGGAATGCTCTGTGTACCCCAAATCATTTCGAGATGAGAGCTGATTCCCTGGCTTACGCTCAAGACGTATGCCAAATTTCCAGAAGCACCTCAGGAGGAGGCTTCTCTCAGCAATAGGTATGGGGGAGGGACCCCGAGTTTGCTGCCTCAAGGGGAATATACAGCGAGAAGCCCTAACTTGAAAGGAGGCCGGATGTCCTTGCAGTGGCTTGAATACAGTCTCGTCTTTCATCTCACAACATGAAGGGATGTCTGAATCCCCTGTGGAGACCTTAGAGAAAGCCCTAGGTCCCTGCCTCATTTTGACGGAATGCCTCACATCCCGCTGACACCTCGAGAGGCACGCGGAGTTCATTGCTTCAAAAGGTGACGATGCCTGACTCCTGTTGAATACTGATAGGAATCCCAAAATCCCTGTGGCTACTGGAAAGGGTCCTTGGGTGACCTGCCTCACCTCGAGAAGCGTCCCTTTTGCCCTGCCAAGCCTTGAAGAGATTGCTGAGGTGTCCCTCGTTACTAGGTAGGAGTCCTGACGTCACTGGAGAAACTCGTGTTTTGAAGGGCCATCCCCGCCGTAAGTCGAGAACATACCCCAGGTCCCCGCCGCAACTCGAGAAAAACCGTGAGCCTTCCCCCTAGAGGCGAGATGAGGCCCCATTCCCCTGCAGTGCATGCAGAGCTATTCCGTGATCCCATTCAAACAAGTCAGGAGCTTCGACTTGCTTAATGGACCTCGAGACAGCCCCAAGAACACTGTCACCAGTCTAGACGGACCCTGAGGTCACCCAGCAAAGCAAAGCAGCTCCATGTGCCCCAAATCAACTCGAGATGAGGCCGGATTCCCCTGCATTGACTCCAGAGCCATTCCCTGTTCCCCATTCAACATGACCGGTGGCTCGACTTCCTTCACGCAACTTCAGAGATGCCCCGAGAACACTGTCCCAATTCTAGAGGACCACCAACTTCAGCACAGCAACTCGAGGAATGCTCTGTGTACCCCAAATCGTCTCGAGATTAGAGCTGATTCCCTGGCTTAGGCTCAAGATGTATGCCAACTTTCCAGAAGCACCTCAGGAGGAGGCTTCTCTCAGCAATAGGTATGTGGGAGGGACTCCGAGTTTGCTGCCTCAAGGGGAATATACAGCGAGAAGCCCTAACTTGAAAGGAGGCCGGTTTTCCTTGCAGTGGCTTGAATACAGGCTCGTCTTTCATCTCACAACATGAAGGGATGTCTGAATCCCCTGTGGAGCCCTTAGAGGAAGCCCTAGGTCCCTGCCTCATTTTGACGGAATACCTCACATCCCCCTGACACCTCGAGATGCACGCAGAGTTCATTGCTTCAAAAGGTGACGATGCCTGACTCCTCTTGAACACTTATAGGAATCCCAAAATCCATGTGGCTACTGGAAAGGGTCCTTGGGTGCCCTGGCTCACCTCGAGAAGCGTCCCTTTTGCCCTGCCAAGACTCGAAGAGATTCCTGAGGTGTCCCTCGTTACTAGACAGGAGTCCTGACGTCACTGAAGAAACTCGTGTTTTGAAGGGCCATCCCTGCCGTAAGTCGAGAACATACCCCAGGTCCCCGCCGCAACTCGAGAAAAACCATGAGACTTCCCCCTAGAGGCGAGATGAGGCCCCATTCCCCTGCAGTGCATGCAGAGCTATTCCGTGATCCCATTCAAACAACTCAGGAGCTTCGACTTGCTTAATGGATCTCGAGACAGTCCCCAAGAACACTGTCACCAGTCTAGACGGACCCTGAGGTCACCCCAGCAACGCAAAGCTGCTCCATGTGCCCCAAATCAACTCGAGATGAGGCCCGATTCCCCTGCATTGACTCCAGAGCCATTCCCCGTTCCCCATTCAACACGACCGGTGGCTCGACTTCCTTCAGGCAACTCCAGAGATGCCCCGGGAACACTGTCCCAAGTCTAGAGGAACACCAACTTCAGCACAGCAACTCGAGGAATGCTCTGTGTACCCCAAATCGTCTCGAGATGAGACCTGATTCCCTGGCTTAGGCTCAAGACGTATGCCAACTTTCCAGAAGCACCTCAGGAGGAGGCTTCTCAGTAATAGGTATGTGGGAGGGACTCCGAGTTTGCTGCCTCAAGGGGAATATACAGCGAGAAGCCCTAACTTGAAAGGAGGCCGGATTTCCTTGCAGTAGCTTGAATACAGGCTTGTCTTTCATCCCACAACATGAAGGGATGTCTGAATCCCCTGTGGAGACCTTAGAGAAAGCCCTAGGTCCCTGCCTCATTTTGACGGAATGCCTCACATCCCGCTGACACCTCGAGAGGCACGCGGAGTTCATTGCTTCAAATGGTGTCGATGCCTGACTCCTCTTGAATACTGATAGGAATCCCAAAATCCCTGTGGCTACTGGAAAGGGTCCTTCGGTGCCCTGCCTCACCTCGAGAAGCGTCCCTTTTGCCCTGCCAAGCCTCGAAGAGATTCCTGAGGTGTCCCTCGTTACTAGGCAGGAGTCCTGACGTCACTGAAGAAACTCGTGTTTTGAAGGGCCATCCCCGCCGTAAGTCGAGAACATACCCCAGGTCCCCGCCGCAACTCGACAAAAACCGTGAGACTTCCCCCTAGAGGCGAGATGAGGCCCCATTCCCCTGCAGTGCATGCAGAGCTATTCCGTGATCCCATTCAAACAAGTCAGGAGCTTCGACTTGCTTAATGGATCTCGAGACAGTCCCCAAGAACACTGTCACCAGTCTAGACGGACCCTGAGGTCACCCCAGCAACGCAAAGATGCTCCATGTGCCCCAAATCAACTCGAGATGAGGCCGGATTCCACTGCATTGACTCCAGAGCCATTCCCCGTTCCCCATTCAACACGACCGGTGGCTCGACTTCCTTCAGGCAACTCCAAGGATTCCCCGAGAACACTGTCCCAAGTCTAGAGGACCACCAACTTCAGCACAGCAACTCGAGGAATGTTCCGTGTACCCCAAATCATCTCGAGATGAGAGCTGATTCCCTGGCTAGGCTCAAGGCGTATGCCAACTTTCCAGAAGCACCTCAGGAGGAGGCTTCTCTCAGCAATAGGTATGTGGGATGGACCCCGAGTTTGCTGCCTCAAGGGGAATACACAGGGAGAAGCCCTAATGTGAAAGGAGGCCAGATTTCCTTGCAGTGGCTTGAATACAAGCTCGTCTTTGATCTCACAACATGAAGGGATGTCTGAATCCCCTGTGGAGACCTTAGAGGAAGCCCTAGGTCCCTGCTTCATTTTGACGGAATACCTCACATCCCCCTGACACTTCGAGAGGAACGCAGAGATCATTGCTTGTAAAGGTGACGATGCCTGACTCCTCTTGAATACTTAAAGGAATCCCAAAATCCCTGTGGCTACTGGAAAGGGTCATTGGGTGCCCTGGCTCACCTCGAGAAGCGTCCCTTTTGCCCTGCCAAGCCTCGAAGAGATTGCTGAGGTGTCCCTCGTTACTAGACAGGAGTCCTGACGTCACTGAAGAAACTCGTGTTTTGAAGGGCCATCCCCGCCTTAAGACGAGAACATACCCCAGGTCCCCGCCGCAACTCGAGAAAAAACATGAGACTTCCCCCTAGAGGCGAGATGAGGCCCCATTCCCCTGCAGTGCATGCAGAGCTATTCCGTGATCCCATTCAAACAAGTCAGGAGCTTCGACTTGCTTAATGGATCTCGAGACAGTCCCCAAGAACACTGTCACCAGTCTAGACGGACCGTGAGGTCACCCAGCAATGCAAAGCAACTCCATTGGCCCCAAATCAACTCGAGATGAGGCCGGATTCCCCTGCATTGACTCCAGAGCCATTCCTTGTTCCCCATTCAACACGACCGGTGGCTCGACTTCCTTCAGGCAACTCCAGAGATGCCCCGAGAACACTGTCCCAAGTCTAGAGGACCACCAACTTCAGCACAGCAACTCGAGGAATGCTCTGTGTACCCCAAATCATTTCGAGATGAGAGCTGATTCCCTGGCTTAGGCTCAAGACGTATGCCAACTTTCCAGAAGCACCTCAGGAGGAGGCTTCTCTCAGCAATAGGTATGTGGGAGGGACCCCGAGTTTGCTGCCTCAAGGGGAATATACAGCGAGAAGCCCTAACTTGAAAGGAGGCCGGATGTCCTTGCAGTGGCTTGAATACAGGCTCGTCTTTCATCTCACAACATGAAGGGATGTCTGAATCCCCTGTGGAGAACTTAGAGAAAGCCCTAGGTCCCTGCCTCATTTTGACGGAATGCCTCACATCCCGCTGACACCTCGAGAGGCACGCGGAGTTCATTGCTTCAAAAGGTGACGATGCCTGACTCCTCTTGAATACTGATAGGAATCCCAAAATCACTGTGGCTACTGGAAAGGGTCCTTGGCTGCCCTGCCTCACCTCGAGAAGCGTCCCTTTTGCCCTGCCAAGCCTCGAAGAGATTGCTGAGGTGTCCCTCGTTACTAGGTAGGAGTCCTGACGTCACTGGAGAAACTCGTGTTTTGAAGGGCCATCCCCGCCATAAGTCGAGAACATACCCCAGGTCCCCGCAGCAACTCGAGAAAAACCGTGAGACTTCCCCCTAGAGGCGAGATGAGGCCCCATTCCCCTGCAGTGCATGCAGAGCTATTCCGTGATCCCATTCAAACAAGTCAGGAGCTTCGACTTGCTTAATGGATCTCGAGACAGTCCCCAAGAACATTGTCACCAGTCTAGACGGACCCTGAGGTCACCCAACAATGCAAATCAGCTCCATGTGCCCCAAATCAACTCGAGATGAGGCCGGATTCCACTGCATTGACTCCAGAGCCATTCCCCGTTCCCCGTTCAACCCGAACGGAGGCTCGCCTTCCTTCAGGCAACTCCAGATGTGCCCCGAGAACACTCTCCCAAGTCTAGAGGAACACCAACTTCAGCACAGCAACTCGAGGAATGCTCTGTGTACCCCAAATCGTCTCGAGATGAGAGCTGATTCCCTGGCTTAGGCTCAAGACGTATGCCAACTTTCCAGAAGCACCTCAGGAGGAGGCTTCTCAGCAATAGGTATGTGGGAGGGACTCCGAGTTTGCTGCCTCAAGGGGAATATACAGCGAGAAGCCCTAACTTGAAAGGAGGCCGGATTTCCTTGCAGTAGCTTGAATACAGGCTTGTCTTTCATCTCACAACATGAAGGGCTGTCTGAATCCCCTGTGGAGACCTTAGAGAAAGCCCTAGGTCCCTGCCTCATTTTGACGGAATGCCTCACATCCCGCTGACACCTCGAGAGGCAAGCGGAGTTCATTGCTTTAAAAGGTGACGATGCCTGACTCCTCTTGAATACTGATAGGAATCCCAAAATCCCTGTGGCTACTGGAAAGGGTCCTTGGGTGCCCTGCCTCACCTGGAGAAGCGTCCCTTTTGCCCTGCCAAGACTCGAAGAGATTCCTGAGGTGTCCCTCGTTACTAGGCAGGAGTCCTGACGTCACTGAAGAAACTCGTGTTTTGAAGGGCCATCCCTGCCGTAAGTCGAGAACATACCCCAGGTCCCCGCCGCAACTCGAGAAAAACCATGAGACTTCCCCCTAGAGGCGAGATGAGGCCCCATTCCCCTGCAGTGCATGCAGAGCTATTCCGTGATCCCATTCAAACAAGTCAGGAGCTTCGACTTGCTTAATGGATCTCGAGACAGTCCCCAAGAACACTGTCACCAGTCTAGACGGACCCTGAGGTCACCCCAGCAACGCAAAGCTGCTCCATGTGCCCCAAATCAACTCGAGATGAGGCCCGATTCCCCTGCATTGACTCCAGAGCCATTCCCCGTTCCCCATTCAACACGACCGGTGGCTCGACTTCCTTCAGGCAACTCCAGAGATGCCCCGAGAACACTGTCCCAAGTCTAGAGGAACACCAACTTCAGCACAGCAACTCGAGGAATGCTCCGTGTACCCCAAATCATCTCGAGATGAGAGCTGATTCCCTGGCTTAGGCTCAAGACGTATGCCAACTTTCCAGAAGCACCTCAGGAGGAGGCTTCTCTCAGCAATCGGTATGTGGGAGGGACCCCGAGTTGGCTGCCTCAAGGGGAATATACAGCGAGAAGCCCTAACTTGAAAGGAGGCCGGATTTCCTTGCAGTGGCTTGAATACAGGCTCGTCTTTGGTCTGACAACATGAAGGGATGTCTGAATCCCCTGTGGAGACCTTAGAGAAAGCCCTAGGTCCCTGCCTCATTTTGACGGAATGCCTCACATCCCGCTGACACTTCGAGAGGCACGCGGAGTTCATTGCTTCAAAAGGTGACGATGCCTGACTCCTGTTGAATACTGATAGGAATCCCAAAATCCCTGTGGCTACTGGAAAGGGTCCTTGGGTGCCCTGCCTCACCTCGAGAAGCGTCCCTTTTGCCCTGCCAAGCCTCGAAGAGATTCCTGAGGTGTCCCTCGTTACTAGGCAGGAGTCCTGATGTCACTGAAGAAACTCGTGTTTTGAAGGGCCATCCCCACCGTAAGTCGAGAACATACCCCAGTTCCCTGCCGCAACTCGAGAAAAACCGTGAGCCTTCCCCCTAGAGGCGAGATGAGGCCCCATTCCCCTGCAGTGCATGCAGAGTTATTCCGTGATCCCATTCAAACAAGTCAGGAGCTTCGACTTGCTTAATGGACCTCGAGACAGCCCCAAGAACACTGTCACCAGTCTAGACGGACCCTGAGGTCACCCAGCAATGCAAAGCAGCTCCATGTGCCCCAAATCAACTCGAGATGAGGCCGGATTCCCCTGCATTGACTCCAGAGCCATTCCCTGTTCCACATTCAACATCACCGGTGGCTCGACTTCCTTCACGCAACTTCAGAGATGCCCCGAGAACACTGTCCCAATTCTAGAGGACCACCAACTTCAGCACAGCAACTCGAGGAATGCTCTGTGTACCCCAAATCGTCTCGAGATTAGAGCTGATTCCCTGGCTTAGGCTCAAGATGTATGCCAACTTTCCAGAAGCACCTCAGGAGGAGGCTTCTCTCAGCAATAGGTATGTGGGAGGGACCCCGAGTTTGCTGCCTCAAGGGGAATATACAGCGAGAAGCCCTAACTTGAAAGGAGGCCGGTTTTCCTTGCAGTGGCTTGAATACAGGCTCGTCTTTCATCTCACAACATGAAGGGATGTCTGAATCCCCTGTGGAGCCCTTAGAGGAAGCCCTAGGTCCCTGCCCCATTTTGACGGAATACCTCACATCCCCCTGACACCTCGAGATGCACGCAGAGTTCATTGCTTCAAAAGGTGACGATGCCTGACTCCTCTTGAACACTTATAGGAATCCCAAAATCCCTGTGGCTACTGGAAAGGGTCCTTGGGTGCCCTGGCTCACCTCGAGAAGCGTCCCTTTTGCCCTTCCAAGCCTCGAAGACATTGCTGAGGTGTCCCTCGTTACTAGACAGGAGTCCTGACGTCACTGAAGAAACTCGTGTTTTGAAGGGCCGTCCCCGCCGTAAGTTGAGAACATACCCCAGGTCCCCGCCACAACTAGAGAAAAACCATGAGACTTCCCCCTAGAGGCGAGATGAGGCCCCATTCCCCTGCAGTGCATGCAGAGCTATTCCGTGATCCCATTCAAACAAGTCAGGAGCTTCGACTTGCTTAATGGATCTCGAGACAGTCCCCAAGAACACTGTCACCAGTCTAGACGGACCCTGAGGTCACCCCAGCAACGCAAAGCAGCTCCATGTGCCCCAAATCAACTCGAGATGAGGTCCGATTCCCCTGCATTGACTCTAGATCCATTCCCTGTTCCCCATTCAACACGACCGGTGGCTCGACTTCCTTCACGCAACTCCAGAGATGCCCCGAGAACACTGTCCCAAGTCTAGAGGACCACAAACTTCAGCACAGCAACTCGAGGAATGCTCTGTGTACCCCAAATCATTTCGAGATGAGAGCTGATTCCCTGGCTTACGCTCAAGACGTATGCCAACTTTCCAGAAGCACCTCAGGAGGAGGCTTCTCTCAGCAATAGGTATGGGGGAGGGACCCCGAGTTTGCTGCCTCAAGGGGAATATACAGCGAGAAGCCCTAACTTGAAAGGAGGCCGGATGTCCTTGCAGTGGCTTGAATACAGGCTCGTCTTTCATCTCACAACATGAAGGGATGTCTGAATCCCCTGTGGAGACCTTAGAGAAAGCCCTAGGTCCCTGCCTCATTTTGACGGAATGCCTCACATCCCGCTGACACCTCGAGAGGCACGCGGAGTTCATTGCTTCAAAAGGTGACGATGCCTGACTCCTCTTGAATACTGATAGGAATCCCAAAATCCCTGTGGCTACTGGAAAGGGTCCTTGGGTGACCTGCCTCACCTCGAGAAGCGTCCCTTTTGCCCTGCCAAGCCTCGAAGAGATTGCTGAGGTGTCCCTCGTTACTAGGTAGGAGTCCTGACGTCACTGGAGAAACTCGTGTTTTGAAGGGCCATCCCCGCCGTAAGTCGAGAACATACCCCAGGTCCCCGCCGCAACTCGAGAAAAACCATGAGACTTCCCCCTAGAGGCGAGATGAGGCCCCATTCCCCTGCAGTGCATGCAGAGCTATTCCGTGATCCCATTCAAACAAGTCAGGAGCTTCGACTTGCTTAATGGATCTCGAGACAGTCCCCAAGAACACTGTCACCAGTCTAGACGGACCGTGAGGTCACCCAGCAATGCAAAGCAACTCCATTGGCCCCAAATCAACTCGAGATGAGGCCGGATTCCCCTGCATTGACTCCAGAGCCATTCCTTGTTCCCCATTCAACACGACCGGTGGCTCGACTTCCTTCAGGCAACTCCAGAGATGCCCCGAGAACACTGTCCCAAGTCTAGAGGACCACCAACTTCAGCACAGCAACTCGAGGAATGCTCTGTGTACCCCAAATCATTTCGAGATGAGAGCTGATTCCCTGGCTTAGGCTCAAGACGTATGCCAACTTTCCAGAAGCACCTCAGGAGGAGGCTTCTCTCAGCAATAGGTATGTGGGAGGGACCCCGAGTTTGCTGCCTCAAGGGGAATATACAGCGAGAAGCCCTAACTTGAAAGGAGGCCGGATGTCCTTGCAGTGGCTTGAATACAGGCTCGTCTTTCATCTCACAACATGAAGGGATGTCTGAATCCCCTGTGGAGAACTTAGAGAAAGCCCTAGGTCCCTGCCTCATTTTGACGGAATGCCTCACATCCCGCTGACACCTCGAGAGGCACGCGGAGTTCATTGCTTCAAAAGGTGACGATGCCTGACTCCTCTTGAATACTGATAGGAATCCCAAAATCACTGTGGCTACTGGAAAGGGTCCTTGGCTGCCCTGCCTCACCTCGAGAAGCGTCCCTTTTGCCCTGCCAAGCCTCGAAGAGATTGCTGAGGTGTCCCTCGTTACTAGGTAGGAGTCCTGACGTCACTGGAGAAACTCGTGTTTTGAAGGGCCATCCCCGCCATAAGTCGAGAACATACCCCAGGTCCCCGCAGCAACTCGAGAAAAACCGTGAGACTTCCCCCTAGAGGCGAGATGAGGCCCCATTCCCCTGCAGTGCATGCAGAGCTATTCCGTGATCCCATTCAAACAAGTCAGGAGCTTCGACTTGCTTAATGGATCTCGAGACAGTCCCCAAGAACATTGTCACCAGTCTAGACGGACCCTGAGGTCACCCAACAATGCAAATCAGCTCCATGTGCCCCAAATCAACTCGAGATGAGGCCGGATTCCACTGCATTGACTCCAGAGCCATTCCCCGTTCCCCGTTCAACCCGAACGGAGGCTCGCCTTCCTTCAGGCAACTCCAGATGTGCCCCGAGAACACTCTCCCAAGTCTAGAGGAACACCAACTTCAGCACAGCAACTCGAGGAATGCTCTGTGTACCCCAAATCGTCTCGAGATGAGAGCTGATTCCCTGGCTTAGGCTCAAGACGTATGCCAACTTTCCAGAAGCACCTCAGGAGGAGGCTTCTCAGCAATAGGTATGTGGGAGGGACTCCGAGTTTGCTGCCTCAAGGGGAATATACAGCGAGAAGCCCTAACTTGAAAGGAGGCCGGATTTCCTTGCAGTAGCTTGAATACAGGCTTGTCTTTCATCTCACAACATGAAGGGCTGTCTGAATCCCCTGTGGAGACCTTAGAGAAAGCCCTAGGTCCCTGCCTCATTTTGACGGAATGCCTCACATCCCGCTGACACCTCGAGAGGCAAGCGGAGTTCATTGCTTTAAAAGGTGACGATGCCTGACTCCTCTTGAATACTGATAGGAATCCCAAAATCCCTGTGGCTACTGGAAAGGGTCCTTGGGTGCCCTGCCTCACCTGGAGAAGCGTCCCTTTTGCCCTGCCAAGACTCGAAGAGATTCCTGAGGTGTCCCTCGTTACTAGGCAGGAGTCCTGACGTCACTGAAGAAACTCGTGTTTTGAAGGGCCATCCCTGCCGTAAGTCGAGAACATACCCCAGGTCCCCGCCGCAACTCGAGAAAAACCATGAGACTTCCCCCTAGAGGCGAGATGAGGCCCCATTCCCCTGCAGTGCATGCAGAGCTATTCCGTGATCCCATTCAAACAAGTCAGGAGCTTCGACTTGCTTAATGGATCTCGAGACAGTCCCCAAGAACACTGTCACCAGTCTAGACGGACCCTGAGGTCACCCCAGCAACGCAAAGCTGCTCCATGTGCCCCAAATCAACTCGAGATGAGGCCCGATTCCCCTGCATTGACTCCAGAGCCATTCCCCGTTCCCCATTCAACACGACCGGTGGCTCGACTTCCTTCAGGCAACTCCAGAGATGCCCCGAGAACACTGTCCCAAGTCTAGAGGAACACCAACTTCAGCACAGCAACTCGAGGAATGCTCCGTGTACCCCAAATCATCTCGAGATGAGAGCTGATTCCCTGGCTTAGGCTCAAGACGTATGCCAACTTTCCAGAAGCACCTCAGGAGGAGGCTTCTCTCAGCAATCGGTATGTGGGAGGGACCCCGAGTTGGCTGCCTCAAGGGGAATATACAGCGAGAAGCCCTAACTTGAAAGGAGGCCGGATTTCCTTGCAGTGGCTTGAATACAGGCTCGTCTTTGGTCTGACAACATGAAGGGATGTCTGAATCCCCTGTGGAGACCTTAGAGAAAGCCCTAGGTCCCTGCCTCATTTTGACGGAATGCCTCACATCCCGCTGACACTTCGAGAGGCACGCGGAGTTCATTGCTTCAAAAGGTGACGATGCCTGACTCCTGTTGAATACTGATAGGAATCCCAAAATCCCTGTGGCTACTGGAAAGGGTCCTTGGGTGCCCTGCCTCACCTCGAGAAGCGTCCCTTTTGCCCTGCCAAGCCTCGAAGAGATTCCTGAGGTGTCCCTCGTTACTAGGCAGGAGTCCTGATGTCACTGAAGAAACTCGTGTTTTGAAGGGCCATCCCCACCGTAAGTCGAGAACATACCCCAGTTCCCTGCCGCAACTCGAGAAAAACCGTGAGCCTTCCCCCTAGAGGCGAGATGAGGCCCCATTCCCCTGCAGTGCATGCAGAGTTATTCCGTGATCCCATTCAAACAAGTCAGGAGCTTCGACTTGCTTAATGGACCTCGAGACAGCCCCAAGAACACTGTCACCAGTCTAGACGGACCCTGAGGTCACCCAGCAATGCAAAGCAGCTCCATGTGCCCCAAATCAACTCGAGATGAGGCCGGATTCCCCTGCATTGACTCCAGAGCCATTCCCTGTTCCACATTCAACATCACCGGTGGCTCGACTTCCTTCACGCAACTTCAGAGATGCCCCGAGAACACTGTCCCAATTCTAGAGGACCACCAACTTCAGCACAGCAACTCGAGGAATGCTCTGTGTACCCCAAATCGTCTCGAGATTAGAGCTGATTCCCTGGCTTAGGCTCAAGATGTATGCCAACTTTCCAGAAGCACCTCAGGAGGAGGCTTCTCTCAGCAATAGGTATGTGGGAGGGACCCCGAGTTTGCTGCCTCAAGGGGAATATACAGCGAGAAGCCCTAACTTGAAAGGAGGCCGGTTTTCCTTGCAGTGGCTTGAATACAGGCTCGTCTTTCATCTCACAACATGAAGGGATGTCTGAATCCCCTGTGGAGCCCTTAGAGGAAGCCCTAGGTCCCTGCCCCATTTTGACGGAATACCTCACATCCCCCTGACACCTCGAGATGCACGCAGAGTTCATTGCTTCAAAAGGTGACGATGCCTGACTCCTCTTGAACACTTATAGGAATCCCAAAATCCCTGTGGCTACTGGAAAGGGTCCTTGGGTGCCCTGGCTCACCTCGAGAAGCGTCCCTTTTGCCCTTCCAAGCCTCGAAGACATTGCTGAGGTGTCCCTCGTTACTAGACAGGAGTCCTGACGTCACTGAAGAAACTCGTGTTTTGAAGGGCCGTCCCCGCCGTAAGTTGAGAACATACCCCAGGTCCCCGCCACAACTAGAGAAAAACCATGAGACTTCCCCCTAGAGGCGAGATGAGGCCCCATTCCCCTGCAGTGCATGCAGAGCTATTCCGTGATCCCATTCAAACAAGTCAGGAGCTTCGACTTGCTTAATGGATCTCGAGACAGTCCCCAAGAACACTGTCACCAGTCTAGACGGACCCTGAGGTCACCCCAGCAACGCAAAGCAGCTCCATGTGCCCCAAATCAACTCGAGATGAGGTCCGATTCCCCTGCATTGACTCTAGATCCATTCCCTGTTCCCCATTCAACACGACCGGTGGCTCGACTTCCTTCACGCAACTCCAGAGATGCCCCGAGAACACTGTCCCAAGTCTAGAGGACCACAAACTTCAGCACAGCAACTCGAGGAATGCTCTGTGTACCCCAAATCATTTCGAGATGAGAGCTGATTCCCTGGCTTACGCTCAAGACGTATGCCAACTTTCCAGAAGCACCTCAGGAGGAGGCTTCTCTCAGCAATAGGTATGGGGGAGGGACCCCGAGTTTGCTGCCTCAAGGGGAATATACAGCGAGAAGCCCTAACTTGAAAGGAGGCCGGATGTCCTTGCAGTGGCTTGAATACAGGCTCGTCTTTCATCTCACAACATGAAGGGATGTCTGAATCCCCTGTGGAGACCTTAGAGAAAGCCCTAGGTCCCTGCCTCATTTTGACGGAATGCCTCACATCCCGCTGACACCTCGAGAGGCACGCGGAGTTCATTGCTTCAAAAGGTGACGATGCCTGACTCCTCTTGAATACTGATAGGAATCCCAAAATCCCTGTGGCTACTGGAAAGGGTCCTTGGGTGACCTGCCTCACCTCGAGAAGCGTCCCTTTTGCCCTGCCAAGCCTCGAAGAGATTGCTGAGGTGTCCCTCGTTACTAGGTAGGAGTCCTGACGTCACTGGAGAAACTCGTGTTTTGAAGGGCCATCCCCGCCGTAAGTCGAGAACATACCCCAGGTCCCCGCCGCAACTCGAGAAAAACCATGAGACTTCCCCCTAGAGGCGAGATGAGGCCCCATTCCCCTGCAGTGCATGCAGAGCTATTCCGTGATCCCATTCAAACAAGTCAGGAGCTTCGACTTGCTTAATGGATCTCGAGACAGTCCCCAAGAACATTGTCACCAGTCTAGACGGACCCTGAGGTCACCCAGCAATGCAAAGCAGCTCCATGTGCCCCAAATCAACTCGAGATGAGGCCGGATTCCCCTGCATTGACTCCAGAGCCATTCCCCGTTCCCCGTTCAACACGAACGGAGGCTCGCCTTCCTTCAGGCAACTCCAGATGTGCCCCGAGAACACTGTCCCAAGTCTAGAGGAACACCAACTTCAGCACAGCAACTCGAGGAATGCTCTGTGTACCCCAAATCGTCTCGAGATGAGAGCTGATTCCCTGGCTTAGGCTCAAGACGTATGCCAACTTTCCAGAAGCACCTCAGGAGGAGGCTTCTCAGCAATAGGTATGTGGGAGGGACTCCGAGTTTGCTGCCTCAAGGGGAATATACAGCGAGAAGCCCTAACTTGAAAGGAGGCCGGATTTCCTTGCAGTAGCTTGAATACAGGCTTGTCTTTCATCTCACAACATGAAGGGCTGTCTGAATCCCCTGTGGAGACCTTAGAGAAAGCCCTAGGTCCCTGCCTCATTTTGACGGAATGCCTCACATCCCGCTGACACCTCGAGAGTCAAGCGGAGTTCATTGCTTTAAAAGGTGACGATGCCTGACTCCTCTTGAATACTGATAGGAATCCCAAAATCCCTGTGGCTACTGGAAAGGGTCCTTGGGTGCCCTGGCTCACCTCGAGAAGCGTCCCTTTTGCCCTGCCAAGCCTCGAAGAGATTCCTGAGGTGTCCCTCGTTACTAGACAGGAGTCCTGACGTCACTGAAGAAACTCGTGTTTTGAAGGGCCATCCCTGCCGTAAGTCGAGAACATACCCCAGGTCCCCGCCGCAACTCGAGAAAAACCATGAGACTTCCCCCTAGAGGCGAGATGAGGCCCCATTCCCCTGCAGTGCATGCAGAGTTATTCCGTGATCCCATTCAAACAAGTCAGGAGCTTCGACTTGCTTAATGGACCTCGAGACAGCCCCAAGAACACTGTCACCAGTCTAGACGGACCCTGAGGTCACCCAGCAATGCAAAGCAGCTCCATGTGCCCCAAATCAACTCGAGATGAGGCCGGATTCCCCTGCATTGACTCCAGAGCCATTCCCTGTTCCACATTCAACATCACCGGTGGCTCGACTTCCTTCACGCAACTTCAGAGATGCCCCGAGAACACTGTCCCAATTCTAGAGGACCACCAACTTCAGCACAGCAACTCGAGGAATGCTCTGTGTACCCCAAATCGTCTCGAGATTAGAGCTGATTCCCTGGCTTAGGCTCAAGATGTATGCCAACTTTCCAGAAGCACCTCAGGAGGAGGCTTCTCTCAGCAATAGGTATGTGGGAGGGACCCCGAGTTTGCTGCCTCAAGGGGAATATACAGCGAGAAGCCCTAACTTGAAAGGAGGCCGGTTTTCCTTGCAGTGGCTTGAATACAGGCTCGTCTTTCATCTCACAACATGAAGGGATGTCTGAATCCCCTGTGGAGCCCTTAGAGGAAGCCCTAGGTCCCTGCCCCATTTTGACGGAATACCTCACATCCCCCTGACACCTCGAGATGCACGCAGAGTTCATTGCTTCAAAAGGTGACGATGCCTGACTCCTCTTGAACACTTATAGGAATCCCAAAATCCCTGTGGCTACTGGAAAGGGTCCTTGGGTGCCCTGGCTCACCTCGAGAAGCGTCCCTTTTGCCCTTCCAAGCCTCGAAGACATTGCTGAGGTGTCCCTCGTTACTAGACAGGAGTCCTGACGTCACTGAAGAAACTCGTGTTTTGAAGGGCCGTCCCCGCCGTAAGTCGAGAACATACCCCAGGTCCCCGCCACAACTAGAGAAAAACCATGAGACTTCCCCCTAGAGGCGAGATGAGGCCCCATTCCCCTGCAGTGCATGCAGAGCTATTCCGTGATCCCATTCAAACAAGTCAGGAGCTTCGACTTGCTTAATGGATCTCGAGACAGTCCCCAAGAACACTGTCACCAGTCTAGACGGACCCTGAGGTCACCCCAGCAACGCAAAGCAGCTCCATGTGCCCCAAATCAACTCGAGATGAGGTCCGATTCCCCTGCATTGACTCTAGATCCATTCCCTGTTCCCCATTCAACACGACCGGTGGCTCGACTTCATTCACGCAACTCCAGAGATGCCCCGAGAACACTGTCCCAAGTCTAGAGGACCACAAACTTCAGCACAGCAACTCGAGGAATGCTCTGTGTACCCCAAATCATTTCGAGATGAGAGCTGATTCCCTGGCTTACGCTCAAGACGTATGCCAACTTTCCAGAAGCACCTCAGGAGGAGGCTTCTCTCAGCAATAGGTATGGGGGAGGGACCCCGAGTTTGCTGCCTCAAGGGGAATATACAGCGAGAAGCCCTAACTTGAAAGGAGGCCGGATGTCCTTGCAGTGGCTTGAATACAGGCTCGTCTTTCATCTCACAACATGAAGGGATGTCTAAATCCCCTGTGGAGACCTTAGAGAAAGCCCTAGGTCCCTGCCTCATTTTGACGGAATGCCTCACATCCCGCTGACACCTCGAGAGGCACGCGGAGTTCATTGCTTCAAAAGGTGACGATGCCTGACTCCTCTTGAATACTGATAGGAATCCCAAAATCCCTGTGGCTACTGGAAAGGGTCCTTGGGTGACCTGCCTCACCTCGAGAAGCGTCCCTTTTGCCCTGCCAAGCCTCGAAGAGATTGCTGAGGTGTCCCTCGTTACTAGGTAGGAGTCCTGACGTCACTGGAGAAACTCGTGTTTTGAAGGGCCATCCCCGCCGTAAGTCGAGAACATACCCCAGGTCCCCGCCGCAACTCGAGAAAAACCATGAGACTTCCCCCTAGAGGCGAGATGAGGCCCCATTCCCCTGCAGTGCATGCAGAGCTATTCCGTGATCCCATTCAAACAAGTCAGGAGCTTCGACTTGCTTAATGGATCTCGAGACAGTCCCCAAGAACATTGTCACCAGTCTAGACGGACCCTGAGGTCACCCAGCAATGCAAAGCAGCTCCATGTGCCCCAAATCAACTCGAGATGAGGCCGGATTCCCTTGCATTGACTCCAGAGCCATTCCCCGTTCCCCGTTCAACACGAACGGAGGCTCGCCTTCCTTCAGGCAACTCCAGATGTGCCCCGAGAACACTGTCCCAAGTCTAGAGGAACACCAACTTCAGCACAGCAACTCGAGGAATGCTCTGTGTACCCCAAATCGTCTCGAGATGAGAGCTGATTCCCTGGCTTAGGCTCAAGACGTATGCCAACTTTCCAGAAGCACCTCAGGAGGAGGCTTCTCAGCAATAGGTATGTGGGAGGGACTCCGAGTTTGCTGCCTCAAGGGGAATATACAGCGAGAAGCCCTAACTTGAAAGGAGGCCGGATTTCCTTGCAGTAGCTTGAATACAGGCTTGTCTTTCATCTCACAACATGAAGGGCTGTCTGAATCCCCTGTGGAGACCTTAGAGAAAGCCCTAGGTCCCTGCCTCATTTTGACGGAATGCCTCACATCCCGCTGACACCTCGAGAGTCAAGCGGAGTTCATTGCTTTAAAAGGTGACGATGCCTGACTCCTCTTGAATACTGATAGGAATCCCAAAATCCCTGTGGCTACTGGAAAGGGTCCTTGGGTGCCCTGGCTCACCTCGAGAAGCGTCCCTTTTGCCCTGCCAAGACTCGAAGAGATTCCTGAGGTGTCCCTCGTTACTAGACAGGAGTCCTGACGTCACTGAAGAAACTCGTGTTTTGAAGGGCCATCCCTGCCGTAAGTCGAGAACATACCCCAGGTCCCCGCCGCAACTCGAGAAAAACCATGAGACTTCCCCCTAGAGGCGAGATGAGGCCCCATTCCCCTGCAGTGCATGCAGAGCTATTCTGTGATCCCATTCAAACAAGTCAGGAGCTTCGACTTGCTTAATGGATCTCGAGACAGTCCCCAAGAACACTGTCACCAGTCTAGACGGACCCTGAGGTCACCCCAGCAACGCAAAGCTGCTCCATGTGCCCCAAATCAACTCGAGATGAGGCCCGATTCCCCTGCATTGACTCCAGAGCCATTCCCCGTTCCCCATTCAACACGACCGGTGGCTCGACTTCCTTCAGGCAACTCCAGAGATGCCCCGGGAACACTGTCCCAAGTCTAGAGGAACACCAACTTCAGCACAGCAACTCGAGGAATGCTCTGTGTACCCCAAATCGTCTCGAGATGAGACCTGATTCCCTGGCTTAGGCTCAAGACGTATGCCAACTTTCCAGAAGCACCTCAGGAGGAGGCTTCTCAGCAATAGGTATGTGGGAGGGACTCCGAGTTTGCTGCCTCAAGGGGAATATACAACGAGAAGCCCTAACTTGAAAGGAGGCGGATTTCCTTGCAGTAGCTTGAATACAGGCTTGTCTTTCATCTCACAACATGAAGGGCTGTCTGAATCCCCTGTGGAGACCTTAGAGAAAGCCCTAGGTCCCTGCCTCATTTTGACGGAATGCCTCACATCCCGCTGACACCTCGAGAGGCAAGCGGAGTTCATTGCTTTAAAAGGTGACGATGCCTGACTCCTCTTGAATACTGATAGGAATCCCAAAATCCCTGTGGCTTCTGGAAAGGGTCCTTGGGTGCCCTGCCTCACCTCGAGAAGCGTCCCTTTTGCCCTGCCAAGACTCGAAGAGATTCCTGAGGTGTCCCTCGTTACTAGGCAGGAGTCCTGACGTCACTGAAGAAACTCGTGTTTTGAAGGGCCATCCCTGCCGTAAGTCGAGAACATACCCCAGGTCCCCGCCGCAACTCGAGAAAAACCATACTTCCCCCTAGAGGCGAGATGAGGCCCCATTCCCCTGCAGTGCATGCAGAGCTATTCCGTGATCCCATTCAAACAAGTCAGGAGCTTCGACTTGCTTAATGGATCTCGAGACAGTCCCCAAGAACACTGTCACCAGTCTAGACGGACCCTGAGGTCACCCCAGCAACGCAAAGCTGCTCCATGTGCCCCAAATCAACTCGAGATGAGGCCCGATTCCCCTGCATTGACTCCAGAGCCATTCCCCGTTCCCCATTCAACACGACCGGTGGCTCGACTTCCTTCAGGCAACTCCAGAGATGCCCTGAGAGCACTGTTCCAAGTCTAGAGCAACACCAACTTCAGCACAGCAACTCGAGGAATGCTCTGTGTACCCCAAATCGTCTCGAGATGAGACCTGATTCCCTGGTTTAGGCTCAAGACTTATGCCAACTTTCCAGAAGCACCTCAGGAGGAGGCTTCTCAGCAATAGGTATGTGGGAGGGACTCCGAGTTTGCTGCCTCAAGGGGAATATACAGCGAGAAGCCCTAACTTGAAAGGAGGCCGGATTTCCTTGCAGTAGCTTGAATACAGGCTTGTCTTTCATCCCACAACATGAAGGGATGTCTGAATCCCCTGTGGAGACCTTAGAGAAAGCCCTAGGTCCCTGCCTCATTTTGACGGAATGCCTCACATCCCGCTGACACCTCGAGAGGGACGCGGAGTTCATTGCTTCAAAAGGTGTCGATGCCTGACTCCTCTTGAATACTGATAGGAATCCCAAAATCCCTGTGGCTACTGGAAAGGGTCCTTGGGTGCCCTGCCTCACCTCGAGAAGCGTCCCTTTTGCCCTGCCAAGCCTCGAAGAGATTCCTGAGGTGTCCCTCGTTACTAGGCAGGAGTCCTGACGTCACTGAAGAAACTCGTGTTTTGAAGGGCCATCCCCGCCGTAAGTCGAGAACATACCCCAGGTTCCCGCCGCAACTCGACCAAAACCGTGAGACTTCCCCCTAGAGGCGAGATGAGGCCCCATTCCCCTGCAGTGCATGCAGAGCTATTCCGTGATCCCATTCAAACAAGTCAGGAGCTTCGACTTGCTTAATGGATCTCGAGACAGTCCCCAAGAACACTGTCACCAGTCTAGACGGACCCTGAGGTCACCCCAGCAACGCAAAGATGCTCCATGTGCCCCAAATCAACTCGAGATGAGGCCGGATTCCACTGCATTGACTCCAGAGCCATTCCCCGTTCCCCATTCAACACGACCGGTGGCTCGACTTCCTTCAGGCAACTCCAAGGATTCCCCGAGAACACTGTCCCAAGTCTAGAGGACCACCAACTTCAGCACAGCAACTCGAGGAATGTTCCGTGTACCCCAAATCATCTCGAGATGAGAGCTGATTCCCTGGCTTAGGCTCAAGGCGTATGCCAACTTTCCAGAAGCACCTCAGGAGGAGGCTTCTCTCAGCAATAGGTATGTGGGATGGACCCCGAGTTTGCTGCCTCAAGGGGATTACACAGGGAGAAGCCCTAATGTGAAAGGAGGCCAGATTTCCTTGCAGTGGCTTGAATACAAGCTCGTCTTTGATCTCACAACATGAAGGGATGTCTGAATCCCCTGTGGAGACCTTAGAGGAAGCCCTAGGTCCCTGCTTCATTTTGACGGAATACCTCACATCCCCCTGACACTTCGAGAGGAACGCAGAGATCATTGCTTGTAAAGGTGACGATGCCTGACTCCTCTTGAATACTTAAAGGAATCCCAAAATCCCTGTGGCTACTGGAAAGGGTCATTGGGTGCCCTGGCTCACCTCGAGAAGCGTCCCTTTTGCCCTGCCAAGCCTCGAAGAGATTGCTGAGGTGTCCCTCGTTACTAGACAGGAGTCCTGACGTCACTGAAGAAACTCGTGTTTTGAAGGGCAATCCCCGCCTTAAGACGAGAACATACCCCAGGTCCCCGCCGCAACTCGAGAAAAAACATGAGACTTCCCCCTAGAGGCGAGATGAGGCCCCATTCCCCTGCAGTGCATGCAGAGCTATTCCGTGATCCCATTCAAACAAGTCAGGAGCTTCGACTTGCTTAATGGATCTCGAGACAGTCCCCAAGAACATTGTCACCAGTCTAGACGGACCCTGAGGTCACCCAACAATGCAAATCAGCTCCATGTGCCCCAAATCAACTCGAGATGAGGCCGGATTCCCCTGCATTGACTCCAGAGCCATTCCCCGTTCCCCGTTCAACCCGAACGGAGGCTCGCCTTCCTTCAGGCAACTCCAGATGTGCCCCGAGAACACTCTCCCAAGTCTAGAGGAACACCAACTTCAGCACAGCAACTCGAGGAATGCTCTGTGTACCCCAAATCGTCTCGAGATGAGAGCTGATTCCCTGGCTTAGGCTCAAGACGTATGCCAACTTTCCAGAAGCACCTCAGGAGGAGGCTTCTCAGCAATAGGTATGTGGGAGGGACTCCGAGTTTGCTGCCTCAAGGGGAATATACAGCGAGAAGCCCTAACTTGAAAGGAGGCCGGATTTCCTTGCAGTAGCTTGAATACAGGCTTGTCTTTCATCTCACAACATGAAGGGCTGTCTGAATCCCCTGTGGAGACCTTAGAGAAAGCCCTAGGTCCCTGCCTCATTTTGACGGAATGCCTCACATCCCGCTGACACCTCGAGAGGCAAGCGGAGTTCATTGCTTTAAAAGGTGACGATGCCTGACTCCTCTTGAATACTGATAGGAATCCCAAAATCCCTGTGGCTACTGGAAAGGGTCCTTGGGTGCCCTGCCTCACCTGGAGAAGCGTCCCTTTTGCCCTGCCAAGACTCGAAGAGATTCCTGAGGTGTCCCTCGTTACTAGGCAGGAGTCCTGACGTCACTGAAGAAACTCGTGTTTTGAAGGGCCATCCCTGCCGTAAGTCGAGAACATACCCCAGGTCCCCGCCGCAACTCGAGAAAAACCATGAGACTTCCCCCTAGAGGCGAGATGAGGCCCCATTCCCCTGCAGTGCATGCAGAGCTATTCCGTGATCCCATTCAAACAAGTCAGGAGCTTCGACTTGCTTAATGGATCTCGAGACAGTCCCCAAGAACACTGTCACCAGTCTAGACGGACCCTGAGGTCACCCCAGCAACGCAAAGCTGCTCCATGTGCCCCAAATCAACTCGAGATGAGGCCCGATTCCCCTGCATTGACTCCAGAGCCATTCCCCGTTCCCCATTCAACACGACCGGTGGCTCGACTTCCTTCAGGCAACTCCAGAGATGCCCCGAGAACACTGTCCCAAGTCTAGAGGAACACCAACTTCAGCACAGCAACTCGAGGAATGCTCCGTGTACCCCAAATCATCTCGAGATGAGAGCTGATTCCCTGGCTTAGGCTCAAGACGTATGCCAACTTTCCAGAAGCACCTCAGGAGGAGGCTTCTCTCAGCAATCGGTATGTGGGAGGGACCCCGAGTTGGCTGCCTCAAGGGGAATATACAGCGAGAAGCCCTAACTTGAAAGGAGGCCGGATTTCCTTGCAGTGGCTTGAATACAGGCTCGTCTTTGGTCTGACAACATGAAGGGATGTCTGAATCCCCTGTGGAGACCTTAGAGAAAGCCCTAGGTCCCTGCCTCATTTTGACGGAATGCCTCACATCCCGCTGACACCTCGAGAGTCAAGCGGAGTTCATTGCTTCAAAAGGTGACGATGCCTGACTCCTCTTGAATACTGATAGGAATCCCAAAATCCCTGTGGCTACTGGAAAGGGTCCTTGGGTGCCCTGGCTCACCTCGAGAAGCGTCCCTTTTGCCCTGCCAAGACTCGAAGAGATTCCTGAGGTGTCCCTCGTTACTAGACAGGAGTCCTGACGTCACTGAAGAAACTCGTGTTTTGAAGGGCCATCCCTGCCGTAAGTCGAGAACATACCCCAGGTCCCCGCCGCAACTCGAGAAAAACCATGAGACTTCCCCCTAGAGGCGAGATGAGGCCCCATTCCCCTGCAGTGCATGCAGAGCTATTCCGTGATCCCATTCAAACAAGTCAGGAGCTTCGACTTGCTTAATGGATCTCGAGACAGTCCCCAAGAACACTGTCACCTATCTAGACGGACCCTGAGGTCACCCCAGCAACGCAAAGCTGCTCCATGTGCCCCAAATCAACTCGAGATGAGGCCCGATTCCCCTGCATTGACTCCAGAGCCATTCCCCGTTCCCCATTCAACACGACCGGTGGCTCGACTTCCTTCAGGCAACTCCAGAGATGCCCCGGGAACACTGTCCCAAGTCTAGAGGAACACCAACTTCAGCACAGCAACTCGAGGAATGCTCTGTGTACCCCAAATTGTCTCGAGATGAGACCTGATTCCCTGGCTTAGGCTCAAGACGTATGCCAACTTTCCAGAAGCACCTCAGGAGGAGGCTTCTCAGCAATAGGTATGTGGGAGGGACTCCGAGTTTGCTGCCTCAAGGGGAATATACAACGAGAGGCCCTAACTTGAAAGGAGGCGGATTTCCTTGCAGTAGCTTGAATACAGGCTTGTCTTTCATCTCACAACATGAAGGGCTGTCTGAATCCCCTGTGGAGACCTTAGAGAAAGCCCTAGGTCCCTGCCTCATTTTGACGGAATGCCTCACATCCCGCTGACACTTCGAGAGGCAAGCGGAGTTCATTGCTTTAAAAGGTGACGATGCCTGACTCCTCTTGAATACTGATAGGAATCCCAAAATCCCTGTGGCTACTGGAAAGGGTCCTTGGGTGCCCTGCCTCACCTCGAGAAGCGTCCCTTTTGCCCTGCCAAGACTCGAAGAGATTCCTGAGGTGTCCCTCGTTACTAGGCAGGAGTCCTGACATCACTGAAGAAACTCGTGTTTTGAAGGGCCATCCCTGCCGTAAGTCGAGAACATACCCCAGGTCCCCGCCGCAACTCGAGAAAAACCATGAGACTTCCCCCTAGAGGCGAGATGAGGCCCCATTCCCCTGCAGTGCATGCAGAGCTATTCCGTGATCCCATTCAAACAAGTCAGGAGCTTCGACTTGCTTAATGGATCTCGAGACAGTCCCCAAGAACACTGTCACCAGTCTAGACGGACCCTGAGGTCACCCCAGCAACGCAAAGCTGCTCCATGTGCCCCAAATCAACTCGAGATGAGGCCCGATTCCCCTGCATTGACTCCAGAGCCATTCCCCGTTCCCCATTCAACACGACCGGTGGCTCGACTTCCTTCAGGCAACTCCAGAGATGCCCTGAGAGCACTGTTCCAAGTCTAGAGCAACACCAACTTCAGCACAGCAACTCGAGGAATGCTCTGTGTACCCCAAATCGTCTCGAGATGAGACCTGATTCCCTGGCTTAGGCTCAAGACGTATGCCAACTTTCCAGAAGCACCTCAGGAGGAGGCTTCTCAGCAATAGGTATGTGGGAGGGACTCCGAGTTTGCTGCCTCAAGGGGAATATACAGCGAGAAGCCCTAACTTGAAAGGAGGCCTGATTTCCTTGCAGTAGCTTGAATACAGGCTTGTCTTTCATCCCACAACATGAAGGGATGTCTGAATCCCCTGTGGAGACCTTAGAGAAAGCCCTAGGTCCCTGCCTCATTTTGACGGAATGCCTCACATCCCGCTGACACCTCGAGAGGCACGCGGAGTTCATTGCTTCAAAAGGTGTCGATGCCTGACTCCTCTTGAATACTGATAGGAATCCCAAAATCCCTGTGGCTACTGGAAAGGGTCCTTCGGTGCCCTGCCTCACCTCGAGAAGCGTCCCTTTTGCCCTGCCAAGCCTCGAAGAGATTCCTGAGGTGTCCCTCGTTACTAGGCAGGAGTCCTGACGTCACTGAAGAAACTCGTGTTTTGAAGGGCCATCCCCGCCGTAAGTCGAGAACATACCCCAGGTCCCCGCCGCAACTCGACAAAAACCGTGAGACTTCCCCCTAGAGGCGAGATGAGGCCCCATTCCCCTGCAGTGCATGCAGAGCTATTCCGTGATCCCATTCAAACAAGTCAGGAGCTTCGACTTGCTTAATGGATCTCGAGACAGTCCCCAAGAACACTGTCACCAGTCTAGACGGACCCTGAGGTCACCCCAGCAACGCAAAGATGCTCCATGTGCCCCAAATCAACTCGAGATGAGGCCGGATTCCACTGCATTGACTCCAGAGCCATTCCCCGTTCCCCATTCAACACGACCGGTGGCTCGACTTCCTTCAGGCAACTCCAAGGATTCCCCGAGAACACTGTCCCAAGTCTAGAGGACCACCAACTTCAGCACAGCAACTCGAGGAATGTTCCGTGTACACCAAATCATCTCGAGATGAGAGCTGATTCCCTGGCTTAGGCTCAAGACGTATGCCAACTTTCCAGAAGCACCTCAGGAGGAGGCTTCTCTCAGCAATAGGTATGTGGGATGGACCCCGAGTTTGCTGCCTCAAGGGGATTACACAGGGAGAAGCCCTAATGTGAAAGGAGGCCAGATTTCCTTGCAGTGGCTTGAATACAAGCTCGTCTTTGATCTCACAACATGAAGGGATGTCTGAATCCCCTGTGGAGACCTTAGAGGAAGCCCTCGGTCCCTGCTTCATTTTGACGGAATACCTCACATCCCCCTGACACTTCGAGAGGAACGCAGAGATCATTGCTTGTAAAGGTGACGATGCCTGACTCCTCTTGAATACTTAAAGGAATCCCAAAATCCCTGTGGCTACTGGAAAGGGTCATTGGGTGCCCTGGCTCACCTCGAGAAGCGTCCCTTTTGCCCTGCCAAGCCTCGAAGAGATTGCTGAGGTGTCCCTCGTTACTAGACAGGAGTCCTGACGTCACTGAAGAAACTCGTGTTTTGAAGGGCCATCCCCGCCTTAAGACGAGAACATACCCCAGGTCCCCGCCGCAACTCGAGAAAAAACATGAGACTTCCCCCTAGAGGCGAGATGAGGCCCCATTCCCCTGCAGTGCATGCAGAGCTATTCCGTGATCCCATTCAAACAAGTCAGGAGCTTCGACTTGCTTAATGGATCTCGAGACAGTCCCCAAGAACACTGTCACCAGTCTAGACGGACCGTGAGGTCACCCAGCAATGCAAAGCAACTCCATTGGCCCCAAATCAACTCGAGATGAGGCCGGATTCCCCTGCATTGACTCCAGAGCCATTCCTTGTTCCCCATTCAACACGACCGGTGGCTCGACTTCCTTCAGGCAACTCCAGAGATGCCCCGAGAACACTGTCCCAAGTCTAGAGGACCACCAACTTCAGCACAGCAACTCGAGGAATGCTCTGTGTACCCCAAATCATTTCGAGATGAGAGCTGATTCCCTGGCTTAGGCTCAAGACGTATGCCAACTTTCCAGAAGCACCTCAGGAGGAGGCTTCTCTCAGCAATAGGTATGTGGGAGGGACCCCGAGTTTGCTGCCTCAAGGGGAATATACAGCGAGAAGCCCTAACTTGAAAGGAGGCCGGATGTCCTTGCAGTGGCTTGAATACAGGCTCGTCTTTCATCTCACAACATGAAGGGATGTCTGAATCCCCTGTGGAGAACTTAGAGAAAGCCCTAGGTCCCTGCCTCATTTTGACGGAATGCCTCACATCCCGCTGACACCTCGAGAGGCACGCGGAGTTCATTGCTTCAAAAGGTGACGATGCCTGACTCCTCTTGAATACTGATAGGAATCCCAAAATCCCTGTGGCTACTGGAAAGGGTCCTTGGGTGACCTGCCTCACCTCGAGAAGCGTCCCTTTTGCCCTGCCAAGCCTCGAAGAGATTGCTGAGGTGTCCCTCGTTACTAGGTAGGAGTCCTGACGTCACTGGAGAAACTCGTGTTTTGAAGGGCCATCCCCGCCGTAAGTCGAGAACATACCCCAGGTCCCCGCCGCAACTCGAGAAAAACCGTGAGACTTCCCCCTAGAGGCGAGATGAGGCCCCATTCCCCTGCAGTGCATGCAGAGCTATTCCGTGATCCCATTCAAACAAGTCAGGAGCTTCGACTTGCTTAATGGATCTCGAGACAGTCCCCAAGAACACTGTCACCAGTCTAGACGGACCCTGAGGTCACCCCAGCAACGCAAAGCTGCTCCATGTGCCCCAAATCAACTCGAGATGAGGCCCGATTCCCCTGCATTGACTCCAGAGCCATTCCCCGTTCCCCATTCAACACGACCGGTGGCTCGACTTCCTTCAGGCAACTCCAGAGATGCCCCGAGAACACTGTCCCAAGTCTAGAGGAACACCAACTTCAGCACAGCAACTCGAGGAATGCTCCGTGTACCCCAAATCATCTCGAGATGAGAGCTGATTCCCTGGCTTAGGCTCAAGACGTATGCCAACTTTCCAGAAGCACCTCAGGAGGAGGCTTCTCTCAGCAATCGGTATGTGGGAGGGACCCCGAGTTGGCTGCCTCAAGGGGAATATACAGCGAGAAGCCCTAACTTGAAAGGAGGCCGGATTTCCTTGCAGTGGCTTGAATACAGGCTCGTCTTTGGTCTGACAACATGAAGGGATGTCTGAATCCCCTGTGGAGACCTTAGAGAAAGCCCTAGGTCCCTGCCTCATTTTGACGGAATGCCTCACATCCCGCTGACACTTCGAGAGGCACGCGGAGTTCATTGCTTCAAAAGGTGACGATGCCTGACTCCTGTTGAATACTGATAGGAATCCCAAAATCCCTGTGGCTACTGGAAAGGGTCCTTGGGTGCCCTGCCTCACCTCGAGAAGCGTCCCTTTTGCCCTGCCAAGCCTCGAAGAGATTCCTGAGGTGTCCCTCGTTACTAGGCAGGAGTCCTGACGTCACTGAAGAAACTCGTGTTTTGAAGGGCCATCCCCACCGTAAGTCGAGAACATACCCCAGGTCCCTGCCGCAACTCGAGAAAAACCGTGAGCCTTCCCCCTAGAGGGGAGATGAGGCCCCATTCCCCTGCAGTGCATGCAGAGTTATTCCGTGATCCCATTCAAACAAGTCAGGAGCTTCGACTTGCTTAATGGACCTCGAGACAGCCCCAAGAACACTTTCACCAGTCTAGACGGACCCTGAGGTCACCCAGCAATGCAAAGCAGCTCCATGTGCCCAAAATCAACTCGAGATGAGGCCGGATTCCCCTGCATTGACTCCAGAGCCATTCCCTGTTCCACATTCAACATCACCGGTGGCTCGACTTCCTTCACGCAACTTCAGAGATGCCCCGAGAACACTGTCCCAATTCTAGAGGACCACCAACTTCAGCACAGCAACTCGAGGAATGCTCTGTGTACCCCAAATCGTCTCGAGATTAGAGCTGATTCCCTGGCTTAGTCTCAAGATGTATGCCAACTTTCCAGAAGCACCTCAGGAGGAGGCTTCTCTCAGCAATAGGTATGTGGGAGGGACCCCGAGTTTGCTGCCTCAAGGGGAATATACAGCGAGAAGCCCTAACTTGAAAGGAGGCCGGATTTCCTTGCAGTGGCTTGAATACAGGCTCATCTTTCATCTCACAACATGAAGGGATGTCTGAATCCCCTGTGGAGCCCTTAGAGGAAGCCCTAGGTCCCTGCCTCATTTTGACGGAATACCTCACATCCCCCTGACACCTCGAGATGCACGCTGAGTTCATTGCTTCAAAAGGTGACGATGCCTGACTCCTCTTGAACACTTATAGGAATCCCAAAATCCCTGTGGCTACTGGAAAGGGTCCTTGGGTGCCCTGGCTCACCTCGAGAAGCGTCCCTTTTGCCCTTCCAAGCCTCGAAGACATTGCTGAGGTGTCCCTCGTTACTAGACAGGAGTCCTGACGTCACTGAAGAAACTCGTGTTTTGAAGGGCCGTCCCCGCCGTAAGTCGAGAACATACCCCAGGTCCCCGCCGCAACTAGAGAAAAACCATGAGACTTCCCCCTAGAGGCGAGATGAGGCCCCATTCCCCTGCAGTGCATGCAGAGCTATTCCGTGATCCCATTCAAACAAGTCAGGAGCTTCGACTTGCTTAATGGATCTCGAGACAGTCCCCAAGAACACTGTCACCAGTCTAGACGGACCCTGAGGTCACCCCAGCAACGCAAAGCAGCTCCATGTGCCCCAAATCAACTCGAGATGAGGTCCGATTCCCCAGCATTGACTCTAGATCCATTCCCTGTTCCCCATTCAACATGACCGGTGGCTCGACTTCCTTCACGCAACTCCAGAGATGCCCCGAGAACACTGTCCCAAGTCTAGAGGACCACAAACTTCAGCACAGCAACTCGAGGAATGCTCTGTGTACCCCAAATCATTTCGAGATGAGAGCTGATTCCCTGGCTTACGCTCAAGACGTATGCCAACTTTCCAGAAGCACCTCAGGAGGAGGCTTCTCTCAGCAATAGGTATGGGGGAGGGACCCCGAGTTTGCTGCCTCAAGGGGAATATACAGCGAGAAGCCCTAACTTGAAAGGAGGCCGGATGTCCTTGCAGTGGCTTGAATACAGTCTCGTCTTTCATCTCACAACATGAAGGGATGTCTGAATCCCCTGTGGAGACCTTAGAGAAAGCCCTAGGTCCCTGCCTCATTTTGACGGAATGCCTCACATCCCGCTGACACCTCGAGAGGCACGCGGAGTTCATTGCTTCAAAAGGTGACGATGCCTGACTCCTGTTGAATACTGATAGGAATCCCAAAATCCCTGTGGCTACTGGAAAGGGTCCTTGGGTGACCTGCCTCACCTCGAGAAGCGTCCCTTTTGCCCTGCCAAGCCTTGAAGAGATTGCTGAGTTGTCCCTCGTTACTAGGTAGGAGTCCTGACGTCACTGGAGAAACTCGTGTTTTGAAGGGCCATCCCCGCCGTAAGTCGAGAACATACCCCAGGTCCCCGCCGCAACTCGAGAAAAACCGTGAGCCTTCCCCCTAGAGGCGAGATGAGGCCCCATTCCCCTGCAGTGCATGCAGAGCTATTCCTTGATCCCATTCAAACAAGTCAGGAGCTTCGACTTGCTTAATGGACCTCGAGACAGCCCCAAGAACACTGTCACCAGTCTAGACGGACCCTGAGGTCACCCAGCAATGCAAAGCAGCTCCATGTGCCCCAAATCAACTCGAGATGAGGCCGGATTCCCCTGCATTGACTCCAGAGCCATTCCCTGTTCCCCATTCAACATGACCGGTGGCTCGACTTCCTTCACGCAACTTCAGAGATGCCCCGAGAACACTGTCCCAATTCTAGAGGACCACCAACTTCAGCACAGCAACTCGAGGAATGCTCTGTGTACCCCAAATCGTCTCGAGATTAGAGCTGATTCCCTGGCTTAGGCTCAAGATGTATGCCAACTTTCCAGAAGCACCTCAGGAGGAGGCTTCTCTCAGCAATAGGTATGTGGGAGGGACCCCGAGTTTGCTGCCTCAAGGGGAATATACAGCGAGAAGCCCTAACTTGAAAGGAGGCCGGTTTTCCTTGCAGTGGCTTGAATACAGGCTCGTCTTTCATCTCACAACATGAAGGGATGTCTGAATCCCCTGTGGAGCCCTTAGAGGAAGCCCTAGGTCCCTGCCTCATTTTGACGGAATACCTCACATCCCCCTGACACCTCGAGATGCACGCAGAGTTCATTGCTTCAAAAGGTGACGATGCCTGACTCCTCTTGAACACTTATAGGAATCCCAAAATCCATGTGGCTACTGGAAAGGGTCCTTGGGTGCCCTGGCTCACCTCGAGAAGCGTCCCTTTTGCCCTTCCAAGCCTCGAAGACATTGCTGAGGTGTCCCTCGTTACTAGACAGGAGTCCTGACGTCACTGAAGAAACTCGTGTTTTGAAGGGCCGTCCCCGCCGTAAGTTGAGAACATACCCCAGGTCCCCGCCACAACTAGAGAAAAACCATGAGACTTCCCCCTAGAGGCGAGATGAGGCCCCATTCCCCTGCAGTGCATGCAGAGCTATTCCGTGATCCCATTCAAACAAGTCAGGAGCTTCGACTTGCTTAATGGATCTCGAGACAGTCCCCAAGAACACTGTCACCAGTCTAGACGGACCCTGAGGTCACCCCAGCAACGCAAAGCAGCTCCATGTGCCCCAAATCAACTCGAGATGAGGTCCGATTCCCCTGCATTGACTCTAGATCCATTCCCTGTTCCCCATTCAACACGACCGGTGGCTCGACTTCCTTCACGCAACTCCAGAGATGCCCCGAGAACACTGTCCCAAGTCTAGAGGACCACAAACTTCAGCACAGCAACTCGGGGAATGCTCTGTGTACCCCAAATCATTTCGAGATGAGAGCTGATTCCCTGGCTTACGCTCAAGACGTATGCCAACTTTCCAGAAGCACCTCAGGAGGAGGCTTCTCTCAGCAATAGGTATGGGGGAGGGACCCCGAGTTTGCTGCCTCAATGGGAATATACAGCGAGAAGACCTAACTTGAAAGGAGGCCGGATGTCCTTGCAGTGGCTTGAATACAGGCTCGTCTTTCATCTCACAACATGAAGGGATGTCTGAATCCCCTGTGGAGACCTTAGAGAAAGCCCTAGGTCCCTGCCTCATTTTGACGGAATGCCTCACATCCCGCTGACACCTCGAGAGGCACGCGGAGTTCATTGCTTCAAAAGGTGACGATGCCTGACTCCTCTTGAATACTGATAGGAATCCCAAAATCCCTGTGGCTACTGGAAAGGGTCCTTGGGTGACCTGCCTCACCTCGAGAAGCGTCCCTTTTGCCCTGCCAAGCCTCGAAGTGATTGCTGAGGTGTCCCTCGTTACTAGGTAGGAGTCCTGACGTCACTGGAGAAACTCGTGTTTTGAAGGGCCATCCCCGCCGTAAGTCGAGAACATACACCAGGTCCCCGCCGCAACTCGAGAAAAACCGTGAGACTTCCCCCTAGAGGCGAGATGAGGCCCCATTCCCCTGCAGTGCATGCAGAGCTATTCCGTGATCCCATTCAAACAAGTCAGGAGCTTCGACTTGCTTAATGGATCTCGAGACAGTCCCCAAGAACATTGTCACCAGTCTAGACGGACCCTGAGGTCACCCAGCAATGCAAAGCAGCTCCATGTGCCCCAAATCAACTCGAGATGAGGCCGGATTCCCCTGCATTGACTCCAGAGCTATTCCCCGTTCCCCGTTCAACACGACCGGTGGCTCGACTTCCTTCAGGCAACTCCAGAGATGCCCCGAGAACACTGTCCCAAGTCTAGAGGAACACCAACTTCAGCACAGCAACTCGAGGAATGCTCTGTGTACCCCAAATCGTCTCGAGATGAGAGCTGATTCCCTGGCTTAGGCTCAAGACGTATGCCAACTTCCAGAAGCACCTCAGGAGGAGACTTCTCAGCAATAGGTATGTGGGAGGGACTCCGAGTTTGCTGCCTCAAGGGGAATATACAGCGAGAAGCCCTAACTTGAAAGGAGGCCGGATTTCCTTGCAGTAGCTTGAATACAGGCTCGTCTTTGATCTGACAACATGAAGGGATGTCTGAATCCCCTGTGGAGTCCTTAGAGAAAGCCCTAGGTCCCTGCCTCATTTTGACGGAATGCCTCACATCCCGCTGACACCTCGAGAGGCAAGCGGAGTTCATTGCTTTAAAAGGTGACGATGCCTGACTCCTCTTGAATACTGATAGGAATCCCAAAATCCCTGTGGCTACTGGAAAGGGTCCTTGGGTGCCCTGCCTCACCTCGAGAAGCGTCCCTTTTGCCCTGCCAAGCCTCGAAGAGATTCCTGAGGTGTCCCTCGTTACTAGGCAGGAGTCTTGACGTCACTGAAGAAACTCGTGTTTTGAAGGGCCATCCCCACCGTAAGTCGAGAACATACCCCAGGTTCCCGCCGCAACTCGAGAAAAACCGTGAGCCTTCCCCCTAGAGGCGAGATGAGGCCCCATTCCCCTGCAGTGCATGCAGAGCTATTCCGTGATCCCATTCAAACAAGTCAGGAGCTTCGACTTGCTTAATGGATCTCGAGACAGTCCCCAAGAACACTGTCACCAGTCTAGAGGGACCCTGAGGTCACCCAGCAATGCAAAGCAGCTCCATGTGCCCCAAATCAACTCGAGATGAGGCCCGATTCCCCTGCATTGACTCCAGAGCCATTCCCCGTTCCCCATTCAACATGACCGGTGGCTCGACTTCCTTCACGCAACTTCAGAGATGCCCCGAGAACACTGTCCCAATTCTAGAGGACCACCAACTTCAGCACAGCAACTCGAGGAATGCTCTGTGTACCCCAAATCGTCTCGAGATTAGAGCTGATTCCCTGGCTTAGGCTCAAGATGTATGCCAACTTTCCAGAAGCATCTCAGGAGGAGGCTTCTCTCAGCAATAGGTATGTGGGAGGGACCCCGAGTTTGCTGCCTCAAGGTGAATATACAGCGAGAAGCCCTAACTTGAAAGGAGGCCGGTTTTCCTTGCAGTGGCTTGAATACAGGCTCGTCTTTCATCTCACAACATGAAGGGATGTCTGAATCCCCTGTGGAGCCCTTAGAGGAAGCCCTAGGTCCCTGCCTCATTTTGACGGAATACCTCACATCCCCCTGACACCTCGAGATGCACGCAGAGTTCATTGCTTCAAAAGGTGACGATGCCTGACTCCTCTTGAACACTTATAGGAATCCCAAAATCCCTGTGGCTACTGGAAAGGGTCCTTGGGTGCCCTGGCTCACCTCGAGAAGCGTCCCTTTTGCCCTGCCAAGCCTCGAAGACATTGCTGAGGTGTCCCTCGTTACTAGACTGGAGTCCTGACGTCACTGAAGAAACTCGTGTTTTGAAGGGCCGTCCCCGCCGTAAGTCGAGAACATACCCCAGGTCCCCGCCGCAACTCGAGAAAAACCATGAGACTTCCCCCTAGAGGCGAGATGAGGCCCCATTCCCCTGCAGTGCATGCAGAGCTATTCCGTGATCCCATTCAAACAAGTCAGGAGCTTCGACTTGCTTAATGGATCTCGAGACAGTCCCCAAGAACACTGTCACCAGTCTAGACGGACCCTGAGGTCACCCCAGCAACGCAAAGCAGCTCCATGTGCCCCAAATCAACTCGAGATGAGGCCCGATTCCCCTGCATTGACTCCAGAGCCATTCCTCGTTCCCCATTCCACACGCCGGTGGCTCGCCTTCCTTCAGGCAACTCCAGAGATGCCCCGAGAACATTGTCCCAAGTCTAGAGGACCACCAACTTCAGCACAGCAATTCGAGGAATGCTCTGTGTACCCCAAATCATTTCGAGATGAGAGCTGATTCCCTGGCTTAGGCTCAAGACGTATGCCAACTTTCCAGAAGCACCTCAGGAGGAGGCTTCTCTCAGCAATAGGTATGTGGGAGGGACCCCGAGTTTGCTGCCTCAAGGGGAATATACAGCGAGAAGCCCTAACTTGAAAGGAGGCCGGATGTCCTTGCAGTGGCTTGAATACAGGCTCGTCTTTCATCTCACAACATGAAGGGATGTCTGAATCCCCTGTGGAGACCTTAGAGAAAGCCCTAGGTCCCTGCCTCATTTTGACGGAATGCCTCACATCCCGCTGACACCTCGAGAGGCACGCGGAGTTCATTGCTTCAAAAGGTGAAGATGCCTGACTCCTCTTGAATACTGATAGGAATCCCAAAATCCCTGTGGCTACTGGAAAGGGTCATTGGGTGCCCTGGCTCACCTCGAGAAGCGTCCCTTTTGCCCTGCCAAGCCTCGAAGAGATTGCTGAGGTGTCCCTCGTTACTAGACAGGAGTCCTGACGTCACTGAAGAAACTCGTGTTTTGAAGGGCCATCCCCGCCTTAAGACGAGAACATACCCCAGGTCCCCGCCGCAACTCGAGAAAAAACATGAGACTTCCCCCTAGAGGCGAGATGAGGCCCCATTCCCCTGCAGTGCATGCAGAGCTATTCCGTGATCCCATTCAAACAAGTCAGGAGCTTCGACTTGCTTAATGGATCTCGAGACAGTCCCCAAGAACACTGTCACCAGTCTAGACGGACCGTGAGGTCACCCAGCAATGCAAAGCAACTCCATTGGCCCCAAATCAACTCGAGATGAGGCCGGATTCCCCTGCATTGACTCCAGAGCCATTCCTTGTTCCCCATTCAACACGACCGGTGGCTCGACTTCCTTCAGGCAACTCCAGAGATGCCCCGAGAACACTGTCCCAAGTCTAGAGGACCACCAACTTCAGCACAGCAACTCGAGGAATGCTCTGTGTACCCCAAATCATTTCGAGATGAGAGCTGATTCCCTGGCTTAGGCTCAAGACGTATGCCAACTTTCCAGAAGCACCTCAGGAGGAGGCTTCTCTCAGCAATAGGTATGTGGGAGGGACCCCGAGTTTGCTGCCTCAAGGGGAATATACAGCGAGAAGCCCTAACTTGAAAGGAGGCCGGATGTCCTTGCAGTGGCTTGAATACAGGCTCGTCTTTCATCTCACAACATGAAGGGATGTCTGAATCCCCTGTGGAGAACTTAGAGAAAGCCCTAGGTCCCTGCCTCATTTTGACGGAATGCCTCACATCCCGCTGACACCTCGAGAGGCACGCGGAGTTCATTGCTTCAAAAGGTGACGATGCCTGACTCCTCTTGAATACTGATAGGAATCCCAAAATCCCTGTGGCTACTGGAAAGGGTCCTTGGGTGACCTGCCTCACCTCGAGAAGCGTCCCTTTTGCCCTGCCAAGCCTCGAAGAGATTGCTGAGGTGTCCCTCGTTACTAGGTAGGAGTCCTGACGTCACTGGAGAAACTCGTGTTTTGAAGGGCCATCCCCGCCGTAAGTCGAGAACATACCCCAGGTCCCCGCCGCAACTCGAGAAAAACCGTGAGACTTCCCCCTAGAGGCGAGATGAGGCCCCATTCCCCTGCAGTGCATGCAGAGCTATTCCGTGATCCCATTCAAACAAGTCAGGAGCTTCGACTTGCTTAATGGATCTCGAGACAGTCCCCAAGAACACTGTCACCAGTCTAGACGGACCCTGAGGTCACCCCAGCAACGCAAAGCTGCTCCATGTGCCCCAAATCAACTCGAGATGAGGCCCGATTCCCCTGCATTGACTCCAGAGCCATTCCCCGTTCCCCATTCAACACGACCGGTGGCTCGACTTCCTTCAGGCAACTCCAGAGATGCCCCGAGAACACTGTCCCAAGTCTAGAGGAACACCAACTTCAGCACAGCAACTCGAGGAATGCTCCGTGTACCCCAAATCATCTCGAGATGAGAGCTGATTCCCTGGCTTAGGCTCAAGACGTATGCCAACTTTCCAGAAGCACCTCAGGAGGAGGCTTCTCTCAGCAATCGGTATGTGGGAGGGACCCCGAGTTGGCTGCCTCAAGGGGAATATACAGCGAGAAGCCCTAACTTGAAAGGAGGCCGGATTTCCTTGCAGTGGCTTGAATACAGGCTCGTCTTTGGTCTGACAACATGAAGGGATGTCTGAATCCCCTGTGGAGACCTTAGAGAAAGCCCTAGGTCCCTGCCTCATTTTGACGGAATGCCTCACATCCCGCTGACACTTCGAGAGGCACGCGGAGTTCATTGCTTCAAAAGGTGACGATGCCTGACTCCTGTTGAATACTGATAGGAATCCCAAAATCCCTGTGGCTACTGGAAAGGGTCCTTGGGTGCCCTGCCTCACCTCGAGAAGCGTCCCTTTTGCCCTGCCAAGCCTCGAAGAGATTCCTGAGGTGTCCCTCGTTACTAGGCAGGAGTCCTGACGTCACTGAAGAAACTCGTGTTTTGAAGGGCCATCCCCACCGTAAGTCGAGAACATACCCCAGGTCCCTGCCGCAACTCGAGAAAAACCGTGAGCCTTCCCCCTAGAGGGGAGATGAGGCCCCATTCCCCTGCAGTGCATGCAGAGTTATTCCGTGATCCCATTCAAACAAGTCAGGAGCTTCGACTTGCTTAATGGACCTCGAGACAGCCCCAAGAACACTTTCACCAGTCTAGACGGACCCTGAGGTCACCCAGCAATGCAAAGCAGCTCCATGTGCCCAAAATCAACTCGAGATGAGGCCGGATTCCCCTGCATTGACTCCAGAGCCATTCCCTGTTCCACATTCAACATCACCGGTGGCTCGACTTCCTTCACGCAACTTCAGAGATGCCCCGAGAACACTGTCCCAATTCTAGAGGACCACCAACTTCAGCACAGCAACTCGAGGAATGCTCTGTGTACCCCAAATCGTCTCGAGATTAGAGCTGATTCCCTGGCTTAGTCTCAAGATGTATGCCAACTTTCCAGAAGCACCTCAGGAGGAGGCTTCTCTCAGCAATAGGTATGTGGGAGGGACCCCGAGTTTGCTGCCTCAAGGGGAATATACAGCGAGAAGCCCTAACTTGAAAGGAGGCCGGATTTCCTTGCAGTGGCTTGAATACAGGCTCATCTTTCATCTCACAACATGAAGGGATGTCTGAATCCCCTGTGGAGCCCTTAGAGGAAGCCCTAGGTCCCTGCCTCATTTTGACGGAATACCTCACATCCCCCTGACACCTCGAGATGCACGCTGAGTTCATTGCTTCAAAAGGTGACGATGCCTGACTCCTCTTGAACACTTATAGGAATCCCAAAATCCCTGTGGCTACTGGAAAGGGTCCTTGGGTGCCCTGGCTCACCTCGAGAAGCGTCCCTTTTGCCCTTCCAAGCCTCGAAGACATTGCTGAGGTGTCCCTCGTTACTAGACAGGAGTCCTGACGTCACTGAAGAAACTCGTGTTTTGAAGGGCCGTCCCCGCCGTAAGTCGAGAACATACCCCAGGTCCCCGCCGCAACTAGAGAAAAACCATGAGACTTCCCCCTAGAGGCGAGATGAGGCCCCATTCCCCTGCAGTGCATGCAGAGCTATTCCGTGATCCCATTCAAACAAGTCAGGAGCTTCGACTTGCTTAATGGATCTCGAGACAGTCCCCAAGAACACTGTCACCAGTCTAGACGGACCCTGAGGTCACCCCAGCAACGCAAAGCAGCTCCATGTGCCCCAAATCAACTCGAGATGAGGTCCGATTCCCCAGCATTGACTCTAGATCCATTCCCTGTTCCCCATTCAACATGACCGGTGGCTCGACTTCCTTCACGCAACTCCAGAGATGCCCCGAGAACACTGTCCCAAGTCTAGAGGACCACAAACTTCAGCACAGCAACTCGAGGAATGCTCTGTGTACCCCAAATCATTTCGAGATGAGAGCTGATTCCCTGGCTTACGCTCAAGACGTATGCCAACTTTCCAGAAGCACCTCAGGAGGAGGCTTCTCTCAGCAATAGGTATGGGGGAGGGACCCCGAGTTTGCTGCCTCAAGGGGAATATACAGCGAGAAGCCCTAACTTGAAAGGAGGCCGGATGTCCTTGCAGTGGCTTGAATACAGTCTCGTCTTTCATCTCACAACATGAAGGGATGTCTGAATCCCCTGTGGAGACCTTAGAGAAAGCCCTAGGTCCCTGCCTCATTTTGACGGAATGCCTCACATCCCGCTGACACCTCGAGAGGCACGCGGAGTTCATTGCTTCAAAAGGTGACGATGCCTGACTCCTGTTGAATACTGATAGGAATCCCAAAATCCCTGTGGCTACTGGAAAGGGTCCTTGGGTGACCTGCCTCACCTCGAGAAGCGTCCCTTTTGCCCTGCCAAGCCTTGAAGAGATTGCTGAGTTGTCCCTCGTTACTAGGTAGGAGTCCTGACGTCACTGGAGAAACTCGTGTTTTGAAGGGCCATCCCCGCCGTAAGTCGAGAACATACCCCAGGTCCCCGCCGCAACTCGAGAAAAACCGTGAGCCTTCCCCCTAGAGGCGAGATGAGGCCCCATTCCCCTGCAGTGCATGCAGAGCTATTCCTTGATCCCATTCAAACAAGTCAGGAGCTTCGACTTGCTTAATGGACCTCGAGACAGCCCCAAGAACACTGTCACCAGTCTAGACGGACCCTGAGGTCACCCAGCAATGCAAAGCAGCTCCATGTGCCCCAAATCAACTCGAGATGAGGCCGGATTCCCCTGCATTGACTCCAGAGCCATTCCCTGTTCCCCATTCAACATGACCGGTGGCTCGACTTCCTTCACGCAACTTCAGAGATGCCCCGAGAACACTGTCCCAATTCTAGAGGACCACCAACTTCAGCACAGCAACTCGAGGAATGCTCTGTGTACCCCAAATCGTCTCGAGATTAGAGCTGATTCCCTGGCTTAGGCTCAAGATGTATGCCAACTTTCCAGAAGCACCTCAGGAGGAGGCTTCTCTCAGCAATAGGTATGTGGGAGGGACCCCGAGTTTGCTGCCTCAAGGGGAATATACAGCGAGAAGCCCTAACTTGAAAGGAGGCCGGTTTTCCTTGCAGTGGCTTGAATACAGGCTCGTCTTTCATCTCACAACATGAAGGGATGTCTGAATCCCCTGTGGAGCCCTTAGAGGAAGCCCTAGGTCCCTGCCTCATTTTGACGGAATACCTCACATCCCCCTGACACCTCGAGATGCACGCAGAGTTCATTGCTTCAAAAGGTGACGATGCCTGACTCCTCTTGAACACTTATAGGAATCCCAAAATCCATGTGGCTACTGGAAAGGGTCCTTGGGTGCCCTGGCTCACCTCGAGAAGCGTCCCTTTTGCCCTTCCAAGCCTCGAAGACATTGCTGAGGTGTCCCTCGTTACTAGACAGGAGTCCTGACGTCACTGAAGAAACTCGTGTTTTGAAGGGCCGTCCCCGCCGTAAGTTGAGAACATACCCCAGGTCCCCGCCACAACTAGAGAAAAACCATGAGACTTCCCCCTAGAGGCGAGATGAGGCCCCATTCCCCTGCAGTGCATGCAGAGCTATTCCGTGATCCCATTCAAACAAGTCAGGAGCTTCGACTTGCTTAATGGATCTCGAGACAGTCCCCAAGAACACTGTCACCAGTCTAGACGGACCCTGAGGTCACCCCAGCAACGCAAAGCAGCTCCATGTGCCCCAAATCAACTCGAGATGAGGTCCGATTCCCCTGCATTGACTCTAGATCCATTCCCTGTTCCCCATTCAACACGACCGGTGGCTCGACTTCCTTCACGCAACTCCAGAGATGCCCCGAGAACACTGTCCCAAGTCTAGAGGACCACAAACTTCAGCACAGCAACTCGGGGAATGCTCTGTGTACCCCAAATCATTTCGAGATGAGAGCTGATTCCCTGGCTTACGCTCAAGACGTATGCCAACTTTCCAGAAGCACCTCAGGAGGAGGCTTCTCTCAGCAATAGGTATGGGGGAGGGACCCCGAGTTTGCTGCCTCAATGGGAATATACAGCGAGAAGACCTAACTTGAAAGGAGGCCGGATGTCCTTGCAGTGGCTTGAATACAGGCTCGTCTTTCATCTCACAACATGAAGGGATGTCTGAATCCCCTGTGGAGACCTTAGAGAAAGCCCTAGGTCCCTGCCTCATTTTGACGGAATGCCTCACATCCCGCTGACACCTCGAGAGGCACGCGGAGTTCATTGCTTCAAAAGGTGACGATGCCTGACTCCTCTTGAATACTGATAGGAATCCCAAAATCCCTGTGGCTACTGGAAAGGGTCCTTGGGTGACCTGCCTCACCTCGAGAAGCGTCCCTTTTGCCCTGCCAAGCCTCGAAGTGATTGCTGAGGTGTCCCTCGTTACTAGGTAGGAGTCCTGACGTCACTGGAGAAACTCGTGTTTTGAAGGGCCATCCCCGCCGTAAGTCGAGAACATACACCAGGTCCCCGCCGCAACTCGAGAAAAACCGTGAGACTTCCCCCTAGAGGCGAGATGAGGCCCCATTCCCCTGCAGTGCATGCAGAGCTATTCCGTGATCCCATTCAAACAAGTCAGGAGCTTCGACTTGCTTAATGGATCTCGAGACAGTCCCCAAGAACATTGTCACCAGTCTAGACGGACCCTGAGGTCACCCAGCAATGCAAAGCAGCTCCATGTGCCCCAAATCAACTCGAGATGAGGCCGGATTCCCCTGCATTGACTCCAGAGCTATTCCCCGTTCCCCGTTCAACACGACCGGTGGCTCGACTTCCTTCAGGCAACTCCAGAGATGCCCCGAGAACACTGTCCCAAGTCTAGAGGAACACCAACTTCAGCACAGCAACTCGAGGAATGCTCTGTGTACCCCAAATCGTCTCGAGATGAGAGCTGATTCCCTGGCTTAGGCTCAAGACGTATGCCAACTTCCAGAAGCACCTCAGGAGGAGACTTCTCAGCAATAGGTATGTGGGAGGGACTCCGAGTTTGCTGCCTCAAGGGGAATATACAGCGAGAAGCCCTAACTTGAAAGGAGGCCGGATTTCCTTGCAGTAGCTTGAATACAGGCTCGTCTTTGATCTGACAACATGAAGGGATGTCTGAATCCCCTGTGGAGTCCTTAGAGAAAGCCCTAGGTCCCTGCCTCATTTTGACGGAATGCCTCACATCCCGCTGACACCTCGAGAGGCAAGCGGAGTTCATTGCTTTAAAAGGTGACGATGCCTGACTCCTCTTGAATACTGATAGGAATCCCAAAATCCCTGTGGCTACTGGAAAGGGTCCTTGGGTGCCCTGCCTCACCTCGAGAAGCGTCCCTTTTGCCCTGCCAAGCCTCGAAGAGATTCCTGAGGTGTCCCTCGTTACTAGGCAGGAGTCTTGACGTCACTGAAGAAACTCGTGTTTTGAAGGGCCATCCCCACCGTAAGTCGAGAACATACCCCAGGTTCCCGCCGCAACTCGAGAAAAACCGTGAGCCTTCCCCCTAGAGGCGAGATGAGGCCCCATTCCCCTGCAGTGCATGCAGAGCTATTCCGTGATCCCATTCAAACAAGTCAGGAGCTTCGACTTGCTTAATGGATCTCGAGACAGTCCCCAAGAACACTGTCACCAGTCTAGAGGGACCCTGAGGTCACCCAGCAATGCAAAGCAGCTCCATGTGCCCCAAATCAACTCGAGATGAGGCCCGATTCCCCTGCATTGACTCCAGAGCCATTCCCCGTTCCCCATTCAACATGACCGGTGGCTCGACTTCCTTCACGCAACTTCAGAGATGCCCCGAGAACACTGTCCCAATTCTAGAGGACCACCAACTTCAGCACAGCAACTCGAGGAATGCTCTGTGTACCCCAAATCGTCTCGAGATTAGAGCTGATTCCCTGGCTTAGGCTCAAGATGTATGCCAACTTTCCAGAAGCATCTCAGGAGGAGGCTTCTCTCAGCAATAGGTATGTGGGAGGGACCCCGAGTTTGCTGCCTCAAGGTGAATATACAGCGAGAAGCCCTAACTTGAAAGGAGGCCGGTTTTCCTTGCAGTGGCTTGAATACAGGCTCGTCTTTCATCTCACAACATGAAGGGATGTCTGAATCCCCTGTGGAGCCCTTAGAGGAAGCCCTAGATCCCTGCCTCATTTTGACGGAATACCTCACATCCCCCTGACACCTCGAGATGCACGCAGAGTTCATTGCTTCAAAAGGTGACGATGCCTGACTCCTCTTGAACACTTATAGGAATCCCAAAATCCCTGTGGCTACTGGAAAGGGTCCTTGGGTGCCCTGGCTCACCTCGAGAAGCGTCCCTTTTGCCCTGCCAAGCCTCGAAGACATTGCTGAGGTGTCCCTCGTTACTAGACTGGAGTCCTGACGTCACTGAAGAAACTCGTGTTTTGAAGGGCCGTCCCCGCCGTAAGTCGAGAACATACCCCAGGTCCCCGCCGCAACTCGAGAAAAACCATGAGACTTCCCCCTAGAGGCGAGATGAGGCCCCATTCCCCTGCAGTGCATGCAGAGCTATTCCGTGATCCCATTCAAACAAGTCAGGAGCTTCGACTTGCTTAATGGATCTCGAGACAGTCCCCAAGAACACTGTCACCAGTCTAGACGGACCCTGAGGTCACCCCAGCAACGCAAAGCAGCTCCATGTGCCCCAAATCAACTCGAGATGAGGCCCGATTCCCCTGCATTGACTCCAGAGCCATTCCTCGTTCCCCATTCCACACGCCGGTGGCTCGCCTTCCTTCAGGCAACTCCAGAGATGCCCCGAGAACATTGTCCCAAGTCTAGAGGACCACCAACTTCAGCACAGCAATTCGAGGAATGCTCTGTGTACCCCAAATCATTTCGAGATGAGAGCTGATTCCCTGGCTTAGGCTCAAGACGTATGCCAACTTTCCAGAAGCACCTCAGGAGGAGGCTTCTCTCAGCAATAGGTATGTGGGAGGGACCCCGAGTTTGCTGCCTCAAGGGGAATATACAGCGAGAAGCCCTAACTTGAAAGGAGGCCGGATGTCCTTGCAGTGGCTTGAATACAGGCTCGTCTTTCATCTCACAACATGAAGGGATGTCTGAATCCCCTGTGGAGACCTTAGAGAAAGCCCTAGGTCCCTGCCTCATTTTGACGGAATGCCTCACATCCCGCTGACACCTCGAGAGGCACGCGGAGTTCATTGCTTCAAAAGGTGAAGATGCCTGACTCCTCTTGAATACTGATAGGAATCCCAAAATCCCTGTGGCTACTGGAAAGGGTCCTTGGGTGACCTGCCTCACCTCGAGAAGCGTCCCTTTTGCCCTGCCAAGCCTCGAAGAGATTCCTGAGGTGTCCCTCGTTACTAGACAGGAGTCCTGACGTCACTGAAGAAACTCGTGTTTTGAAGGGCCATCCCTGCCGTAAGTCGAGAACATACCCCAGGTCCCCGCCGCAACTCGAGAAAAACCATGAGACATCCCCCTAGAGGCGAGATGAGGCCGCATTCCCCTGCAGTGCATGCAGAGCTATTCCGTGATCCCATTCAAACAAGTCAGGAGCTTCGACTTGCTTAATGGATCTCGAGACAGTCCCCAAGAACATTGTCACCAGTCTAGACGGACCCTGAGGTCACCCAGCAATGCAAAGCTGCTCCATGTGCCCCAAATCAACTCGAGATGAGGCCCGATTCCCCTGCATTGACTCCAGAGCCATTCCCCGTTCCCCATTCAACACGACCGGTGGCTCGACTTCCTTCAGGCAACTCCAGAGATGCCCCGAGAACACTGTCCCAAGTCTAGAGGAACACCAACTTCAGCACAGCAACTCGAGGAATGCTCTGTGTACCCCAAATCGTCTCGAGATGAGAGCTGATTCCCTGGCTTAGGCTCAAGACGTATGTCAACTTTCCAGAAGCACCTCAGGAGGAGACTTCTCAGCAATAGGTATGTGGGAGGGACTCCGAGTTTGCTGCCTCAAGGGGAATATACAGCGAGAAGCCCTAACTTGAAAGGAGGCCAGATTTCCTTGCAGTAGCTTGAATACAGGCTTGTCTTTCATCTCACAACATGAAGGGATGTCTGAATCCCCTGTGGAGACCTTAGAGGAAGCCCTAGGTCCCTGCCTCATTTTGACGGAATACCTCACATCCCCCTGACACTTCGAGAGGCACGCAGAGTTCATTGCTTCAAAAGGTGACGATGACTGACTCCTCTTGAATACTTATAGGAATCCCAAAATCCCTGTGGCTACTGGATAGGGTCCTTGGGTGCCCTGCCTCACCTCGTGAAGCGTCCCTTTTGCCCTGCCAAGCCTCGAAGAGATTGCTGAGGTGTCCCTCATTACTAGGCAGGAGTCCTGACGTCACTGGAGGAACTCGTGTTTTGAAGGGCCATCCCCGCCGTAAGTCGAGAACATACCCCAGGTCCCCGCCGCAACTCGAGAAAAACCGTGAGACTTCCCCCTAGAGGCGAGATGAGGCCCCATTCCCCTGCAGTGCATGCAGAGCTATTCCGTGATCCCATTCAAACAAGTCATGAGCTTCGACTTGCTTAATGGATCTCGAGACAGTCCCCAAGAACACTGTCACCAGTCTAGACGGACCCTGAAGTCACCTAGCAATGCAAAGCAGCTCCATGTGCCCCAAATCAACTCGAGATGAGGCCGGATTCCCCTGCATTGACTCCAGAGCCATTCCCCGTTCCCCATTCAACACGACCGGTGGCTCGACTTCCTTCAGGCAACTACAGAGATGCCCCGAGAACACTCTCTCAAGTCTAGAGGAACACCAACTTCAGCATAGCAACTCGAGGAATGCTCCGTGTACCCCAAATCATCTCGAGATGAGAGCTGATTTCCTGGCTTAGGCTCAAGACGTATGCCAACTTTCCAGAAGCACCTCAGGAGGAGGCTTCTCTCAGCAATAGTTATGTGGGAGGGACCCCGAGTTTGCTGCCTCAAGGAGAATACACAGGGAGAAGCCCTAATGTGAACGGAGGCCAGATTTCCTTGCAGTGGCTTGAATACAGGCTCGTCTATGGTCTGACAACATGAAGGGATGTCTGAATCCCCTGTGGAGACCTTAGAGGAAGCCCTAGGTCCCTGCCTCATTTTGACGGAATACCTCACATCCCCCTGACACTTCGAGAGGCACGCAGAGTTAATTGCTTCAAAAGGTGACGATGCCTGACTCCTCTTGAATACTTATAGGAATCCCAAAATCCCTGTGGCTACTGGAAAGGGTCCTTGGGTGCCCTGGCTCACCTCGAGAAGCGTCCCTTTTGCCCTGCCAAGCCTCGAAGAGATTGCTGAGGTGTCCCTCATTACTAGACAGGAGTCCTGACGTCACTGAAGAAACTCGTGTTTTGAAGGGCCATCCCCGCCGTAAGTCGAGAACATACCCCAGGTCCCCGCCGCAACTCGAGAAAAACCATGAGACTTCCCCCTAGAGGCGAGATGAGGCCCCATTCCCCTGCAGTGCATGCAGAGATATTCCGTGATCCCATTCAAACAAGTCAGGATCTTCGACTTGCTTAATGGATCTCGAGACAGTCCCCAAGAACACTGTCACCAGTCTAGACGGAACCTGAGGTCACCCCAGCAACGCAAAGCAGCTCCATGTGCCCCAAATCAACTCGAGATGAGGCCCGATTCCCCTGCATTGACTCCAGAGCCATTCCCCGTTCCCCGTTCAACACGACCAGTGGCTCGCCTTCCTTCAGGCAACTCCAGAGATGCCCCGAGAACACTGTCCCAAGTCTAGAGGAACACCAACTTCAGCACAGCAACTCGAGGAATGCTCTGTGTACCCCAAATCGTCTCGAGATGAGAGCTGATTCCCTGGCTTAGGCTCAAGACGTATGCCAACTTTCCAGAAGCACCTCAGGAGGAGGCTTCTCTCAGCAATAGTTATGTGGGAGGGACCCCGAGTTTGCTGCCTCAAGGGGAATACACAGGGAGAAGCCCTAATGTGAATGGAGGCCAGATTTCCTTGCAGTGGCTTGAATACAGGCTCGTCTTTGATCTGACAACATGAAGGGATGTCTGAATCCCCTGTGGAGTCCTTAGAGGAAGCCCTAGGTCCCTGCCTCATTTTGACGGAATACCTCACATCCCCCTGACACCTCGAGAGGCACGCAGAGTTCATTGCTTGAAAAGGTGACGAGGCCTGACTCCTCTTGAATACTTATAGGAATCCCAAAATCCCTGTGGCTAGTGGAAAGGGTCCTGGGGTGACCTGGCTCACCTCGAGAGGCGTCCCTTTTGCCCTGCCAAGCCTCGAAGAGATTGCTGAGGTGTCCCTCATTACTAGACAGGAGTCCTGACGTCACTGAAGAAACTCGTGTTTTGAAGGGCCATCCCCGCCGTAAGTCGAGAACATACCCCAGGTCCCGCCGCAACTCGAGAAAAACCATGAGACTTCCCCCTAGAGGCGAGATGAGGCCCCATTCCCCTGCAGTGCATGCAGAGCTATTCCGTGATCCCATTCAAACAAGTCAGGAGCTTCGACTTGCTTAATGGATCTCGAGACAGTCCCCAAGAACACTGTCACCAGTCTAGACGGACCCTGAGGTCACCCAGCAATGCAAGCAGCTCCATGTGCCCCAAATCAACTCGAGATGAGACCGGATTCCCCTGCATTGACTCCAGAGCCATTCCCTGTTCCCCATTCAACACGACCGGTGGCTCGACTTCCTTCAGGCAACTCCAAAGATGCCCCGAGAACACTGTCCCAAGTCTAGAGGACCACCAACTTCAGCACAGCAACTCGAGGAATGCTCTGTGTACCCCAAATCGTCTCGAGATGAGAGCTGATTCCCTGGCTTAGGCTCAAGACGTATGCCAACTTTCCAGAAGCACCTCAGGAGGAGGCTTCTCTCAGCAATAGGTATGTGGGAGGGACCCCGAGTTTGCTGCCTCAAGGGGAATATACAGCGAGAAGCCCTAACTTGAAAGGAGGCCGGATTTCCTTGCAGTGGCTTGAATACAGGCTCGTCTTTCATCTCACAACATGAAGGGATGTCTGAATCCCCTGTGGAGACCTTAGAGGAAGCCCTAGGTCCCTGCCTCATTTTGACGGAATCCTCATATCCCGCTGATACCTCGAGAGGCACGCGGAGTTCATTGCTTCAAAAAGTGACGATGCCTGACTCCTCTTGAATACTGATAGGAATCCCAAAATCCCTGTGGCTACTGGAAAGGGTCCTTGGGTGCCCTGCCTCACCTCGAGAAGCGTCCCTTTTGCCCTGCCAAGCCTCGAAGAGATTCCTGAGGTGTCCCTCGTTACTAGGCAGGAGTCCTGACGTCACTGGAGAAACTCGTGTTTTGAAGGGCCATCCCCGCCGTAAGACGAGAACATACCCTAGGTTCCCGCCGCAACTTGAGAAAAACCATGAGATTTCCCCCTAGAGGCGAGATGAGGCCCCATTCCCCTGCAGTGCATGCAGAGCTATTCCGTGATCCCATTCAAACAAGTCAGGAGCTTCGACTTGCTTAAGGGATCTCGAGACAGTCCCCAAGAACACTGTCACCAGTCTAGACGGAACCTGAGGTCACCCAGCAATGCAAAGCAGCTCCATGTGCCCCAAATCAACTCGAGATGAGGCCGGATTCCCCTGCATTGACTCCAGAGCCATTCCCCGTTCCCCATTCAACACGACCGGTGGCTCGACTTCCTTCAGGCAACTCCAGAGATGCCCCGAGAACACTGTCCCAAGCCTAGAGGAACACCAACTTCAGCACAGCAACTCGAGGAATGCTCCGTGTACCCCAAATCATCTCGAGATGAGAGCTGATTCCTTGGCTTAGCCTCAAGACGTATGCCAACTTTCCAGAAGCACCTCAGGAGGAGGCTTCTCTCAGCAATAGGTATGTGGGAGGGACCCCGAGTTTGCTTCCTCAAGGAGAATACACAGGGAGAAGCCCTAATATGAACGGAGGCCAGATTTCCTTGCAGTGGCTTGAATACAGGCTCGTCTTTGGTCTGACAACATGAAGGGATGTCTGAATCCCCTGTGGAGACCTTAGAGGAAGCCCTAGGTCCCTGCCTCATTTTGACGGAATACCTCACATCCCCCTGACACTTCGAGAGGCACGCAGAGTTCATTGCTTGAAAAGGTGACGATGCCTGACTCCTCTTGAATACTGATAGGAATCCCAAAATCCCTGTGGCTACTGGAAAGGGTCCTTGGGTGCCCTGGCTCACCTCGAGAAGCGTCCCTTTTGCCCTGCCAAGCCTCGACGAGATTGCTGAGGTGTCCCTCATTACTAGACAGGAGTCCTGACGTCACTGAAGAAACTCATGTTTTGAAGGGCCATCTACGCCGTAAGTCGAGAACATACCCCAGGTCCCCGCCGCAACTCGAGAAAAACCATGAGACTTCCCCCTAGAGGCGAGATGAGGCCCCATTCCCCTGCAGTGCATGCAGAGCTATTCCGTGATCCCATTCTAACAAGTCAGGAGCTTCAACTTGCTTAATGGATCTCGAGACAGTCCCCAAGAACACTGTCACCAGTCTAGACGGACCCTGAGGTCACCCCAGCAACGCAAAGCACCTGCATGTGCCCCAAATCAACTCGAGATTAGGCCCGATTCCCCTGCATTGACTCCAGAGCCATTCCCCGTTCCCCATTCAACACGACCGGTGGCTCGACTTCCTTCAGGCAACTCCAAGGATTCCCCGAGAACACTGTCCCAAGTCTAGAGGAACACCAACTTCAGCACAGCAACTCGAGGAATGCTCCGTGTACCCCAAATCATCTCGAGATGAGAGCTGATTCCCTGGCTTAGGCTCAAGACGTATGCCAACTTTCCAGAAGCACCTCAGGAGGAGGCTTCTCTCAGCAATAGGTATGTGGGAGGGACCCCGAGTTTGCTGCCTCAAGGGGAATACACAGGGAGAAGCCCTAATGTGAACGGAGGCCAGATTTCCTTGCAGTGGGTTGAATACAGGCTCGTCTTTGATCTGAAAACATGAAGGGATGTCTGAATCCCCCTGTGGAGACCTTAGAGTAAGCCCTAGGTCCCTGCCTCATTTTGACGGAATACCTCACATCCCCCTGAAATCTCAAGAGGCACGCAGAGTTCATTGCTTCAAAAGGTGACGATGCCTGACTCCTCTTGAATACTTATAGGAATCCCAAAATCCCTGTTGCTACTGGAAAGGGTCCTTGGGTGCCCTGGCTCACTTCGAGAAGCATCCCTTTTGCCCTGCCACGCCTCGAAGAGATTGCTGAGGTGTCCCTCGTTACTAGACAGGAGTCCTGACATCACTGAAGAAACTCGTGTTTTGAAGGGCCATCCCCGCCGTAAGTCGAGAACATACCCCAGGTCCCCGCCGCAACTCGAGAAAAACCATGAGACTTCCCCCTAGAGGCGAGATGAGGCCCCATTCCCCTGCAGTGCATGCAGAGCTATTCCGTGATCCCATTCAAACAAGTCAGGAGCTTCGACTTGCTTAATGGATCTCGAGACAGTCCCCAAGAACACTGGCACCAGTCTAGACGGACCCTGAGGTCACCAGAGCAACGCAAAGCAGCTCCATGTGCCCCAAATCAACTCGAGATGAGGCCCGATTCCACTGCATTGACCCCAGAGCCATTCCCCGTTCCCCATTCAACACGACCGGTGGCTCGCCTTCCTTCAGGCAACTCCAGAGATGCCCCGAGAACACTGTACCAAGTCGAGAGGAACACCAACTTCAGCACAGCAACTCGAGGAATGCTCTGTGTACCACAAATCGTCTAGAGATGAGAGCTGATTCCCTGGCTTAGGCTCAAGACGTATGCCAAATTTCCAGAAGCACCTCAGGAGGAGGCTTCTCAGCAACATGTATGTGGGAGAGACCCCGAGTTTGCTGCCTCAAGGGGAATATACATCGAGAAGCCCTAACTTGAAAGGAGGCCGGATTTCCTTGCAGTAGCTTGAATACAGGCTTGTCTTTCATCTCACAACATGAAGGGATGTCTGAATCCCCTGTGGAGACCTTAGAGAAAGCCCTAGGTCCATGCCTCATTTTGACGGAATGCCTCACATCCCGCTGACACCTCGAGAGGCACGCGGAGTTCATTGCTTCAAAAGGTGACGATGCCTGACTCCTCTTGAATACTGATAGGAATCCCCAAATCCCTGTGGCTACTGGAAAGGGTCCTTGGGTGCCCTGCCTCACCTCGAGAAGCGTCCCTTTTTTCCCTGCCAAGCCTCGAAGAGATTCCTGAGGTGTCCCTCGTTACTAGGCAGGAGTCCTGACGTCACTGGAAAAACTCGTGTTTTGAAGGGCCATCCCCGCCGTAAGTCGAGAACATACCCCAGGTCCCCGCCGCAACTCGAGAAAAACTATGAGACTTCCCCCTAGAGGCGAGATGAGGCCCCATTCCCCTGCAGTGCATGCAGAGCTATTCCGTGATCCCATTCAAACAAGTCAGGAGCTTCGACTTGCTTAATGGATCTCGAGACAGTCCCCAAGAACACTGTCACCAGTCTAGACGGACCCTGAGGTCACCCAGCAATGCAAAGCAGCTCCATGTGCCCCAAATCAACTCGAGATGAGGCCGGATTCCCCTGCATTGACCCCAGAGCCATTCCCCGTTCCCCATTCAACACGACCGGTGGCTCGACTTCCTTCAGGCAACTCCAAAGATGCCCCGAGAACACTGTCCCAAGTGTAGAGGACCACCAACTTCAGGACAGCAACTCGAGGAATGCTCTGTGTACCCCAAATCGTCTCGAGATGAGAGCTGATTCCCTGGCTTAGGCTCAAGACTTATGCCAACTTTCCAGAAGCACCTCAGGAGGAGGCTTCTCTCAGCAATAGGTATGTGGGAGGGACCCCGAGTTTGCTGTCTCAAGGGGAATATACAGCGAGAAGCCCTAACTTGAAAGGAGGCCGGATATCCTTGCAGTGGCTTGAATACAGGCTCGTCTTTCATCTCACAACATGAAGGGATGTCTGAATCCCCTGTGGAGACCTTAGAGGAAGCCCTAGGTCCCTGCCTCATTTTGACGGAATCCTCACATCCCGCTGACACCTCGAGATGCACGCAGAGTTCATTGCTTCAAAAATTGACGATGCCTGACTCCTCTTGAATACTGATAGGAATCCCAAAATCCCTGTGGCTACTGGAAAGGGTCCTTGGGTGCCCTGCCTCACCTGGAGAAGCGTCCCTTTTGCCCTGCCAAGCCTCGAAGAGTTTGCTGAGGTGTCCCTCGTTACTAGGCAGGAGTCCTGACGTCACTGGAGAAACTCGTGTTTTGAAGGGCCATCCCCGCCGTAAGTCGAGAACATACCCCAGGTCCCCGCCGCAACTCGAGAAAAACCGTGAGACTTCCCCCTAGAGGCGAGATGAGGCCCCATTCCCCAGCAGTGCATGCAGAGCTATTCCGTGATCCCATTCAAACAAGTCAGGAGCTTCGACTTGCTTAATGGATCTCGAGACAGTCCCCAAGAACACTGTCACCAGTCTAGACGGACCCTGAGGTCACCCAGCAATGCAAAGCAGCTCCATGTGCCCCAAATCAACTCGAGATGTGGCCCGATTCCCCTGCATTGACTACAGAGCCATTCCCCGTTCCCCATTCAACACGACCGGTGGCTCGACTTCCTTCAGGCAACTCCAGAGATGCCCCGAGAACACTGTCCCAAGTCTAGAGGAACACCAACTTCAGCACAGCAACTCGATGAATGCTCCGTGTACCCCAAATCATCTCGAGATGAGAGCTGATTCCCTGGCTTAGCCTCAAGACGTATGCCAACTTTCCAGAAGCACCTCAGGAGGAGGCTTCTCTCAGCAATAGGTATGTGGGAGGGACCCCGAGTTTGCTGCCTCAAGGAGAATACACAGGGTGAAGCCCTAATGTGAACGGAGGCCAGATTTCCTTGCAGTGGCTTGAATACAGGCTCGTCTTTGGTCTGACAACATGAAGGGATGTCTGAATCCCCTGTGGAGACCTTAGAGGAAGCCCTAGGTCCCTGCCTCATTTTGACGGAATACCTCACATCCCCCTGACACTTCGAGAGGCACGCAGAGTTCATTGCTTCAAAAGATGACGATGCCTGACTCCTCTTGAATACTTATAGGAATCCCAAAATCCCTGTGGCTACTGGAAAGGGTCCTTGGGTGCCCTGGCTCACCTCGAGAAGCGTCCCTTTTGCCCTGCCAAGCCTCGAAGAGATTGCTGAGGTGTCCTTCATTACTAGACAGGAGTCCTGACGTCACTGAAGAAACTCGTGTTTTGAAGGGCCATCCCCGCCGTAAGTCGAGAACATACCCCAGGTCCCCGCCGCAACTCGAGAAAAACCATGAGACTTCCCCCTAGAGGCGAGATGAGGCCCCATTCCACTGCAGTGCATGCAGAGCTATTCCGTGATTCCATTCAAACAGGTCAGGAGCTTCGACTTGCTTAATGGATCTCGAGACAGTCCCCAAGAACACTGTCACCAGTCTAGACGGACCCTGAGGTCACCCCAGCAACGCAAAGCAGCTCCATGTGCCCCAAATCAACTCGAGATGAGGCCCGATTCCCCTGCATTGACTCCAGAGCTATTCCCCGTTCCCCGTTCAACACGACCGGTGGCTCGCCTTCCTTCAGGCAACTCCAGAGATGCCCCGAGAACACTTTCCCAAGTCTAGAGGAACACCAACTTCAGCACAGCAACTCGAGGAATGCTCTGTGTACCCCAAATCGTCTCGAGATGAGAGCTGATTCCCTGGCTTAGGCTCAAGACGTATGCCAACTTTCCAGAAGCATCTCAGGAGGAGGCTTCTCTCAGCAATAGGTATGTGGGAGGGACCCCGAGTTTGCTGCCTCAAGGGGAATACACAGGGGGAAGCCCTAATGTGAACGGAGGCCAGATTTCCTTGCAGTGGCTTGAATACAGGCTCGTCTTTGATCTGCCAACATGAAGGGATGTCTGAATCCCCTGTGGAGACCTTAGAGAAAGCCCTAGGTCCCTGCCTCATTTTGACGGAATCCTCACATCCCGCTGACACCTCGAGAGGCACGCGGAGTTCATTGCTTCAAAAGGTGACGATGCCTGATTCCTCTTGAATACTGATAGGAATCCCAAAATCCCTGTGGCTACTGGAAAGGGTCCTTGGGTGCCCTGCCTCACCTCGAGAAGCGTCCCTTTTGCCCTGCCAAGCCTCGAAGAGATTGCTGAGGTGTCCCTCGTTACTAGGCAGGAGTCCTGACGTCACTGGAGAAACTCGTGTTTTGAAGGGCCATCCCTGCCGTAAGTCGAGAACATACCCCAGGTCCCCGCCGCAACTCGAGAAAAACCGTGAGACTTCCCCCTAGAGGCGAGATGAGGCCCCATTCCCCTGCAGTGCATGCAGAGCTATTCCGTGATCCCATTCAAACAAGTCAGGAGCTTCGACTTGCTTAATGGATCTCGAGACAGTCCCCAAGAACACTGTCACCAGTCTAGACGGACCCTGAGGTCACCCAGCAATGCAAAGCAGCTCCATGTGCCCCAAATCAACTCGAGATGAGGCCGGATTCCCCTGCATTGACTCCAGAGCCATTCCCCGTTCCCCATTCAACACGACCGGTGCCTCGACTTCCTTCAGGCAACTCCAGAGATGCCCCGAGAACACTCTCCCAAGTCTAGAGGAACACCAACTTCAGCACAGCAAATCGAGGTATGCTCCGTGTACCCCAAATCATCTCGAGATGAGTGCTGATTTCCTGGCTTAGGCTCAAGACGTATGCCAACTTTCCAGAAGCACCTCAGGAGGAGGCTTCTCTCAGCAATAGGTATGTGGGAGGGACCCCGAGTTTGCTGCCTCAAGGAGAATACACAGGGAGAAGCCCTAATGTGAACGGAGGCCAGATTTCCTTGCAGTGGCTTGAATAAAGGCTCGTCTTTCGTCTGACAACATGAAGGGATGTCTGAATCACCTGTGGAGAACTTAGAGGAAGCCCTAGGTCCCTGCCTCATTTTGATGGAATACCTCACATCCCCCTGACACTTCGAGAGGCACGCAGAGTTCATTGCTTCAAAAGGTGACGATGCCTGACTCCTCTTGAATACTTAAAGGAATCCCAAAATCCCTGTGGCTACTGGAAAGGGTCCTTGGGTGCCCTGCCTCACCTCGAGAAGCGTCCCTTTTGCCCTGCCAAGCCTCGAAGAGATTCCTGATGTGTCCCTCGTTACTAGGCAGGAGTCCTGACGTCACTGGAGAAACTCGTGTTTTGAAGGGCCATCCCCGCCGTAAGTCGAGAACATACCCCAGGTCCCCGCCGCAACTCGAGAAAAACCATGAGACTTCCCCCTAGAGGCGAGATGAGGCCCCATTCCCCTGCAGTGCATGCAGAGCTATTCCGTGATCCCATTCAAACAAGTCAGGAGCTTCGACTTGCTTAATGGATCTCGAGACAGTCCCCAAGAACACTGTCACCAGTCTAGACGGACCCTGAGGTCACCCAGCAGTGCAAAGCAGCTCCATGTGCCCCAAGTCAACTCGAGATGAGGCCGGATTTCCCTGCATTGACTCCAGAGCCATTCCCCGTTCCCCATTCAACACGACCGGTGGCTCGACTTCATTCAGGCAACTCCAGAGGTGCCCCGAGAACACTGTCCCAAGTCTAAAGGACCACCAACTTCAGCACAGCAACACGAGGAATGCTCTGTGTACCCCAAATCGTCTCGAGATGAGAGCTGATTCCCTGGCTTAGGCTCAAGACGTATGCCAACTTTCCAGAAGCACCTCAGGAGGAGGCTTCTCTCAGCAGTAGGTATGTGGGAGGGACCCCGAGTTTGCTGCCTCAAGGGGAATATACAGCGAGAAGCCCTAACTTGAAAGGAGGCCGGATTTCCTTGCAGTGGCTTGAATACAGGCTCGTCTTTCATCTCACAACATGAAGGGATGTCTGAATCCCCTGTGGAGACCTTAGAGGAAGCCCTAGGTCCCTGCCTCATTTTGACGGAATCCTCACATCCCGCTGACACCTCGAGAGGCACGCGGAGTTCATTGCTTTAAAAGGTGACGATGCCTGACTCCTCTTGAATACTGATAGGAATCCCAAAATCCCTGTGGCTACTGGAAAGGGTCCTTGGGTGCCCTGCCTCACCTCGAGAAGCGTCCCTTTTGCCCTTCCAAGCCTCGAAGAGATTGCTGAGGTGTCCCTCGTTACTAGGCAGGAGTCCTGACGTCACTGGAGAAACTCGTGTTTTGAAGGGCCATCCCCGCCGTAAGTCGAGAACATACCCCAGGTCCCCGCCGCAACTCGAGAAAAAGCGTGAGACTTTCCCCTAGAGGCGAGATGAGGCCCCATTCCCCTGCAGTGCATGCAGAGCTATTCCGTGATCCCATTCAAACAAGTCAGGAGCTTCGACTTGCTTAATGGATCTCGAGACAGTCCCCAAGAACACTGTCACCAGTCTAGACGGACCCTGAGGTCACCCAGCAATGCAAAGCTGCTCCATGTGCCCCAAATCAACTCGAGATGAGGCCGGATTCCCCTGCATTGACTCCAGAGCCATTCCCCGTTCCCCATTCAACACGACCGGTGGCTCGACTTCCTTCAGGCAACTCCAGAGATGCCCCGAGAACACTCTCCCAAGTCTAGAGGAACACCAACTTCAGCACAGCAACTCGAGGTATGCTCCGTGTACCCCAAATCATCTCGAGATGAGTGCTGATTTCCTGGCTTAGGCTCAAGACGTATGCCAACTTTCCAGAAGCACCTCAGGAGGAGGCTTCTCTCAGCAATAGGTATGTGGGAGGGACCCCGAGTTTGCTGCCTCAAGGAGAATACACAGGGAGAAGCCCTAATGTGAACGGAGGCCAGATTTCCTTGCAGTGGCTTGAATACAGGCTCGTCTTTGGTCTGACAACATGAAGGGATGTCTGAATCCCCTGTGGAGACCTTAGAGGAAGCCCTAGGTCCCTGCCTCATTTTGACGGAATACCTCACATCCCCCTGACACTTCGAGAGGCACGAAGAGTTCATTGCTTCAAAAGGTGACGATGCCTGACTCCTCTTGAATACTTATAGGAATCCCAAAATCCCTGTGGCTACTGGAAAGGGTCCTTGGGTGCCCTGGCTCACCTCGAGAAGCGTCCCTTTTGCCCTGCCAAGCCTCGAAGAGATTGCTGAGGTGTCCTCATTACTAGAGAGGAGTCCTAACGTCACTGAAGAAACTCGTGTTTTGAAGGGCCATCCCCGCCGTAAGTCGAGAACATACCCCAGGTCCCCGCCGCAACTCGAGAAAAACCATGAGACTTCCCCCTAGAGGCGAGATGAGGCCCCATTCCCCTGCAGTGCATGCAGAGATATTCCGTGATCCCATTCAAACAAGTCAGGAGCTTCGACTTGCTTAATGGATCTCGAGACAGTCCCCAAGAACACTGTCACCAGTCTAGACGGACCCTGAGGTCACCCCAGCAACGCAAAGCAGCTCCATGTGCCCCAAATCAACTCGAGATGAGGCCGGATTCCCCTGCATTGACTCCAGAGCCATTCCCCGTTCCCCGTTCAACACGACCGGTGGCTCGCCTTCCTTCAGGCAACTCCAGAGATGCCCCGAGAACACTGTCCCAAGTCTAGAGGAACACCAACTTCAGCACAGCAACTCGAGGAATGCTCTGTGTACCCCAAATCGTCTCGAGATGAGAGCTGATTCCCTGGCTTAGGCTCAAGACGTATGCCAACTTTCCAGAAGCACCTCAGGAGGAGGCTTCTCTCAGCAATAGGTATGTGGGAGGGACCCCGAGTTTGCTGCCTCAAGGGGAATACACAGGGAGAAGCCCTAATGTGAACGGAGGCCAGATTTCCTTGCAGTGGCTTGAATACAGGCTCGTCTTTGATCTGACAACATGAAGGGATGTCTGAATCCCCTGTGGAGTCCTTAGAGGAAGCCCTAGGTCCCTGCCTCATTTTGACGGAATACCTCACATCCCCCTGACACCTCGAGAGGCATGCAGAGTTCATTGCTTGAAAAGGTGACGATGCCTGACTCCTCTTGAATACTTATAGGAATCCCAAAAACCCTGTGGCTACTGGAAAGGGTCCTTGGGTGCCCAGGCTCACCTCGAGAGGCGTCCCTTTTGCCCTGCCAAGCCTCGAAGAGATTGCTGAGGTGTCCCTCCTTACTAGACAGGAGTACTGAAGTCACTGAAGAAACTCGTGTTTTGAAGGGCCATCCCCGCCGTAAGTCGAGAACATACCCCAGGTCCCCGCCGCAACTCGGAAAAAAACCATGAGACTTCCCCCTAGAGGCGAGATGAGGCCCCATTCCCCTGCAGTGCATGCAGAGCTATTCCATGATCCTATTCAAACAAGTCGGGAGCTTCGACTTGCTTAATGGATCTCGAGACAGTCCCCAAGAACACTGTCACCAGTCTAGACGGACCCTGAGGTCACCCAGCAATGCAAAGCAGCTCCATGTGCCCCAAATCAACTCGAGATGAGGCCGGAATCCCCTGCATGGACTCCAGAGCCATTCCCCGTTCCCCATTCAACACGACCGGTGGCTCGACTTCCTTCAGGCAACTCCAGAGATGCCCCGAGAACACTCTCCCAAGTCTAGAGGAACACCAACTTCAGCACAGCAACTCGAGGAATGCTCCGTGTACCCCAAATCATGTCGAGATGAGAGCTGATTTCCTGGCTTAGGCTCAAGACGTATGCCAACTTTCCAGAAGCACCTCAGGAGGAGGCTTCTCTCAGCAATAGGTATGTGGGAGGGACCCCGAGTTTGTTGCCTCAAGGGGAATATACAGCGAGAAGCCCTAACTTGAAAGGAGGCCGGAATTCCTTGCAGTGGCTTGAATACAGGCTCGTCTTTCATCTCACAACATGAAGGGATGTCTGAATCCCCTGTGGAGACCTTAGAGAAAGCCCTAGGTCCCTGCCTCATTTTGACGGAATACGTCACATCCCGCTGACACCTCGAGAGGCACGCGGAGTTCATTGCTTCAAAAGGTGACGATGCCTGACTCCTCTTGAATACTGATAGGAATCCCAAAATCCCTGTGGCTACTGAAAAGGGTCCTTGGGTGCCCTGCCTCACCTCGAGAAGCGTCCCTTTTGCCCTGCCAAGACTCGAAGAGATTCCTGAGGTGTCCCTCGTTACTAGACAGGAGTCCTGACGTCACTGGAGAAACTCGTGTTTTGAAGGGCCATCCCCGCCGTAAGTCGAGAACATACCCCAGGTCGCCGCCGCAACTCGAGAAAAACCATGAGACTTCCCCCTAGAGGCGAGATGAGGCCCCATTCCCCTGCAGTGCATGCAGAGCTATTCCATGATCCCATTCAAACAAGTCAGGAGCTTCGACTTGCTTAATGGATCTCGAGACAGTCCGCAAGAACACTGCCACCAGTCTAGATGGACCCTGAGGTCACCCCAGCAACGCAAAGCTGCTCCATGTGCCCCAAATCAACTCGAGATGAGGCCCGATTCCCCTGCATTGACTCCAGAGCCATTCCCCGTTCCCCATTCAACACGACCGGTGGCTCGACTTCCTTCAGGCAACTCCAGAGATGCCCCGAGAACACTGTCCCAAGTCTAGAGGACCACCAACTTCAGCACAGCAACTCGAGGAATGCTCTGTGTACCCCAAATCGTCTCGAGATGAGAGCTGATTCCCTGGCTTAGGTTCAAGACGTATGCCAACTTTCCAGAAGCACCTCAGGAGGAGGCTTCTCTCAGCAATAGGTATGTGGGAGGGACCCCGAGTTTGCTGCCTCAAGGGGAATAAACAGCGAGAAGCCCTAACTTGAAAGGAGGCCGGATTTCCTTGCAGTGGCTTGAATACAGGCTCGTCTTTCATCTCAGAACATGAAGGGATGTCTGAATCCCCTGTGGAGACCTTAGAGGAAGCCCTAGGTCCCTGCCTCATTTTGACGGAATACCTCACATCCCCCTGACACTTCGAGAGGCACGCAGAGTTCATTGCTTCAAAAGGTGACGATGCCTGACTCCTCTTGAATACTTATAGGAATCCCAAAATCCCTGTGGCTACTGGAAAGGGTCCTTGGGTGCCCTGGCTCACCTCGAGAAGCGTCCCTTTTGCCCTGCCAAGCCTCGAAGAGATTGCTGAGGTGTCCCTCATTACTAGACAGGAGTCCTGACGTCACTGAAGAAACTCGTGTTTTGAAGGGCCATCCCCGCCGTAAGTCGAGAACATACCCCAGGTCCCCGCCGCAACTCGAGAAAAACCATGAGACTTCCCCCTAGAGGCGAGATGAGGCCCCATTCCCCTGCAGTGCATGCAGAGCTATTCCGTGATCCTATTCAAACAAGTCAGGAGCTTCGACTTGCTTAATGGATCTCGAGACAGTCCCCAAGAACACTGTCACCAGTCTAGACGGACCCTGAGGTCACCCAGCAATGCAAAGCAGCTCCATGTGCCCCAAATCAACTAGAGATGAGACCGGATTCCCCTGCATTGACTCCAGAGCCATTCCCTGTTCCCCATTCAACACGACCGGTGGCTCGACTTCCTTCAGGCAACTCCAGAGATGCCCCGAGAACACTGTCCCAAGTCTAGAGGACCACCAACTTCAGCACAGCAACTCGAGGAATGCTCTGTGTACCCCAAATCGTCTCGAGATGAGAGCTGATTCCCTGGCTTAGGCTCAAGACGTATGCCAACTTTCCAGAAGCACCTCAGGAGGAGGCTTCTCTCAGCAATAGGTATGTGGGAGGGACCCCGAGTTTGCTGCCTCAAGGGGAATATACAGCGAGAAGCCCTAACTTGAAAGGAGGCCGGATTTCCTTGCAGTGGCTTGAATACAGGCTCGTCTTTCATCTCACAACATGAAGGGATGTCTGAATCCCCTGTGGAGACCTTAGAGGAAGCCCTAGGTCCCTGCCTCATTTTGACGGAATCCTCATATCCCGCTGATACCTCGAGAGGCACGCGGAGTTCATTGCTTCAAAAAGTGACGATGCCTGACTCCTCTTTAATACTGATAGGAATCCCAAAATCCCTGTGGCTACTGGAAAGGGTCCTTGGGTGCCCTGCCTCACCTCGAGAAGCGTCCCTTTTGCCCTGCCAAGCCTCGAAGAGATTCCTGAGGTGTCCCTCGTTACTAGGCAGGAGTCCTGACGTCACTGGAGAAACTCGTGTTTTGAAGGGCCATCCCCGCCGTAAGACGAGAACATACCCTAGGTTCCCGCCGCAACTTGAGAAAAACCATGAGATTTCCCCCTAGAGGCGAGATGAGGCCCCATTCCCCTGCAGTGCATGCAGAGCTATTCCGTGATCCCATTCAAACAAGTCAGGAGCTTCGACTTGCTTAAGGGATCTCGAGACAGTCCCCAAGAACACTGTCACCAGTCTAGACGGAACCTGAGGTCACCCAGCAATGCAAAGCAGCTCCATGTGCCCCAAATCAACTCGAGATGAAGCCTGATTCCCCTGCATTGACTCCAGAGCCATTCCCCGTTCCCCATTCAACACGACCGGTGGCTCGACTTCCTTCAGGCAACTCCAGAGATGCCCCGAGAACACTGTCCCAAGCCTAGAGGAACACCAACTTCAGCACAGCAACTCGAGGAATGCTCCGTGTACCCCAAATCATCTCGAGATGAGAGCTGATTCCTTGGCTTAGCCTCAAGACGTATGCCAACTTTCCTGAAGCACCTCAGGAGGAGGCTTCTCTCAGCAATAGGTATGTGGGAGGGACCCCGAGTTTGCTTCCTCAAGGAGAATACACAGGGAGAAGCCCTAATATGAACGGAGGCCAGATTTCCTTGCAGTGGCTTGAATACAGGCTCGCCTTTGGTCTGACAACATGAAGGGATGTCTGAATCCCCTGTGGAGACCTTAGAGGAAGCCCTAGGTCCCTGCCTCATTTTGACGGAATACCTCACATCCCCCTGACACTTCGAGAGGCACGCAGAGTTCATTGCTTGAAAAGGTGACGATGCCTGACTCCTCTTGAATACTGATAGGAATCCCAAAATCCCTGTGGCTACTGGAAAGGGTCCTTGGGTGCCCTGCCTCACCTCGAGAAGCGTCCCTTTTGCCCTGCCAAGCCTCGAAGAGATTGCTGAGGTGTCCCTCGTTACTAGGCAGGAGTCCTGACGTCACTGGAGAAACTCGTGTTTTGAAGGGCCATCCCCGCCGTAAGTCAAGAACATACCCCAGGTCCCCGCCGCAACTCGAGAAAAACCATGAGACTTCCCCCTAGAGGCGAGATGAGGCCCCATTCCCCTGCAGTGCATGCAGAGCTATTCCGTGATCCCATTCTAACAAGTCAGGAGCTTCAACTTGCTTAATGGATCTCGAGACAGTCCCCAAGAACACTGTCACCAGTCTAGACGGACCCTGAGGTCACCCCAGCAACGCAAAGCACCTGCATGTGCCCCAAATCAACTCGAGATTAGGCCCGATTCCCCTGCATTGACTCCAGAGCCATTCCCCGTTCCCCATTCAACACGACCGGTGGCTCGACTTCCTTCAGGCAACTCCAAGGATTCCCCGAGAACACTGTCCCAAGTCTAGAGGAACACCAACTTCAGCACAGCAACTCGAGGAATGCTCCGTGTACCCCAAATCATCTCGAGATGAGAGCTGATTCCCTGGCTTAGGCTCAAGACGTATGCCAACTTTCCAGAAGCACCTCAGGAGGAGGCTTCTCTCAGCAATAGGTATGTGGGAGGGACCCCGAGTTTGCTGCCTCAAGGGGAATACACAGGGAGAAGCCCTATTGTGAACGGAGGCCAGATTTCCTTGCAGTGGGTTGAATACAGGCTCGTCTTTGATCTGAAAACATGAAGGGATGTCTGAATCCCCCTGTGGAGACCTTAGAGTAAGCCCTAGGTCCCTGCCTCATTTTGACGGAATACCTCACATCCCCCTGAAATCTCAAGAGGCACGCAGAGTTCATTGCTTCAAAAGGTGACGATGCCTGACTCCTCTTGAATACTTATAGGAATCCCAAAATCCCTGTTGCTACTGGAAAGGGTCCTTGGGTGCCCTGGCTCACTTCGAGAAGCATCCCTTTTGCCCTGCCACGCCTCGAAGAGATTGCTGAGGTGTCCCTCGTTACTAGACAGGAGTCCTGACATCACTGAAGAAACTCGTGTTTTGAAGGGCCATCCCCGCCGTAAGTCGAGAACATACCCCAGGTCCCCGCCGCAACTCGAGAAAAACCATGAGACTTCCCCCTAGAGGCGAGATGAGGCCCCATTCCCCTGCAGTGCATGCAGAGCTATTCCGTGATCCCATTCAAACAAGTCAGGAGCTTCGACTTGCTTAATGGATCTCGAGACAGTCCCCAAGAACACTGGCACCAGTCTAGACGGACCCTGAGGTAACCAGAGCAACGCAAAGCAGCTCCATGTGCCCCAAATCAACTCGAGATGAGGCCCGATTCCCCTGCATTGACCCCAGAGCCATTCCCCGTTCCCCATTCAACACGACCGGTGGCTCGACTTCTTTCAGGCAACTCCAAAGATGCCCCGAGAACACTGTCCCAAGTCTAGAGGAACACCAACTTCAGCACAGCAACTCGAGGAATGCTCTGTGTACCCCAAATCGTCTCGAGATGAGAGCTGATTCCCTGGCTTAGGCTCAAGACTTATGCCAACTTTCCAGAAGCACCTCAGGAGGAGGCTTCTCAGCAACAGGTATGTGGGAGAGACTCCGAGTTTGCTGCCTCAAGGGGAATATACATCGAGAAGCCCTAACTTGAAAGGAGGCCGGATTTCCTTGCAGTAGCTTGAATACAGGCTTTTCTTTCATCTCAAAACATGAAGGGATGTCTGAATCCCCTGTGGAGACCTTAGAGAAAGCCCTAGGTCCCTGCCTCATTTTGACGGAATGCCTCACATCCCGCTGACACCTCGAGAGGCACGCGGAGTTCATTGCTTCAAAAGGTGACGATGCCTGACTCCTCTTGAATACTGATAGGAATCCCCAAATCCCTGTGGCTACTGGAAAGGGTCCTTGGGTGCCCTGCCTCACCTCGAGAAGCGTCCCTTTTGCCCTGCCAAGCCTCGAAGAGATTGCTGAGGTGTCCCTCGTTACTAGGCAGGAGTCCTGACGTCACTGGAGAAACTCGTGTTTTGAAGGACCATCCCCGCCGTAAGTCGAGAACATACCCCAGGTCCCCGCCGCAACTCGAGAAAAACCATGAGACTTCCCCCTAGAGGCGAGATGAGGCCCCATTCCCCTGCAGTGCATGCAGAGCTATTCCGTGATCCCATTCAAACAAGTCAGGAGCTTCGACTTGCTTAATGGATCTTGAGACAGTCCCCAAGAACACTGTCACCAGTCTAGACGGACCCTGAGGTCACCCAGCAATGCAAAGCAGCTCCATGTGCCCCAAATCAACTCGAGATGAGGCCGGATTCCCCTGCATTGACTCCAGAGTCATTCCCCGTTCCTCGTTCAACACGAACGGAGGCTCGCCTTCCTTCAGGCAACTCCAGAGATGCCCCGAGAACACTGTCCCAAGTCTAGAGGAACACCAACTTCAGCACAGCAACTCGAGGAATGCTCCGTGTACCCCAAATCATCTCGAGATGAGAGCTGATTCCCTGGCTTAGCCTCAAGACGTATGCCAACTTTCCAGAAGCACCTCAGGAGGAGGCTTCTCTCAGCAATAGGTATGTGGGAGGGACCCCGATTTTGCTGCCTCAAGGAGAATACACAGGAGAAGCCCTAATGTGAACGGAGGCCAGATTTCCTTGCAGTGGCTTGAATACAGGCTCGTCTTTGGTCTGACAACATGAAGGGATGTCTGAATCCCCTGTGGAGACCTTAGAGGAAGCCCTAGGTCCCTGCCTCATTTTGACGGAATACCTCACATCCCCCTGACACTTCGAGAGGCACGCAGAGTTCATTGCTTCAAAAGATGACGATGCCTGACTCCTCTTGAATACTTATAGGAATCCCAAAATCCCTGTGGCTCCTGGAAAGGGTCCTTGGGTGCCCTGGCTCACCTCGAGAAGCGTCCCTTTTGCCCTGCCAAGCCTCGAAGAGATTGCTGAGGTGTACCTCATTACTAGACAGGAGTCCTGACGTCACTGAAGAAACTCGTGTTTTGAAGGGCCATCCCCGCCGTAAGTCGAGAACATACCCCAGGTCCCCGCCGCAACTCGAGAAAAACCATGAGACTTCCCCCTAGAGGCGAGATGAGGCCCCATTCCCCTGCAGTGCATGCAGAGATATTCCGTGATCCCATTCAAACAAGTCAGGAGCTTCGACTTGCTTAATGGATCTCGAGACAGTCCCCAAGAACACTGTCACCAGTCTAGACGGACCCTGAGGTCACCCCAGCAACGCAAAGCAGCTCCATGTGCCCCAAATCAACTCGAGATGAGGCCCGATTCCCCTGCATTGACTCCAGAGCTATTCCCCGTTCCCCGTTCAACACGACCGGTGGCTCGCCTTCCTTCAGGCAACTCCAGAGATGCCCCGAGAACACTGTCCCAAGTCTAGAGGAACACCAACTTCAGCACAGCAACTCGAGGAATGCTCTGTGTACCCCAAATCGTCTCGAGATGAGAGCTGATTCCCTGGATTAGGCTCAAGACGTATGCCAACTTTCCAGAAGCACCTCACGAGGAGGCTTCTCTCAGCAATAGGTATGTGGGAGGGACCCCGAGTTTGCTGCCTCAAGGGGAATACACAGGGAGAAGCCCTAATGTGAACGGAGGCCAGATTTCCTTGCAGTGGCTTGAATACAGGCTCGTCTTTCATCTCACAACATGAAGGGATGTCTGAATCCCCTGTGGAGTCCTTAGAGGAAGCCCTAGGTCCCTGCCTCATTTTGACGGAATACCTCACATCCCCCTGACACCTCGAGAGGCACGCGGAGTCATTGCTTGAAAAGGTGACGATGCCTGACTCCTCTTGAATACTGATAGGAATCCGAAAATCCCTGTGGCTACTGGAAAGGGTCCTTGGGTGCCCTGCCTCACCTCGAGAAGCGTCCCTTTTGCCCTGCCAAGCCTCGAAGAGATTCCTGAGGTGTTCCTCGTTACTAGACAGGAGTCCTGACGTCACTGAAGAAACTCGTGTGTTGAAGGGCCATCCCCGCCGTAAGTCGAGAACATACCCCAGGTCCCCGCCGCAACTCGAGAAAAACTATGAGACTTCCCCCTAGAGGCGAGATGAGGCCCCATTCCCCTGCAGTGCATGCAGAGATATTCCGTGATCCCATTCAAACAAGTCAGGAGCTTCGACTTGCTTAATGGATCTCGAGACAGTCCCCAAGAACACTGTTACCAGTCTAGACGGACCCTGAGGTCAGCCCAGCAAAGCAAAGCAGCTCCATGTCCCCCAAATCAACTCGAGATGAGGCCCGATTCCACTGCATTGACCCCAGAGCCATTCCCCGTTCCCCGTTCAACACGAACGGAGGCTCGCCTTCCTTCAGGCAACTCCAGAGATGCCCCGAGAACACTGTACCAAGTCGAGAGGAACACCAACTTCAGCACAGCAACTCGAGGAATGCTCTGTGTACCACAAATCGTCTAGAGATGAGAGCTGATTCCCTGGCTTAGGCTCAAGACGTATGCCAAATTTCCAGAAGCACCTCAGGAGGAGGCTTCTCAGCAACATGTATGTGGGAGAGACCCCGAGTTTGCTGCCTCAAGGGGAATATACATCGAGAAGCCCTAACTTGAAAGGAGGCCGGATTTCCTTGCAGTAGCTTGAATACAGGCTTGTCTTTCATCTCACAACATGAAGGGATGTCTGAATCCCCTGTGGAGACCTTAGAGAAAGCCCTAGGTCCATGCCTCATTTTGACGGAATGCCTCACATCCCGCTGACACCTCGAGAGGCACGCGGAGTTCATTGCTTCAAAAGGTGACGATGCCTGACTCCTCTTGAATACTGATAGGAATCCCCAAATCCCTGTGGCTACTGGAAAGGGTCCTTGGGTGCCCTGCCTCACCTCGAGAAGCGTCCCTTTTTTCCCTGCCAAGCCTCGAAGAGATTCCTGAGGTGTCCCTCGTTACTAGGCAGGAGTGCTGACGTCACTGGAAAAACTCGTGTTTTGAAGGGCCATCCCCGCCGTAAGTCGAGAACATACCCCAGGTCCCCGCCGCAACTCGAGAAAAACTATGAGACTTCCCCCTAGAGGCGAGATGAGGCCCCATTCCCCTGCAGTGCATGCAGAGCTATTCCGTGATCCCATTCAAACAAGTCAGGAGCTTCGACTTGCTTAATGGATCTCGAGACAGTCCCCAAGAACACTGTCACCAGTCTAGACGGACCCTGAGGTCACCCAGCAATGCAAAGCAGCTCCATGTGCCCCAAATCAACTCGAGATGAGGCCGGATTCCCCTGCATTGACCCCAGAGCCATTCCCCGTTCCCCATTCAACACGACCGGTGGCTCGACTTCCTTCAGGCAACTCCAAAGATGCCCCGAGAACACTGTCCCAAGTCTAGAGGACCACCAACTTCAGGACAGCAACTCGAGGAATGCTCTGTGTACCCCAAATCGTCTCGAGATGAGAGCTGATTCCCTGGCTTAGGCTCAAGACTTATGCCAACTTTCCAGAAGCACCTCAGGAGGAGGCTTCTCTCAGCAATAGGTATGTGGGAGGGACCCCGAGTTTGCTGTCTCAAGGGGAATATACAGCGAGAAGCCCTAACTTGAAAGGAGGCCGGATTTCCTTGCAGTGGCTTGAATACAGGCTCGTCTTTCATCTCACAACATGAAGGGATGTCTGAATCCCCTGTGGAGACCTTAGAGGAAGCCCTAGGTCCCTGCCTCATTTTGACGGAATCCTCACATCCCGCTGACACCTCGAGATGCACGCAGAGTTCATTGCTTCAAAAATTGACGATGCCTGACTCCTCTTGAATACTGATAGGAATCCCAAAATCCCTGTGGCTACTGGAAAGGGTCCTTGGGTGCCCTGCCTCACCTGGAGAAGCGTCCCTTTTGCCCTGCCAAGCCTCGAAGAGTTTGCTGAGGTGTCCCTCGTTACTAGGCAGGAGTCCTGACGTCACTGGAGAAACTCGTGTTTTGAAGGGCCATCCCCGCCGTAAGTCGAGAACATACCCCAGGTCCCCGCCGCAACTCGAGAAAAACCGTGAGACTTCCCCCTAGAGGCGAGATGAGGCCCCATTCCCCAGCAGTGCATGCAGAGCTATTCCGTGATCCCATTCAAACAAGTCAGGAGCTTCGACTTGCTTAATGGATCTCGAGACAGTCCCCAAGAACACTGTCACCAGTCTAGACGGACCCTGAGGTCACCCAGCAATGCAAAGCAGCTCCATGTGCCCCAAATCAACTCGAGATGTGGCCCGATTCCCCTGCATTGACTCCAGAGCCATTCCCCGTTCCCCATTCAACACGACCGGTGGCTCGACTTCCTTCAGGCAACTCCAGAGATGCCCCGAGAACACTGTCCCAAGTCTAGAGGAACACCAACTTCAGCACAGCAACTCGATGAATGCTCCGTGTACCCCAAATCATCTCGAGATGAGAGCTGATTCCCTGGCTTAGCCTCAAGACGTATGCCAACTTTCCAGAAGCACCTCAGGAGGAGGCTTCTCTCAGCAATAGGTATGTGGGAGGGACCCCGAGTTTGCTGCCTCAAGGAGAATACACAGGGTGAAGCCCTAATGTGAACGGAGGCCAGATTTCCTTGCAGTGGCTTGAATACAGGCTCGTCTTTGGTCTGACAACATGAAGGGATGTCTGAATCCCCTGTGGAGACCTTAGAGGAAGCCCTAGGTCCCTGCCTCATTTTGACGGAATACCTCACATCCCCCTGACACTTCGAGAGGCACGCAGAGTTCATTGCTTCAAAAGATGACGATGCCTGACTCCTCTTGAATACTTATAGGAATCCCAAAATCCCTGTGGCTACTGGAAAGGGTCCTTGGGTGCCCTGGCTCACCTCGAGAAGCGTCCCTTTTGCCCTGCCAAGCCTCGAAGAGGTTGCTGAGGTGTCCTTCATTACTAGACAGGAGTCCTGACGTCACTGAAGAAACTCGTGTTTTGAAGGGCCATCCCCGCCGTAAGTCGAGAACATACCCCAGGTCCCCGCCGCAACTCGAGAAAAACCATGAGACTTCCCCCTAGAGGCGAGATGAGGCCCCATTCCACTGCAGTGCATGCAGAGCTATTCCGTGATTCCATTCAAACAGGTCAGGAGCTTCGACTTGCTTAATGGATCTCGAGACAGTCCCCAAGAACACTGTCACCAGTCTAGACGGACCCTGAGGTCACCCCAGCAACGCAAAGCAGCTCCATGTGCCCCAAATCAACTCGAGATGAGGCTCGATTCCCCTGCATTGACTCCAGAGCTATTCCCCGTTCCCCGTTCAACACGACCGGTGGCTCGCCTTCCTTCAGGCAACTCCAGAGATGCCCCGAGAACACTTTCCCAAGTCTAGAGGAACACCAACTTCAGCACAGCAACTCGAGGAATGCTCTGTGTACCCCAAATCGTCTCGAGATGAGAGCTGATTCCCTGGCTTAGGCTCAAGACGTATGCCAACTTTCCAGAAGCACCTCAGGAGGAGGCTTCTCTCAGCAATAGGTATGTGGGAGGGACCCCGAGTTTGCTGCCTCAAGGGGAATACACAGGGGGAAGCCCTAATGTGAACGGAGGCCAGATTTCCTTGCAGTGGCTTGAATACAGGCTCGTCTTTGATCTGCCAACATGAAGGGATGTCTGAATCACCTGTGGAGTACTTAGAGGAAGCCCTAGGTCCCTGCCTCATTTTGATGGAATACCTCACATCCCCCTGACACTTCGAGAGGCACGCAGAGTTCATTGCTTCAAAAGGTGACGATGCCTGACTCCTCTTGAATACTGATAGGAATCCCCAAATCCCTGTGGCTACTGGAAAGGGTCCTTGGGTGCCCTGCCTCACCTCGAGAAGCGTCCCTTTTGCCCTGCCAAGCCTCGAAGAGATTCCTGATGTGTCCCTCGTTACTAGGCAGGAGTCCTGACGTCACTGGAGAAACTCGTGTTTTGAAGGGCCATCCCCGCCGTAAGTCGAGAACATACCCCAGGTCCCCGCCGCAACTCGAGAAAAACCATGAGACTTCCCCCTAGAGGCGAGATGAGGCCCCATTCCCCTGCAGTGCATGCAGAGCTATTCCGTGATCCCATTCAAACAAGTCAGGAGCTTCGACTTGCTTAATGGATCTCGAGACAGTCCCCAAGAACACTGTCACCAGTCTAGACGGACCCTGAGGTCACCCAGCAGTGCAAAGCAGCTCCATGTGCCCCAAGTCAACTCGAGATGAGGCCGGATTTCCCTGCATTGACTCCAGAGCCATTCCCCGTTCCCCATTCAACACGACCGGTGGCTCGACTTCATTCAGGCAACTCCAGAGGTGCCCCGAGAACACTGTCCCAAGTCTAAAGGACCACCAACTTCAGCACAGCAACACGAGGAATGCTCTGTGTACCCCAAATCGTCTCGAGATGAGAGCTGATTCCCTGGCTTAGGCTCAAGACGTATGCCAACTTTCCAGAAGCACCTCAGGAGGAGGCTTCTCTCAGCAGTAGGTATGTGGGAGGGACCCCGAGTTTGCTGCCTCAAGGGGAATATACAGCGAGAAGCCCTAACTTGAAAGGAGGCCGGATTTCCTTGCAGTGGCTTGAATACAGGCTCGTCTTTCATCTCACAACATGAAGGGATGTCTGAATCCCCTGTGGAGACCTTAGAGGAAGCCCTAGGTCCCTGCCTCATTTTGACGGAATCCTCACATCCCGCTGACACCTCGAGAGGCACGCGGAGTTCATTGCTTTAAAAGGTGACGATGCCTGACTCCTCTTGAATACTGATAGGAATCCCAAAATCCCTGTGGCTACTGGAAAGGGTCCTTGGGTGCCCTGCCTCACCTCGAGAAGCGTCCCTTTTGCCCTTCCAAGCCTCGAAGAGATTGCTGAGGTGTCCCTCGTTACTAGGCAGGAGTCCTGACGTCACTGGAGAAACTCGTGTTTTGAAGGGCCATCCCCGCCGTAAGTCGAGAACATACCCCAGGTCCCCGCCGCAACTCGAGAAAAAGCGTGAGACTTCCCCCTAGAGGCGAGATGAGGCCCCATTCCCCTGCAGTGCATGCAGAGCTATTCCGTGATCCCATTCAAACAAGTCAGGAGCTTCGACTTGCTTAATGGATCTCGAGACAGTCCCCAAGAACACTGTCACCAGTCTAGACGGACCCTGAGGTCACCCAGCAATGCAAAGCTGCTCCATGTGCCCCAAATCAACTCGAGATGAGGCCGGATTCCCCTGCATTGACTCCAGAGCCATTCCCCGTTCCCCATTCAACACGACCGGTGGCTCGACTTCCTTCAGGCAACTCCAGAGATGCCCCGAGAACACTCTCCCAAGTATAGAGGAACACCAACTTCAGCACAGCAACTCGAGGTATGCTCCGTGTACCCCAAATCATCTCGAGATGAGTGCTGATTTCCTGGCTTAGGCTCAAGACGTATGCCAACTTTCCAGAAGCACCTCAGGAGGAGGCTTCTCTCAGCAATAGGTATGTGGGAGGGACCCCGAGTTTGCTGCCTCAAGGAGAATACACAGGGAGAAGCCCTAATGTGAACGGAGGCCAGATTTCCTTGCAGTGGCTTGAATACAGGCTCGTCTTTGGTCTGACAACATGAAGGGATGTCTGAATCCCCTGTGGAGACCTTAGAGGAAGCCCTAGGTCCCTGCCTCATTTTGACGGAATACCTCACATCCCCCTGACACTTCGAGAGGCACGAAGAGTTCATTGCTTCAAAAGGTGACGATGCCTGACTCCTCTTGAATACTGATAGGAATCCCAAAATCCCTGTGGCTACTGGAAAGGGTCCTTGGGTGCCCTGGCTCACCTCGAGAAGCGTCCCTTTTGCCCTGCCAAGCCTCGAAGAGATTGCTGAGGTGTCCTCATTACTAGAGAGGAGTCCTAACGTCACTGAAGAAACTCGTGTTTTGAAGGGCCATCCCCGCCGTAAGTCGAGAACATACCCCAGGTCCCCGCCGCAACTCGAGAAAAACCATGAGACTTCCCCCTAGAGGCGAGATGAGGCCCCATTCCCCTGCAGTGCATGCAGAGATATTCCGTGATCCCATTCAAACAAGTCAGGAGCTTCGACTTGCTTAATGGATCTCGAGACAGTCCCCAAGAACACTGTCACCAGTCTAGACGGACCCTGAGGTCACCCCAGCAACGCAAAGCAGCTCCATGTGCCCCAAATCAACTCGAGATGAGGCCGGATTCCCCTGCATTGACTCCAGAGCCATTCCCCGTTCCCCGTTCAACACGACCGGTGGCTCGCCTTCCTTCAGGCAACTCCAGAGATGCCCCGAGAACACTGTCCCAAGTCTAGAGGAACACCAACTTCAGCACAGCAACTCGAGGAATGCTCTGTGTACCCCAAATCGTCTCGAGATGAGAGCTGATTCCCTGGCTTAGGCTCAAGACGTATGCCAACTTTCCAGAAGCACCTCAGGAGGAGGCTTCTCTCAGCAATAGGTATGTGGGAGGGACCCCGAGTTTGCTGCCTCAAGGGGAATACACAGGGAGAAGCCCTAATGTGAACGGAGGCCAGATTTCCTTGCAGTGGCTTGAATACAGGCTCGTCTTTGATCTGACAACATGAAGGGATGTCTGAATCCCCTGTGGAGTCCTTAGAGGAAGCCCTAGGTCCCTGCCTCATTTTGACGGAATACCTCACATCCCCCTGACACCTCGAGAGGCATGCAGAGTTCATTGCTTGAAAAGGTGACGATGCCTGACTCCTCTTGAATACTTATAGGAATCCCAAAATCCCTGTGGCTACTGGAAAGGGTCCTTGGGTGCCCAGGCTCACCTCGAGAGGCGTCCCTTTTGCCCTGCCAAGCCTCGAAGAGATTGCTGAGGTGTCCCTCATTACTAGACAGGAGTACTGAAGTCACTGATGAAACTCGTGTTTTGAAGGGCCATCCCCGCCGTAAGTCGAGAACATACCCCAGGTCCCCGCCGCAACTCGGAAAAAAACCATGAGACTTCCCCCTAGAGGCGAGATGAGGCCCCATTCCCCTGCAGTGCATGCAGAGCTATTCCGTGATCCCATTCAAACAAGTCAGGAGCTTCGACTTGCTTAATGGATCTCGAGACAGTCCCCAAGAACACTGTCACCAGTCTAGACGGACCCTGAGGTCACCCAGCAATGCAAAGCAGCTCCATGTGCCCCAAATCAACTCGAGATGAGGCCGGATTCCCATGCATTGACTCCACAGCCATTCCACGTTCCCCATTCAACACGACCGGTGGCTCGACTTCCTTCAGGCAACTCCAGAGATGCCCCGAGAACACTGCCCCAAGTCTAGAGGAACACCAACTTCAGCACAGCAACTCGAGGAATGCTCTGTGTACCCCAAATCGTCTCGAGATGAGAGCTGATTCCCTGGCTTAGGCTCAAGACGTATGCCAACTTTCCAGAAGCACCTCAGGAGGAGGCTTCTCTCAGCAATAGGTATGTGGGAGGGACCCCGAGTTTGCTGCCTCAAGGGGAATATACAGCGAGAAGCCCTAACTTGAAAGGAGGCCGGATTTCCTTGCAGTGGCTTGAATACAGGCTCGTCTTTCATCTCACAACATGAAGGGATGTCTGAATCCCCTGTGGAAACCTTAGAGGAAGCCCTAGGTCCCTGCCTCATTTTGACGGAATCCTCACATCCCGCTGACACCTCGAGAGGCACGGGGAGTTCATTGCTTCAAAAGGTGACGATGCCTGACTCCTCTTGAATACTGATAGGAATCCCAAAATCCCTGTGGCTACTGGAAAGGGTCCTTGGGTGCCCTGCCTCACCTCGAGAAGCGTCCCTTTTGCCCTGCCAAGCCTCGAAGAGATTGCTGAGGTGTCCCTCGTTACTAGACAGGAGTCCTGACGTCACTGGAGAAACACGTGTTTTGAAGGGCCATCCCCGCCGTAAGTCGAGAACATACCCCAGGTCCCCGCCGCAACTCGAGAAAAACCGTGAGACTTCCCCCTAGAGGCGAGATGAGGCCCCATTCCCCTGCAGTGCATGCAGAGCTATTCCGTGATCCCATTCAAACAAGTCAGGAGCTTCGACTTGCTTAATGGATCTCGAGACAGTCCCCAAGAACACTGTCACCAGTCTAGACGGACCCTGAGGTCACCCCAGCAATGCAAAGCAGCTCCATGTGCCCCAAATCAACTCGAGATGAGGCCGGATTCCCCTGCATGGACTCCAGAGCCATTCCCCGTTCCCCATTCAACACGACCGGTGGCTCGACTTCCTTCAGGCAACTCCAGAGATGCCCCGAGAACACTCTCCCAAGTCTAGAGGAACACCAACTTCAGCACAGCAACTCGAGGAATGCTCCGTGTACCCCAAATCATCTCGAGATGAGAGCTGATTTCCTGGCTTAGGATCAAGACGTATGCCAACTTTCCAGAAGCAGCTCAGGAGGAGGCTTCTATCAGCAATAGGTATGTGGGAGGGACCCCGAGTTTGCTGCCTCAAGGGGAATACACAGGGAGAAGCCCTAATGTGAACGGAGGACAGATTTACTTGCAGTGGCTTGAATAAAGGCTCGGCTTTGGTCTGACAACATGAAGGGATGTCTGAATCAACTGTGGAGACCTTAGAGGAAGCCCTAGGTCCCTGCCTCATTTTGAGGGAATACCTCACATCCCCCTGACACTTCGAGAGGCACGCAGAGTTCATTGCTTCAAAAGGTGACGATGTCTGACTCATCTTGAATACTTATGGGAATCCCAAAATCCCTGTGGCTACTGGAAAGGGTCCTTGGGTGCCCTGGCTCACCTCGAGAAGCGTCCCTTTTGCCCTGCCAAGCCTCGAAGAGATTGCTGAGGTATCCCTCATTACTAGACAGGAGTCCTGACGTCACTGAAGAAACTCGTGTTTTGAAGAGCCATCCCCGCCGTAAGTCGAGAACATACCCCAGGTCCCCGCCGCAACTCGAGAAAAACCATGAGACTTCCCCCTAGAGGCGTGATGAGGCCCCATTCCCCGGCAGTGCATGCAGAGCTATTCCGTGATCCCATTCAAACAAGTCAGGAGCTTCGACTTGCTTAATGGATCTCGAGACAGTCCCCAAGAACACTCTCACCAGTCTAGACGGACCCTGAGGTCACCCCAGCAACGCAAAGCAGCTCCATGTGCCCCAAATCAACTCGAGATGAGGCCCGATTCACCTGCATTGACTGAAGAGCCATTCCCCGTTCCCCGTTCAACACGACCTGTGGCTCGCCTTCCTTCAGGCAAGTCCAGAGATGCCCCGAGAACACTGTCCCAAGTCTAGAGGAACACCAACTTCAGCACAGCAACTCGAGGAATGCTCTGTGTACCCCAAATCGTCTCGAGATGAGAGCTGATTCCCTGGCTTAGGCTCAAGACGTATGCCAACTTTCCAGAAGCACCTCAGGAGGAGGCTTCTCAGCAATAGGTATGTGGGAGGGACCCCGAGTTTGCTGCCTCAAGGGGAATACACAGGGAGAAGCCCTAATGTGAACGGAGGCCAGATTTCCTTGCAGTGGCTTGAATACAGGCTCGTCTTTGATCTGACAACATGAAGGGATGTCTGAATCCCCTGTGGAGTCCTTAGAGGAAGCCCTAGGTCCCTGCCTCATTTTGACGGAATACCTCACATCCCCCTGACACCTCGAGAGGCATGCAGAGTTCATTGCTTGAAAAGGTGACGATGCCTGACTCCTCTTGAATACTTATAGGAATCCCAAAATCCAAGTGGCTACTGGAAAGGGTCCTTGGGTGCCCTGGCTCACCTCGAGAGGCGTCCCTTTTGCCCTGCCAAGCCTCGAAGAGATTGCTGAGGTGTCCCTCATTACTAGACAGGAGTCCTGAAGTCACTGAAGAAACTCGTGTTTTGAAGGGACATCCCCGCCGTAAGTCGAGAACATACCCCAGGTCCCCGCCGCAACTCGAGAAAAACCATGAGACTTCCCCCATAGAGGCGAGATGAGGCCCCATCCCCCTGCAGTGCATGCAGAGCTATTCCGTGATCCCATTCAAACAAGTCAGGAGCTTCGACTTGCTTAATGGATCTCGAAACAGTCCCCAAGAACACTGTCACCAGTCTAGACGGACCCTGAGGTCACCCAGCAATGCAAAGCAGCTCCATGTGCCCCAAATCAACTCGAGATGAGGCCGGATTCCCCTGCATTGACTCCAGAGCCATTCCCTGTTCCCCATTCAACACGACCGGTGGCTCGCCTTCCTTCAGGCAACTCCAAAGATGCCCCGAGAACACTCTCCCAAGTCTAGAGGACCACCAACTTCAGCACAGCAACTCGAGGAATGCTCTGTGTACCCCAAATCGTCTCGAGATGAGAGCTGATTCCCTGGCTTAGGCTCAAGACGTATGCCAACTTTCCAGAAGCACCTCAGGAGGAGGCTTCTCTCAGCAATAGGTATGTGGGAGGGACCCCGAGTTTGTTTCCTCAAGGGGAATATACAGCGAGAAGCCCTAACTTGAAAGGAGGCCGGAATTCCTTGCACTGGCTTGAATACAGGCTCGTCTTTCATCTCACAACATGAAGGGATGTCTGAATCCCCTGTGGAGACCTTAGAGAAAGCCCTAGGTCCCTGCCTCATTTTGACGGAATGCCTCACATCCCGCTGACACCTCGAGAGGCACGCGGAGTTCATTGCTTCAAAAGGTGACGATGCCTGACTCCTCTTGAATACTGATAGGAATCCCAAAATCCCTGTGGCTACTGGAAAGGGTCCTTGGGTGCCCTGCCTCACCTCGAGAAGCGTCCCTTTTGCCCTGCCAAGCCTCGAAGAGATTCCTGAGGTGTCCCTCGTTACTAGACAGGAGTCCTGACGTCACTGAAGAAACTCGTGTTTTGAAGGGCCATCCCCGCCGTAAGTCGAGAACATACCCCAGGTGGCCGCCGCAACTCGAGAAAAACCATGAGACTTCCCCCTAGAGGCGAGATGAGGCCCCATTCCCCTGCAGTGCATGCAGAGCTATTCCGTGATCCCATTCAAACAAGTCAGGAGCTTCGACTTGCTTAATGGATCTTGAGACAGTCCCCAAGAACACTGTCACCAGTCTAGACGGACCCTGAGGTCACCCAGCAATGCAAAGCAGCTCCATGTGCCCCAAATCAACTCGAGATGAGGCCGGATTCCCCTGCATTGACTCCAGAGACATTCCCCGTTCCCCATTCAACACGACCGGTGGCTCGACTTCCTTCAGGCAACTCCAGAGATGCCCCGAGAACACTGTCCCAAGTCTAGAGGAACACCAACTTCAGCACAGCAACTCGAGGAATGCTCCGTGTACCCCAAATCATCTCGAGATGAGAGCTGATTCCCTGGCTTAGCCTCAAGACGTATGCCAACTTTCCAGAAGCACCTCAGGAGGAGGCTTCTCTCAGCAATAGGTATGTGGGAGGGACCCCGAGTTTGCTGCCTCAAGGAGAATACACAGGGAGAAGCCCTAATGTGAACGGAGGCCAGATTTCCTTGCAGTGGCTTGAATACAGGCTCGTCTTTGTTCTGACAACATGAAGGGATGTCTGAATCCCCTGTGGAGACCTTAGAGGAAGCCCTAGGTCCCTGCCTCATTTTGACGGAATACCTCACATCCCCCTGACACTTCGAGAGGCACGCAGAGTTCATTGCTTCAAAAGATGACGATGCCTGACTCCTCTTGAATACTTATAGGAATCCCAAAATCCCTGTGGCTACTGGAAAGGGTCCTTGGGTGCCCTGGCTCACCTCGAGAAGGGTCCCTTTTGCCCTGCCAAGCCTCGAAGAGATTGCTGAGGTGTCCCTCATTACTAGACAGGAGTCCTGACGTCACTGAAGAAACTCGTGTTTTGAAGGGCCATCCCCGCCGTAAGTCGAGAACATACCCCAGGTCCCCGCCGCAACTCGAGAAAAACCATGAGACTTCCCCCTAGAGGCGAGATGAGGCCCCATTCCCCTGCAGTGCATGCAGAGCTATTCCGTGATCCCATTCAAACAAGTCAGGAGCTTCGACTTGCTTAATGGATCTCGAGACAGTCCCCAAGAACACTGTTACCAGTCTAGACGGACCCTGAGGTCACCCCAGCAAAGCAAAGCAGCTCCAAGTCCCCCAAATCAACACGAGATGAGGCCCGATTCCACTGCATTGACCCCAGAGCCATTCCCCGTTCCCCGTTCAACACGAATGGAGGCTCGCCTTCCTTCAGGCAACTCCAGAGATGCCCCGAGAACACTGTCCCAAGTCTAGAGGAACACCAACTTCAGCACAGCAACTCGAGGAATGCTCTGTGTACCACAAATCATCTAGAGATGAGAGCTGATTCCCTGGCTTAGGCTCAAGACGTATGCCAAATTTCCAGAAGCACCTCAGGAGAAGGCTTCTCAGCAACAGGTACGTGGGAGAGACCCCGAGTTTGCTGCCTCAAGGGGAATATACATCGAGAAGCCCTAATTTGAAAGGAGGCCAGATGTCCTTGCAGTGGCTTGAATACAGGCTCGTCTTTCATCTCACAACATGAAGGGATGTCTGAATCCCCTGTGGAGAACTTAGAGAAAGCCCTAGGTCCCTGCCTCATTTTGACGGAATGCCTCACATCCCGCTGACACCTCGAGAGGCACGCGGAGTTCATTGCTTCAAAAGGTGACGATGCCTGACTCCTCTTGAATACTGATAGGAATCCCAAAATCCCTGTGGCTACTGGAAAGGGTCCTTGGGTGCCCTGCCTCACCTCGAGAAGCGTCCCTTTTGCCCTGCCAAGCCTCGAAGAGATTGCTGAGGTGTCCCTCGTTACTAGGCATGAGTCCTGACGTCACTGGAGAAACTCGTGTTTTGAAGGGCCATCCCCGCCGTAAGTCGAGAACATACCCCAGGTCCCCGCCGCAACTCGAGAAAAACCATGAGACTTCCCCCTAGAGGCGAGATGAGGCCCCATTCCCCTGCAGTGCATGCAGAGCTATTCCGTGATCCCATTCAAACAAGTCAGGAGCTTCGACTTGCTTAATGGATCTCGAGACAGTCCCCAAGAACACTGTCACCAGTCTAGACGGACCCTGAGGTCACCCAGCAGTGCAAAGCAGCTCCATGTGCCCCAAATCAACTCGAGATGAGGCCGGATTCCCCTGCATTGACTCCAGAGCCATTTCCCGTTCCCCATTCAACACGACCGGTGGCTCGACTTCCTTCAGGCAACTCCAGAGGTGCCCCGAGAACACTGTCCCAAGTCTAAAGGACCACCAACTTCAGCACAGCAACACGAGGAATGCTCTGTGTACCCCAAATCGTCTCGAGATGAGAGCTGATTCCCTGGCTTAGGCTCAAGACGTATGCCAACTTTCCAGAAGCACCTCAGGAGGAGGCTTCTCTCAGCAGTAGGTATGTGGGAGGGACCCCGAGTTTGCTGCCTCAAGGGGAATATACAGCGAGAAGCCCTAACTTGAAAGGAGGCCGGATTTCCTTGCAGTGGCTTGAATACAGGCTCGTCTTTCATCTCACAACATGAAGGGATGTCTGAATCCCCTGTGGAGACCTCAGAGGAAGCCCTAGGTTCCTGCCTCATTTTGACGGAATCCTCACATCCCGCTGACACCTCGAGAGGCACGCGGAGTTCATTGCTTCAAAAGGTGACGATGCCTGACTCCTCTTGAATACTGATAGGAATCCCAAAATCCCTGTGGCTACTGGAAAGGGTCCTTGGGTGCCCTGCCTCACCTCGAGAAGCGTCCCTTTTGCCTTGCCAAGCCTCGAAGAGATTGCTGAGGTGTCCCTCGTTACTAGGCAGGAGTCCTGACGTCACTGGAGAAACTCGTGTTTTGAAGGGCCATCCCCGCCGTAAGTCGAGAACATACCCCAGGTCCCCGCCGCAACTCGAGAAAAACCGTGAGACTTCCCCCTAGAGGCGAGATGAGGCCCCATTCCCCTGCAGTGCATGCAGAGCTATTCCGTGATCCCATTCAAACAAGTCAGGAGCTTCGACTTGCTTAATGGATCTCTAGACAGTCCCCAAGAACACTGTCACCAGTCTAGACGGACCCTGAGGTCACCCAGCAATGCAAAGCAGCTCCATGTGCCCCAAATCAACTCGAGATGAGGCCGGATTCCCCTGCATTGACTCCAGAGCCTTTCCCCGTTCCCCATTCAACACGACCGGTGGCTCCACTTCCTTCAGGCAACTCCAGAGATGCCCCGAGAACACTCTCCCAAGTCTAGAGGAACACCAACTTCAGCACAGCAACTCGAGGTATGCTCCGTGTACCCCAAATCATCTCGAGATGAGTGCTGATTTCCTGGCTTAGGCTCAAGACGTATGCCAACTTTCCAGAAGCACCTCAGGAGGAGGCTTCTCTCAGCAATAGGTATGTGGGAGGGACCCCAAGTTTGCTGCCTCAAGGAGAATACACAGGGAGAAGCCCTAATGTGAACGGAGGCCAGATTTCCTTGCAGTGGCTTGAATAAAGGCTCGTCTTTGGTCTGACAACATGAAGGGATGTCTGAATCACCTGTGGAGAACTTAGAGGAAGCCCTAGGTCCCTGCCTCATTTTGACGGAATACCTCACATCCCCCTGACACTTCGAGAGGCACGCAGAGTTCATTGCTTCAAAAGGTGACGATGCCTGACTCCTCTTGAATACTGATAGGAATCCCCAAATCCCTGTGGCTACTGGAAAGGGTCCTTGGGTGCCCTGCCTCACCTCGAGAAGCGTCCCTTTTGCCCTGCCAAGCCTCGAAGAGATTCCTGATGTGTCCCTCGTTACTAGGCAGGAGTCCTGACGTCACTGGAGAAACTCGTGTTTTGAAGGGCCATCCCCGCCGTAAGTCGAGAACATACCCCAGGTCCCCGCCGCAACTCGAGAAAAACCATGAGACTTCCCCCTAGAGGCGAGATGAGGCACCATTCCCCTGCAGTGCATGCAGAGCTATTCCGTGATCCCATTCAAACAAGTCAGGAGCTTCGACTTGCTTAATGGATCTCGAGACAGTCCCCAAGAACACTGGCACCAGTCTAGACGGACCCTGAGGTCACCCAGCAATGCAAAGCAGCTCCATGTGCCCCAAATCAACTCGAGATGAGGCCGGATTCCCCTGCATTGACCCCAGAGCCATTCCCCGTTCCCCATTCAACACGACCGGTGGCTCGACTTCCTTCAGGCAACTCCAAAGATGCCCCGAGAACACTGTCCCAAGTCTAGAGGACCACCAACTTCAGCACAGCAACTCGAGGAATGCTCTGTGTACCCCAAATCGTCTCGAGATGAGAGCTGATTACCTGGCTTAGGCTCAAGACGTATGCCAACTTTCCAGAAGCACCTCAGGAGGAGGCTTCTCAGCAATAGGTATGTGGGAGGGACCCCGAGTTTGCTGTCTCAAGGGGAATATACAGCGAGAAGCCCTAACTTGAAAGGAGGCCGGATTTCCTTGCAGTGGCTTGAATACAGGCTCGTCTTTCATCTCACAACATGAAGGGATGTCTGAATCCCCTGTGGAGACCTTAGAGGAAGCCCTAGGTCCCTGCCTCATTTTGACGGAATCCTCACATCCCGCTGACACCTCGAGAGGCACGCGGAGTTCATTGCTTCAAAAGGTGACGATGCCTGACTCCTCTTGAATACTGATAGGAATCCCAAAATCCCTGTGGCTACTGGAAAGGGTACTTGGGTGCCCTGCCTCACCTCGAGAAGCGTCCCTTTTGCCCTGCCAAGCCTCGAAGAGATTGCTGAGGTGTCCCTCATTACTAGACAGGAGTCCTGACGTCACTGAAGAAACTCGTGTTTTGAAGGGCCATCCCCGCCGTAAGTCGAGAACATACCCCAGGTCCCCGCCGCAAGTCGAGAAAAACCATGAGACTTCCCCCTAGAGGCGAGATGAGGCCCCATTCCCCTGCAGTGCATGCAGAGATATTCCGTGATCCTATTCAAACAAGTCAGGAGCTTCGACTTGCTTAATGGATCTCGAGACAGTCCCCAAGAACACTGTCACCAGTCTAGACGGACCCTGAGGTCACCCCAGCAACGCAAAGCAGCTCCATGTGCCCCAAATCAACTCGAGATGAGGCCCGATTCCCCTGCATTGACTCCAGAGCCATTCCCGGTTCCCCGTTCAACACGACCGGTGGCTCGCCTTCCTTCAGGCAACTCCAGAGATGCCCCGAGAACACTGTCCCAAGTCTAGAGGACCACCAACTTCAGCACAGCAACTCGAGGAATGCTCTGTGTACCCCAAATCGTCTCGAGATGAGAGCTGATTCCCTGGCTTAGGCTCAAGACGTATGCCAACTTTCCAGAAGCACCTCAGGAGGAGGCTTCTCTCAGCAATAGGTATGTGGGAGGGACCCCGAGTTTGCTGCCTCAAGGGGAATACACAGGGAGAAGCCCTAATGTGAACGGAGGCCAGATTTCCTTGCAGTGGCTTGAATACAGGCTCGTCTTTGATCTGACAACATGAAGGGATGTCTGAATCCCCTGTGGAGTCCTTAGAGGAAGCCCTAGGTCCCTGCCTCATTTTGACGGAATACCTCACATCCCCCTGACACCTCGAGAGGCATGCAGAGTTCATTGCTTGAAAAGGTGACGATGCCTGACTCCTCTTGAATACTTATAGGAATCCCAAAATCCCTGTGGCTACTGGAAAGGGTCCTTGGGTGCCCAGGCTCACCTCGAGAGGCGTCCCTTTTGCCCTGCCAAGCCTCGAAGAGATTGCTGAGGTGTCCCTCATTACTAGACAGGAGTACTGACGTCACTGAAGAAACTCGTGTTTTGAAGGGCCATCCCCGCCGTAAGTCGAGAACATACCCCAGGTCCCCGCCGCAACTTTGAAAAAAACCATGAGAGTTCCCCCTAGAGGCGAGATGAGGCCCCATTCCCCTGCAGTGCATGCAGAGCTATTCCGTGATCCCATTCAAACAAGTCAGGAGCTTCGACTTGCTTAATGGATCTCGAGACAGTCCCCAAGAACACTGTCACCAGTCTAGACGGACCCTGAGGTCACCCAGCAATGCAAAGCAGCTCCATGTGCCCCAAATCAACTCGAGATGAGGCCGGATTCCCCTGCATTGACTCCAGAGCCATTCCCCGTTCCCCATTCAACACGACCGGTGGCTCGACTTCCTTCAGGCAACTCCAGAGAGGCCCCGAGAACACTGCCCCAAGTCTAGAGGACCACCAACTTCAGCACAGCAACTCGAGGAATGCTCTGTGTACCCCAAATCGTCTCGAGATGAGAGCTGATTCCCTGGCTTAGGCTCAAGACGTATGCCAACTTTCCAGAAGCACCTCAGGAGGAGGCTTCTCTCAGCAATAGGTATGTGGGAGGGACCCCGAGTTTGCTGCCTCAAGGGGAATATACAGCGAGAAGCCCTAACTTGAAAGGAGGCCGGAATTCCTTGCAGTGGCTTGAATACAGGCTCGTCTTTCATCTCACAACATGAAGGGATGTCTGAATCCCCTGTGGAGACCTTAGAGAAAGCCCTAGGTCCCTGCCTCATTTTGACGGAATACCTCACATCCCGCTGACACCTCGAGAAGCACGCGGAGTTCATTGCTTCAAAAGGTGACGATGCCTGACTCCTCTTGAATACTGATAGGAATCCCAAAATCCCTGTGGCTACTGAAAAGGGTCCTTGGGTGCCCTGCCTCACCTCGAGAAGCGTCCCTTTTGCCCTGCCAAGACTCGAAGAGATTCCTGAGGTGTCCCTCGTTACTAGACAGGAGTCCTGACGTCACTGAAGAAACTCGTGTTTTGAAGGGCCATCCCCGCCGTAAGTCGAGAACATACCCCAGGTCGCCGCCGCAACTCGAGAAAAACCATGAGACTTCCCCCTAGAGGCGAGATGAGGCCCCATTCCCCTGCAGTGCATGCAGAGCTATTCCATGATCCCATTCAAACAAGTCAGGAGCTTCGACTTGCTTAATGGATCTCGAGACAGTCCGCAAGAACACTGCCACCAGTCTAGATGGACCCTGAGGTCACCCCAGCAACGCAAAGCTGCTCCATGTGCCCCAAATCAACTCGAGATGAGGCCCGATTCCCCTGCATTGACTCCAGAGCCATTCCCCGTTCCCCATTCAACACGACCGGTGGCTCGACTTCCTTCAGGGAACTCCAGAGATGCCCCGAGAACACTGTCCCAAGTCTAGAGGACCACCAACTTCAGCACAGCAACTCGAGGAATGCTCTGTGTACCCCAAATCATCTCGAGATGAGAGCTGATTCCCTGGCTTAGGTTCAAGACATATGCCAACTTTCCAGAAGCACCTCAGGAGGAGGCTTCTCTCAGCAATAGGTATGTGGGAGGGACCCCGAGTTTGCTGCCTCAAGGGGAATATACAGCGAGAAGCCCTAACTTGAAAGGAGGCCGGATTTCCTTGCAGTGGCATGAATACAGGCTCGTCTTTCATCTCAGAACATGAAGGGATGTCTGAATCCCCTGTGGAGACCTTAGAGGAAGCCCTAGGTCCCTGCCTCATTTTGACGGAATCCTCACATCCCGCTGACAGCTCGAGAGGCACGCGGAGTTCATTGCTTCAAAAAGTGACGATGCCTGACTCCTCTTGAATACTGATAGGAATCCCAAAATCCCTCTGGCTACTGGAAAGGGTCCTTGGGTGCCCTGCCTCACCTCGAGAAGCGTCCCTTCTGCCCTGCCAAGACTCGAAGAGATTGCTGAGGTGTCCCTCATTACTAGACAGGAGTCCTGACGTCACTGAAGAAACTCGTGTTTTGAAGGGCCATCCCCGCCGTAAGTCGAGAACATACCCCAGGTCCCCGCCGCAACTCGAGAAAAACCATGAGACTTCCCCCTAGAGGCGAGATGAGGCCCCATTCCCCTGCAGTGCATGCAGAGATATTCCGTGATCCCATTCAAACAAGTCAGGAGCTTCGACTTGCTTAATGGATCTCGAGACAGTCCCCAAGAACACTGTCACATGTCTAGACGTACCCTGAGGTCACCCAGCAATGCAAAGCAGCTCCATGTGCCCCAAATCAACTCGAGATGAGGCCGGATTCCCCTGCATTGACTCCAGAGCCATTCCCCGTTCCCCATTCAAGACGACCGGTGGCTCGACTTCCTTCAGGCAACTCCAGAGATGCCCCGAGAACACTGTCCCAAGTCTAGAGGACCACCAACTTCAGCACAGCAACTCGAGGAATGCTCTGTGTACTCCAAATCGTCTCGAGATGAGAGCTGATTCCCTGGCTTAGCCTCAAGACGTATGCCAACTTTCCAGAAGCACCTCAGGAGGAAGCTTCTCTCAGCAATAGGTATGTGGGAGGGACCCCGAGTTTGCTGCCTCAAGGGGAATATACAGCGAGAAGCCCTAACTTGAAAGGAGGCCGGATTTCCTTGCAGTGGCTTGAATACAGGCTCGTCTTTCATCTCACAACATGAAGGGATGTCTGAATCCCCTGTGGAGACCTTAGAGGAAGCCCTAGGTCCCTGCCTCATTTTGACGGAATCCTCACATCCCGCTGACACCTCGAGAGGCACGCGGAGTTCATTGCTTCAAAAGGTGACGATGCCTGACTCCTCTTGAATCCTGATAGGAAACCCAAAATCCCTGTGGCTACTGGAAAGGGTCCTTGGGTGCCCTGCCTCACCTCGAGAAGCGTCCCTTTTGCCCTGCCAAGCCTCGAAGAGATTGCTGAGGTGTCCCTCATTACTAGACAGGAGTACTGACGTCACTGGAGAAACTCGTGTTTTGAAGGGCCATCCCCGCCGTAAGTCGAGAACATACCCCAGGTCCCCGCCGCAACTCGAGAAAAACCGTGAGACTTCCCCCTAGAGGCGAGATGAGGCCCCATTCCCCTGCAGTGCATGCAGAGCTATTCCGTGATCCCATTCAAACAAGTCAGGAGCTTCGACTTGCTTAATGGATCTCGAGACAGTCCCCAAGAACACTGTCACCAGTCTAGACGGACCCTGAGGTCACCCAGCAATGCAAAGCAGCTCCATGTGCCCCAAATCAACTCGAGATGAGGCCGGATTCCCCTGCATTGACTCCAGAGCCATTCCCCGTTCCCCATTCAACACGACCGGTGGCTCGACTTCCTTCAGGCAACTCCAGAGATGCCCCGAAAACACTCTCCCAAGTCTAGAGGAACACCAACTTCAGCACAGCAACTCGAGGAATGCTCCGTGTACCCCAAATCGTCTCGAGATGAGAGCTGATTTCCTGGCTTAGGCTCAAGACGTATGCCAACTTTCCAGAAGCACCTCAGGAGGAGGCTTCTCTCAGCAATAGGTATGTGGGAGGGTCCCCGAGTTTGCTGCCTCAAGGAGAATACACAGGGAGAAGCCCTAATGTGAACGGAGGCCAGATTTCCTTGCAGTGGCTTGAATAAAGGCTCGTCTTTGGTCTGACAACATGAAGGGATGTCTGAATCCCCTGTGGAGACCTTAGAGGAAGCCCTAGGTCCCTGCCTCATTTTGACGGAAAGCCTCACATCCCCCTGACACTTCGAGAGGCACGCAGAGTTCATTGCTTCAAAAGGTGACGATGCCTGACTCCTCTTGAATACTTATAGGAATCCCAATATCCCTGTGGCTACTGTAAAGGGTCCTTGGGTGCCCTGGCTCACCTCGAGAAGCGTCCCTTTTGCCCTGCCAAGCCTCGAAGAGATTGCTGAGGTGTCCCTCATTACCAGACAGGAGTCCTGACGTCACTGAAGAAACACGTGTTTTGAAGGGCCATCCCCGCCGTAAGTCGACAACATACCCCAGGTCCCCGCCGCAACTCGAGAAAAACCATGAGACTTCCCCCTAGAGGCGAGATGAGGCCCCATTCCCCTGCAGTGCATGCAGAGGTATTCCGTGATCCCATTCAAACAAGTCAGGAGCTTCGACTTGCTTAATGGATCTCGAGACAGTCCCCAAGAACACTGTCACCAGTCTAGACGGACCCTGAGGTCACCCAGCAATGCAAAGCAGCTCCATGTGCCCCAAATCAACTCGAGATGAGGCCGGATTCCCCTGCATGGACTCCAGAGACATTCCCCGTTCCCCATTCAACACGACCGGTGGCTCGACTTCCTTCAGGCAACTCCAGAGATGCCCCGAGAACACTCTCCCAAGTCTAGAGGAACACCAACTTCAGCACAGCAACTCGAGGAATGCTCCGTGTACCCCAAATCATCTCGATATGAGAGCTGATTTCCTGGCTTAGGATCAAGACGTATGCCAACTTTCCAGAAGCACCTCAGGAGGAGGCTTCTCTCAGCAATAGGTATGTGGGAGGGACCCCGAGTTTGTTGCCTCAAGGGGAATATACAGCGAGAAGCCCTAACTTGAAAGGAGGCCGGAATTCCTTGCAGTGGCTTGAATACAGGCTCGTCTTTCATCTCACAACATGAAGGGATGTCTGAATCCCCTGTGGAGACCTTAGAGAAAGCCCTAGGTCCCTGCCTCATTTTGACGGAATGCCTCACATCCCCCTGATACCTCGAGAGGCACGCGGAGTTAATTGCTTCAAAAGGTGACGATGCCTGACTCCTCTTGAATACTGATAGGAATCCCAAAATCCCTGTGGCTACTGGAAAGGGTCCTTCGGTGCCCTGCCTCACCTCGAGAAGCGTCCCTTTTGCCCTGCCAAGCCTCGAAGAGATTCCTGAGGTGTCCCTCGTTACTAGGCAGGAGTCCTGACGTCACTGAAGAAACTCGTGTTTCGAAGGGCCATCCCCGCGGTAAGTCGAGAACATACCCCAGGTCCCCGCCGCAACTCGAGAAAAACCGTGAGACTTCCCCCTAGAGGCGAGATGAGGCCCCATTCCCCTGCAGTGCATGCAGAGCTATTCCGTGATCCCATTCAAACAAGTCAGGAGCTTCGACTTGCTTAATGGATCTCGAGACAGTCCCCAAGAACACTGTCACCAGTCTAGACGGACCCTGAGGTCACCCCAGCAACGCAAAGCTGCTCCATGTGCCCCAAATCAACTCGAGATGAGGCCCGATTCCCCTGCATTGACTCCAGATCCATTCCCCGTTCCCCATTCAACACGACCGGTGGCTCTACTTCCTTCAGGGAACTCCAGAGATGCCCCGAGAACACTGTCCCAAGTCTAGAGGAACACCAACTTCAGCACAGCAACTCGAGGAATGCTCCGTGTACCCCAAATCATCTCGAAATGAGAGCTGTTTCCCTGGCTTAGGCTCAAGACGTATGCCAACTTTCCAGAAGCACCTCAGGAGGAGGCCTCTCTCAGCAATAGGTATGTGGGAGGGACCCCGAGTTTGCTGCCTCAAGGGGAATACACAGGGAGAAGCCCTAATGTGAAAGGAGGCCAGATTTCCTTGCAGTGGCTTGAATACAGGCTCGTCTTTGATCTCACAACATGAAGGGATGTCTGAATCCCCTGTGGAGACCTTAAAGGAAGCCCTAGGTCCCTGCCTCATTTTGACGGAATACCTCACATCCCCCTGACACCTCGAGAGGCACGCAGAGTTCATTGCTTCGAAAGGTGACGATGCCTGACTCCTCTTGAATACTTATAGGAATCCCCAAATCCCTGTGGCTACTGGAAAGGGTCTTTGGGTGCCCTGGCTCACCTCGAGAAGCGTCCCTTTTGCCCTGCCAAGCCTCGAAGAGATTGCTGAGGTGTCCCTCGTTACTAGACAGGAGTCCTGACGTCACTGAAGGAACTCGTGTTTTGAAGGGCCATCCCCGCCCCAAGTCGAGAACATACCCCAGGTCCCCGCCGCAACTCGAGAAAAACCATGAGACTTCCCCCTATAGGCGAGATGAGGCCCCATTCCCCTGCAGTGCATGCAGAGCTATTCCGTGATCCCCTTCAAAGAAGTCAGGAGCTTCGACTTGCTTAATGGATCTCGAGACAGTCCCCAAGAACACTGTCACCAGTCTAGACGGACCCTGAAGTCACCCCAGCAACGCAAAGCAGGTCCATGTGCCCCAAATCAACTCGAGATGAGGCGCGATTCCGCTGCATTGACTCCAGAGCCATTCCCCGTTCCCCGTTGAACACGACCGGTGGCTCGCCTTCCTTCAGGCAACTGCAGAGATGCCCTGAGAGCACTCTTCCTAGTCTAGAGGAACACCAACTTCAGCACAGCAACTTGAGGAATGCTCTGTGTACCCCAAATCGTCTCGAGATGAGAGCTGATTCCCTGGCGTAGGCTCAAGACGTATGCCAACTTTCCAGAAGCACCTCAGGAGGAGGCTTCTCAGCAATAGGTATGTGGGAGGGACTCCGAGTTTGCTGCCTCAAGGGGAATATACAGCGAGAAGCCCTAACTTGAAAGGAGGCCGGATTTCCTTGCAGTAGCTTGAATGCAGGCTTGTCTTTCTTCTCACAAAATGAAGGGATGTCTGAATCCCCTGTGGAGACCTTAGAGAAAGCCCTAGGTCCCTGCCTCATTTTGACGGAATGCCTCACATCCCGCTGACACCTCGAGAGGCACGCGGAGTTCATTGCTTCAAAAGGTGACGATGCCTGACTCCTCTTGAATACTGATAGGAATCCCAAAATCCCTGTGGCTACTGGAAAGGGTCCTTGGGTGCCCTGCCTCACCTCGAGAAGCGTCCCTTTTGCCCTGCCAAGCCTCGAAGAGATTCCTGATGTGTCCCTCGTTACTAGGCAGGAGTCCTGACGTCACTGGAGAAACTCGTGTTTTGAAGGGCCATCCCCGCGGTAAGTCGAGAACATACCCGAGGTCCCCGCCGCAACTCGAGAAAAACCGTGAGACTTCCCCCTAGAGGCGAGATGAGGCCCCATTCCCCTGCAGTGCATGCAGAGCTATTCCGTGATCCCATTCAAACAAGTCAGGAGCTTCGACTTGCTTAATGGATCTCGAGACAGTCCCCAAGAACACTGTCACCAGTCTAGACGGACCCTGAGGTCACCCCAGCAACGCAAAGTTGCTCCATGTGCCCCAAATCAACTCGAGATGAGGCCGGATTCCACTGCATTGACTCCAGAGCCATTCCCCGTTCCCCATTCAACACGACCGGTGGCTCGACTTCCTTCAGGCAACTCCAAGGATTCCCCGAGAACACTGTCCCAAGTCTAGAGGACCACCAACTTCAGCACAGCAACTCGAGGAATGCTCCGTGTACCCCAAATCATCTCGAGATGAGAGCTGATTCCCTGGCTTAGGCTCAAGACATATGCCAACTTTCCAGAAGCACCTCAGGAGGAGGCTTCTCTCAGCAATAGGTATGTGGGAGGGACCCCGAGTTTGCTGCCTCAAGGGGATTACATAGGGAGAAGCCCTAATGTGAAAGGAGGCCAGATTTCCTTGCAGTGGCTTGAATACAAGCTCGTCTTTGATCTCACAACATGAAGGGATGTCTGAATCCCCTGTGGAGACCTTAGAGGAAGCCCTAGGTCCCTGCCTCATTTTGACGGAATACCTCACATCCCCCTGACACTTCGAGAGGCACGCAGAGATCATTGCTTGTAAAGGTGACGATGCCTGACTCCTCTTGAATACTTAAAGGAATCCCAAAATCCCTGTGGCTACTGGAAAGGGTCCTTAGGTGCCCTGGCTCACCTCGAGAAGCGTCCCTTTTGCCCTGCCAAGCCTCGAAGTGATTGCTGAGGTGTCCCTCGTTACTAGACAGGAGTCCTGACGTCACTGAAGAAACTCGTGTTTTGAAGGGCCATCCCCGCCGTAAGTCGAGAACATACCCCAGGTCCCTGCCGCAACTCGAGAAAAACCATGAGACTTCCCCCTAGAGGCGAGATGAGGCCCCATTCCCCTGCAGTGCATGCAGAGCTATTCCGTGATCCCATTCAAACAAGTCAGGAGCTTCGACTTGCTTAATGGATCTCGAGACAGTCCCCAAGAACACTGTCACCAGTCTAGACGGACCCTGAGGTCACCCAGCAATGCAAAGCAGCTCCATGTGCCCCAAATCAACTCGAGATGAGGCCGGATTCCCCTGCATTGACTCCAGAGCCATTCCCTGTTCCCCATTCAACATGACCGGTGGCTCGACTTCCTTCACGCAACTTCAGAGATGCCCCGAGAACACTGTCCCAATTCTAGAGGACCACCAACTTCAGCACAGCAACTCAAGGAATGCTCTGTGTACCCCAAATCGTCTCGAGATGAGAGCTGATTCCCTGGCTTAGGCTCAAGATGTATGCCAACTTTCCAGAAGCACCTCAGGAGGAGGCTTCTCTCAGCAATAGGTATGTGGGAGGGACCCCGAGTTTGCTGCCTCAAGGGGAATATACAGCGAGAAGCCCTAACTTGAAAGGAGGCCGGTTTTCCTTGCAGTGGCTTGAATACAGGCTCGTCTTTCATCTCACAACATGAAGGGATGTCTGAATCCCCTGTGGAGCCCTTAGAGGAAGCCCTAGGTCCCTGCCTCATTTTGACGGAATACCTCACATCCCCCTGACACCTCGAGATGCACGCAGAGTTCATTGCTTCAAAAGGTGACGATGCCTGACTCCTCTTGAACACTTATAGGAATCCCAAAATCCCTGTGGCTACTGGAAAGGGTCGTTGGGTGCCTGGCTCACCTCGAGAAGCGTCCCTTTTGCCCTTCCAAGCCTCGAAGACATTGCTGAGGTGTCCCTCGTTACTAGACAGGAGTCCTGACGTCACTGAAGAAACTCGTGTTTTGAAGGGCCGTCCCCGCCGTAAGTCGAGAACATACCCCAGGTCCCCGCCGCAACTAGAGAAAAACCATGAGACTTCCCCCTAGAGGCGAGATGAGGCCCCATTCCCCTGCAGTGCATGCAGAGCTATTCCGTGATCCCATTCAAACAAGTCAGGAGCTTCGACTTGCTTAATGGGTCTCGAGGCAGTCCCCAAGAACACTGTCACCAGTCTAGACGGACCCTGAGGTCACCCCAGCAACGCAAAGCAGCTCCATGTGCCCCAAATCAACTCGAGATGAGGTCCGATTCCCCTGCATTGACTCTAGAGCCATTCCCTGTTCCCCATTCAACACGACCGGTGGCTCGACTTCCTTCAGGCAACTCCAGTGATGCCCCGAGAACACTGTCCCAAGTCTAGAGGACCACAAACTTCAGCACAGCAACTCGAGGAATGCTCTGTGTACCCCAAAACGTCTCGAGATGAGAGCTGATTCCCTGGCTTACGCTCAAGACGTATGCCAACTTTCCAGAAGCACCTCAGGAGGAGGCTTCTCTCAGCAATAGGTATGGGGGAGGGACCCCGAGTTTGCTGCCTCAAGGGGAATATACAGCAAGAAGCCCTAACTTGAAAGGAGGCCGGATGTCCTTGCAGTGGCTTGAATACAGGCTCGTCTTTCATCTCACAACATGAAGGGATGTCTGAATCCCCTGTGGAGACCTTAGAGAAAGCCGTAGGTCCCTGCCTCATTTTGACGGAATGCCTCACATCCCGCTGACACCTCGAGAGGCACGCGGAGTTCATTGCTTCAAAAGGTGACGATGCCTGACTCCTCTTGAATACTGATACGAATCCCAAAATCCCTGTGGCTACTGGAAAGGGTCCTTGGGTGACCTGCCTCACCTCGAGAAGCGTCCCTTTTGCCCTACCAAGCCTCGAAGAGATTGCTGAGGTGTCCCTCATTACTAGGTAGGAGTCCTGACGTCACTGGAGAAACTCGTGTTTTGAAGGGCCATCCCCGCCGTAAGTCGAGAACATACCCCAGGTCCCCGCCGCAACTCGAGAAAAACCGTGAGACTTCCCCCTAGAGGCGAGATGAGGCCCCATTCCCCTGCAGTGCATGCAGAGCTATTCCGTGATCCCATTCAAACAAGTCAGGAGCTTCGACTTGCTTAATGGATCTCGAGACAGTCCCCAAGAACATTGTCACCAGTCTAGACGGACCCTGAGGTCACCCAGCAATGCAAAGCAGCTCCATGTGCCCCAAATCAACTCGAGATGAGGCCGGATTCCCCTGCATTGACTCCAGAGCCATTCCCCGTTCCCCGTTCAACACGAACGGAGGCTCGCCTTCCTTCAGGCAACTCCAGATGTGCCCCGAGAACACTGTCCCAAGTCTAGAGGAACACCAACTTCAGCACAGCAACTCGAGGAATGCTCTGTGTACCCCAAATCGTCTCGAGATGAGAGCTGATTCCCTGGCTTAGGCTCAAGACGTATGCCAACTTTCCAGAAGCACCTCAGGAGGAGGCTTCTCAGCAATAGGTATGTGGGAGGGACTCCGAGTTTGCTGCCTCAAGGGGAATATACAGCGAGAAGCCCTAACGTGAAAGGAGGCCGGATTTCCTTGCAGTAGCTTGAATACAGGCTTGTCTTTCATCTCACAACATGAAGGGCTGTCTGAATCCCCTGTGGAGACCTTAGAGAAAGCCCTAGGTCCCTGCCTCATTTTAACGGAATGCCTCACATCCCGCTGACACCTCGAGAGGCAAGCGGAGTTCAATGCTTTAAAAGGTGACGATGCCTGACTCCTCTTGAATACTGATAGGAATCCCAAAATCCCTGTGGCTACTGGAAAGGGTCCTTGGGTGCCCTGCCTCACCTCGAGAAGCGTCCCTTCTGCCCTGCCAAGACTCGAAGAGATTCCTGAGGTGTCCCTCGTTACTAGGCAGGAGTCCTGACGTCACTGAAGAAACTCGTGTTTTGAAGGGCCATCCCTGCCGTAAGTCGAGAACATACCCCAGGTCCCCGCCGCAACTCGAGAAAAACCATGAGACTTCCCCCTAGAGGCGAGATGAGGCCCCATTCCCCTGCAGTGCATGCAGAGCTATTCCGTGATCCCATTCAAACAAGTCAGGAGTTTCGACTTGCTTAATGGATCTCGAGACAGTCCCCAAGAACACTGTCACCAGTCTAGACGGACCCTGAGGTCACCCCAGCAACGCAAAGCTGCTCCATGTGCCCCAAATCAACTCGAGATGAGGCCGGATTCCCCTGCATTGACTCCAGAGCCATTCCCCGTTCCCCATTCAACACGACCGGTGGCTCGACTTCCTTCAGGCAACTCCAGAGATGCCCCGAGAACACTGTCCCAAGTCTAGAGGAACACCAACTTCAGCACAGCAACTCGAGGAATGCTCTGTCTACCCCAAATCGTCTCGAGATGAGAGCTGATTCCCTGGCTTAGGCTCAAGACGTATTCCAACTTTCCAGAAGCACCTCAGGAGGAGGCTTCTCAGCAATAGGTATGTGGGAGGGACTCCGAGTTTGCTGCCTCAAGGGGAATATACAGCGAGAAGCCCTAACTTGAAAGGAGGCTGGATTTCCTTGCAGTAGCTTGAATACAGGCTTGTCTTTCATCTCACAACATGAAGGGCTGTCTGAATCCCCTGTGGAGACCTTAGAGAAAGCCCTAGGTCCCTGCCTCATTTTGACGGAATGCCTCACATCCCGCTGACACCTCGAGAGGCACGCGGAGTTCATTGCTTTAAAAAGTGACGATGCCTGACTCCTCTTGAATACTGATAGGAATCCCAAAATCCCTGTGTCTACTGGAAAGGGTCCTTGGGTGCCCTGCCTCACCTCGAGAAGCGTCCCTTTTGCCCTGCCAAGACTCGAAGAGATTCCTGAGGTGTCCCTCGTTACTAGGCAGGAGTCCTGACGTCACTGAAGAAACTCGTGTTTTGAAGGGCCATCCCTGCCGTAAGTCGAGAACATACCCCAGGTCCCCGCCGCAACTCGAGAAAAACCATGAGACTTCCCCCTAGAGGCGAGATGAGGCCCCATTCCCCTGCAGTGCATGCAGAGCTATTCCGTGATCCCATTCAAACAAGTCAGGAGCTTCGACTTGCTTAATGGATCTCGAGACAGTCCCCAAGAACACTGTCACCAGTCTAGACGGACCCTGAGGTCACCCCAGCAACGCAAAGCTGCTCCATGTGCCCCAAATCAACTCGAGATGAGGCCCGATTCCCCTGCATTGACTCCAGAGCCATTCCCCGTTCCCCATTCAACACGACCGGTGGCTCGACTTCCTTCAGGCAACTCCAGAGATGCCCCGAGAACACTGTCCCAAGTCTAGAGGAACACCAATTTCAGCACAGCAACTCGAGGAATGCTCCGTGTACTCCAAATCATCTCGAGATGAGAGCTGATTCCCTGGCTTAGGCTCAAGACGTATGCCAACTTTCCAGAAGCACCTCAGGAGGAGGCTTCTCTCAGCAATCGGTATGTGGGAGGAACCCCGAGTTTGCTGCCTCAAGGGGAATATACAGCGAGAAGCCCTAACTTGAAAGGAGGCCGGATTTCCTTGCAGTGGCTTGAATACAGGCTCGTCTTTGATCTGACAACATGAAGGGATGTCTGAATCCCCTGTGGAGACCTTAGAGAAAGCCCTAGGTCCCTGCCTCATTTTGACAGAATGCCTCACATCCCGCTGACACCTCGAGAGGCACGCGGAGTTCGTTGGTTCAAAAGCTGACGATGCCTGACTCCTGTTGAATACTGATAGGAATCCCAAAATCCCTGTGGCTACTGGAAAGGGTCCTTGGGTGCCCTGGCTCACCTCGAGAAGCGTCCCTTTTGCCCTGCCAAGCCTCGAAGAGATTCCTGAGGAGTCCCTCGTTACTAGGCAGGAGTCCTGACGTCACTGAAGAAACTCGTGTTTTGAAGGGCCATCCCCACCGTAAGTCGAGAACATACCCCAGGTCCCCGCCGCAACTCGAGAAAAACCGTGAGCCTTCCCCCTAGAGGCGAGATGAGGCCCCATTCCCCTGCAGTGCATGCAGAGCTATTCCGTGATCCCATTCAAACAAGTCAGGAGCTTCGACTTGCTTAATGGATCTCGAGACAGTCCCCAAAAACACTGTCACCAGTCTAGACGGACCCTGAGGTCACCCAGCAATGCAAAGCAGCTCCATGTGCCCCAAATCAACTCGAGATGAGGCCGGATTCCCCTGCATTGACTCCAGAGCCATTCCCTGTTCCCCATTCAACATGACCGGTGGCTCGACTTCCTTCACGCAACTTCAGAGATGCCCCGAGAACACTGTCCCAATTCTAGAGGACCACCAACTTCAGCACAGCAACTCGAGGAATGCTCTGTGTACCCCAAATCGTCTCGAGATTAGAGCTGATTCCCTGGCTTAGGCTCAAGATGTATGCCAACTTTCCAGAAGCACCTCAGGAGGAGGCTTCTCTCAGCAATAGGTATGTGGGAGGGACCCCGAGTTTGCTGCCTCAAGGGGAATATACAGCGAGACGCCCTAACTTGAAAGGAGGCCGGTTTTCCTTGCAGTGGCTTGAATACAGGCTCGTCTTTCATCTCACAACATGAAGGGATGTCTGAATCCCCTGTGGAGCCCTTAGAGGAAGCCCTAGGTCCCTGCCTCATTTTGACGGAATACCTCACATCCTCCTGACACCTCGAGATGCACGCAGAGTTCATTGCTTCAAAAGGTGACGATGCCTGACTCCTCTTGAACACTTATAGGAATCCCAAAATCCCTGTGGCTACTGGAAAGGGTCCTTGGGTGCCCTGGCTCACCTCGAGAAGCGTCCCTTTTGCCCTGCCAAGCCTCGAAGACATTGCTGAGGTGTCCCTCGTTACTAGACATTAGTCCTGACGTCACTGAAGAAACTCGTGTTTTGAAGGGCCGTCCCCGCCGTAAGTCGAGAACATACCCCAGGTCCCCGCCGCAACTCGAGAAAAACCATGAGACTTCCCCGTAGAGGCGAGATGAGGCCCCATTCCCCTGCAGTGCATGCAGAGCTATTCCGTGATCCCATTCATACAAGTCAGGAGCTTCGACTTGCTTAATGGATCTCGAGACAGTCCCCAAGAACACTGTCACCAGTCTAGACGGACCCTGAGGTCACCCCAGCAACGCAAAGCAGCTCCAGGTGCCCCAAATCAACTCGAGATGAGGCCCGATTCCCCTGCATTGACTCCAGAGCCATTCCTCGTTCCCCATTCCACACGCCGGTGGCTCGCCTTCCTTCAGGCAACTCCAGAGATGCCCCGAGAACACTGTCCCAAGTCTAGAGGACCACCAACTTCAGCACAGCAACTCGAGGAATGTTCTGTGTACCCCAAATCATTTCGAGATGAGAGCTGATTCCCTGGCTTACGCTCAAGACGTATTCCAACTTTCCAGAAGCACCTCAGAAGGAGGCTTCTCTCAGCAATAGGTATGGGGGAGGGACCCCGAGTTTGCTGCCTCAAGGGGAATATACAGCGAGAAGCCCTAACTTGAAAGGAGGCCGGATGTCCTTGCAGTGGCTTGAATACAGGCTCGTCTTTCATCTCACAACATGAAGGGATGTCTGAATCCCCTGTGGAGACCTTAGAGAAAGCCCTAGGTCCCTGCCTCATTTTGACGGAATGCCTCACATCCCGCTGACACCTCGAGAGGCAAGCGGAGTTCATTGCTTTAAAAGGTGACGATGCCTGACTCCTCTTGAATACTGATAGGAATCCCAAAATCCCTGTGGCTACTGGAAAGGGTCCTTGGGTGCCCTGCCTCACCTCGAGAAGCGTCCCTTTTGCCCTGCCAAGACTCGAAGAGATTCCTGAGGTGTCCCTCGTTACTAGGCAGGAGTCCTGACGTCACTGAAGAAACTCGTGTTTTGAAGGGCCATCCCTGCCGTAAGTCGAGAACATACCCCAGGTCCCCGCCGCAACTCGAGAAAAACCATGAGACTTCCCCCTAGAGGCGAGATGAGGCCCCATTCCCCTGCAGTGCATGCAGAGCTATTCCGTGATCCCATTCAAACAAGTCAGGAGCTTCGACTTGCTTAATGGATCTCGAGACAGTCCCCAAGAACACTGTCACCAGTCTAGACGGACCCTGAGGTCACCCCAGCAACGCAAAGCTGCTCCATGTGCCCCAAATCAACTCGAGATGAGGCCGGATTCCCCTGCATTTACTCCAGAGCCATTCCCCGTTCCCCATTCAACACGACCGGTGGCTCGACTTCCTTCAGGCAACTCCAGAGATGCCCCGAGAACACTGTCCCAAGTCTAGAGGAACACCAACTTCAGCACAGCAACTCGAGGAATGCTCCGTGTACCCCAAATCATCTCGAGATGAGAGCTGATTCCCTGGCTTAGGCTCAAGACGTATGCCAACTTTCCAGAAGCACCTCAGGAGGAGGATTCTCTCAGCAATCGGTATGTGGGAGGGACCCCGAGTTTGCTGCCTCAAGGGGAATATACAGCGAGAAGCCGTAACTTGAAAGGAGGCCGGATTTCCTTGCAGTGGCTTGAATACAGGCTCGTCTTTCATCTCACAACATGAAGGGATGTCTGAATCCCCTGTGGAGACCTTAGAGGAAGCCCTAGGTCCCTGCCTCATTTTGACGGAATACCTCACATCCCCCTGACACCTCGAGATGCACGCAGAGTTCATTGCTTCAAAAGGTGACGATGCCTGACTCCTCTTGAACACTTATAGGAATCCCAAAATCCCTGTGGCTACTGGAAAGGGTCCTTGGGTGCCCTGGCTCACCTCGAGAAGCGTCCCTTTTGCCCTGCCAAGCCTCGAAGACATTGCTGAGGTGTCCCTCGTTACTAGACAGGAGTCCTGACTTCACTGAAGAAACTCGTGTTTTGAAGGGCCGTCCCCGCCGTAAGTCGAGAACATACCCAGGTCCCCGCCGCACCTCGAGAAAAACCATGAGACTTCCCCCTAGAGGCGAGATGAGGCCCCATTCCCCTGCAGTGCATGCAGAGCTATTCCGTGATCCCATTCAAACAAGTCAGGAGCTTCGACTTGCTTAATGGTTCTCGAGACAGTCCCCAAGAACACTGTCACCAGTCTAGACGGACCCTGAGGTCACCCCAGCAACGCAAAGCAGCTCCATGTGCCCGAAATCAACTCGAGATGAGGCCCGATTCCCCTGCATTGACTCCAGAGCCATTCCTCGTTCCCCATTCCACATGCCGGTGGCTCGCCTTCCTTCAGGCAACTCCAGAGATGCCCCGAGAACACTGTCCCAAGTCTAGAGGAACACCAACTTCAGCACAGCAACTCGAAGAATGCTCCGTGTACCCCAAATCATCTCGAAATGAGAGCTGATTCCCTGGCTTAGGCTCAAGACGTATGCCAACTTTCCAGAAGCACCTCAGGAGGAGGCCTCTCTCAGGAATAGATATGTGGGAGGGACCCCGAGTTTGCTGCCTCAAGGGGAATACACAGGGAGAAGCTCTAATGTGAAAGGAGGCCAGATTTCCTTGCAGTGGCTTGAATACAGGCTCGTCTTTGATCTCACAACATGAAGGGATGCCTGAATCCCCTGTGGAGACCTTAGAGGAAGCCCTAGGTCCCTGCCTCATTTTGACGGAATACCTCACATCCCCCTGACACCTCGAGAGGCACGCAGAGTTCATTGCTTCAAAAGGTGACGATGCCTGACTCCTCTTGAATACTTATAGGAATCCCCAAATCCCTGTGGCTACTGGAAAGGGTCTTTGGGTGCCCTGGCTCACCTCGAGAAGCGTCCCTTTTGCCCTGCCAAGCCTCGAAGAGATTGCTGAGGTGTCCCTCGTTACTAGACAGGAGTCCTGACGTCACTGAAGGAACTCGTGTTTTGAAGGGCCATCCCCGCCGTAAGTCGAGAACATACCCCAGGTCCCCGCCGCAACTCGAGAAAAACCATGAGACTTCCCCCTATAGGCGAGATGAGGCCCCATTCCCCTGCAGTGCATGCAGAGCTATTCCGTGATCCCCTTCAAAGAAGTCAGGAGCTTCGACTTGCTTAATGGATCTCGAGACAGTCCCAAAGAACACTGTCACCAGTCTAGACGGACCCTGAAGTCACCCCAGCAACGCAAAACAGGTCCATGTGCCCCAAATCAACTCGAGATGAGGCCCGATTCCCCTGCATTGACTCCAGAGCCATTCCTTGTTCCCCGTTCAACACGACCGGTGGCTCGCCTTCCTTCAGGCAACTCCAGAGATGCCCTGAGAGCACTGTTCCAAGTCTAGAGCAACACCAACTTCAGCACAGCAACTCGAGGAATGCCCTGTGTACCCCAAATCGTCTCGAGATGAGACCTGATTCCCTGGCTTAGGCTCAAGACGTATGCCAACTTTCCAGAAGCACCTCAGGAGGAGGCTTCTCAGCAATAGGTATGTGGGAGGGACTCCGAGTTTGCTGCCTCAAGGGGAATATACAGCGAGAAGCCCTAACTTGAAAGGAGGCCGGATTTCCTTGCAGTAGCTTGAATACAGGCTTGTCTTTCATCTCACAACATGAAGGGATGTCTGAATCCCCTGTGGAGACCTTAGAGAAAGCCCTAGGTCCCTGCCTCATTTTGACGGAATGCCTCACATCCCGCTGACACCTCGAGAGGCACGCGGAGTTCATTGCTTCAAAAGGTGAGGATGCCTGACTACTCTTGAATACTGATAGGAATCCCAAAATCCCTGTGGCTACTGGAAAGGGTCCTTCGGTGACCTGCCTCACCTCGAGAAGCGTCCCTTTTGCCCTGCCAAGCCTCGAAGAGATTCCTGAGGTGTCCCTCGTTACTAGGCAGGAGTCCTGACGTCACTGAAGAAACTCGTGTTTTGAAGGGCCATCCCCACCGCAAGTCGAGAACATACCCCAGGTCCCCGCCGCAACTCGAGAAAAACCGTGAGACTTCCCCCTAGAGGCGAGATGAGGCCCCATTCCCCTGCAGTGCATGCAGAGCTATTCCGTGATCCCATTCAAACAAGTCAGGAGCTTCGACTTGCTTAATGGATCTCGAGACAGTCCCCAAGAATACTATCACCAGTCTAGACGGACCCTGAGGTCACCCCAGCAACGCAAAGTTGCTCCATGTGCCCCAAATCAACTCGAGATGAGGCCGGATTCCACTGCATTGACTCCAGAGCCATTCCCCGTTCCCCATTCAACACGACCGGTGGCTCGACTTCCTTCAGGCAACTCCAAGGATTCCCCGAGAACACTGTCCCAAGTCTAGAGGACCACCAACTTCAGCACAGCAACTCGAGGAATGCTCCGTGTACCCCAAATCATCTCGAGATGAGAGCTGATTCCCTGGCTAAGGCTCAAGACATATGCCAACTTTCCAGAAGCACCTCAGGAGGAGGCTTCTCTCAGCAATAGGTATGTGGGAGGGACCCCGAGTTTGCTGCCTCAAGGGGATTACATAGGGAGAAGCCCTAATGTGAAAGGATGCCAGATTTCCTTGCAGTGGCTTGAATACAAGCTCGTCTTTGATCTCACAACATGAAGGGATGTCTGAATCCCCTGTGGAGACCTTAGAGGAAGCCCTAGTTCCCTGCCTCATTTTGACGGAATACCTCACATCCCCCTGACACTTCGAGAGGCACGCAGAGATCATTGCTTGTAAAGGTGACGATGCCTGACTCCTCTTGAATACTTAAAGGAATCCCAAAATCCCTGTGGCTACTGGAAAGGGTCCTTGGGTGCCCTGGCTCACCTCGAGAAGCGTCCCTTTTGCCCTGCCAAGCCTCGAAGTGATTGCTGAGGTGTCCCTCGTTACTAGACAAGATTCCTGACGTCACTGAAGAAACTCGTGTTTTGAAGGGCCATCCCCGCCGTAAGTCGAGAACATACCCCAGGTCCCCGCCGCAACTCGAGAAAAACCATGAGACTTCCCCCTCTAGGCGAGATGAGGCCCCATTCCCCTGCAGTGCATGCAGAGATATTCCGTGATCCCATTCAAACAAGTCAGGAGCTTCGACTTGCTTAATGGATCTCCAGACAGTCCCCAAGAACACTGTCACCAGTCTAGACGGTCCCTGAGGTCACCCCAGCAACGCAAAGCAGCTCCATGTGCCCCAAATCAACTCGAGATGAGGCCCGATTCCCCTGCATTGACTCCAGAGCCATTCCCCGTTCCCCATTCAACACGACCGGTGGCTCGACTTCCTTCAGGCAACTCCAGAGAGGCCCCGAGAACACTGTCCCAAGTCTAGAGGAACACCAACTTCAGCACAGCAACTCGAGGAATGCTCTGTGTACCCCAAATCGTCTCGAGATGAGAGCTGATTCCCTGGCTTAGGCTCAAGACGTATGCCAACTTTCCAGAAGCACCTCAGGAGGAGGCTTCTCTCAGCAATAGGTATGTGGGAGGGACTCCGATTTTGTTGCCTCAAGGGGAATATACAGCGAGAAGCCCTAACTTGAAAGGAGGCCGGATTTCCTTGCAGTAGCTTGAATACAGGCTTGTCTTTCATCTCACAACATGAAGGGATGTCTGAATCCCCTGTGGAGACCTTAGAGAAAGCCCTAGGTCCCTGCCTCATTTTGACGGAATGCCTCACATCCCGCTGACACCTCGAGAGGCAAGCGGAGTTCATTGCTTTAAAAGGTGACGATGCCTGACTCCTCTTGAATACTGATAGGAATCCCAGAATCCCTGTGGCTACTGGAAAGTGTCCTTGGGTGCCCTGCCTCACCTCGAGAAGCGTCCCTTTTGCCCTGCCAAGCCTCGAAGAGATTGCTGAGGTGTCCCTCGTTACTAGGTAGGAGTCCTGACGTCACTGGAGAAACTCGTGTTTTGAAGGGCCATCCCCGCCGTAAGTCGAGAACATACCCCAGGTCCCCGCCGCAACTCGAGAAAAACCGTGAGACTTCCCCCTAGAGGCGAGATGAGGCCCCATTCCCCTGCAGTGCATGCAGAGCTATTCCGTGATCCCATTCAAACAAGTCAGGAGCTTCGACTTGCTTAATGGATCTCGAGACAGTCCCCAAGAACATTGTCACCAGTCTAGACGGACCCTGAGGTCACCCAGCAATGCAAAGCAGCTCCATGTGCCCCAAATCAACTCGAGATGAGGCCGGATTCCCCTGCATTGACTCCAGAGCCATTCCCCATTCCCCGTTCAACACGAACGGAGGCTCGCCTTCCTTCAGGCAACTCCAGATGTGCCCCGAGAACACTGTCCCAAGTCTAGAGGAACACCAACTTCAGCACAGCAACTCGAGGAATGCTCTGTGTACCCCAAATCGTCTCGAGATGAGAGCTGATTCCCTGGCTTAGGCTCAAGACGTATGCCAACTTTCCAGAAGCACCTCAGGAGGAGGCTTCTCTCAGCAATAGGTATGTGGGAGGGACTCCGAGTTTGCTGCCTCAAGGGGAATATACAGCGAGAAGCCCTAACTTGAAAGGAGGCCGGATTTCCTTGCAGTAGCTTGAATACAGGCTTGTCTTTCACCTCACAACATGAAGGGCTGTCTGAATCCCCTGTGGAGACCTTAGAGAAAGCCTTAGGTCCCTGCCTCATTTTGACGGAATGCCTCACATCCCGCTGACACCTCGAGAGGCAAGCGGAGTTCAATGCTTTAAAAGGTGCCGATGCCTGACTCCTCTTGAATACTGATAGGAATCCCAAAATCCCTGTGGCTACTGGAAAGGGTCCTTGGGTGCCCTGCCTCACCTCGAGAAGCGTCCCTTTTGCCCTGCCAAGACTCGAAGAGATTCCTGAGGTGTCCCTCGTTACTAGGCAGGAGTCCTGACGTCACTGAAGAAACTCGTGTTTTGAAGGGCCATCCCTGCCGTAAGTCGAGAACATACCCCAGGTCCCCGCAGCAACTCGAGAAAAACCATGAGACTTCCCCCTAGAGGCGAGATGAGGCCCCATTCCCCTGCAGTGCATGCAGAGCTATTCCGTGATCCCATTCAAACAAGTCAGGAGCTTCGACTTGCTTAATGGATCTCGAGACAGTCCCCAAGAACACTGTCACCAGTCTAGACGGACCCTGAGGTCACCCCAGCAACGCAAAGCTGCTCCATGTGCCCCAAATCAACTCGAGATGAGGCCGGATTCCCCTGCATTTACTCCAGAGCCATTCCCCGTTCCCCATTCAACACGACCGGTGGCTCGACTTCCTTCAGGCAACTCCAGAGATGCCCCGAGAACACTGTCCCAAGTCTAGAGGAACACCAAGTTCAGCACAGCAACTCGAGGAATGCTCTGTGTACCCCAAATCGTCTCGAGATGAGAGCTGATTCCCTGGCTTAGGCTCAAGACGTATGCCAACTTTCCAGAAGCACCTCAGGAGGAGGCTTCTGTCAGCAATAGGTATGTGGGAGGGACCCCGAGTTTGCTGCCTCAAGGGGAATACACAGGGAGAAGCCCTAATGTGAACGGAGGCCAGAATTCCTTGCAGTGGCTTGAATACAGGCTCGTCTTTGGTCTGACAACATGAAGCGATGTCTGAATCCCCTGTGGAGACCTTAGAGGAAACCCTAGGTCCCTGCCTCATTTTGACGGAATACCTCACACCCCCCGACACTTCGAGAGGCACGCAGAGTTCATTGCTTCAAAAGGTGACGATGCCTGACTCCTCTTGAATACTGATAGGAATCCCAAAATCCCTGTGGCTACTGGAAAGGGTCCTTGGGTGCCCAGGCTCACCTCGAGAGGCGTCCCTTTCGCCCTGCCAACCTCGAAGAGATTGCTGAGGTGTCCCTCATTACTAGACAGGAGTCCTGACGTCACTGAAGAAACTCGTGTTTTGAAGGGCCATCCCCGCCGTAAGTCGAGAACATACCCCAGGTCCCCGCCGCAACTCGAGAAAAACCATGAGACTTCCCCCTAGAGGCGAGATGAAGCCCCATTCCCCTGCAGTGCATGCAGAGCTATTCCGTGATCCCATTCAAACAAGTCAGGAGCTTCGACTTGCTTAATGGATCTCGAGACAGTCCCCAAGAACACTGTCACCAGTCTAGACGGACCCTGAGGTCACCCAGCAATGCAAAGCAGCTCCATGTGCCCCAAATCAACTCGAGATGAGGCCGGATTCCCCTGCATTTACTCCAGAGCCATTCCGCGTTCCCCATTCAACACGACCGGTGGCTCGACTTCCTTCAGGCAACCTCAGAGATGCCCCGAGAACACTGTCCCAAGTCTAGAGGACCACCAACTTCAGCACAGCAACTCGAGGAATGCTCTGTGTACCCCAAATCGTCTCGAGATGAGAGCTGATTCCCTGGCTTACGCTCAACACGTATGCCAACTTTCCAGAAGCACCTCAGGAGGAGGCTTCTCTCAGCAATAGGTATGTGGGAGGGACCCCGAGTTTGCTGCCTCAAGGGGAATATACAGCGAGAAGCCCTAACTTGAAAGGAGACCGGATTTCCTTGCAGTGTCTTGAATACAGGCTCGTCTTTCATCTCACAACATGAAGGGCTGTCTGAATCCCCTGTGGAGACCTTAGAGAAAGCCTTAGGTCCCTGCCTCATTTTGACGGAATCCTCACATCCCGCTGACACATCGAGAGACACGCGGAGTTCATTGCTTCAAAAGGTGACGATGCCTGACTCCTCTTGAATACTGATAGGAATCCCAAAATCCCTGTGGCTACTGGAAAGGGTCCTTGGGTGCCCTGCCTCACCTCGAGAAGCGTCCCTTTTGCCCTGCCAAGCCTCGAAGAGATTGCTGAGGTGTCCCTCATTACTAGGCAGGAGTCCTGACGTCACTGGAGAAACTCGTGTTTTGAAGGGCCATCCCCGCCGTAAGTCGAGAACATACCCCAGGTCCCCGCCGTAACTCGAGAAAAACCGTGAGACTTCCCCCTAGAGGCGAGATGAGGCCCCATTCCACTACAGTGCATGCAGAGCTATTCCGTGATCCCATTCAAACAAGTCAGGAGCTTCGACTTGCTTAATGGATCTCGAGGCAGTCCCCAAGAACACTGTCACCAGTCTAGACGTACCCTGAGGTCACCCAGCAATGCAAAGCAGCTCCATGTGCCCCAAATCAACTCGAGATGAGGCCCGATTCCCCTGCATTGACTCCAGAGCCATTCCCCGTTCCACATTCAACACGACCGGTGGCTCGACTTCCTTCAGGCAACTCCAGAGATGCCCGAGAACACTCTCCCAAGTCTAGAGGAACACCAACTTCAGCACAGCAACTCGAGGAATGCTCCGTGTACCCCAAATCATCTCGAGATGAGAACTGATTCCCTGGCTTAGGCTCAAGACGTATGCCAACTTTCCAGACGCACCTCAGGAGGAGGCTTCTCTCAGCAATAGGTATGTGGGAGGGACCCCGAGTTTGCTGCCTCAAGGGGAATACACAGGGAGAAGCCCTAATGTGAACGGAGGCCAGATTTCCTTGCAGTGGCTTGAATACAGGCTAGTATTTGATCTGACAACATGAAGGGATGTCTGAATCCCCTGTGGAGACCTTAGAGGAAGCCCTAGGCCCTGCCTCATTTTGACGGAATACCTCACATCCCCCTGACACCTCGAGAGGCACGCAGAGTTCATTGCTTCAAAAGGTGACGATGCCTGACTCCTCTTGAATACTTATAGGAATCCCAAAATCCCTGTGGCTACTGGAAAGGGTCCTTGGGTGCCCTGGCTCACCTCGAGAAGCGTCCCTTTTGCCCTGCCAAGCCTCGAAGAGATTGCTGAGGTGTCCCTCATCACTAGACAGGAGTCCTGACGTCACTGAAGAAACTCGTGTTTTGAAGGGCCATCCCCGCCGTAAGTCGAGGACATACCCCAGGTCCCAGCCGCAACTCGAGAAAAACCATGAGACTTCCCCCTAGAGGGGAGATGAGGCCCCATTCCCCTGCAGTGCATGCAGAGATATTCCGTGATCCCATTCAAACAAGTCAGGAGCTTCGACTTGCTTAATGGATCTCGAGACAGTCCCCAAGAACACTGTCACCAGTCTAGACGGACCCTGAGGTCACCCCAGCAACGCAAAGCAGCTCCATGTGCCCCAAATCAACACGAGATGAGGCCCAATTCCCCTGCATTGACTCCAGAGCCATTCCCCTTTCCCCGTTCAACACGAACGGTGGCTCGCCTTCCTTCAGGCAACTCCAGAGATGCCCCGAGAACACTGTCCCAAGTCTAGAGGAACACCAACTTCAGCACAGCAACTCGAGGAATGCTCTGTGTACCCCAAATCGTCACGAGATGAGAGCTGATTCCCTGGCTTAGGCTCAAGACGTATGCCAACTTTCCAGAAGCACCTCAGGAGGAGGCTTCTCAGCAATAGGTATGTGGGAGGGACTCCGAGTGTGCTGCCTCAAGGGGAATATACAGCGAGAAGCCCTAACTTGAAAGGAGGCCGGATTTCCTTGCAGTAGCTTGAATACAGGCTTCTCTTTCTTCTCACAACATGAAGGGATGTCTGAATCCCCTGTGGAGACCTTAGAGAAAGCCCTAGGTCCCTGCCTCATTTTGACGGAATGCCTCACATCCCGCTGACACCTCGAGAGGCACGCGGAGTTCATTGCTTCAAAAGGTGACGATGCCTGACTCCTCTTGAATACTGATAGGAATCCCAAAATCCCTGTGGCTACTGGGAAGGGTCCTTGGGTGCCCTGCCTCACCTCGAGAAGCGTCCCTTTTGCCCTGCCAAGCCTCGAAGAGATTCCTGAGGTGTCCCTCGTTACTAAACAGGAGTCCTGACGTCACTGAAGAAATTCGTGTTTTGAAGGGCCATCCCCGCCGTAAGTCGAGAACATACCCCAGGTCCCCGCTGCAACTCGAGAAAAACCATGAGACTTCCCCCTAGAGGTGAGATGAGGCCCCATTCCCCTGCAGTGCATGCAGAGCTATTCCGTGATCCCATTCAAACAAGTCAGGAGCTTTGACTTGCTTAATGGATCTCGAGACAGTCCCCAAGAACACTGTCACCAGTCTAGACGGACCCTGAGGTCACCCCAGCAACGCAAAGCAGCTGCATGTGCCCCAAATCAACTCGAGATGAGGCCCGATTCCCCTGCATTGACTCCAGAGCCATTCCCCGTTCCCCGTTCAACACGAACGGTGGCTCGCCTTCCTTCAGGCAACTCCAGAGATGCCCCGAGAACACTGTCCCAAGTCTAGAGGAACACCAACTTCAGCACAGCAACTCGAGGAATGCTCTGTGTACCCCAAATCGTCTCGAGATGAGAGCTGATTCCCTGGCTTAGGCTCAAGACGTATGCCAACTTTCCAGAAGCAGCTCAGGCGGAGGCTTCTCAGCAATAGGTATGTGGGAGGGACTCCGAGTGTGCTGCCTCAAGGGGAATATACAGCGAGAAGCCCTAACTTGAAAGGAGGCCAGATTTCCTTGCAGTAGCTTGAATACAGGCTTGTCTTTCTTCTCACAACATGAAGGGATGTCTGAATCCCCTGTGGAGACCTTAGAGAAAGCCCTAGGTCCCTGCCTCATTTTGACGGAATGCCTCACATCCCGCTGACACCTCGAGAGGCACGCGGAGTTCATTGCTTCAAAAGGTGCCGATGCCTGACTCCTCTTGAATACTGATAGGAATCCCAAAATCCCTGTGGCTACTGGAAAGGGTCCTTGGGTGCCCTGCCTCACCTCGAGAAGCGTCCCTTTTGCCCTGCCAAGCCTCGAAGAGATTCCTGAGGGGTCCCTCGTTACTAGACAGGAGTCCTGACGTCACTGAAGAAACTCGTGTTTTGAAGGGCCATCCCCGCCGGAAGTCGAGAACATACCCCAGGTCCCCGCCGCAACTCGAGAAAAACCATGAGACTTCCCCCTAGAGGCGAGATGAGGCCCCATTCCCCTGCAGTGCATGCAGAGCTATTCCGTGATCCCATTCAAACAAGTCAGGAGCTTCGACTTGCTTAATGGATCTCGAGACAGAACCCAAGAACACTGTCACCAGTCTAGACGGACCCTGAGGTCACCCGAGCAACGCAAAGCAGGTCCATGTGCCCCAAATCAACTCGAGATGAGGCCCGATTACCCTGCATTGACTCCAGAGCCATTCCCCGTTCCCCATTCAACACGACCGGTGGCTCGACTTCCTTCAGGCAACTCCAGAGATGCCCCGAGAACACTGTCCCAAGTCTAGAGGAACACCAACTTCAGCACAGCAACTCGAGGAATGCTCTGTGTACCCCAAATCATTTCGAGATGAGAGCTGATTCCCTGGCTTAGGCTCAAGACGTATGCCAACTTTCCAGAAGCACCTCAGGAGGAGGCTTCTCTCAGCAATAGGTATGTGGGAGGGACCCCGAGTTTGCTGCCTCAAGGGGAATATACAGCGAGAAGCCCTAACTTGAAAGGAGGACGGATTTCCTTGCAGGGGCTTGAATACAGGCTCGTCTTTCATCTCACATCATGAAGGCATGTCTGAATCCCCTGTGGAGACCTTAGAGAAAGCCCTAGGTCCCTGCCTCATTTTGACGGAATGCCTCACATCCCGCTGACACCTCGAGAGGCACGCGGAGTTCATTGCTTCAAAAGGTGACGATGCCTGACTCCTCTTGAATACTGATAGGAATCCCAAAATCCCTGTGGCTACTGGAAAGGGTTCTTGGGTGCCCTGCCTCACATCGAGAAGCGTCCCTTTTGCCCTGCCAAGCCTCGAAGAGATTGCTGAGGTGTCCCTCGTTACTAGGCAGGAGTCCTGACGTCACTGGAGAAACTCGTGTTTTGAAGGGCCATCCCCGCCGTAAGTCAAGAACATACCCCAGGTCCCCGCCGCAACTCGAGAAAAACCGTGAGACTTCCCCCTAGAGGCGAGATGAGGCCCCATTCCCCTGCAGTGCATGCAGAGCTATTCCGTGATCCCATTCAAACAAGTCAGGAGCTTTGACTTGCTTAATGGATTTCGAGACAGTCCCCAAGAACACTGTAACCAGTCTAGACGGACCGTGAAGTCACCCAGCAATGCAAAGCAGCTCCATGTGCCCCAAATCAACTCGAGATGAGGCCCGATTCCCCTGCATTGACTCCAGAGCCATTCCCTGTTCCCCATTCAACACGACCGGTGGCTCGACTTCCTTCAGGCAACTCCAGAGATGCCCCGAGAACACTGTCCCAAGTCTAGAGAACCACCAACTTCAGCACAGCAACTCGAGGAATGCTCTGTGAAACCCAAATCGTCTCGAGATGAGAGCTGATTCCCTGGCTTAGGCTCAACACGTATGCCAACTTTCCAGAAGCACCTCAGGAGGAGGCTTCTCTCAGCAATAGGTATGTGGGAGGGACCCCGAGTTTGCTGCCTCAAGGGGAATATACAGCGAGAAGCCCTAACTTGAAAGGAGGCCGGATTTCCTTGCAGTGGCTTGAATACAGGCTCGTCTTTCATCTCACAACATGAAGGGATGTCTGAATCCCCTGCGGAGACCTTAGAGAAAGCCCTAGGTCCCTGCCTCATTTTGACGGAATCCTCACATCCCGCTGACACCTCGAGAGGCACGCGGAGTTCATTGCTTCAAAAGGTGACGATGCCTGACTCCTCTTGAATACTGATAGGAATCCCAAAATCCCTGTGGCTACTGGAAAGGGTCCTTGGGTGCCCTGCCTCACCTCGAGAAGCGTCCCTTTTGCCCTGCCAAGCCTCGAAGAGATTCCTGAGGTGTCCCTCGTTACTAGACAGGAGTCCTGACGTCACTGAAGAAACTCGTGTTTTGAAGGGCCATCCCCACCGTAAGTCGAGAACATACCCCAGGTCCCCGCCGCAACTCGAGAAAAACCATGAGACTTCCCCCTAGAGGCGAGATGATGCCCCATTCCCCTGCAGTGCATGCAGAGCTATTCCGTGATCCCATTCAAACAAGTCAGGAGCTTCGACTTGCTTAATGGATCTCGAGACAGTCCCCAAGAACACTGTCACCAGTCTAGACGGACCCTGAGGTCACCCCAGCAACGCAAAGCTGCTCCATGTGCCCCAAATCAACTCGAGATGAGGCCCGATTCCCCTGCATTGACTCCAGAGACATTCCCCCTTCCCCATTCAACACGAACGGTGGCTCGACTTCCTTCAGGCAACTCCAGAGATGCCCCGAGAACACTGTCCCAAGTCTAGAGGAACACCAACTTCAGCAAAGCAACTCGAGGAATGCTCCGTGTACCCCAAATCATCTCGAGATGAGAACTGATTCCCTGGCTTAGGCTCAAGACGTATGCCAACTTTCCAGACGCACCTCAGGAGGAGGCTTCTCTCAGCAATAGGTATGTGGGAGGGACCCCGAGTTTGCTGCCTCAAGGGGAATACACAGGGAGAAGCCCTAATGTGAACGGAGGCCAGATTTCCTTGCAGTGGCTTGAATACAGGCTAGTATTTGATCTGACAACATGAAGGGATGTCTGAATCCCCTGTGGAGACCTTAGAGGAAGCCCTAGGTCCCTGCCTCATTTTGACGGAATACCTCACATCCCCCTGACACCTCGAGAGGCACGCAGAGTTCATTGCTTCAAAAGGTGACGATGCCTGACTCCTCTTGAATACTTATAGGAATCCCAAAATCCCTGTGGCTACTGGAAAGGGTCCTTGGGTGCCCTGCCTCACCTCGAGAAGCGTCCCTTTTGCCCTGCCAAGCCTCGAAGAGATTGCTGAGGTGTCCCTCATTACTAGACAGGAGTCCTGACGTCACTGAAGAAACTCGTGTTTTGAAGGGGCATCCCCGCCGTAAGTCGAGAACATACCCCAGGTCCCCGCCGCAACTCGAGAAAAACCATGAGACTTCCCCCTAGAGGGGAGATGAGGCCCCATTCCCCTGCAGTGCATGCAGAGATATTCCGTGATCCCATTCAAACAAGTCAGGAGCTTCGACTTGCTTAATGGATCTCGAGACAGTCCCCAAGAACACTGTCACCAGTCTAGACGGACCCTGACGTCACCCCAGCAAAGCAAAGCAGCTCCATGTGCCCCAAATCAACACGAGATGAGGCCCAATTCCCCTTCATTGACTCCAGAGCCATTCCCCTTTCCCCGTTCAACACGAACGGTGGCTCGCCTTCCTTCAGGCAACTCCAGAGATGCCCCGAGAACACTGTCCCAAGTCTAGAGGAACACCAACTTCAGCACAGCAACTCGAGGAATGCTCTGTGTACCCCAAATCGTCTCGAGATGAGAGCTGATTCCCTGGCTTAGGCTCAAGACGTATGCCAACTTTCCAGAAGCACCTCAGGAGGAGGCTTCTCAGCAATAGGTATGTGGGAGGGACTCCGAGTGTGCTGCCTCAAGGGGAATATACAGCGAGAAGCCCTAACTTGAAAGGAGGCCGGATTTCCTTGCAGTAGCTTGAATACAGGCTTCTCTTTCTTCTCACAACATGAAGGGATCTCTGAATCCCCTGTGGAGACCTTAGAGAAAGCCCTAGGTCCCTGCCTCATTTTGACGGAATGCCACACATCCCGCTGACACCTCGAGAGGCACGCGGAGTTCATTGCTTCAAAAGGTGACGATGCCTGACTCCTCTTGAATACTGATAGGAATCCCAAAATCCCTGTGGCTACTGGGAAGGGTCCTTGGGTGCCCTGCCTCACCTCGAGAAGCGTCCCTTTTGCCCTGCCAAGCCTCGAAGAGATTCCTGAGGTGTCCCTCGTTACTAGACAGGAGTCCTGACGTCACTGAAGAAACTCGTGTTTTGAAGGGCCATCCCCGCCGTAAGTCGAGAACATACCCCAGGTCCCCGCTGCAACTCGAGAAAAACCATGAGACTTCCCCCTAGAGGTGAGATGAGGCCCCATTCCCCTGCAGTGCATGCAGAGCTATTCCGTGATCCCATTCAAACAAGTCAGGAGCTTCGACTTGCTTAATGGATCTCGAGACAGTCCCCAAGAACACTGTCACCAGTCTAGACGGACCCTGAGGTCACCCCAGCAACGCAAAGCAGCTCCATGTGCCCCAAATCAACTCGAGATGAGGCCCGATTCCCCTGCATTGACTCCAGAGCCATTCCCCGTTCCCCGTTCAACAAGAACGGTGGCTCGCCTTCCTTCAGGCAACTCCAGAGATGCCCCGAGAACACTGTCCCAAGTCTAGAGGAACACCAACTTCAGCACAGCAACTCGAGGAATGCTCTGTGCACCCCAAATCGTCTCAAGATGAGAGCTGATTCCCTGGCTTAGGCTCAAGACGTATGCCAACTTTCCAGAAGCACCTCAGGAGGAGGCTTCTCTCCGCAATAAGTATGTGGGAGGGACCCCGAGTTTGCTGCCTCAAGGGGAATACACAGGGAGAAGCCCTAATGTGAACCGAGGCCAGATTTCCTTGCAGTGGCTTGAATACAGGCTCGTCTTTGATCTGCCAACATGAAGGGATGTCTGAATCCCCTGTGGAGTCCTTAGAGGAAGCCCAAGTCCCTGCCTCATTTTGACGGAATACCTCACATCCCCCTGACACCTCGAGAGGCACGCGGAGTTCATTGCTTCAAAAGGTGACGATGCCTGACTCCTCTTGAATACTGATGGGAATCCCAAAATCCCTGTGGCTACTGGAAAGGGTCCTTGGGTGCCCTGCCTCACCTCGAGAAGCGTCCCTTTTGCCCTGCCAAGCCTCGAAGAGATTCCTGAGGTGTCCCTCGTTACTAGACAGGAGTCCTGACGTCACTGAAGAAACTCGTGTTTTGAAGGGCCATCCCCGCCGTAAGTCGAGATCATACCCCAGGTCCCCGCCGCAACTCGAGAAAAACAATGAGACTTCGCCCTAGAGGCGAGATGAGGCCCCATTCCCCTGCAGTGCATGCAGAGCTATTCCGTGATCCCATTCAAACAAGTCAGGAGCTTCGACTTGCTTAATGGATCTCGAGACAGTCCCCAAGAACACTGTCACCAGTCTAGACGGACCCTGAGGTCACCCAGCAATGCAAAGCAGCTCCATGTGCCCCAAATCAACTCGAGATGAGGCCCGATTCCCCTGCATTGACTCCAGAGCCATTCCCTGTTCCCCATTCAACACGACCGGTGGCTCGACTTCCTTCAGGCAACTCCAGAGATGCCCCGAGAACACTGTCCCAAGTCTAGAGGACCACCAACTTCAGCACAGCAACTTGAGGAATGCTCTGTGTACCCCAAATCGTTTCGAGATGAGAGCTGATTCCCTGGCTTAGGCTCAACACGTATGCCAACTTTCCAGAAGCACCTCAGGAGGAGGCTTCTCAGCAATAGGTATGTGGGAGGGACTCTGAGTGTGCTGCCTCAAGGGGAATATACAGCGAGAAGCCCTAACTTGAAAGGAGGCCGGATTTCCTTGCAGTAGCTTGAATACAGGCTTGTCTTTCTTCTCACAACATGAAGGGATGTCTGAATCCCCTGTGGAGACCTTAGAGAAAGCCCTAGGTCCCTGCCTCATTTTGACGGAATGCCTCACATCCCGCTGACACCTCGAGCGGCACGCGGAGTTCATTGCTTCAAAAGGTGACGATGCCTGACTCCTCTTGAATACTGATAGGAATCCCAAAATCCCTGTGGCTACTGGAAAGGGTCCTTGGGTGCCCTGCCTCACCTCGAGAAGCGTCCCTTTTGCCCTGCCAAGCCTCGAAGAGATTCCTGAGGTGTCCCTCGTTACTAGACAGGAGTCCTGACGTCACTGAAGAAACTCGTGTTTTGAACGGCCATCCCCGCCGTAAGTCGAGAACATACCCCAGGTCCCCGCCGCAACTCGAGAAAATCCATGAGACTTCCCCCTAGAGGCGAGATGAGGCCCCATTCCCCTGCAGTGCATGCTGAGCTATTCCGTGATCCCATTCAAACAAGTCAGGAGATTCGACTTGCTTAATGGATCTCGAGACAGTCCCAAAGAACACTGTCACCAGTCTAGACGGACCCTGAGGTCACCCCAGCAACGCAAAGCTGCTCCATGTGCCCGAAATCAACTCGAGATGAGGCCCGATTCCCCTGCATTGACTCCAGAGCCTTTCCCCGTTCCCCATTCAACACAACCGGTGGCTCGACTTCCTTCAGGCAACTCCAGAGATGCCCCGAGAACACTGTCCCAAGTCTAGAGGAACACCAACTTCAGCACAGCAACTCGAGGAATGCTCCGTGTACCCCAAATCATCTCGAGATGAGAGCTGATTCCCTGGCTTAGGCTCAAGACGTATGCCAACTTTCCAGAAGCACCTCAGGAGGAGGCTTCTCTCAGCAATAGGTATGTGGGAGGGACCCCGAGTTTGCTGCCTCAAGGGGAATACACAGGGAGAAGCCCTAATGTGAACGGAGGCCAGATTTCCTTGCAGTGGCTTGAATACAGGCTAGTATTTGATCTGACAACATGAAGGGATGTCTGAATCCCCTGTGGAGACCTTAGAGGAAGCCCTAGGTCCCTGCCTCATTTTGACGGAATGCCTCACATCCCCCTGACACCTCGAGAGGCACGCAGAGTTCATTGCTTCAAAAGGTGACGATGCCTGACTCCTCTTGAATACTTATAGGAATCCCAAAATCCCTGTGGCTATTGGAAAGTGTTCTTGGGTGCCCTGGCTCACCTCGAGAAGCGTCCCTTTTGCCCTGCCAAGCCTCGAAGAGATTGCTGAGGTGTCCCTCATTACTAGACAGCAGTCCTGACGTCACTGAAGAAACTCGTGTTTTGAAGGGCCATCCCCGCCGTAAGTCGAGAACATACCCCAGGTCCCCGCCGCAACTCGAGAAAAACCATGAGACTTCCCCCTAGAGGGGAGATGAGGCCCCATTCCCCTGCAGTGCATGCAGAGCTATTCCATGATCCCATTCAAACAAGTCAGGAGCTTCGACTTGCTTAATGGATCTCGAGACAGTCCCCAAGAACACTGTCACCAGTCTAGACGGACCCTGAGGTCACCCCAGCAACGCAAAGCAGCTCCATGTGCCCCAAATCAACTCGAGATGAGGCCCGATTCCCCTGCATTGACTCCAGAGCCATTCCCCGTTCCCCGTTCAACACGAACGGTGGCTCTCCTTCCTTCAGGCAACTCCAGAGATGCCCCGAGAACACTGTCCCAAGTCTAGAGGAACACCAACTTCAGCACAGCAACTCGAGGAATGCTCTGTGTACCCCAAATCGTCTCGAGATGAGAGCTGATTCCCTGGCTTAGGCTCAAGACGTATGCCAACTTTCCAGAAGCACCTCAGGCGGAGGCTTCTCAGCAATAGGTATGTGGGAGGGACTCCGAGTGTGCTGCCTCAAGGGGAATATACAGCGAGAAGCCCTAACTTGAAAGGAGGCCAGATTTCCTTGCAGTAGCTTGAATACAGGCTTGTCTTTCTTCTCACAACATGAAGGGATGTCTGAATCCCCTGTGGAGACCTTAGAGAAAGCCCTAGGTCCCTGCCTCATTTTGACGGAATGCCTCACATCCCGCTGACACCTCGAGAGGCACGCGGAGTTCATTGCTTCAAAAGGTGACGATGCCTGACTCCTCTTGAATACTGATAGGAATCCCAAAATCCCTGTGGCTACTGGAAAGGGTTCTTGGGTGCCCTGCCTCACATCGAGAAGCGTCCCTTTTGCCCTGCCAAGCCTCGAAGAGATTGCTGAGGTGTCCCTCATTACTAGGCAGGAGTCCTGACGTCACTGGAGAAACTCGTGTTTTGAAGGGCCATCCCCGCCGTAAGTCGAGAACATACCCCAGGTCCCCGCCGCAACTAGAGAAAAACCATGAGACTTCCCCCTAGAGGCGAGATGAGGCCCCATTCCCCTGCAGTGCATGCAGAGCTATTCCGTGATCCCATTCAAACAAGTCAGGAGCTTCGACTTGCTTAATGGATCTCGAGACAGTCCCAAAGAACACTGTCACCAGTCTAGACGGACCCTGAGGTCACCCCAGCAACGCAAAGCAGCTCCATGTGCCCCAAATCAACTCGAGATGAGGCCCGATTCCCCTGCATTGACTCCAGAGCCATTCCCCATTCCCCATTCAACAGGATCGGTGGCTCGACTTCCTTCAGGCAACTCCAGAAATGCCCCGAGAACACTGTCCCAAGTCTAGAGGAACACCAACTTCAGCACAGCAACTCGAGGAATGCTCTGTGTACCCCAAATCATTTCGAGATGAGAGCTGATTCCCTGGCTTAGGCTCAAGACGTATGCCAACTTTCCAGAAGCACCTCAGGAGGAGGCTTCTCTCAGCAATATGTATGTGGGAGGGACCCCGAGTTTGCTGCCTCAAGGGGAATATACAGCGAGAAGCCCTAACTTGAAAGGAGGCCGGATGTCCTTGCAGTGGCTTGAATACAGGCTCGTCTTTCATCTCACAACATGAAGGGATGTCTGAATCCCCTGTGGAGACCTTAGAGAAAGCCCTAGGTCCCTGCCTCATTTTGACGGAATGCCTCACATCCCGCTGACACCTCGAGAGGCACGCGGAGTTCATTGCTTCAAAAGGTGACGATGCCTGACTCCTCTTGAATACTGATAGGAATCCCAAAATCCCTGTGGCTACTGGAAAGGGTTCTTGGGTGCCCTGCCTCACATCGAGAAGCGTCCCTTTTGCCCTGCCAAGCCTCGAAGAGATTGCTGAGGTGTCCCTCGTTACTAGGCAGGAGTCCTGACGTCACTGAAGAAACTCGTGTTTTGAGGGGCCATCCCCGCCGTAAGTCGAGAACATACCCCAGGTCCCCGCCGCAACTCGAGAAAAACCGAGAGACTTCCCCCTAGAGGCGAGATGAGGCCCCATTCCCCTGCAGTGCATGCAGAGCTATTCCGTGATCCCATTCAAACAAGTCAGGAGCTTTGACTTGCTTAATGGATCTCGAAACAGTCCCCAGAACACTGTCACCAGTCTAGACGGACCCTGAGGTCACCCAGCAATGCAAAGCAGCTCCATGTGCCCCAAATCAAATCGAGATGAGGCCCGATTCCCCTGCATTGACTCCAGAGCCATTCCCTGTTCCCCATTCAACACGACCGGTGGCTCGACTTCCTTCAGGCAACTCCAGAGATGCCCCGAGAACACTGTCCCAAGTCTAGAGGACCACCAACTTCAGCACAGCAACTCGAGGAATGCTCCGTGTACCCCAAATCATCTCGAGATGAGAGCTGATTCCCTGTCTTAGGCTCAAGACGTATGCCAACTTTCCAGAAGCACCTCAGGAGGAGGCTTCTCTCAGCAATAGGTATGTGGGAGGGACCCCGAGTTTGCTGCCTCAAGGGGAATATACAGCGAGAAGCCCTAACTTGAAAGGAGGCCGGTTTTCCTTGCAGTGGCTTGAATACAGGCTCGTCTTTCCTCTCACAACATGAAGGGATGTCTGAATCCCCTGTGGAGACCTTAGAGAAAGCCCTAGATCCCTGCCTCATTTTGACGGAATCCTCACATCCCGCTGACAGCTCGAGAGGCACGCGGAGTTCATTGCTTCAAAAGGTGACGATGCCTGACTCCTCTTGAATACTGATAGGAATCCCAAAATACCTGTGGCTACTGGAAAGGGTCCTTCGTTACCCTGCCTCACCTCGAGAAGCGTCCCTTTTGCCCTGCCAAGCCTCGAAGAGATTCCTGAGGTGTCCCTCGTTACTAGACAGGAGGCCTGACGTCACTGAAGAAACTCGTGTTTTGAAGGGCCATCCCCGCCGTAAGTCGAGAACATACCCCAGGTCCCCGCCGCAACTCGAGAAAAACCATGAGACTTCCCCCTAGAGGCGAGATGAGGCCCCATTCCCCTGCAGTGCATGCAGAGCTATTCCGTGATCCCATTCAAACAAGTCAGGAGCTTCGACTTGCTTAATGGATCTCGAGACAGTCCCCAAGAACACTGTCACCAGTCTAGACGGACCCTGAGGTCACCCCAGCAACGCAAAGCTGCTCCATGTGCCCCAAATCAACTCGAGATGAGGCCCGATTCCCCTGCATTGACCCCAGAGCCATTCCCCGTTCCCCATTCAACACGACCGGTGGCTCGACTTCCTTCAGGCAACTCCAGAGATGCCCCAAGAACACTGTCCCAAGTCTAGAGGAACACCAACTTCAGCACAGCAACTCGAGGAATGCTCCGTGTACCCCAAATCATCTCGAGATGAGAGCTGATTCCCTGGCTTAGGCTCAAGACGTATGCCAACTTTCCAGAAGCACCTCAGGAGGAGGCTTCTCTCAGCAATAGGTATGTGGGAGGGACCCCGAGTTTGCTGCCTCAAGGGGAATACACAGGGAGAAGCCCTAATGTGAACGGAGGCCTGATTTCCTTGCAGTGGCTTGAATACAGGCTCGTCTTTGATCTGACAACATGAAGGGATGTCTGAATACCCTGTGGAGATCTTAGAGGAAGCCCTAGGTCCCTGCCTCATTTTGACGGAATACCTCACATCCCCCTGACACCTCGAGAGGCACGCAGAGTTCATTGCTTCAAAAGGTGACGATGCCTGACTCCTCTTGAATACTTACAGGAATCCCAAAATCCCTGTGGCTACTGGAAAGGGTCCTTGGGTGCACTGGCTCACCTCGAGAAGCGTCCCTTTTGCCCTGCCAAGCCTCGAAGAGATTGCTGAGGTGTCCCTCATTACTAGACAGGAGTCCTGACGTCACTGAAGAAACTCGTGTTTTGAAGGGCCATCCCCGCCGTAAGTCGAGAACATACCCCAGGTCCCCGCCGCAACTCGAGAAAAACCATGAGACTTCCCCCTAGAGGGGAGATGAGGCCCCATTCCCCTGCAGTGCATGCACAGCTATTCCATGATCCCTTTCAAACAAGTCAGGAGCTTCGACTTGCTTAATGGATCTCTAGACAGTCCCCAAGAACACTGTCACCAGTCTGGACGAACCCTGAGGTCACCCCAGCAACGCAAAGCAGCTCCATGTGCCCCAAATCAACTCGAGATGAGGCCCGATTCCCCTGCATTGACTCCAGAGCCATTCCCCGTTCCACATTCAACACGACCGGTGGCTCGACTTCCTTCAGGCAACTCCAGAGATGCCCCGAGAACACTGTCCCAAGTCTAGAGGAACACCAACTTTAGCACAGCAACTCGAGGAATGCTCCATGTACCCCAAATCATCTCGAGATGAGAGCTGATTCCCTGGCTTAGGCTCAAGACGTATGCCAACTTTCCAGAAGCACCTCAGGAGGAGGCTTCTCTCAGCAATAGGTATGTGGGAGGGACCACGAGTTTGCTGCCTAAAGGGGAATATACAGCGAGAAGCCGTAACTTGAAAGGAGGCCGGTTTTCCTTGCAGTGGCTTGAATACAGGCTCGTCTTTCCTCTCACAACATGAAGGGATGTCTGAATCCCCTGTGGAGACCTTAGAGAAAGCCCTAGATCCCTGCCTCATTTTGACGGAATCCTCACATCCCGCTGACACCTCGAGAGGCACGCGGAGTTCATTGCTTCAAAAGGTGACGATGCCTGACTCCTCTTGAATACTGATAGGAATCCCAAAATCCCTGTGGCTGCTGGAAAGGGTCCTTCTGTGCCCGGCCTCACCTCGAGAAGCGTCCCTTTTGCCCTGCCAAGCCTCGAAGAGATTCCTGAGGTGTCCCTCGTTACTAGACAGGAGTCCTGACGTCACTGAAGAAACTCGTGTTTTGAAGGGCCATCCCCGCCATAAGTCGAGAACATACCCCAGGTCCCCGCCGCAACTTGAGAAAAACCATGAGACTTCCCCCTAGAGGCGAGATGAGGCCCCATTCCCCTGCAGTGCATGCAGAGCTATTCCGTGATCCCATTCAAACAAGTCAGGAGCTTCGACTTGCTTAATGGATCTCGAGACAGTCCCCAAGAACACTGTCACCAGTCTAGACGGACCCTGAGGTCACCCCAGCAACGCAAAGCTGCTCCATGTGCCCGAAATCAACTCGAGATGAGGCCCGATTCCCCTGCATTGACTCCAGAGCCATTCCCCGTTCCCCATTCAACACGACCGGTGGCTCGACTTCCTTCAGGCAACTCGAGAGATGCCCCGAGAACACTGTCCCAAGTCTAGAGGAACACCAACTTCAGCACAGCAACTCGAGGAATGCTCCGTGTACCCCAAATCATCTCGAGATGAGAGCTGATTCCCTGTCTTAGGCTCAAGACGTATGCCAACTTTCCAGAAGCACCTCAGGAGGAGGCTTCTCTCAGCAATAGGTATGTGGGAGGGACCCCGAGTTTGCTGCCTCAAGGGGAATATACAGCGAGAAGCCCTAACTTGAAAGGAGGCCGGTTTTCCTTGCAGTGGCTTGAATACAGGCTCGTCTTTCCTCTCACAACATGAAGGGATGTCTGAATCCCCTGTGGAGACCTTAGAGAAAGCCCTAGATCCCTGCCTCATTTTGACGGAATCCTCACATCCCGCTGACAGCTCGAGAGGCACGCGGAGTTCATTGCTTCAAAAGGTGACGATGCCTGACTCCTGTTGAATACTGATAGGAATCCCAAAATCCCTGTGGCTACTGGAAAGGGTCCTTCGTTGCCCTGCCTCACCTCGAGAAGCGTCCCTTTTGCCCTGCCAAGCCTCGAAGAGATTCCTGAGGTGTCCCTCGTTACTAGACAGGAGGCCTGACGTCACTGAAGAAACTCGTGTTTTGAAGGGCCATCCCCGCCGTAAGTCGAGAACATACCCCAGGTCCCCGCCGCAACTCGAGAAAAACCATGAGACTTCCCCCTAGAGGCGAGATGAGGCCCCATTCCCCTGCAGTGCATGCAGAGCTATTCCGTGATCCCATTCAAACAAGTCAGGAGCTTCGACTTGCTTAATGGATCTCGAGACAGTCCCCAAGAACACTGTCACCAGTCTAGACGGACCCTGAGGTCACCCCAGCAACGCAAAGCTGCTCCATGTGCCCCAAATCAACTCGAGATGAGGCCCGATTCCCCTGCATTGACTCCAGAGCCATTCCCCGTTCCCCATTCAACACGAACGGTGGCTCTCCTTCCTTCAGGCAACTCCAGAGATGCCCCGAGAACACTGTCCCAAGTCTAGAGGAACACCAACTTCAGCACAGCAACTCGAGGAATGCTCTGTGTACCCCAAATCGTCTCGAGATGAGAGCTGATTCCCTGGCTTAGGCTCAAGACGTATGCCAACTTTCCAGAAGCACCTCAGGCGGAGGCTTCTCAGCAATAGGTATGTGGGAGGGACTCCGAGTGTGCTGCCTCAAGGGGAATATACAGCGAGAAGCCCTAACTTGAAAGGAGGCCAGATTTCCTTGCAGTAGCTTGAATACAGGCTTGTCTTTCTTCTCACAACATGAAGGGATGTCTGAATCCCCTGTGGAGACCTTAGAGAAAGCCCTAGGTCCCTGCCTCATTTTGACGGAATGCCTCACATCCCGCTGACACCTCGAGAGGCACGCGGAGTTCATTGCTTCAAAAGGTGACGATGCCTGACTCCTCTTGAATACTGATAGGAATCCCAAAATCCCTGTGGCTACTGGAAAGGGTTCTTGGGTGCCCTGCCTCACATCGAGAAGCGTCCCTTTTGCCCTGCCAAGCCTCGAAGAGATTGCTGAGGTGTCCCTCATTACTAGGCAGGAGTCCTGACGTCACTGGAGAAACTCGTGTTTTGAAGGGCCATCCCCGCCGTAAGTCGAGAACATACCCCAGGTCCCCGCCGCAACTAGAGAAAAACCATGAGACTTCCCCCTAGAGGCGAGATGAGGCCCCATTCCCCTGCAGTGCATGCAGAGCTATTCCGTGATCCCATTCAAACAAGTCAGGAGCTTCGACTTGCTTAATGGATCTCGAGACAGTCCCAAAGAACACTGTCACCAGTCTAGACGGACCCTGAGGTCACCCCAGCAACGCAAAGCAGCTCCATGTGCCCCAAATCAACTCGAGATGAGGCCCGATTCCCCTGCATTGACTCCAGAGCCATTCCCCATTCCCCATTCAACAGGATCGGTGGCTCGACTTCCTTCAGGCAACTCCAGAAATGCCCCGAGAACACTGTCCCAAGTCTAGAGGAACACCAACTTCAGCACAGCAACTCGAGGAATGCTCTGTGTACCCCAAATCATTTCGAGATGAGAGCTGATTCCCTGGCTTAGGCTCAAGACGTATGCCAACTTTCCAGAAGCACCTCAGGAGGAGGCTTCTCTCAGCAATATGTATGTGGGAGGGACCCCGAGTTTGCTGCCTCAAGGGGAATATACAGCGAGAAGCCCTAACTTGAAAGGAGGCCGGATGTCCTTGCAGTGGCTTGAATACAGGCTCGTCTTTCATCTCACAACATGAAGGGATGTCTGAATCCCCTGTGGAGACCTTAGAGAAAGCCCTAGGTCCCTGCCTTATTTTGACGGAATGCCTCACATCCCGCTGACACCTCGAGAGGCACGCGGAGTTCATTGCTTCAAAAGGTGACGATGCCTGACTCCTCTTGAATACTGATAGGAATCCCAAAATCCCTGTGGCTACTGGAAAGGGTCCTTGGGTGCCCTGCCTCACATCGAGAAGCGTCCCTTTTGCCCTGCCAAGCCTCGAAGAGATTGCTGAGGTGTCCCTCGTTACTAGGCAGGAGTCCTGACGTCACTGAAGAAACTCGTGTTTTGAGGGGCCATCCCCGCCGTAAGTCGAGAACATACCCCAGGTCCCCGCCGCAACTCGAGAAAAACCGAGAGACTTCCCCCTAGAGGCGAGATGAGGCCCCATTCCCCTGCAGTGCATGCAGAGCTATTCCGTGATCCCATTCAAACAAGTCAGGAGCTTTGACTTGCTTAATGGATCTCGAAACAGTCCCCAGAACACTGTCACCAGTCTAGACGGCCCCTGAGGTCACCCAGCAATGCAAAGCAGCTCCATGTGCCCCAAATCAAATCGAGATGAGGCCCGATTCCCCTGCATTGACTCCAGAGCCATTCCCTGTTCCCCATTCAACACGACCGGTGGCTCGACTTCCTTCAGGCAACTCCAGAGATGCCCCGAGAACACTGTCCCAAGTCTAGAGGACCACCAACTTCAGCACAGCAACTCGAGGAATGCTCCGTGTACCCCAAATCATCTCGAGATGAGAGCTGATTCCCTGTCTTAGGCTCAAGACGTATGCCAACTTTCCAGAAGCACCTCAGGAGGAGGCTTCTCTCAGCAATAGGTATGTGGGAGGGACCCCGAGTTTGTTGCCTCAAGGGGAATATACAGCGAGAAGCCCTAACTTGAAAGGAGGCCGGTTTTCCTTGCAGTGGCTTGAATACAGGCTCGTCTTTCCTCTCACAACATGAAGGGATGTCTGAATCCCCTGTGGAGACCTTAGAGAAAGCCCTAGATCCCTGCCTCATTTTGACGGAATCCTCACATCCCGCTGACAGCTCGAGAGGCACGCGGAGTTCATTGCTTCAAAAGGTGACGATGCCTGACTCCTCTTGAATACTGATAGGAATCCCAAAATACCTGTGGCTACTGGAAAGGGTCCTTCATTACCCTGCCTCACCTCGAGAAGCGTCCCTTTTGCCCTGCCAAGCCTCGAAGAGATTCCTGAGGTGTCCCTCGTTACTAGACAGGAGGCCTGACGTCACTGAAGAAACTCGTGTTTTGAAGGGCCATCCCCGCCGTAAGTCGAGAACATACCCCAGGTCCCCGCCGCAACTCGAGAAAAACCATGAGACTTCCCCCTAGAGGCGAGATGAGGCCCCATTCCCCTGCAGTGCATGCAGAGCTATTCCGTGATCCCATTCAAACAAGTCAGGAGCTTCGACTTGCTTAATGGATCTCGAGACAGTCCCCAAGAACACTGTCACCAGTCTAGACGGACCCTGAGGTCACCCCAGCAACGCAAAGCTGCTCCATGTGCCCCAAATCAACTCGAGATGAGGCCCGATTCCCCTGCATTGACCCCAGAGCCATTCCCCGTTCCCCATTCAACACGACCGGTGGCTCGACTTCCTTCAGGCAACTCCAGAGATGCCCCGAGAACACTGTCCCAAGTCTAGAGGAACACCAACTTCAGCACAGCAACTCGAGGAATGCTCCGTGTACCCCAAATCATCTCGAGATGAGAGCTGATTCCCTGGCTTAGGCTCAAGACGTATGCCAACTTTCCAGAAGCACCTCAGGAGGAGGCTTCTCTCAGCAATAGGTATGTGGGAGGGACCCCGAGTTTGCTGCCTCAAGGGGAATACACAGGGAGAAGCCCTAATGTGAACGGAGGCCTGATTTCCTTGCAGTGGCTTGAATACAGGCTCGTCTTTGATCTGACAACATGAAGGGATGTCTGAATACCCTGTGGAGATCTTAGAGGAAGCCCTAGGTCCCTGCCTCATTTTGACGGAATACCTCACATCCCCCTGACACCTCGAGAGGCACGCAGAGTTCATTGCTTCAAAAGGTGACGATGCCTGACTCCTCTTGAATACTTACAGGAATCCCAAAATCCCTGTGGCTACTGGAAAGGGTCCTTGGGTGCACTGGCTCACCTCGAGAAGCGTCCCTTTTGCCCTGCCAAGCCTCGAAGAGATTGCTGAGGTGTCCCTCATTACTAGACAGGAGTCCTGACGTCACTGAAGAAACTCGTGTTTTGAAGGGCCATCCCCGCCGTAAGTCGAGAACATACCCCAGGTCCCCGCCGCAACTCGAGAAAAACCATGAGACTTCCCCCTAGAGGGGAGATGAGGCCCCATTCCCCTGCAGTGCATGCACAGCTATTCCATGATCCCTTTCAAACAAGTCAGGAGCTTCGACTTGCTTAATGGATCTCTAGACAGTCCCCAAGAACACTGTCACCAGTCTGGACGAACCCTGAGGTCACCCCAGCAACGCAAAGCAGCTCCATGTGCCCCAAATCAACTCGAGATGAGGCCCGATTCCCCTGCATTGACTCCAGAGCCATTCCCCGTTCCACATTCAACACGACCGGTGGCTCGACTTCCTTCAGGCAACTCCAGAGATGCCCCGAGAACACTGTCCCAAGTCTAGAGGAACACCAACTTTAGCACAGCAACTCGAGGAATGCTCCATGTACCCCAAATCATCTCGAGATGAGAGCTGATTCCCTGGCTTAGGCTCAAGACGTATGCCAACTTTCCAGAAGCACCTCAGGAGGAGGCTTCTCTCAGCAATAGGTATGTGGGAGGGACCACGAGTTTGCTGCCTAAAGGGGAATATACAGCGAGAAGCCGTAACTTGAAAGGAGGCCGGTTTTCCTTGCAGTGGCTTGAATACAGGCTCGTCTTTCCTCTCACAACATGAAGGGATGTCTGAATCCCCTGTGGAGAACTTAGAGAAAGCCCTAGATCCCTGCCTCATTTTGACGGAATCCTCACATCCCGCTGACACCTCGAGAGGCACGCGGAGTTCATTGCTTCAAAAGGTGACGATGCCTGACTCCTCTTGAATACTGATAGGAATCCCAAAATCCCTGTGGCTGCTGGAAAGGGTCCTTCGGTGCCCGGCCTCACCTCGAGAAGCGTCCCTTTTGCCCTGCCAAGCCTCGAAGAGATTCCTGAGGTGTCCCTCGTTACTAGACAGGAGTCCTGACGTCACTGAAGAAACTCGTGTTTTGAAGGGCCATCCCCGCCATAAGTCGAGAACATACCCCAGGTCCCCGCCGCAACTTGAGAAAAACCATGAGACTTCCCCCTAGAGGCGAGATGAGGCCCCATTCCCCTGCAGTGCATGCAGAGCTATTCCGTGATCCCATTCAAACAAGTCAGGAGCTTCGACTTGCTTAATGGATCTCGAGACAGTCCCCAAGAACACTGTCACCAGTCTAGACGGACCCTGAGGTCACCCCAGCAACGCAAAGCTGCTCCATGTGCCCCAAATCAACTCGAGATGAGGCCCGATTCCCCTGCATTGACTCCAGAGCCATTCCCCGTTCCCCATTCAACACGACCGGTGGCTCGACTTCCTTCAGGCAACTCGAGAGATGCCCCGAGAACACTGTCCCAAGTCTAGAGGAACACCAACTTCAGCACAGCAACTCGAGGAATGCTCCGTGTACCCCAAATCATCTCGAGATGAGAGCTGATTCCCTGTCTTAGACTCAAGACTTATGCCAACTTTCCAGAAGCACCTCAGGAGGAGGCTTCTCTCAGCAATAGGTATGTGGGAGGGACCCCGAGTTTGCTGCCTCAAGGGGAATATACAGCGAGAAGCCCTAACTTGAAAGGAGGCCGGTTTTCCTTGCAGTGGCTTGAATACAGGCTCGTCTTTCCTCTCACAACATGAAGGGATGTCTGAATCCCCTGTGGAGACCTTAGAGAAAGCCCTAGATCCCTGCCTCATTTTGACGGAATCCTCACATCCCGCTGACAGCTCGAGAGGCACGCGGAGTTCATTGCTTCAAAAGGTGACGATGCCTGACTCCTCTTGAATACTGATAGGAATCCCAAAATCCCTGTGGCTACTGGAAAGGGTCCTTCGTTGCCCTGCCTCACCTCGAGAAGCGTCCCTTTTGCCCTGCCAAGCCTCGAAGAGATTCCTGAGGTGTCCCTCGTTACTAGACAGGAGGCCTGACGTCACTGAAGAAACTCGTGTTTTGAAGGGCCATCCCCGCCGTAAGTCGAGAACATACCCCAGGTCCCCGCCGCAACTCGAGAAAAACCATGAGACTTCCCCCTAGGGGCGAGATGAGGCCCCATTCCCCTGCAGTGCATGCAGAGCTATTCCGTGATCCCATTCAAACAAGTCAGGAGCTTCGACTTGCTTAATGGATCTCGAGACAGTCCCCAAGAACACTGTCACCAGTCTAGACGGACCCTGAGGTCACCCCAGCAACGCAAAGCTGCTCCATGTGCCCCAAATCAACTCGAGATGAGGCCCGATTCTCCTGCATTGACTCCAGAGCCGTTCCCCGTTCCCCATTCAACACGAACGGTGGCTCTCCTTCCTTCAGGCAACTCCAGAGATGCCCCGAGAACACTGTCCCAAGTCTAGAGGAACACCAACTTCAGCACAGCAACTCGAGGAATGCTCTGTGTACCCCAAATCGTCTCGAGATGAGAGCTGATTCCCTGGCTTAGGCTCAAGACGTATGCCAACTTTCCAGAAGCACCTCAGGCGGAGGCTTCTCAGCAATAGGTATGTGGGAGGGACTCCGAGTGTGCTGCCTCAAGGGGAATATACAGCGAGAAGCCCTAACTTGAAAGGAGGCCAGATTTCCTTGCAGTAGCTTGAATACAGGCTTGTTTTTCTTCTCACAACATGAAGGGATGTCTGAATCCCCTGTGGAGACCTTAGAGAAATCCCTAGGTCCCTGCCTCATTTTGACGGAATGCCTCACATCCCGCTGACACCTCGAGAGGCACGCGGAGTTCATTGCTTCAAAAGGTGACGATGCCTGACTCCTCTTGAATACTGATAGGAATCCCAAAATCCCTGTGGCTACTGGAAAGGGTTCTTGGGTGCCCTGCCTCACATCGAGAAGCGTCCCTTTTGCCCTGCCAAGCCTCGAAGAGATTGCTGAGGTGTCCCTCATTACTAGGCAGGAGTCCTGACGTCACTGGAGAAACTCGTGTTTTGAAGGGCCATCCCCGCCGTAAGTCGAGAACATACCCCAGGTCCCCGCCGCAACTAGAGAAAAACCATGAGACTTCCCCCTAGAGGCGAGATGAGGCCCCATTCCCCTGCAGTGCATGCAGAGCTATTCCGTGATCCCATTCAAACAAGTCAGGAGCTTCGACTTGCTTAATGGATCTCGAGACAGTCCCAAAGAACACTGTCACCAGTCTAGACGGACCCTGAGGTCACCCCAGCAACGCAAAGCAGCTCCATGTGCCCCAAATCAACTCGAGATGAGGCCCGATTCCCCTGCATTGACTCCAGAGCCATTCCCCATTCCCCATTCAACAGGATCGGTGGCTCGACTTCCTTCAGGCAACTCCAGAAATGCCCCGAGAACACTGTCCCAAGTCTAGAGGAACACCAACTTCAGCACAGCAACTCGAGGAATGCTCTGTGTACCCCAAATCATTTCGAGATGAGAGCTGATTCCCTGGCTTAGGCTCAAGACGTATGCCAACTTTCCAGAAGCACCTCAGGAGGAGGCTTCTCTCAGCAATATGTATGTGGGAGGGACCCCGAGTTTGCTGCCTCAAGGGGAATATACAGCGAGAAGCCCTAACTTGAAAGGAGGCCGGATGTCCTTGCAGTGGCTTGAATACAGGCTCGTCTTTCATCTCACAACATGAAGGGATGTCTGAATCCCCTGTGGAGACCTTAGAGAAAGCCCTAGGTCCCTGCCTCATTTTGACGGAATGCCTCACATCCCGCTGACACCTCGAGAGGCACGCGGAGTTCATTGCTTCAAAAGGTGACGATGCCTGACTCCTCTTGAATACTGATAGGAATCCCAAAATCCCTGTGGCTACTGGAAAGGGTTCTTGGGTGCCCTGCCTCACATCGAGAAGCGTCCCTTTTGCCCTGCCAAGCCTCGAAGAGATTGCTGAGGTGTCCCTCGTTACTAGGCAGGAGTCCTGACGTCACTGAAGAAACTCGTGTTTTGAGGGGCCATCCCCGCCGTAAGTCGAGAACATACCCCAGGTCCCCGCCGCAACTCGAGAAAAACCGAGAGACTTCCCCCTAGAGGCGAGATGAGGCCCCATTCCCCTGCAGTGCATGCAGAGCTATTCCGTGATCCCATTCAAACAAGTCAGGAGCTTTGACTTGCTTAATGGATCTCGAAACAGTCCCCAGAACACTGTCACCAGTCTAGACGGACCGTGAGGTCACCCAGCAATGCAAAGCAGCTCCATGTGCCCCAAATCAAATCGAGATGAGGCCCGATTCCCCTGCATTGACTCCAGAGCCATTCCCTGTTCCCCATTCAACACGACCGGTGGCTCGACTTCCTTCAGGCAACTCCAGAGATGCCCCGAGAACACTGTCCCAAGTCTAGAGGACCACCAACTTCAGCACAGCAACTCGAGGAATGCTCCGTGTACCCCAAATCATCTCGAGATGAGAGCTGATTCCCTGTCTTAGGCTCAAGACGTATGCCAACTTTCCAGAAGCACCTCAGGAGGAGGCTTCTCTCAGCAATAGGTATGTGGGAGGGACCCCGAGTTTGCTGCCTCAAGGGGAATATACAGCGAGAAGCCCTAACTTGAAAGGAGGCCGGTTTTCCTTGCAGTGGCTTGAATACAGGCTCGTCTTTCCTCTCACAACATGAAGGGATGTCTGAATCCCCTGTGGAGACCTTAGAGAAAGCCCTAGATCCCTGCCTCATTTTGACGGAATCCTCACATCCCGCTGACAGCTCGAGAGGCACGCGGAGTTCATTGCTTCAAAAGGTGACGATGCCTGACTCCTCTTGAATACTGATAGGAATCCCAAAATACCTGTGGCTACTGGAAAGGGTCCTTCGTTGCCCTGCCTCACCTCGAGAAGCGTCCCTTTTGCCCTGCCAAGCCTCGAAGAGATTCCTGAGGTGTCCCTCGTTACTAGACAGGAGGCCTGACGTCACTGAAGAAACTCGTGTTTTGAAGGGCCATCCCCGCCGTAAGTCGAGAACATACCCCAGGTCCCCGCCGCAACTCGAGAAAAACCATGAGACTTCCCCCTAGAGGCGAGATGAGGCCCCATTCCCCTGCAGTGCATGCAGAGCTATTCCGTGATCCCATTCAAACAAGTCAGGAGCTTCGACTTGCTTAATGGATCTCGAGACAGTCCCCAAGAACACTGTCACCAGTCTAGACGGACCCTGAGGTCACCCCAGCAACGCAAAGCTGCTCCATGTGCCCCAAATCAACTCGAGATGAGGCCCGATTCCCCTGCATTGACTCCAGAGCCATTCCCCGTTCCCCATTCAACACGACCGGTGGCTCGACTTCCTTCAGGCAACTCCAGAGATGCCCCGAGAACACTGTCCCAAGTCTAGAGGAACACCAACTTCAGCACAGCAACTCGAGGAATGCTCCGTGTACCCCAAATCATCTCGAGATGAGAGCTGATTCCCTGGCTTAGGCTCAAGACGTATGCCAACTTTCCAGAAGCACCTCAGGAGGAGGCTTCTCTCAGCAATAGGTATGTGGGAGGGACCCCGAGTTTGCTGCCTCAAGGGGAATACACAGGGAGAAGCCCTAATGTGAACGGAGGCCTGATTTCCTTGCAGTGGCTTGAATACAGGCTCGTCTTTGATCTGACAACATGAAGGGATGTCTGAATACCCTGTGGAGATCTTAGAGGAAGCCCTAGGTCCCTGCCTCATTTTGACGGAATACCTCACATCCCCCTGACACCTCGAGAGGCACGCAGAGTTCATTGCTTCAAAAGGTGACGATGCCTGACTCCTCTTGAATACTTACAGGAATCCCAAAATCCCTGTGGCTACTGGAAAGGGTCCTTGGGTGCACTGGCTCACCTCGAGAAGCGTCCCTTTTGCCCTGCCAAGCCTCGAAGAGATTGCTGAGGTGTCCCTCATTACTAGACAGGAGTCCTGACGTCACTGAAGAAACTCGTGTTTTGAAGGGCCATCCCCGCCGTAAGTCGAGAACATACCCCAGGTCCCCGCCGCAACTCGAGAAAAACCATGAGACTTCCCCCTAGAGGGGAGATGAGGCCCCATTCCCCTGCAGTGCATGCACAGCTATTCCATGATCCCTTTCAAACAAGTCAGGAGCTTCGACTTGCTTAATGGATCTCTAGACAGTCCCCAAGAACACTGTCACCAGTCTGGACGAACCCTGAGGTCACCCCAGCAACGCAAAGCAGCTCCATGTGCCCCAAATCAACTCGAGATGAGGCCCGATTCCCCTGCATTGACTCCAGAGCCATTCCCCGTTCCACATTCAACACGACCGGTGGCTCGACTTCCTTCAGGCAACTCCAGAGATGCCCCGAGAACACTGTCCCAAGTCTAGAGGAACACCAACTTTAGCACAGCAACTCGAGGAATGCTCCATGTACCCCAAATCATCTCGAGATGAGAGCTGATTCCCTGGCTTAGGCTCAAGACGTATGCCAACTTTCCAGAAGCACCTCAGGAGGAGGCTTCTCTCAGCAATAGGTATGTGGGAGGGACCACGAGTTTGCTGCCTAAAGGGGAATATACAGCGAGAAGCCGTAACTTGAAAGGAGGCCGGTTTTCCTTGCAGTGGCTTGAATACAGGCTCGTCTTTCCTCTCACAACATGAAGGGATGTCTGAATCCCCTGTGGAGACCTTAGAGAAAGCCCTAGATCCCTGCCTCATTTTGACGGAATCCTCACATCCCGCTGACACCTCGAGAGGCACGCGGAGTTCATTGCTTCAAAAGGTGACGATGCCTGACTCCTCTTGAATACTGATAGGAATCCCAAAATCCCTGTGGCTGCTGGAAAGGGTCCTTCGGTGCCCGGCCTCACCTCGAGAAGCGTCCCTTTTGCCCTGCCAAGCCTCGAAGAGATTCCTGAGGTGTCCCTCGTTACTAGACAGGAGTCCTGACGTCACTGAAGAAACTCGTGTTTTGAAGGGCCATCCCCGCCATAAGTCGAGAACATACCCCAGGTCCCCGCCGCAACTTGAGAAAAACCATGAGACTTCCCCCTAGAGGCGAGATGAGGCCCCATTCCCCTGCAGTGCATGCAGAGCTATTCCGTGATCCCATTCAAACAAGTCAGGAGCTTCGACTTGCTTAATGGATCTCGAGACAGTCCCCAAGAACACTGTCACCAGTCTAGACGGACCCTGAGGTCACCCCAGCAACGCAAAGCTGCTCCATGTGCCCCAAATCAACTCGAGATGAGGCCCGATTCCCCTGCATTGACTCCAGAGCCATTCCCCGTTCCCCATTCAACACGACCGGTGGCTCGACTTCCTTCAGGCAACTCGAGAGATGCCCCGAGAACACTGTCCCAAGTCTAGAGGAACACCAACTTCAGCACAGCAACTCGAGGAATGCTCCGTGTACCCCAAATCATCTCGAGATGAGAGCTGATTCCCTGTCTTAGGCTCAAGACGTATGCCAACTTTCCAGAAGCACCTCAGGAGGAGGCTTCTCTCAGCAATAGGTATGTGGGAGGGACCCCGAGTTTGCTGCCTCAAGGGGAATATACAGCGAGAAGCCCTAACTTGAAAGGAGGCCGGTTTTCCTTGCAGTGGCTTGAATACAGGCTCGTCTTTCCTCTCACAACATGAAGGGATGTCTGAATCCCCTGTGGAGACCTTAGAGAAAGCCCTAGATCCCTGCCTCATTTTGACGGAATCCTCACATCCCGCTGACAGCTCGAGAGGCACGCGGAGTTCATTGCTTCAAAAGGTGACGATGCCTGACTCCTCTTGAATACTGATAGGAATCCCAAAATCCCTTTGGCTACTGGAAAGGGTCCTTCGTTGCCCTGCCTCACCTCGAGAAGCGTCCCTTTTGCCCTGCCAAGCCTCGAAGAGATTCCTGAGGTGTCCCTCGTTACTAGACAGGAGGCCTGACGTCACTGAAGAAACTCGTGTTTTGAAGGGCCATCCCCGCCGTAAGTCGAGAACATACCCCAGGTCCCCGCCGCAACTCGAGAAAAACCATGAGACTTCCCCCTAGAGGCGAGATGAGGCCCCATTCCCCTGCAGTGCATGCAGAGCTATTCCGTGATCCCATTCAAACAAGTCAGGAGCTTCGACTTGCTTAATGGATCTCGAGACAGTCCCCAAGAACACTGTCACCAGTCTAGACGGACCCTGAGGTCACCCCAGCAACGCAAAGCTGCTCCATGTGCCCCAAATCAACTCGAGATGAGGCCCGATTCCCCTGCATTGACTCCAGAGCCATTCCCCGTTCCCCATTCAACACGACCGGTGGCTCGACTTCCTTCAGGCAACTCCAGAGATGCCCCGAGAACACTGTCCCAAGTCTAGAGGAACACCAACTTCAGCACAGCAACTCGAGGAATGCTCCGTGTACCCCAAATCATCTCGAGATGAGAGCTGATTCCCTGGCTTAGGCTCAAGACGTATGCCAACTTTCCAGAAGCACCTCAGGAGGAGGCTTCTCTCAGCAATAGGTATGTGGGAGGGACCCCGAGTTTGCTGCCTCAAGGGGAATACACAGGGAGAAGCCCTAATGTGAACGGAGGCCTGATTTCCTTGCAGTGGCTTGAATACAGGCTCGTCTTTGATCTGACAACATGAAGGGATGTCTGAATACCCTGTGGAGATCTTAGAGGAAGCCCTAGGTCCCTGCCTCATTTTGACGGAATACCTCACATCCCCCTGACACCTCGAGAGGCACGCAGAGTTCATTGCTTCAAAAGGTGACGATGCCTGACTCCTCTTGAATACTTACAGGAATCCCAAAATCCCTGTGGCTACTGGAAAGGGTCCTTGGGTGCACTGGCTCACCTCGAGAAGCGTCCCTTTTGCCCTGCCAAGCCTCGAAGAGATTGCTGAGGTGTCCCTCATTACTAGACAGGAGTCCTGACGTCACTGAAGAAACTCGTGTTTTGAAGGGCCATCCCCGCCGTAAGTCGAGAACATACCCCAGGTCCCCGCCGCAACTCGAGAAAAACCATGAGACTTCCCCCTAGAGGGGAGATGAGGCCCCATTCCCCTGCAGTGCATGCACAGCTATTCCATGATCCCTTTCAAACAAGTCAGGAGCTTCGACTTGCTTAATGGATCTCTAGACAGTCCCCAAGAACACTGTCACCAGTCTGGACGAACCCTGAGGTCACCCCAGCAACGCAAAGCAGCTCCATGTGCCCCAAATCAACTCGAGATGAGGCCCGATTCCCCTGCATTGACTCCAGAGCCATTCCCCGTTCCACATTCAACACGACCGGTGGCTCGACTTCCTTCAGGCAACTCCAGAGATGCCCCGAGAACACTGTCCCAAGTCTAGAGGAACACCAACTTTAGCACAGCAACTCGAGGAATGCTCCGTGTACCCCAAATCATCTCGAGATGAGAGCTGATTCCCTGGCTTAGGCTCAAGACGTATGCCAACTTTCCAGAAGCACCTCAGGAGGAGGCTTCTCTCAGCAATAGGTATGTGGGAGGGACCACGAGTTTGCTGCCTAAAGGGGAATATACAGCGAGAAGCCGTAACTTGAAAGGAGGCCGGTTTTCCTTGCAGTGGCTTGAATACAGGCTCGTCTTTCCTCTCACAACATGAAGGGATGTCTGAATCCCCTGTGGAGACCTTAGAGAAAGCCCTAGATCCCTGCCTCATTTTGACGGAATCCTCACATCCCGCTGACACCTCGAGAGGCACGCGGAGTTCATTGCTTCAAAAGGTGACGATGCCTGACTCCTCTTGAATACTGATAGGAATCCCAAAATCCCTGTGGATGCTGGAAAGGGTCCTTCGGTGCCCGGCCTCACCTCGAGAAGCGTCCCTTTTGCCCTGCCAAGCCTCGAAGAGATTCCTGAGGTGTCCCTCGTTACTAGACAGGAGTCCTGACGTCACTGAAGAAACTCGTGTTTTGAAGGGCCATCCCCGCCGTAAGTCGAGAACATACCCCAGGTCCCCGCCGCAACTTGAGAAAAACCATGAGACTTCCCCCTAGAGGCGAGATGAGGCCCCATTCCCCTGCAGTGCATGCAGAGCTATTCCGTGATCCCATTCAAACAAGTCAGGAGCTTCGACTTGCTTAATGGATCTCGAGACAGTCCCCAAGAACACTGTCACCAGTCTAGACGGACCCTGAGGTCACCCCAGCAACGCAAAGCTGCTCCATGTGCCCCAAATCAACTCGAGATGAGGCCCGATTCCCCTGCATTGACTCCAGAGCCATTCCCCGTTCCCCATTCAACACGACCGGTGGCTCGACTTCCTTCAGGCAACTCGAGAGATGCCCGGAGAACACTGTCCCAAGTCTAGAGGAACACCAACTTCAGCACAGCAACTCGAGGAATGCTCCGTGTACCCCAAATCATCTCGAGATGAGAGCTGATTCCCTGGCTTAGGCTCAAGACGTATGCCAACTTTCCAGAAGCACCTCAGGAGGAGGCTTCTCTCAGCAATAGGTATGTGGGAGGGACCCCGAGTTTGCTGCCTCAAGGGGAATACACAGGGAGAAGCCCTAATGTTAACGGAGGCCAGATTTCCTTGCAGTGGCTTGAATACAGGCTCGTCTTTGATCTGACAACATGAACGGATGTCTGAATACCCTGTGGAGATCTTAGAGGAAGCCCTAGGTCCCTGCATCATTTTGACGGAATACCTCACATCCCCCTGACACCTCGAGAGGCACGCAGAGTTCATTGCTTCAAAAGGTGACGATGCCTGACTCCTCTTGAATACTTATAGGAATCCCAAAATCCCTGTGGCTACTGGAAAGGGTACTTGGGTGCCCTGGCTCACCTCGAGAAGCGTCCCTTTTGCCCTGCCAAGCCTCGAAGAGATTGCTGAGGTGTCCCTCATTACTAGACAGGAGTCCTGACGTCACTGAAGAAACTCGTGTTTTGAAGGGCCATCCCCGCCGTAAGTCGAGAACATACCCCAGGTCCCCGCCGCAACTCGAGAAAAACCATGAGACTTCCCCCTAGAGGGGAGATGAGGCCCCATTCCCCTGCAGTGCATGCACAGCTATTCCATGATCCCTTTCAAACAAGTCAGGAGCTTCGACTTGCTTAATGGATCTCGAGACAGTCCCCAAGAACACTGTCACCAGTCTAGACGGACCCTGAGGTCACCCCAGCAAAGCAAAGCAGCTCCATGTGCCCCAAATCAACTCGAGATGAGGCCCGATTCCCCTGCATTGACTCCAGAGCTATTCCCCATTCCCCGTTCAACACGAACGGTGGCTCGCCTTCCTTCAGGCAACTCCAGAGATGCCCCGAGAACACTGTCCCAAGTCTAGAGGAACACTAACTTCAGCACAGCAACTCGAGGAATGCTCTGTGTACCCCAAATCGTCTCGAGATGAGAGCTGATTCCCTGGCTTAGGCTCAAGACGTATGCCAAATTTCCAGAAGCACCTCAGGAGGAGGCTTCTCAGCAATAGGTATGTGGGAGGGACCCTGAGTGTGCTGCCTCAAGGGGAATATACAGCGAGAAGCCCTTACTTGAAAGGAGGCCGGATTTCCTTGCAGTAGCTTGAATACAGGCTTGTCTTTCATCTCACAACATGAAGGGATGTCTGAATCCCTTGTGGAGCCCTTAGAGAAAGCCCTAGGTCCCTGCCTCATTTTGACGGAATGCCTCACATCCCGATGACACCTCGAGAGGCAGGCGGAGTTCATTGCTTCAAAAGGTGACGATGCCTGATTCCTCTTGAATACTTATAGGAATCCCAAAATCCCTGTGGCTACTGGAAAGGGTCCTTGGGTGCCCTGGCTCACCTCGAGAAGCGTCCCTTTTGCCCTGCCAAGCCTCGAAGAGATTCCTGAGGTGTCCCTCGTTACTAGACAGGAGTCCTGACGTCACTGAAGAAACTCGTGTTTTGAAGGGCCATCCCCGCCGTAAGTCGAGAACATACCCCAGGTCCCCGCCGCAACTCGAGAAAAACCATGAGACTTCCCCCTAGAGGCGAGATGAGGCCCCATTCCCCTGCAGTGCATGCAGAGCTATTCCGTGATCCCATTCAAACAAGTCAGGAGCTTCGACTTGCTTAATTGATCTCGAGACAGTCCCCAAGAACACTGTCACCAGTCTAGACGGACCCTGAGGTCACCCCATCAACGCAAAGCAGCTCCATGTGCCCCAAATCAACTCGAGATGAAGCCCGATTCCCCTGCATTGACTCCAGAGCCATTCCCCATTCCCCGTTCAACACGAACGGTGGCTCGCCTTCTTTCAGGCAACTCCAGAGATGCCCCGAGAACACTGTCCCAAGTCTAGAGGAACACCAACTTTAGCACAGCAACTCGAGGAATGCTCCGTGTACCCCAAATCATCTCGAGATGAGAGCTGATTCCCTGGCTTAGGCTCAAGACGTATGCCAACTTTCCAGAAGCACCTCAGGAGGAGGCTTCTCTCAGCAATAGGTATGTGGGAGGGACCACGAGTTTGCTGCCTAAAGGGGAATATACAGCGAGAAGCCCTAACTTGAAAGGAGGCCGGTTTTCCTTGCAGTGGCTTGAATACAGGCTCGTCTTTCCTCTCACAACATGAAGGGATGTCTGAATCCCCTGTGGAGACCTTAGAGAAAGCCCTAGGTCCCTGCCTCATTTTGACGGAATCCTCACATCCCGCTGACACCTCGAGAGGCACGCGGAGTTCATTGCTTCAAAAGGTGACGATGCCTGACTCCTCTTGAATACTGATAGGAATCCCAAAATCCCTGTGGCTACTGGAAAGGGTCCTTCGGTGCCCGGCCTCACCTCGAGAAGCGTCCCTTTTGCCCTGCCAAGCCTCGAAGAGATTCCTGAGGTGTCCCTCGTTACTAGACAGGAGTCCTGACGTCACTGGAGAAACTCGTGTTTTGAAGGGCCATCCCCGCCGTAAGTCGAGAACATACCCCAGGTCCCCGCCGCAACTCGAGAAAAACCATGAGACTTCCCCCTAGAGGCGAGATGAGGCCCCATTCCCCTGCAGTGCATGCAGAGCTATTCCGTGATCCCATTCAAACAAGTCAGGAGCTTCGACTTGCTTAATTGATCTCGAGACAGTCCCCAAGAACACTGTCACCAGTCTAGACGGACCCTGAGGTCACCCCATCAACGCAAAGCAGCTCCATGTGCCCCAAATCAACTCGAGATGAGGCCCGATTCCCCTGCATTGACTCCAGAGCCATTCCCCATTCCCCGTTCAACACGAACGGTGGCTCGCCTTCCTTCAGGCAACTCCAGAGATGCCCCGAGAACACTGTCCCAAGTCTAGAGGAACACCAACTTTAGCACAGCAACTCGAGGAATGCTCCGTGTACCAAAAATCATCTCGAGATGAGAGCTGATTCCCTGGCTTAGGCTCAAGACGTATGCCAACTTTCCAGAAGCACCTCAGGAGGAGGCTTCTCTCAGCAATAGGTATGTGGGAGGGACCACGAGTTTGCTGCCTAAAGGGGAATATACAGCGAGAAGCCCTAACTTGAAAGGAGGCCGGTTTTCCTTGCAGTGGCTTGAATACAGGCTCGTCTTTCCTCTCACAACATGAAGGGATGTCTGAATCCCCTGTGGAGACCTTAGAGAAAGCCCTAGGTCCCTGTCTCATTTTGACGGAATCCTCACATCCCGCTGACACCTCGAGAGGCACGCGGAGTTCATTGCTTCAAAAGGTGACGATGCCTGACTCCTCTTGAATACTGATAGGAATCCCAAAATCCCTGTGGCTACTGGAAAGGGTACTTCGGTGCCCGGCCTCACCTCGAGAAGCGTCCCTTTTGCCCTGCCAAGCCTCGAAGAGATTCCTGAGGTGTCCCTCGTTACTAGACAGGAGTCCTGACGTCACTGAAGAAACTCGTGTTTTGAAGGGCCATCCCCGCCGTAAGTCGAGAACATACCCCAGGTCCCCGCCGCAACTTGAGAAAAACCATGAGACTTCCAACTAGAGGCGAGATGAGGCCCCATTCCCCTGCAGTGCATGCAGAGCTATTCCGTGATCCCATTCAAACAAGTCAGGAGCTTCGACTTGCTTAATGGATCTCGAGACAGTCCCCAAGAACACTGTCACCAGTCTAGACGGACCCTGAGGTCACCCCAGCAACGCAAAGCTGCTCCATGTGCCCCAAATCAACTCGAGATGAGGCCCGATTCCCCTGCATTGACTCCAGAGCCATTCCCCGTTCCCCATTCAACACGACCGGTGGCTCGACTTCCTTCAGGCAACTCCAGAGATGCCCCGAGAACACTGTCCCAAGTCTAGAGGAACACCAACTTCAGCACAGCAACTCGAGGAATGCTCCGTGTACCCCAAATCATCTCGAGATGAGAGCTGATTCCCTGGCTTAGGCTCAAGACGTATGCCAACTTTCCAGAAGCACCTCAGGAGGAGGCTTCTCTCAGCAATAGGTATGTGGGAGGGACCCCGAGTTTGCTGCCCCAAGGGGAATATACAGCGAGAAGGCCTAACTTGAAAGGAGGCCGGATTTCCTTGCAGTGGCTTGAATACAGGCTCGTCTTTGATCTGACAACATGAACGGATGTCTGAATACCCTGTGGAGATCTTAGAGGAAGCCCTAGGTCCCTGCCTCATTTTGACGGAATACCTCACATCCCCCTGACACCTCGAGAGGCACGCAGAGTTCATTGCTTCAAAAGGTGACGATGCCTGACTCCTCTTGAATACTTATAGGAATCCCAAAATCCCTGTGGCTACTGGAAAGGGTCCTTGGGTGCCCTGGCTCACCTCGAGAAGCGTCCCTTTTGCCCTGCCAAGCCTCGAAGAGATTGCTGAGGTGTCCCTCATTACTAGACAGGAGTCCTGACGTCACTGAAGAAACTCGTGTTTTGAAGGGCCATCCCCGCCGTAAGTCGAGAACATACCCCAGGTCCCCGCCGCAACTCGAGAAAAACCATGAGACTTCCCCCTAGAGGGGAGATGAGGCCCCATTCCCCTGCAGTGCATGCACAGCTATTCCATGATCCCTTTCAAACAAGTCAGGAGCTTCGACTTGCTTAATGGATCTCGAGACAGTCCCCAAGAACACTGTCACCAGTCTAGACGGACCCTGAGGTCACCCCAGCAACGCAAAGCAGCTCCATGTGCCCCAAATCAACTCGAGATGAGGCCCGATTCCCCTGCATTGACTCCAGAGCCATACCCCATTCCCCGTTCAACACGAACGGTGGCTCGCCTTCCTTCAGGCAACTCCAGAGATGCCCCGAGAACACTGTCCCAAGTCTAGAGGAACACCAACTTCAGCACAGCAACTCGAGGAATGCTCTGTGTACCCCAAATCGTCTCGAGATGAGAGCTGATTCCCTGGCTTAGGCTCAAGACGTATGCCAAATTTCCAGAAGCACCTCAGGAGGAGGCTTCTCAGCAATAGGTATGTGGGAGGGACCCTGAGTGTGCTGCCTCAAGGGGAATATACAGCGAGAAGCCCTAACTTGAAAGGAGGCCGGATTTCCTTGCAGTAGCTTGAATACAGGCTTGTCTTTCATCTCACAACATGAAGGGATGTCTGAATCCCTTGTGGAGCCCTTAGAGAAAGCCCTAGGTCCCTGCGTCATTTTGACGGAATGCCTCACATCCCGCTGACACCTCGAGAGGCAGGCGGAGTTCATTGCTTCAAAAGGTGACGATGCCTGACTCCTCTTGAATACTGATAGGAATCCCAAAATCCCTGTGGCTACTGGAAAAGGTCCTTGGGTGCCCTGCCTCACGTCGAGAACCGTCCCTTTTGCCCTGCCAAGCCTCGAAGAGATTCCTGAGGTGTCCCTCGTTACTAGACAGGAGTCCTGACGTCACTGAAGAAACTCGTGTTTTGAAGGGCCATCCCCGCCGTAAGTCGAGAACATACCCCAGGTCACCGCCGCAACTCGAGAAAAACCATGAGACTTCCCCCTAGAGGCGAGATGAGGCCCCATTCCCCTGCAGTGCATGCAGAGCTATTCCGTGATCCCATTCAAACAAGTCAGGATCTTCGACTTGCTTAATTGATCTCGAGACAGTCCCCAAGAACACTGTCACCAGTCTAGACGGACCCTGAGGTCACCCCATCAACGCAAAGCAGCTCCATGTGCCCCAAATCAACTCGAGATGAGGCCCGATTCCCCTGCATTGACTCCAGAGCCATTCCCCATTCCCCGTTCAACACGAACGGTGGCTCGCCTTCCTTCAGGCAACTCCAGAGATGCCCCGAGAACACTGTCCCAAGTCTAGAAGAACACCAACTTCAGCACAGCAACTCGAGGATTGCTCTGTGTACCCCAAATCGTCTCGAGACGAGAGCTGATTCCCTGGCTTAGGCTCAAGACGTATGCCAACTTTCCAGAAGCACCTCAGGAGGACGCTTCTCAGCAATAGGTATGTGGGAGGGACTCCGAGTTTGCTGCCTCAAGGGGAATATACAGCGAGAAGGCCTAACTTGAAAGGAGGCCGGATTTCCTTGCAGTAGCTTGAATACAGGCTTGTCTTTCATCTCACAACCTGAAGGTATGTCTGAATCCCCTGTGGAGACCATTGAGAAAGCCCTAGGTCCCTGCCTCATTTTGACGGAATGCCTCACATCCCGCTGACACCTCGAGAGGCACGCGGAGTTCATTGCTTCAAAAGGTGACGATGCCTGACTCCTCTTGAATACTGATAGGAATCCCAAAATCCCTGTGGCTACTGGAAAGGGTTCTTGGGTGCCCTGCCTCACCTCGAGAAGCGTCCCTTTTGCCCTGCCAAGCCTCGAAGTGATTGCTGAGGTGTCCCTCGTTACTAGGCAGGAGTCCTGACGTCACTGAAGAAACTCGTGTTTTGAAGGGCCATCCCCGCCGTAAGTCGAGAACATACCCCAGGTCCCCGCCGCAACTCGAGAAAAACCGTGAGACTTCCCCCTAGAGGCGAGATGAGGCCTCATTCCCCTGCAGTGCATGCAGAGCTATTCCGTGATCCCATTCAAACAAGTCAGGAGCTTCGACTTGCTTAATGGATCTCGAGACAGTCCCCAAGAACACTGTCACTAGTCTAGACGGACCCTGAGGTCACCCCAGCAACGCAAAGCTGCTCCATGTGCCCCAAATCAACTCGAGATGAGGCCCGATTCCCCTGCATTGACTCCAGAGCCATTCCCCGTTCCCCATTCAACAAGACCGGTGGCTCGACTTCCTTCAGGCAACTCCAGAGATGCCCCGAGAACACTGTCCCAAGTCTAGAGGAACACCAACTTCAGCACAGCAACTCGAGGAATGCTCCGTGTACCCCAAATCATCTCGAGATGAGAGCTGATTCCCTGGCTTAGGTTCAAGACGTATGCCAACTTTCCAGAAGCACCTCAGGAGGAGGCTTCTCTCAGCAATAGTTATGTGGGAGGGACCCCGAGTTTGCTGCCTCAAGGGGAATATACACGGAGAAGCCCTAATGTGAACGGAGGCCAGATTTCCTGGCAGTGGGTTGAATACAGGCTCGTCTTTGATCTGAAAACATGAAGGGATGTCTGATTCCCCTGTGGAGACCTTAGAGGAAGCCCTAGGTCCCTGCCTCATTTTGACGGAATGCCTCACATCCCCCTGACACCTCGAGAGGCACGCAGAGTTCATTGCTTCAAAAGGGGACGATGCCTGACTCCTCTTGAATACTTATAGGAATCCCAAAATCCCTGTTGCTACTGGAAAGTGTCCTTGGGTGCCCTGGCTCACCTCGAGAAGCGTCCCTTTTGCCCTGCCAAGCCTCGAAGAGATTGCTGAGGTGTCCCTCATTACTAGACAGGAGTCCTGACGTCACTGAAGAAACTCGTGTTTTGAAGGGCCATCCCCGCCGTAAGTCGAGAACATACCCCAGGTCCCCGCCGCAACTCGAGAAAAACCATGAGACTTCCCCCTAGAGGCGAGAGGAGGCCCCATTCCCCTGCAGTGCATGCAGAGCTATTCCGTGATCCCATTCAAACAAGTCAGGAGCTTCGACTTGCTTAATGGATCTCGAGACAGTCCCCAAGAACACTGTCACCAGTCTAGACGGACCCTGAGGTCACCCCAGCAACGCAAAGCACCTCCATGTGCCCCAAATCAACTCGAGATGAGGCCCGATTCCCCTGCATTGACTCCGGAGCCATTCCCCGTTCCCCATTCAACACTACCGGTGGCTCGACTTCCTTCAGGCAACTCCAGAGATGCCCCGAGAACACTGTCCCAAGTCTAGAGGAACACCAACTTCAGCCCAGCAACTCGAGGAATGCTCTGTGTACCCCAAATCATTTCGAGATGAGAGCTGATTCCCTGGCTTAGGCTCAAGACGAATGCTAACTTTCCAGAAGCACCTCAGGAGGAGGCTTCTCTCAGCAATAGGTATGTGGGAGGGACCACGAGTTTGCTGCCTCAAGGGGAATATACAGCGAGAAGCCGTAACTTGAAAGGAGGCCGGATGTCCTTGCAGTGGCTTGAATACAGGCTCGTCTTTCATCTCACAACATGAAGGGATGTCTGAATCCCCTGTGGAGACCTTAGAGAAAGCCCTAGGTCCCTGCCTCATTTTGACAGAATCCTCACATCCCGCTGACACCTCGAGAGGCACGCGGAGTTCATTGCTTCAAAAGGTGACGATGCCTGACTCCTCTTGAATACTGATGGGAATCCCAAAATCCCTGGGGCTACTGGAAAGGGTCCTTGGGTGCCCTGCCTCACCTCGAGAATCGTCCCTTTTGCCCTGCCAAGCCTCGAAGAGATTCCTGAGGTGTCCCTCGTTACTGGACAGGAGTCCTGACGTCACTGAAGAAACTCGTGTTTTGAAGGGCCATCCCCGCCGTAAGTCGATAACATACCCCAGGTCCCCGCCGCAACTCGAGAAAAACCATGAGACTTCCCCTAGAGGCGAGATGAGGCCCCATTCCCCTGCAGTGCATGCAGAGCTATTCCGTGATCCCATTCAAACAAGTCAGGAGCTTCGACTTGCTTAATGGATCTCGAGACAGTCCCCAAGAACACTGTCACCAGTCTAGACGGACCCTGAGGTCACCGCAGCAACGCAAAGCCGCTCCATGTGCCCCAAATCAACTCGAGTTGAGGCCCGATTCCCCTGCATTGACTCCAGAGCCATTCCCCTTTCCCCGTTCAACACGAACGGTGGCTCGCCTTCCTTCAGGCAACTCCAGAGATGCCCCGAGAACACTGTCCCAAGTCTAGAGGACCACCAACTTCAGCACAGCAACTCGAGGAATGCTCTGTGTACCCGAAATCGTCTCGAGATGAGAGCTGATTCCCTGGCTTAGGCTCAATACGTATGCCAACTTTCCAGAAGCACCTCAGGAGGAGGCTTCTCTCAGCAATAGGTATGTGGGAGGGACCCCGAGTTTGCTGCCTCAAGGGGAATATACAGCGAGAAGCCGTAACTTGAAAGGAGGCCGGATTTCCTTGCAGTGGCTTGAATACAGGCTCGTCTTTCATCTCACAACATGAAGGGATGTCTGAATCCCCTGTGGAGACCTTAGAGAAAGCCCTAGGTCCCTGCCTCATTTTGACGGAATCCTCACATCCCGCTGACACCTCGAGAGGCACGCGGAGTTCATTGCTTCAAAAGTTGACGATGCCTGACTCCTCTTGAATAATGATAGGAATCCCAAAATCCCTGTGGCTACTGGAAAGGGTCCTTGGGTGCCCTGCCTCACCTCGAGAAGCGTCCCTTTTGCCCTGCCAAGCCTCGAAGAGATTCCTGAGGTGTCCCTCGTTACTAGACAGGAGTCCTGACGTCAGTGAAGAAACTCGTGTTTTGAAGGGCCATCCCCGCCGTAAGTCGAGAACATACCCCAGGTCACCGCCGCAACTGGAGAAAAACCATGAGACTTCCCCCTAGAGGCAAGATGAGGCCCCATTCCCCTGCAGTTAATGCAGAGCTATTCCGTGATCCCATTCAAACAAGTCAGGAGCTTCGACTTGCTTAATGGATCTCGAGACAGTCCCCAAGAACACTGTCACCAGTCTAGACGGACCCTGAGGTCACCCCAGCAACGCAAAGCTGCTCCATGTGCCCCAAATCAACTCGAGATGAGGCCCGATTCCCCTGCATTGACTCCAGAGCCATTCCCCCTTCCCCATTCAACATGACCGGTGGCTCGACTTCCTTCAGGCAACTCCAGAGATGCCCCGAGAACACTGTCCCAAGTCTAGAGGAACACCAACTTCAGCAAAGCAACTCGAGGAATGCTCCGTGTACCCCAAATCATCTCGAGATGAGAGCTGATTCCCTGGCTTAGGCTCAAGACGTATGCCAACTTTCCAGAAGCACCTCAGGAGGAGGCTTCTCTCAGCAATAGGTATATGGGAGGGACCCCGAGTTTGCTGCCTCAATGGGAATACACAGGGAGAAGCCCTAATGTGAACGGAGGCCAGATTTCCTTGCAGTGGCTTGAATACAGGCTAGTATTTGATCTGACAACATGAAGGGATGTCTGAATCCCCTGTGGAGACCTTAGAGGAAGCCCTAGGTCCCTGCCTCATTTTGACGGAATACCTCACATCCCCCTGACACCTCGAGAGGCACGCAGAGTTCATTCCTTCAAAAGGTGACGATGTCTGACTCCTCTTGAATACTAATAGGAATCCCAAAATCCCTGTGGCTACTGGAAAGGGTCCTTGGGTGCCTTGGCTCACCTCGAGAAGCCTCCCTTTTGCCCTGCCAAGCCTCGAAGAGATTGCTGAGGTGTCCCTCATTACTAGACAGGAGTCCTGACGTCACTGAAGAAATTCGTGTTTTGAAGGGCCATCCCCGCCGTAAGTCGAGAACATACCCCAGGTCACCGCCGCAACTCGAGAAAAACCATGAGACTTCCCCCTAGAGGCGAGATGAGGCCCCATTCCCCTGCAGTGCATGCAGAGCTATTCCGTGATCCCATTCAAACAAGTCAGGAGCTTCGACTTGCTTAATGGATCTCGAGACAGTCCCCAAGAACACTGTCACCAGTCTAGACGGGTCGTGAGGTCACCCAGCAATGCAAAGCAGCTCCATGTGCCCCAAATCAACTCGAGATGAGGCCCGATTCCCCTGCATTGACTCCAGAGCCATTCCCTGTTCCCCATTCAACACGACCGGTGGCTCGACTTCCTTCAGGCAACTCCAGAGATGCCCCGAGAACACTGTCCCAAGTCTAGAGGACCACCAACTTCAGCACAGCAACTCGAGGAATGCTCTGTGTACCCGAAATCGTCTCGAGATGAAAGCTGATTCCCTGGCTTAGGCTCAATACGTATGCCAACTTTCCAGAAGCACCTCAGGAGGAGGCTTCTCTCAGCAATAGGTATGTGGGAGGGACCCCGAGTTTGCTGCCTCAAGGGGAATATACAGCGAGAAGCCGTAACTTGAAAGGAGGCCGGATTTCCTTGCAGTGGCTTGAATACAGGCTCGTCTTTCATCTCACAACATGAAGGGATGTCTGAATCCCCTCTGGAGACCTTAGAGAAAGCCCTAGGTCCCTGCCTCATTTTGACGGAATCCTCACATCCCGCTGACACCTCGAGAGGCACGCGGAGTTCATTGCTTCAAAAGGTGACGATGCCTGACTCCTCTTGAATACTGATAGGAATCCCAAAATCCCTGTGGCTACTGGAAAGGGTCCTTGGGTGCCCTGCCTCACCTCGAGAAGCGTCCCTTTTGCCCTGCCAAGCCTCGAAGAGATTCCTGAGGTGTCCCTCGTTACTAGACAGGAGTCCTGACGTCACTGAAGAAACTCGTGTTTTGAAGGGCCATCCCCGCCGTAAGTCGAGAACATACCCCAGGTCCCCGCCGCAACTCGAGAAAAACCATGAGACTTCCCCCTAGAGGCGAGATGAGGCCCCATTCCCCTGCAGTTAATGCAGAGCTATTCCGTGATCCCATTCAAACAAGTCAGGAGCTTCGACTTGCTTAATGGATCTCGAGACAGTCCCCAAGAACACTGTCACCAGTCTAGACGGACCCTGAGGTCACCCCAGCAACGCAAAGCAGCTCCATGTGCCCCAAATCAACTCGAGATGAGGCCCGATTCCCCTGCATTGACTCCAGAGCCATTCCCCCTTCCCCATTCAACACGACCGGTGGCTCGACTTCCTTCAGGCAACTCCAGAGATGCCCCGAGAACACTGTCCCAAGTCTAGAGGACCACCAACTTAAGCACAGCAACTCGAGGAATGCTCTGTGTACCCCAAATCGTCTCGAGATGAGAGCTGATTCCCTGGCTTAGGCTCAACACGTATGCCCACTTTCCAGAAGCACCTCAGGAGGAGGCTTCTCTCAGCAATAGGTATGTGGGAGGGACCCCGAGTTTGCTGCCTCAAGGGGAATATACAGCGAGAAGCCCTAACTTGAAAGGAGGCCGGATTTCCTTGCAGTGGCTTGAATACAGGCTCGTCTTTCATCTCACAACATGAAGGGATGTCTGAATCCCCTGTGGAGACCTTAGAGAAAGCCCTAGGTCCCTGCCTCATTTTGACGGAATCCTCACATCCGGCTGACACCTCGAGAGGCACGCGGAGTTCATTGCTTCAAAAGGTGACGATGCCTGACTCCTCTTGAATACTGATAGGAATCCCAAAATCCCTGTGGCTACTGGAAAGGGTCCTTGGGTGCCCTGCCTCACCTCGAGAAGCGTCCCTTTTGCCCTGCCAAGCCTCGAAGAGATTCCTGAGGTGTCCCTCGTTACTAGACTGGAGTCCTGACGTCACTGAAGAAACTCCTGTTTTGAAGGGCCATCCCCGCCGTAAGTCGATAACATACCCCAGGTCCCCGCCGCAACTCGAGAAAAACCATGAGACTTCCCCCTAGAGGCAAGATGAGGCCCCATTCCCCTGCAGTGCATGCAGAGCTATTCCGTGATCCCATTCAAACAAGTCAGGATCTTCGACTTGCTTAATGGATCTCGAGACAGTCCCCAAGAACACTGTCACCAGTCTAGACGGACCCTGAGGTCACCCCAGCAACGCAAAGCTGCTCCATGTGCCCCAAATCAACTCGAGATGAGGCCCGATTCCCCTGCATTGACTCCAGAGCCATTCCCCCTTCCCCATTCAACATGACCGGTGGCTCGACTTCCTTCAGGCAACTCCAGAGATGCCCCGAGAACACTGTCCCAAGTCTAGAGGAACACCAACTTCAGCAAAGCAACTCGAGGAATGCTCCGTGTACCCCAAATCATCTCGAGATGAGAGCTGATTCCCTGGCTTAGGCTCAAGACGTATGCCAACTTTCCAGAAGCACCTCAGGAGGAGGCTTCTCTCAGCAATAGGTATATGGGAGGGACCCCGAATTTGCTGCCTCAAGGGGAATACACAGGGAGAAGCCCTAATGTGAACGGAGGCCAGATTTCCTTGCAGTGGCTTGAATACAGGCTAGTATTTGATCTGACAACATGAAGGGATGTCTGAATCCCCTGTGGAGACCTTAGAGGAAGCCCTAGGTCCCTGCCTCATTTTGACGGAATACCTCACATCCCCCTGACACCTCGAGAGGCACGCAGAGTTCATTCCTTCAAAAGGTGACGATGTCTGACTCCTCTTGAATACTAATAGGAATCCCAAAATCCCTGTGGCTACTGGAAAGGGTCCTTGGGTGCCTTGGCTCACCTCGAGAAGCGTCCCTTTTGCCCTGCCAAGCCTCGAAGAGATTGCTGAGGTGTCCCTCATTACTAGACAGGAGTCCTGACGTCACTGAAGAAATTCGTGTTTTGAAGGGCCATCCCCGCCGTAAGTCGAGAACATACCCCAGGTCACCGCCGCAACTCGAGAAAAACCATGAGACTTCCCCCTAGAGGCGAGATGAGGCCCCATTCCCCTGCAGTGCATGCAGAGCTATTCCGTGATCCCATTCAAACAAGTCAGGAGCTTCGACTTGCTTAATGGATCTCGAGACAGTCCCCAAGAACACTGTCACCAGTCTAGACGGGCCGTGAGGTCACCCAGCAATGCAAAGCAGCTCCATGTGCCCCAAATCAACTCGAGATGAGGCCCGATTCCCCTGCATTGACTCCAGAGCCATTCCCTGTTCCCCATTCAACACGACCGGTGGCTCGACTTCCTTCAGGCAACTCCAGAGATGCCCCGAGAACACTGTCCCAAGTCTAGAGGACCACCAACTTCAGCACAGCAACTCGAGGAATGCTCTGTGTACCCGAAATCGTCTCGAGATGAAAGCTGATTCCCTGGCTTAGGCTCAATACGTATGCCAACTTTCCAGAAGCACCTCAGGAGGAGGCTTCTCTCAGCAATAGGTATGTGGGAGGGACCCCGAGTTTGCTGCCTCAAGGGGAATATACAGCGAGAAGCCGTAACTTGAAAGGAGGCCGGATTTCCTTGCAGTGGCTTGAATACAGGCTCGTCTTTCATCTCACAACATGAAGGGATGTCTGAATCCCCTCTGGAGACCTTAGAGAAAGCCCTAGGTCCCTGCCTCATTTTGACGGAATCCTCACATCCCGCTGACACCTCGAGAGGCACGCGGAGTTCATTGCTTCAAAAGGTGACGATGCCTGACTCCTCTTGAATACTGATAGGAATCCCAAAATCCCTGTGGCTACTGGAAAGGGTCCTTGGGTGCCCTGCCTCACCTCGAGAAGCGTCCCTTTTGCCCTGCCAAGCCTCGAAGAGATTCCTGAGGTGTCCCTCGTTACTAGACAGGAGTCCTGACGTCACTGAAGAAACTCGTGTTTTGAAGGGCCATCCCCGCCGTAAGTCGAGAACATACCCCAGGTCCCCGCCGCAACTCGAGAAAAACCATGAGACTTCCCCCTAGAGGCGAGATGAGGCCCCATTCCCCTGCAGTGCATGCAGAGCTATTCCGTGATCCCATTCAAACAAGTCAGGAGCTTCGACTTGCTTAATGGATCTCGAGACAGTCCCCAAGAACACTGTCACCAGTCTAGACGGACCCTGAGGTCACCCCAGCAACGCAAAGCAGCTCCATGTGCCCCAAATCAACTCGAGATGAGGCCCGATTCCCCTGCATTGACTCCAGAGCCATTCCCCCTTCCCCATTCAACACGACCGGTGGCTCGACTTCCTTCAGGCAACTCCAGAGATGCCCCGAGAACACTGTCCCAAGTCTAGAGGACCACCAACTTAAGCACAGCAACTCGAGGAATGCTCTGTGTACCCCAAATCGTCTCGAGATGAGAGCTGATTCCCTGGCTTAGGCTCAACACGTATGCCCACTTTCCAGAAGCACCTCAGGAGGAGGCTTCTCTCAGCAATAGGTATGTGGGAGGGACCCCGAGTTTGCTGCCTCAAGGGGAATATACAGCGAGAAGCCCTAACTTGAAAGGAGGCCGGATTTCCTTGCAGTGGCTTGAATACAGGCTCGTCTTTCATCTCACAACATGAAGGGATGTCTGAATCCCCTGTGGAGACCTTAGAGAAAGCCCTAGGTCCCTGCCTCATTTTGACGGAATCCTCACATCTGGCTGACACCTCGAGAGGCACGCGGAGTTCATTGCTTCAAAAGGTGACGATGCCTGACTCCTCTTGAATACTGATAGGAATCCCAAAATCCCTGTGGCTACTGGAAAGGGTCCTTGGGTGCCCTGCCTCACCTCGAGAAGCGTCCCTTTTGCCCTGCCAAGCCTCGAAGAGATTCCTGAGGTGTCCCTCGTTACTAGACTGGAGTCCTGACGTCACTGAAGAAACTCCTGTTTTGAAGGGCCATCCCCGCCGTAAGTCGATAACATACCCCAGGTCCCCGCCGCAACTCGAGAAAAACCATGAGACTTCCCCCTAGAGGCAAGATGAGGCCCCATTCCCCTGCAGTGCATGCAGAGCTATTCCGTGATCCCATTCAAACAAGTCAGGAGCTTCGACTTGCTTAATGGATCTCGAGACAGTCCCCAAGAACACTGTCACCAGTCTAGACGGACCCTGAGGTCACCCCAGCAACGCAAAGCTGCTCCATGTGCCCCAAATCAACTCGAGATGAGGCCCGATTCCCCTGCATTGACTCCAGAGCCATTCCCCGTTCCCCATTCAACACGACCGGTGGCTCGACTTCCTCCAGGCAACTCCAGAGATGCCCCAAGAACACTGTCCCAAGTCTAGAGTACCACCAACTTCAGCACAGCAACTCGAGGAATGCTCTGTGTACCCCAAATCGTCTCGAGATGAGAGCTGATTCCCTGGCTTAGGCTCAAGACGTATGCCAACTTTCCAGAAGCACCTCAGGAGGAGGCTTCTCAGCAATAGGTATGTGGGAGGGACTCAGAGTGTGCTGCCTCAAGGGGAATATACAGCGAGAAGCCCTAACTTGAAAGGAGGCCGGATTTCCTTGCAGGGGCTTGAATACAGGCTCGTCTTTCATCTCACAACATGAAGGGATGTCTGAATCCCCTGTGGAGACCTTAGAGAAAGCCCTAGGTCCCTGCCTCATTTTGACGGAATGCCTCACATCCCGCTGACACCTCGAGAGGCACGCGGAGTTCATTGCTTCAAAAGGTGACGATGCCTGACTCCTCTTGAATACTGATGGGAATCCCAAAATCCCTGTGGCTACTGGAAAGGGTCCTTGGGTGCCCTGCCTCACCTCGAGAAGCGTCCCTTTTGCCCTGCAAGCCTCGAAGAGATTCCTGAGGTGTCCCTCGTTACTAGACAGGAGTCCTGACGTCACTGAAGAAATTCGTGTTTTGAAGGGCCATCCCCGCCGTAAGTCGAGAACATACCCCAGGTCCCCGCCGCAACTCGAGAAAAACCATAAGACTTCCCCCTAGAGGCGAGATGAGGCCCCATTCCCCTGCAGTGCATGCAGAGCTATTCCGTGATCCCATTCAAACAAGTCAGGAGCTTCGACTTGCTTAATGGATCTCGAGACAGTCCCCAAGAACACTGTCACCAGTCTAGACGGACCCTGAGGTCACCCCAGCAACGCAAAGCCGCTCCATGTGCCCCAAATCAACTCGAGATGAGGCCCGATTCCCCTGCATTGACTCCAGAGCCATTCCCTGTTCCCCATTCAACACGACCGGTGGCTCGCCTTCCTTCAGGCAACTCCAGAGATGCCTGAGAACACTGTCCCAAGTCTAGAGGACCACCAACTTCAGCACAGCAACTCGAGGAATGCTCTGTGTACCCGAAATCGTCTCGAGATGAGAGCTGATTCCCTGGCTTAGGCTCAATACGTATGCCAACTTTCCAGAATCACCTCAGGAGGAGGCTTCTCTCAGCAATAGGTATGTGGGAGGGACCCCGAGTTTGCTGCCTCAAGGGGAATATACAGCGAGAAGCCGTAACTTGAAAGGAGGCCGGATTTCCTTGCAGTGGCTTGAATACAGGCTCGTCTTTCATCTCACAACATGAAGGGATGTCTGAATCCCCTGTGGAGACCTTAGAGAAAGCCCGAGGTCCCTGCCTCATTTTGACGGAATCCTCACATCCCGCTGACACCTCGAGAGGCACGCGGAGTTCATTGCTTCAAAAGGTGACGATGCCTGACTCCTCTTGAATACTGATAGGAATCCCAAAATCCCTGTGGCTACTGGAAAGGGTCCTTGGGTGCCCTGCCTCACCTCGAGAAGCGTCCCTTTTGCCCTGCCAAGCCTCGAAGAGATTCCTGAGGTGTCCCTCGTTACTAGACAGGAGTCCTGACGTCACTGAAGAAACTCGTGTTTTGAAGGGCCATCCCCGCCGTAAGTCGAGAACATACCCCAGGTCCCCGCCGCAACTCGAGAAAAACCATGAGACTTCCCCCTAGAGGCAAGATGAGGCCCCATTCCCCTGCAGTTAATGCAGAGCTATTCCGTGATCCCATTCAAACAAGTCAGGAGCTTCGACTTGCTTAATGGATCTCGAGACAGTCCCCAAGAACACTGTCACCAGTCTAGACGGACCCTGAGGTCACCCCAGCAGCGCAAAGCTGCTCCATGTGCCCCAAATCAACTCGAGATGAGGCCCGATTCCCCTGCATTGACTCCAGAGCCATTCCCCCTTCCCCATTCAACACGACCGGTGGCTCGACTTCCTTCAGGCAACTCCAGAGATGCCCCGAGAACACTGTCCCAAGTCTAGAGGAACACCAACTTCAGCAAAGCAAATCGAGGAATGCTCCGTGTACCACAAATCATCTCGAGATGAGAGCTGATTCCCTGGCTTAGGCTCAAGACGTATGCCAACTTTCCAGAAGCACCTCAGGAGGAGGCTTCTCTCAGCAATAGGTATGTGGGAGGGACCCCGAGTTTGCTGCCTCAAGGGGAATACACAGGGAGAAGCCCTAATGTGAACGGAGCCCAGATTTCCTTGCAGTGGCTTGAATACAGGCTTGTGTTTCTTCTCACAACATGAAGGGATGTCTGAATCCCCTGTGGAGACCTTAGAGAAAGCCCTAGGTCCCTGCCTCATTTTGACGGAATGCCTCACATCCCGCTGACACCTCGAGAGGCACGCGGAGTTCATTGCTTCAAAAGGTGACGATGCCTGACTCCTCTTGAATACTGATAGGAATCCCAAAATCCCTGTGGCTACTGGAAAGGGTCCTTGGGTGCCCTGCCTCACCTCGAGAACCGTCCCTTTTGCCCTGTCAAGCCTCGAAGAGATTCCTGAGGTGTCCCTCGTTACTAGACAGGAGTCCTGACGTCACTGAAGAAACTCGTGTTTCGAAGGGCCATCCCCGCCGTAAGTCGAGAACATACCCCAGGTCCCCGCCGCAACTCGAGAAAAACCATGAGACTTCCCCCTAGAGGCGAGATGAGGCCCCATTCCCCTGCAGTGCATGCAGAGCTATTACGTGATCCCATTCAAACAAGTCAGGAGCTTCGCCTTGCTTAATGGATCTCGAGACAGTCCCCAAGAACACTGTCACCAGTCTAGACGGACCCTGCGGTCACCCCAGCAACGCAAAGCTGCTCCATGTGCCCCAAATCAACTCGAGATGAGGCCCGATTCCCCTGCATTGACTCTAGAGCCATTCCCCGTTCCCCATTCAACACGACCGGTGGCTCGACTTCCTTCAGGCAACTCCAGAGATTCCCCGAGAACACTGTCCCAAGTCTAGAGGAACACCAACTTCAGCACAGCAACTCGAGGAATGCTCCGTGTACCCCAAATCATCTCGAGATGAGAGCTGATTCCCTGGCTTAGGCTCAAGACGTATGCCAACTTTCCAGAAGCACCTCAGGAGGAGGCTTCTCTCAGCAATAGGTATGTGGGAGGGACCCCGAGTTTGCTGCCTCAAGGGGAATATACAGCGAGAAGCCCTAACTTGAAAGGAGGCCAGTTTTCCTTGCAGTGGCTTGAATACAGGCTCGTCATTGGTCTGACAACATGAAGGGATGTCTGAATCCCCTGTGGAGACGTTAGAGGAAGCCCTAGGCCCCTGCCTCATTTTGACGGAATACCTCACATCCCGCTGACACCTCGAGAGGCACGGGGAGTTCATTGCTTCAAAAGGTGACGATGCCTGACTCCTCTTGAATACTGATAGGAATCCCAAAATCCCTGTGGCTACTGGAAAGGGTCCTTCGGTGCCCTGCCTCACCTCGAGAAGTGTCCCTTATGCCCTGCCAAGCCTCGAAGAGATTCCTGAGGTGTCCCTCATTACTAGACAGGAGTCCTGACGTTACTGAAGAAACTCGTGTTTTGAAGGGCCATCCCCGCCGTAAGTCGAGAACATACCCCAGGTCCCCGCCGCAACTCAAGAAAAACCATGAGACTTCCCCCTAGAGGCGAGATGAGGCCCCATTCCCCTGCAGTGCATGCAGAGCTATTCCGTGATCCCATTCAAACAAGTCAGGAGCTTCGACTTGCTTAATGGATCTCGAGACAGTCCCCAAGAACACTGTCACCAGTTTAGACGGACCCTGAGGTCACCCAGCAATGCAAAGCAGCTCCATGTGCCCCAAATCAACTTGAGATGAGGCCGGATTCCCCTGCATTGACTCCAGAGCCATTCCTTGTTCCCCATTCAACACGACCGGTGGCTCGACTTCCTTCAGGCAACTCCAGAAATGCCCCGAGAACACTGTCCCAAGTCTAGAGGACCACCAACTTCAGCACAGCAACTCGAGGAATGCTCTGTGTACCCCAAATCGTCTCGAGATGAGAGCTGATTCCCTGGCTTAGGCTCAAGACGTATGCCACCTTTCCAGAAGCACCTCAGGAGGAGGCTTCTCTCAGCAATAGGTATGTCGGAGGGACCCCAAGTTTGCTACCTCAAGGGGAATATACAGCGAGAAGCCCTAACTTGAAAGGAGGCCGGATTTCCTTGCAGTGGCTTGAATACAGGCTCGTCTTTCATCTCACAACATGAAGGGATGTCTGAATCCCCTGTTGAGACCTTAGAGAAAGCCCTAGGTCCCTGCCTCATTTTGACGGAATCCTCACATCCCGCTGACACCTCGAGAGGCACGCGGAGTTCATTGTTTCAAAAGGTGACGATGCCTGACTCCTCTTGAATACTGATAGGAATCCCAAAATCGCTGTGGCTACTGGAAAGGGTCCTTGGGTGCCCTGCCTCACCTCGAGAAGCGTCCGTTTTGCCCTGCCAAGCCTCGAAGACATTGCTGAGGTGTCCCTCGTTACTAGACAGGAGTCCTGACGTCACTGAAGAAACTCGTGTTTTGAAGGGCCGTCCCCGCCGTAAGTCTAGAACATACCCCAGGTCCCCGCCGCAACTCGAGAAAAACCATGAGATTTCCCCCTAGAGGCGAGATGAGGCTCCATTCCCCTGAAGTGCATGCAGAGCTATTCCGTGATCCCATTCAAACAAGTCAGGAGCTTCGACTTGCTTAATGGATCTCGAGACAGTCCCCAAGAACACTGTCACCAGTCTAGACGGACCCTGAGGTCACCCCAGCAATGCAAAGCAGCACCATGTGCCCCAAATCAACTCGAGATGAGGCCCGATTCCCCTGCATTGACTCCAGAGCCATTCCCCGTTCCCCATTCAACACGACCGGTGGCTCGACTTCCTTCAGGCAACTCCAGAGATTCCCTGAGAACACTGTCCCAAGTCTAGAGGAACACCAACTTCAGCACAGCAACTCGAGGAATGCTCCGTGTACCCCAAATCATCTCGAGATGAGAGCTGATTCCCTGGCTTAGGCTCAAGACGTATGCCAACTTTCCAGAAGCACCTCAGGAGGAGGCTTCTCTCAGCAATAGGTATGTGGGAGGGACCCCAAGTTTGCTGCCTCAAGGGGAATATACAGCGAGAAGCCCTAACTTGAAAGGAGGCCGGATTTCCTTGCAGTGGCTTGAATACAGGCTCGTCTTTCATCTCACAACATGAAGGGATGTCTGAATCCCCTGTGGAGACCTTAGAGAAAGCCCTAGTTCCCTGCCTCATTTTGACGGAATCCTCACATCCCGCTGACACCTCGAGAGGCACGCGGAGTTCATTGTTTCAAAAGGTGACGATGCCTGACTCCTCTTGAATACTGATAGGAATCCCAAAATCCCTGTGGCTACTGGAAAGGGTCCTTGGGTGCCCTGCCTCACCTCGAGAAGCGTCCGTTTTGCCCTGCCAAGACTCGAAGACATTGCTGATGTGTCCCTCGTTACTAGACAGGAGTCCTGACGTCACTGAAGAAACTCGTGTTTTGAAGGGCCGTCCCCGCCGTAAGTCGAGAACATACCCCAGGTCCCCGCCGCAACTCGAGAAAAACCATGAGACTTCCCCCTAGAGGCGAGATGATGCCCCATTCCCCTGCAGTGCATGCAGAGCTATTCCGTGATCCCATTCAAACAAGTCAGGAGCTTCGACTTGCTTAATGGATCTCGAGACAGTCCCCAAAAACACTGTCACCAGTCTAGAGGGACCCTGAGGTCACCCCAGCAACGCAAAGCAGCTCCATGTGCCCCAAATCAACACGAGATGAGGCCCGATTCCCCTGCATTGACTCCAGAGCCATTCCCCGTTCCCCATTCAACACGACCGGTGGCTCAACTTCCTTCAGGCAACTCCAGAGATGCCCCGAGAACACTGTCCCAATTCTAGAGGAACACCAACTTCAGCAAAGCAACTCGAGGAATGCTCCGTGTACCCCAAATCATCTCGAGATGAGAGCTGATTCCCTGGCTTAGGCTCAAGACGTATGCCAACTTTCCAGAAGCACCTCAGGAGGAGGCTTCTCTCAGCAATAGGTATGTGGGAGGGACCCCGAGTTTGCTGCCTCAAGGGGAATACACAGGGAGAAGCCCTAATGTGAACGAAGGCCAGATTTCCTTGCAGTGGCTTGAATACAGGCTCGTCTTTGATCTGACAACATGAAGGGATGTCTGAATACCCTGTGGAGATCTTAGAGGAAGCCCTAGGTCCCTGCCTCATTTTGACGGAATACCTCACATCCCCCTGACACCTCGAGAGGCACGCAGAGTTCATTGCTTCAAAAGGTGACGAAGCCTGACTCCTCTTGAATACTGATAGGAATCCCAAAATCCCTGTGGATACTGGAAAGGGTCCTTGGGTTCCCTGGCTCACCTCGAGAAGCGTCCCTTTTGCCCTGCCAAGCCTCGAAGAGATTGCTGAGGTGTCCCTCATTACTAGACAGGAGTCTTGACGTCACTGAAGAAACTCGTGTTTTGAAGGGCCATCCCCGCCAGAAGTCGAGAACATACCCCAGGTCCCCGCCGCAACTCGAGAAAAACCATGAGACTTCCCCCTAGAGGGGAGATGAGGTCCCATTCCCCTGCAGTGCATGCACAGCTATTCCATGATCCCATTCAAACAAGTCAGGAGCTTCGACTTGCTTAATGGATCTCGAGACAGTCCCCAAGAACACTGTCACCAATCTAGACGGACCCTGAGGTCACCCCAGCAAGGCAAAGCAGCTCCATGTGCCCCAAATCAACTCGAGATGAGGCCCGATTCCCCTGCATTGACTCCAGAGCCATTCCCCATTCCCCGTTCATCATGAACCGTGGCTCGCCTTCCTTCAGGCAACTCCAGAGATGCCCCGAGAACACTGTCCCAAGTCTAGAGGAACACCAACTTCAGCACAGCAACTCGAGGAATGCTCTGTGTACGCCAAATCGTCTCGAGATGAGAGCTGATTCCCTGGCTTAGGCTCAAGACGTATGCCAAATTTCCAGAAGCACCTCAGGAGGAGGCTTCTCAGCAATAGGTATGTGGGAGGGACCCGGAGTGTGCTGCCTCAAGGGGAATATACAGCGAGAAGCCCTAACTTGAAAGGAGGCCGGATTTCCTTGCAGTAGCTTGAATACAGGCTTGTCTTTCATCTCACAACATGAAGGGATGTCTGAATCCCCTGTGGAGACCTTAGAGAAAGCCCTAGGTCCCTGCCTCATTTTGACGGAATGCCTCACTTACCGCTGACACTTAGAGAGGCACGCGGAGTTCATTGCTTCAAAAGGTGACGATGCCTGACTCCTCTTGAATACTGATAGGAATCCCAAAATCCCTGTGACTACTGGAAAGGGTCCTTGGGTGCCCTGCCTCACCTCGAGAAGCGTCCCTTTTGCCCTGCCAAGCGTCGAAGAGATTCCTGAGGTGTCCCTCGTTACTAGACAGGAGTCCTGACGTCACTGAAGAAACTCGTGTTTTGAAGGGCCATCCCCGCCGTAAGTCGAGATCATACCCCAGGTCCCCGCCGCAACTCGAGAAAAACCATGAGACTTCCCCCTAGAGGCGAGATAAGGCCCCATGCCCCTGCAGTGCATGCAGAGCTATTCCGTGATCCCATTCAAACAAGTCAGGAGCTTCGACTTGCTTAATGGATCTCGAGACAGTCCCCAAGAACACTGTCACCAGTCTAGACGGACCCTGAGGTCACCCCAGCAACGCAAAGCAGCTCCATGTGCCCCAAATCAACTCGAGATGAGGCCCGATTCCCCTGCATTGACTCCAGAGCCATTCCCCGTTCCCCATTCAACACGACCGGTGGCTCGCCTTCCTTCAGGCAACTCCAGAGATGCCCCGAGAACACTGTCCCAAGTCTAGAGGACCACCAACTTCAGCACAGCAACTCGAGGAATGCTCTGTGTACCCCAAATCGTCTCGAGATGAGAGCTGATTCCCTGGCTTAGGCTCAAGACGTATGCCAACTTTCCAGAAGCACCTCAGGAGGACGCTTCTCAGCAATAGGTATGTGGGAGGGACTCCGAGTTTGCTGCCTCAAGGGGAATATACAGCGAGAAGGCCTAACTTGAAAGGAGGCCGGATTTCCTTGCAGTAGCTTGAATACAGGCTTGTCTTTCATCTCAGAACATGAAGGGATGTCTGAATCCCCTGTGGAGACCATGGAGAAAGCCCTAGGTCCCTGCCTCATTTTGACGGAATGCCTCACATCCCGCTTACACCTCGAGAGGCACGCGGAGTTCAGTGCTTCAAAAGTTGACGATGCCTGACTCCTCTTGAATACTGATAGGAATCCCCAAATCCCTGTGGCTACTGGAAAGGGTCCTTGGGTGCCCTGGCTCACCTCGAGAAGCGTCCCTTTTGCCCTGCCAAGCCTCGAAGATATTGCTGAGGTGTCCCTCATTACTAGACAGGAGTCCTGACGTCACTGAAGAAACTCGTGTTTTGAAGGGCCATCCCCGCCGTAAGTCGAGAACATACCCCAGGTCCCCGCCGCAACTCGAGAAAAACCATGAGACTTCCCCCTAGAGGGGAGATGAGGCCCCATTCCCCTGCAGTGCATGCAGAGCTATGCCATGATCCCATTCAAACAAGTCAGGAGCTTCGACTTGCTTAATGGATCTCGAGACAGTCCCCAAGAACACTGTCACCAGTCTAGACGGACCGTGAGGTCACCCAGCAATGCAAAGCAGCTCCATGTGCCCCAAATCAACTCGAGATGAGGCCCGATTTCCCTGCATTGACTCCAGAGCCTTTCCCTCTTCCCCATTCAACACGACCGGTGCCTCGACCTCCTTCAGGCAACTCCAGAGATGCCCCGAGAACACTGTCCCAAGTCTAGAGGACCACCAACTTCAGCACAGCAACTCGAGGAATGGTCCGTGTACCCCAAATCATCTCGAGATGAGAGCTGATTCCCTGGCTTAGGCTCAAGACGTATGCCAACTTTGCAGAAGCACCTCAGGAGGAGGCTTCCCTCAGCAATAGGTATGTGGGAGGGACCCCGAGTTTGCTGCCTCAAGGGGAATACACAGGGAGAAGCCCTAATGTGAACGGAGGCCAGATTTCCTTGCAGTGGCTTTAATACAGGCTAGTATTTGATCTGACAACATGAAGGGATGTCTGAATCCCCTGTGGAGACCTTGGAGGAAACCCTAGGTCCCTGCCTCATTTTGACGGAATACCTCACATCCCCCTGACACCTCGAGAGGCACGCAGAGTTCATTGCTTCAAAAGGTGACGACGCCTGACTCCTCTTGAATACTTATAGGAATCCCAAAATCCCTGTGGCTTCTGGAAAGGGTCCTTGGGTGCCCGGGCTCACCTCGAGAAGCGTCCCTTTTGCCCTGCCACGCCTCGAAGAGATTGCTGAGGTGTCCCTCGTAACTAGGCAGGAATCCTGACGTCACTGAAGAAACTCGTGTTTTGAAGGGCCATCCCCACCGTAAGTCGAGAACATACCCCAGGTCCCCGCCGCAACTCGAGAAAAACCGTGAGACTTCCCCCTAGAGGCGAGATGAGGACCCATTCCCCTGCAGTGCATGCAGAGCTATTCCGTGATCCCATTCAAACAAGTCAGGAGCTTTGCCTTGCTTAATGGATCTCGAGACAGTCCCCAAGAACACTGTCACCAGTCTAGACGGACCGAGAGGTCACCCAGCAATGCAAAGCAGCTCCATGTGCCCGAAATCAACTCGAGATGAGGCCCGATTCCCCTGCATTGACTCCAGAGCCATTCCCTGTTCCCCATTCAACACGACCAGTGGCTCGACTTCCTTCAGGCCACTCCAGAGATGCCCCGAGAACACTGTCCCAAGTCTAGAGGACCACCAACTTCAGCACAGCAACTCGAGGAATGCTCTGTGTACCCCAAATCGTCTCGAGATGAGAGCTGATTCCCTGGCTTAGGCTCAACACGTATGCCAACTTTCCAGAAGCACCTCAGGAAGAGGCTTCTCTCAGCAATAGGTATGTGGGAGGGACCCCGAGTTTGCTGCCTCAAGGGGAATATATCGCGAGAAGCCCTAACTTGAAAGGAGGCCGGATTTCCTTGCAGTGGCTTGAATACAGGCTCGTCTTTCATCTCACAACATGAAGGGATGTCTGAATCCCCTGTGGAGACCTTAGAGAAAGCCCTAGGTCCCTGCCTCATTTTGACGGAATCCTCACATCCCGCTGACACCTCGAGAGGCACGCGGAGTTCATTGCTTCAAAAGGTGACGATGCCTGACTCCTCTTGAATACTGATAGGAATCCCAAAATCCCTGTGGCTACTGGAAAGGGTCCTTGGGTGCCCTGCCTCACCTCGAGAAGCGTCCCTTTTGCCCTGCCAAGCCTCGAAGAGATTCCTGAGGTGTCCCTCGTTACTAGACAGGAGTCCTGACGTCACTGAAGAAACTCGTGTTTTGAAGGGCCATCCCCGCCGTAAGTTGAAGACATACCCCAGGTCCCCGCCGCAACTCGAGAAAAACCATGAGACTTCCCCCTAGAGGCAAGATGAGGCCCCATTCCCCTGCAGTGCATGCAGAGCTATTCCGTGATCCCATTCAAACAAGTCAGGAGCTTCGACTTGCTTAATGGATCTCGAGACAGTCCCCAAGAACACTGTCACCAGTCTAGACGGACCCTGAGGTCACCCCAGCAACGCAAAGCTGCTCCATGTGCCCCAAATCAACTCGAGATGAGGCCCGATTCCCCTGCATTGACTCCAGAGCCATTCCCCGTTCCCCATTCAACACGACCGGTGGCTCGACTTCCTTCAGGCAACTCCAGAGATTCCCCGAGAACACTGTCCCAACTCTAGAGGAACACCAACTTCAGCACAGCAACTCGAGGAATGCTCCGTGTACCCCAAATCATCTCGGGATGAGAGCTGATTCCCTGGCTTAGGCTCAAGACGTATGCCAACTTTCCAGAAGCACCTCAGGAGGAGGCTTCTCTCAGCAATAGGTATGTGGGAGGGACCCCGAGTTTGCTGCCTCAAGGGGAATACACAGGGAGAAGCCCTAATGTGAACGGAGGCCAGATTTCCTTGCAGTGGCTTGAATACAGGCTAGTATTTGATCTGACAACATGAAGGGATGTCTGAATCCCCTGTGGAGACCTTAGAGGAAGCCCTAGGTCCCTGCCTCATTTTGACGGAATACCTCACATCCCCCTGACACCTCGAGAGGCACGCAGAGTTCATTGCTTCAAAAGGTGGCTATGCCTGACTCCTCTTGAATACTTATAGGAATCCCAAAATCCCTGTGGCTCCTGGAAAGGGTCCTTGGGTGCCCTGCCTCACCTCGAGAAGCGTCCCTTTTGCCCTTCCAAGCCTCGAAGAGATTGCTGAGGTGTCCCTCGTTACTAGGCAGGAGTCCTGACGTCACTGAAGAAACTCGTGTTTTGAAGGGCCGTCCCCGCCGTAAGTCGAGAACATACCCCAGGTCCCCGCCGCAACTCGAGAAAAACCATGAGACTTCCCCCTAGAGGCGAGATGAGGCCCCATTCCCCTGCAGTGCATGCAGAGCTATTCCATGATCCCATTCAAACAAGTCAGGAGCTTTGACTTGCTTAATGGATCTCGAGACAGTCCCCAAGAACACTGTCACCAGTCTAGACGGACCGTGAGGTCACCCAGCAATGCAAAGCAGCTCCATGTGCCCCAAATCAACTCGAGATGAGGCCCGATTTCCCTGCATTGACTCCAGAGCCTTTCCCTCTTCCCCATTCAACACGACCGGTGCCTCGACATCCTTCAGGCAACTCCAGAGATGCCCCGAGAACACTGTCCCAAGTCTAGAGGACCACCAACTTCAGCACAGCAACTCGAGGAATGGTCCGTGTACCCCAAATCATCTCGAGATGAGAGCTGATTCCCTGGCTTAGGCTCAAGACGTATGCCAACTTTGCAGAAGCACCTCAGGAGGAGGCTTCCCTCAGCAATAGGTATGTGGGAGGGACCCCGAGTTTGCTGCCTCAAGGGGAATACACAGGGAGAAGCCCTAATGTGAACGGAGGCCAGATTTCCTTGCAGTGGCTTGAATACAGGTTAGTATTTGATCTGACAACATGAAGGGATGTCTGAATCCCCTGTGGAGACCTTGGAGGAAACCCTAGGTCCCTGCCTCATTTTGACGGAATACCTCACATCCCCCTGACACCTCGAGAGGCACGCAGAGTTCATTGCTTCAAAAGGTGACGATGCCTGACTCCTCTTGAATACTGATAGGAATCCCAAAATCCCTGTGGCTACTGGTAAGGGTCCTTGGGTGCCCTGCCTCACCTCGAGAAGCGTCCCTTTTGCCCTGCCAAGCCTCGAAGAGATTGCTGAGGTGTCCCTCATTACTAGACAGGAGTCCTGACGTCACTGAAGAAACTCGTGTTTTGAAGGGCCATCCCGGGCGTAAGTCGAGAACATACCCCAGGTCCCCTCCGCAACTCGAGAAAAACCGTGAGACTTCCCCCTAGAGGCGAGATGAGGCCCCATTCCCCTGCAGTGCATTCAGAGCTATTCCGTGATCCCATTCAAACAAGTCAGGAGCTTTGACTTGCTTAATGGATCTCGAGACAGTCCCCAAGAACACTGTCACCAGTCTAGACGGACCGTGAGGTCACCCAGCAATGCAAAGCAGCTCCATGTGCCCCAAATCAACTCGAGATGAGGCCGGATTCCCTTGCATTGACTCCAGAGCCATTCCCCGTTCCCCATTCAACACGACCGCAGGCTCCCTTCCTTCAGGCAACTCCAGAGATGCCCCGAGAACACTGTCCCAAGTCTAGAGGAACACCAACTTCAGCACAGCAACTCGAGGAATGCTCTGTGTACCCCAAATCGTCTCGAGATGACAGCTGATTCCCTGGCTTAGGCTCAAGACGTATGCCAACTTTCCAGAAGCACCTCAGGAGGAGGCTTCTCAGCAATAGGTATGTGGGAGGGACTCCGAGTGTTCTGCCTCAAGGGGAATATACAGCGAGAAGCCCTAACTTGAAAGGAGGCCGGATTTCCTTGCAGTAGCTTGAATACAGGCTTGTCTTCCATCTCACAACATGAAGGGATGTCTGAATCCCCTGTGGAGAACTTAGAGAAAGCCCTAGGACCCTGCCTCCTTTTGACGGAATGCCTCACATCCCGCTGACACCTCGAGAGGCACGCGGAGTTCACTGCTTCAAAAGGTGACGATGCCTGACTCCTCTTGAATACTGATAGGAATCCCAAAATCCCTGTGGCTACTGGAAAGGGTCCTTGGGTGCCCTGCCTCACTTCGAGAAGCGTCCCTTTTGCCCTGCCAAGACTCGAAGAGATTCCTGAGGTGTCCCTCGTTACTAGACAGGAGTCCTGACGTCACTGAAGAAACTCGTGTTTTGAACGGCCATCCCCGCCGTAAGTCGAGAACATACCCCAGGTCCCCGCCTCAACTCGAGAAAAACCATGACACTTCCCCCTAGAGGCCAGATGAGGCCCCATTCCCCTGCAGTGCATGCAGAGCTATTCCGTGATCCCATTCAAACAAGTCAGGAGCTTCGACTTGCTTAATGGATCTCGAGACAGTCCCCAAGAACACTGTCACCAGTCTAGATGGACCCTGAGGTCAACCCAGCAACGCAAAACAGCTCCATGTGCCCCAAATCAACTCGAGATGAGGCCCGATTCCCCTGCATTGACTCCAGAGCCATTCCCCGTTCCCCATTCAACACGACCGGTGGCTCGACTTCCTTCAGGCAACTCCAAAGATGCCCCGAGAACACTGTCCCAAGTCTAGAGGAACACCAACTTCATCACAGCAACTCGAGGAATGCTCCGTGTACCCCAAATCATCTCGAGATGAGAGCTGATTCCCTGGCTTAGGCTCAAGACGTATGCCAACTTTCCAGAAGCACCTCAGGAGGAGGCTTCTCTCAGCAATAGGTATGTGGGAGGGACCCCGAGTTTGCTGCCTCAAGGGGAATACACAGGGAGAAGCCCTAATGTGAACGGAGGCCAGATTTCCTTGCAGTCGCTTGAATACAGGCTAGTATTTGATCTGACAACATGAAGGGATGTCTGAATCCCCTGTGGAGACCTTAGAGGAAGCCCTAGGTCCCTGCCTCATTTTGACGGAATACCTCACATCCCCCTGACACCTCGAGAGGCACGCAGAGTTCATTGCTTCAAAAGGTGACGATGCCTGACTCCTCTTGAATACTTATAGGAATCCCAAAATCCCTGTGGCTACTGGAAAGGGTCCTTGGGTGCCCTGGCTCACCTCGAGAAGCGTCCCTTTTGCCCTGCCAAGCCTCGAAGAGATTGCTGAGGTGTCCCTCATTACTAGACAGGAGTCCTGACGTCACTGAAGAAACTCGTGTTTTGAAGGGCCATCCCCGCCGTAAGTCGAGAACATACCCCGGGTCCCCGCCGCAACTCGAGAAAAACCATGAGACTTCCCCCTAGAGGGGAGATGAGGACCGATTCCCCTGCAGTGCATGCAGAGCTATTCCATGATCCCATTCAAACAAGTCAGGAGCTTCGACTTGCTTAATGGATCTCGAGACAGTCCCCAAGAACACTGTCACCAGTCTAGACGGACCCTGAGGTCACCCCAGCAACGCAAAGCAGCTCCATGTGCCCCAAATCACCTCGAGATGAGGCCCGATTCCCCTGCATTGACTCCAGAGCCATTCCCCGTTCCCCGTTCAACACGAACTGTGGCTCGCCTTCCTTCAGGCAACTCCAGAGATGCCCCGAGAACACTGTCCCAAGTCTAGAGGAACACCAACTTCAGCACAGCAACTCGAGGAATGCTCTGTGTACCCCAAATCGTCTCGAGATGAGAGCTGATTCCCTGGCTTAGGCTCAAGACGTATGCCAACTTTCCAGAAGCACCTCAGGAGGAGGCTTCTCAGCAATAGGTATGTGGGAGGGACCCTGAGTGTGCTGCCTCAAGGGGAATATACAGCGAGAAGCCCTAACTTGAAAGGAGGCCGGATTTCCTTGCAGTAGCTTGAATACAGGCTTGTCTTTCATCTCACAACATGAATGGATGTCTGAATCCCTTGTGGAGCCCTTAGAGAAAGCCCTAGGTCCCTGCCTCATTTTGACGGAATGCCTCACATCCCGCTGACACCTCGAGAGGCAGGCGGAGTTCATTGCTTCAAAAGGTGACGATGCCTGACTCCTCTTGAATACTGATAGGAATCCCAAAATCCCTGTGGCTACTGGAAAGGGTCCTTGGGTGCCCTGCCTCACGTCGAGAACCGTCCCTTTTGCCCTGCCAAGCCTCGAAGAGATTCCTGAGGTGTCCCTCGTTACTAGACAGGAGTCCTGACGTCACTGAAGAAACTCGTGTTTTGAAGGGCCATCCCCGCCTTAAGTCGAGAACATACCCCAGGTCACCGCCGCAACTCGAGAAAAACCATGAGACTTCCCCCTAGAGGCGAGATGAGGCCCCATTCCCCTGCAGTGCATGCAGAGCTATTCCGTGATCCCATTCAAACAAGTCAGGAGCTTCGACTTGCTTAATGGATCTCGAGACAGTCCCCAAGAACACTGTCACCAGTCTAGACGGACCCTGAGGTCACCCCATCAACGCAAAGCAGCTCCATGTGCCCCAAATCAACTCGAGATGAGGCCCGATTCCCCTGCATTGACTCCAGAGCCATTCCCCATTCCCCGTTCAACACGAACGGTGGCTCGCATTCCTTCAGGCAACTCCAGAGATGCCCCGAGAACACTTTCCCAAGTCTAGAAGAACACCAACTTCAGCACAGCAACTCGAGGATTGCTCTGTGTACCCCAAATCGTCTCGAGATGAGAGCTGATTCCATGGCTTAGGCTCAAGACGAATGCCAAATTTCCAGAAGCACCTCAGGAGGACGCTTCTCAGCAATAGGTATGTGGGAGGGACTCCGAGTTTGCTGCCTCAAGGGGAATATACAGCGAGAAGGCCTAACTTGAAAGGAGGCCGGATTTCCTTGCAGTAGCTTGAATACAGGCTTGTCTTTCATCTCACAACATGAAGGTATGTCTGAATCCCCTGTGGAGACCATGGAGAAAGCCCTAGGTCCCTGCCTCATTTTGACGGAATGCCTCACATCCCGCTGACACCTCGAGAGGCACGCGGAGTTCATTGCTTCAAAAGGTGACGATGCCTGACTCCTCTTGAATACTGATAGGAATCCCAAAATCCCTGTGGCTACTGGAAAGGGTTCTTGGGTGCCCTGCCTCACATCGAGAAATGTCCCTTTTGCCCTGCCAAGCCTCGAAGTGATTGCTGAGGTGTCCCTCGTTACTAGGCAGGAGTCCTGACGTCACTGAAGAAACTCGTGTTTTGAAGGGCCATCCCCGCCGTAAGTCGAGAACATACCCCAGGTCCCCGCCGCAACTCGAGAAAAACCGTGAGACTTCCCCCTAGAGGCGAGATGAGGCCTCATTCCCCTGCAGTGCATGCAGAGCTATTCCGTGATCCCATTCAAACAAGTCAGGAGCTTTGACTTGCTTAATGGATCTCGAGACAGTCCCCAAGAACACTGTCACCAGTCTAGACGGACCGTGAGGTCACCCAGCAATGCAAAGCAGCTTCATGTGCCCCAAATCAACTCGAGATGAGGCCCGATTCCCCTGCATTGACTCCAGAGCCATTCCCTGTTCCCCATTCAACACGACCGGTGGCTCGACCTCCTTCAGGCAACTCCAGAGATGCCCCGAGAACACTGTCCCAAGTCTAGAGGAACACCAACTTCAGCACAGCAACTCGAGGAATGCTCTGTGTACCCCAAATCGTCTCGAGATGAGAGCTGATTCCCTGGCTTAGGCTCAACACGTATGCCAACTTTCCAGAAGCACCTCAGGAGGAGGCTTCTCTCAGCAATAGGTATGTGGGAGGGACCCCGAGTTTGCTGCCTCAAGGGGAATATACAGCGAGAAGCCGTAACTTGAAAGGAGGCCGGATTTCCTTGCAGTGGCTTGAATACAGGCTCGTCTTTCATCTCACAGCATGAAGGGATGTCTGAATCCCCTGTGGAGACCTTAGAGAAAGCCCTAGGTCCCTGCCTCATTTTGACGGAATCCTCACATCCCGCTGACACCTCGAGAGGCACGCGGAGTTCATTGCTTCAAATGGTGACGATGCCTGACTCCTCTTGAATACTGATAGGAATCCCAAAATCCCTGTGGCTACTGGAAAGGGTCCTTCGGTGCCCTGGCTCACCTCGAGAAGCGTCCCTTTTGCCCTGCCAAGCCTCGAAGAGATTCCTGAGGTGTCCCTCGTTACTAGACAGGAGTCCTGACGTCACTGAAGAAACTCGTGTTTTGAAGGGCCATCCCCGCCGTAAGTCGAGAACATACCCCAGGTCACCGCCGCAACTCGAGAAAAATCATGAGACTTCCCCTTAGAGGCGAGATGAGGCCCCATTCCCCTGCAGTGCATGCAGAGCTATTCCGTGATCCCATTCAAACAAGTCAGGAGCTTCGACTTGCTTAATGGATCTCGAGACAGTCCCCAAGAACACTGTCACTAGTCTAGACGGACCCTGAGGTCACCCCAGCAACGCAAAGCTGCTCCATGTGCCCCAAATCAACTCGAGATGAGGCCCGATTCCCCTGCATTGACTCCAGAGCCATTCCCCGTTCCCCATTCAACAAGACCGGTGACTCGACCTCCTTCAGGCAACTCCAGAGATGCCCCGAGAACACTGTCCCAAGTCTAGAGGAACACCAACTTCAGCACAGCAACTCGAGGAATGCTCCGTGTACCCCAAATCATCTCGAGATGAGAGCTGATTCCCTGGCTTAGGTTCAAGACGTATGCCAACTTTCCAGAAGCACCTCAGGAGGAGGCTTCTCTCAGCAATAGGTATGTGGGAGGGACCCCGAGTTTGCTGCCGCAAGGGGAATATACACGGAGAAGCCCTAATGTGAACGGAGGCCAGATTTCCTGGCAGTGGGTTGAATACAGGCTCGTCTTTGATCTGAAAACATGAAGGGATGTCTGATTCCCCTGTGGAGACCTTAGAGGAAGCCCTAGGTCCCTGCCTCATTTTGACGGAATGCCTCACATCCCCCTGACACCTCGAGAGGCACGCAGAGTTCATTGCTTCAAAAGGGGACGATGCCTGACTCCTCTTGAATACTTATAGGAATCCCAAAATCCCTGTTGCTACTGGAAAGTGTCCTTGGGTGCCCTGGCTCACCTCGAGAAGCGTCCCTTTTGCCCTGCCAAGCCTCGAAGAGATTGCTGAGGTGTCCCTCATTACTAGACAGGAGTCCTGACGTCACTGAAGAAACTCGTGTTTTGAAGGGCCATCCCCGCCGTAAGTCGAGAACATACCCCAGGTCCCCGCCGCAACTCGAGAAAAACCATGAGACTTCCCCCTAGAGGCGAGATGAGGCCCCATTCCCCTGCAGTGCATGCAGAGCTATTCCGTGATCCCATTCAAACAAGTCAGGAGCTTCGACTTGCTTAATGGATCTCGAGACAGTCCCCAAGAACACTGTCACCAGTCTAGACGGACCCTGAGGTCACCCCAGCAACGCAAAGCACCTCCATGTGCCCCAAATCAACTCGAGATGAGGCCCGATTCCCCTGCATTGACTCCGGAGCCATTCCCCGTTCCCCATTCAACACGACCGGTGGCTCGACTTCCTTCAGGCAACTCCAGAGATGCCCCGAGAACACTGTCCCAAGTCTAGAGGAACACCAACTTCAGCACAGCAACTCGAGGAATGCTCTGTGTACCCCAAATCATTTCGAGATGAGAGCTGATTCCCTGGCTTAGGCTCAAGACGAATGCTAACTTTCCAGAAGCACCTCAGGAGGAGGCTTCTCTCAGCAATAGGTATGTGGGAGGGACCCCGAGTTTGCTGCCTCAAGGGGAATATACAGAGAGAAGCCCTAACTTGAAAGGAGGCCGGATGTCCTTGCAGTGGCTTGAATACAGGCTCGTCTTTCATCTCACAACATGAAGGGATGTCTGAATCCCCTGTGGAGACCTTAGAGAAAGCCCTAGGTCCCTGCCTCATTTTGACGGAATCCTCACATCCCGCTGACACCTCGAGAGGCACGCGGAGTTCATTGCTTCAAAAGGTGACGATGCCTGACTCCTCTTGAATACTGATGGGAATCCCAAAATCCCTGTGGCTACTGGAAAGGGTCCTTGGGTGCCCTGCCTCACCTCGAGAAGCGTCCCTTTTGCCCTCCCAAGCCTCGAAGAGATTCCTGAGGTGTCCCTCGTTACTAGACAGGAGTCCTGACGTCACTGAAGAAACTCGTGTTTTGAAGGGCCATCCCCGCCGTAAGTCGAGAACATACCCCAGGTCCCCGCCGCAACTCGAGAAAAACCATGAGACTTCCCCTAGAGGCGAGATGAGGCCCCATTCCCCTGCAGTGCATGCAGAGCTATTCCGTGATCCCATTCAAACAAGTCAGGAGCTTCGACTTGCTTACTGGATCTCGAGACAGTCCCCAAGAACACTGTCACCAGTCTAGACGGACCCTGAGGTCACCGCAGCAACGCAAAGCCGCTCCATGTGCCCCAAATCAACTCGAGATGAGGCCCGATTTCCCTGCATTGACTCCAGAGCCATTCCCCGTTCCCCGTTCAACACGACCGGTGGCTCGACTTCCTTCAGGCAACTCCAGAGATGCCCCGAGAACACTGTCCCAAGTCTAGAGGAACACCAACTTCAGCACAGCAACTCGAGGAATGCTCTGTGTACCCCAAATCATTTCGAGATGAGAGCTGATTCCCAGGCTTAGGCTCAAGACGTATGCCAACTTTCCAGAAGCACCTCAGGAGGAGGCTTCTCAGCAATAGGTATGTGGGAGGGACTCCGAGTGTGCTGCCTCAAGGGGAATATACAGCGAGAAGCCCTAACTTGAAAGGAGGCCGGATTTCCTTGCAGTAGCTTGAATACAGGCTTGTCTTTCTTCTCACAACATGAAGGGATGTCTGAATCCCCTGTGGAGACCTTAGAGAAAGCCCTAGGTCCCTGCCTCATTTTGACGGAATGCCTCACATCCCGCTGACACCTCGAGAGGCACGCGGAGTTCATTGCTTCAAAAGGTGACGATGCCTGACTCCTCTTGCATACTGATAGGAATCCCAAAATCCCTGTGGCTACTGGAAAGGGTTCTTGGGTGCCCTGCCTCACATCGAGAAGCGTCCCTTTTGCCCTTCCAAGCCTCGAAGACATTGCTGAGGTGTCCCTCGTTACTAGACAGGAGTCCTGACGTAACTGAAGAAACTCGTGTTTTGAAGGGCCATCCCCGCCATAAGACGAGAACATACCCCAGGTCCCCGCCGCAACTAGAGAAAAACCATGAGACTTCCCCCTAGAGGCGAGATGAGGCCCCATTCCCCTGCAGTGCATGCAGAGCTATTCCGTGATCCCATTCAAACAAGTCAGGAGCTTCGACTTGCTTAATGGATCTCGAGACAGTCCCCAAGAACACTGTCACCAGTCTAGACGGAACCTGAGGTCACCCCAGCAACGCAAAGCTGCTCCATGTGCCCCAAATCAACTCGAGATGAGGCCCGATTCCCCTGCATTGACTCCAGAGCCATTCCCCGTTCCCCATTCAACACGACCGGTGGCTCGACTTCCTTCAGGCAACTCCAGAGATTCCCCAAGAACACTGTCCCAAGTCTAGAGGAACACCAACTTCCGCACAGCAAATCGAGGAATGTTCCGTGTACCCCAAATCATCTCAAGATGAGAGCTGATTCCCTGGCTTAGGCTCAAGACGTATGCCAACTTTCCAGAAGCACCTCAGGAGGAGGCTTCTCTCAGCGATAGGTATGTGGGAGGGACCCCGAGTTTGCTGCCTCAAGGGGAATACACAGGGAGAAGCCCTAATGTGAACGGAGGCCAGATTTCCTTGCAGTGGCTTGAATACAGGCTAGTATTTGATCTGACAACATGAAGGGATGTCTGAATCCCCTGTGGAGACCTTAGAGGAAGCCCTAGGTCCCTGCCTCATTTTGACGGAATACCTCACATCCCCCTGACACCTCGAGAGGCACGCAGAGTTCATTGCTTCAAAAGGTGACGATGCCTGACTCCTCTTGAATACTTATAGGAATCCCAAAATCCCTGTGGCTACTGGAAAGGGTCCTTGGGTGCCCTGGCCCACCTCGAGAAGCGTCCCTTTTGCCCTGCCAAGCCTCGAAGAGATTGCTGAGGTGTCCCTCATTACTAGACAGGAGTCCTGACGTCACTGAAGAAACTCGTGTTTTGAAGGGCCATCCCCGCTGTAAGTCGAGAACATACCACAGGTCCCCGCCGCAACTCGAGAAAAACCATGAGACTTCCCCCTAGAGGGGAGATGAGGCCCCATTCCCCTGCAGTGCATGCAGAGATATTCCGTGATCGCATTCAAACAAGTCAGGAGCTTCGACTTGCTTAATGGATCTCGAGACAGTCCCCAAGAACACTGTCACCAGTCTAGACGGACCCTGAGGTCACCCCAGCAAAGCAAAGCAGCTGATGTGCCCCAAATCAACACGAGATGAGGCCCAATTCCCCTGCATTGACTCCAGACCCATTCCCCGTTCCCCGTTCAACAGGAACGGTGGCTTGCCTTCCTTCAGGCAACTCCAGAGATGCCCCGAGAACACTGTCCCAAGTCTAGAGGAACACCAACTTCAGCACAGCAACTCGAGGAATGCTCTGTGTACCCCAAATCGTCTCGAGATGAGAGCTGATTCCCTGGCTTAGGCTCAAGACGTATGCCAACTTTCCAGAAGCACCTCAGGAGGAGGCTTCTCAGCAATAGGTATGTGGGAGGGACTCCGAGTGTGCTGCCTCAAGGGGAATATACAGCGAGAAGCCCTAACTTGAAAGGAGGCCGGATTTCCTTGCAGTAGCTTGAATACAGGCTTGTCTTTCTTCTCACAACATGAAGGGATGTCTGAATCCCCTGTGGAGACCTTAGAGAAAGCCCTAGGTCCCTGCCTCATTTTGACGGAATGCCTCACATCCCGCTGACACCTCGAGAGGCACGCGGAGTTCATTGCTTCAAAAGGTGACGATGCCTGACTCCTCCTGAATAATGATAGGAATCCCAAAATCCCTGTGGCTACTGGAAAGGGTCCTTGGGTGCCCTGCCTCACCTCGAGAAGCTTCCCTTTTGCCCTGCCAAGCCTCGATGAGATTCCTGAGGTGTCCCTCGTTACTAGACAGGAGTCCTGACGTCACTGAAGAAATTCGTGCTTTGAAGGGCCAACCCCGCCGTAAGTCGAGAACATACCCCAGGTCCCCGCCACAACTCGAGAAAAACCATGAGACTTCCCCCTAGAGGCGAGATGAGGCCCCATTCCCCTGCAGTGCATGCAGAGCTATTCCGTGATCCCATTCAAACAAGTCAGGAGCTTCGACTTGCTTAATGGATCTCGAGACAGTCCCCAAGAACACTGTCACCAGTCTAGACGGACCCTGAGGTCACCCCAGCAAAGCAAAGCTGCTCCATGTGCCCCAAATCAACTCGAGATGAGGCCCGATTCCCCTGCATTGACCCCAGAGCCATTCCCCGTTCCCCATTCAACACGACCGGTGGCTCGACTTCCTTCAGGCAACTCCAGAGATGCCCCGAGAACACTGTCCCAAGTCTAGAGGAACACCAACTTCAGCACAGCAACTCGAGGAATGCTCCGTGTACCCCAAATCATCTCGAGATGAGAGCTGATTCCCTGGCTTAGGCTCAAGACGTATGCCAACTTTCCAGAAGCACCTCAGGAGGAGGCTTCTCTCAGCAATAGGTATGTGGGAGGGACCCCGAGTTTGCTGCCTCAATGGGAATATACAGCGAGAAGCCCTAACTAGAAAGGAGGTCAGTTTTCCTTGCAGTGGCTTGAATACAGGCTCGTCTTTCATCTCACAACATGAAGGGATGTCTGAATCCCCTGTGGAGACCTTAGAGAAAGCCCTAGGTCCCTGCCTCATTTTGACGGAATCCTAACATCCCGCTGACACCTCGAGAGGCACGCGGAGTTCATTGCTTCAAAAGGTGACGATGCCTGACTCCTCTTGAATACTGATAGGAATCCCAAAATCCCTGTGGCTACTGGAAAGGGTCCTTCGGTGCCCTGCCTCACCTGGAGCAGTGTCCCTTTTGCCCTGCCAAGCCTCGAAGAGATTCCTGAGGTGTCCCTCATTACTAGACAGGAGTCCTGACGTCACTGAAGAAACTCGTGTTTTGAAGGGGCATCCCCGCCGTAAGTCGAGAACATACCCCAGGTCCCCGCCGCAACTCAAGAAAAACCATGAGACTTCCCCCTAGAGGCGAGATGAGGCCCCATTCCCCTGCAGTGCATCCAGAGCTATTCCGTGATCCCATTCAAACAAGCCAGGAGCTTCGACTTGCTTAATGGATCTCGAGACAGTCCCCAAGAACACTGTCACCAGTTTAGACGGACCCTGAGGTCACCCAGCAATGCAAAGCAGCTCCATGTGCCCCAAATCAACTCGAGATGAGGCCCGATTACCCTGCATTGACTCCAGAGCCATTCCTTGTTCCCCATTCAACACGACCGGTGGCTCGACTTCCTTCAGGCAACTCCAGAGATGCCCCGAGAACACTGTCCCAAGTCTAGAGGACCACCAACTTCAGCACAGCAACTCGAGGTATGCTCTGTGTACCCCAAATCGTCTCGAGATGAGAGCTGATTCCCTGGCTTAGGCTCAAGACGTATGCCAAATTTCCAGAAGCACCTCAGGAGGAGGCTTCTCAGCAATAGGTATGTGGGAGGGACCCCGAGTTTGCTGCCTCAAGGGGAATACACAGGGAGAAGCCCTAATGTGAACGGAGGCCAGATTTCCTTGCAGTGGCTTGAATACAGGCTAGTATTTGATCTGACAACATGAAGGGATGTCTGAATCCCCTGTGGAGACCTTAGAGGAAGCCCTAGGTCCCTGCCTCATTTTGACGGAATACCTCACATCCCCCTGACACCTCGAGAGGCACGCAGAGTTCATTGCTTCAAAAGGTGACGATGCCTGACTCCTCTTGAATACTTATAGGAATCCCAAAATCCCTGTGGCTACTGGAAAGGGTCCTTGGGTGCCCTGGCCCACCTCGAGAAGCGTCCCTTTTGCCCTGCCAAGCCTCGAAGAGATTGCTGAGGTGTCCCTCATTACTAGACAGGAGTCCTGACGTCACTGAAGAAACTCGTGTTTTGAAGGGCCATCCCCGCTGTAAGTCGAGAACATACCACAGGTCCCCGCCGCAACTCGAGAAAAACCATGAGACTTCCCCCTAGAGGGGAGATGAGGCCCCATTCCCCTGCAGTGCATGCAGAGATATTCCGTGATCGCATTCAAACAAGTCAGGAGCTTCGACTTGCTTAATGGATCTCGAGACAGTCCCCAAGAACACTGTCACCAGTCTAGACGGACCCTGAGGTCACCCCAGCAAAGCAAAGCAGCTGATGTGCCCCAAATCAACACGAGATGAGGCCCAATTCCCCTGCATTGACTCCAGACCCATTCCCCGTTCCCCGTTCAACAGGAACGGTGGCTTGCCTTCCTTCAGGCAACTCCAGAGATGCCGCGAGAACACTGTCCCAAGTCTAGAGGAACACCAACTTCAGCACAGCAACTCGAGGAATGCTCTGTGTACCCCAAATCGTCTCGAGATGAGAGCTGATTCCCTGGCTTAGGCTCAAGACGTATGCCAACTTTCCAGAAGCACCTCAGGAGGAGGCTTCTCAGCAATAGGTATGTGGGAGGGACTCCGAGTGTGCTGCCTCAAGGGGAATATACAGCGAGAAGCCCTAACTTGAAAGGAGGCCGGATTTCCTTGCAGTAGCTTGAATACAGGCTTGTCTTTCTTCTCACAACATGAAGGGATGTCTGAATCCCCTGTGGAGACCTTAGAGAAAGCCCTAGGTCCCTGCCTCATTTTGACGGAATGCCTCACATCCCGCTGACACCTCGAGAGGCACGCGGAGTTCATTGCTTCAAAAGGTGACGATGCCTGACTCCTCCTGAATAATGATAGGAATCCCAAAATCCCTGTGGCTACTGGAAAGGGTCCTTGGGTGCCCTGCCTCACCTCGAGAAGCTTCCCTTTTGCCCTGCCAAGCCTCGAAGAGATTCCTGAGGTGTCCCTCGTTACTAGACAGGAGTCCTGACGTCACTGAAGAAATTCGTGCTTTGAAGGGCCAACCCCGCCGTAAGTCGAGAACATACCCCAGGTCCCCGCCACAACTCGAGAAAAACCATGAGACTTCCCCCTAGAGGCGAGATGAGGCCCCATTCCCCTGCAGTGCATGCAGAGCTATTCCGTGATCCCATTCAAACAAGTCAGGAGCTTCGACTTGCTTAATGGGTCTCGAGACAGTCCCCAAGAACACTGTCACCAGTCTAGACGGACCCTGAGGTCACCCCAGCAAAGCAAAGCTGCTCCATGTGCCCCAAATCAACTCGAGATGAGGCCCGATTCCCCTGCATTGACCCCAGAGCCATTCCCCGTTCCCCATTCAACACGACCGGTGGCTCGACTTCCTTCAGGCAACTCCAGAGATGCCCCGAGAACACTGTCCCAAGTCTAGAGGAACACCAACTTCAGCACAGCAACTCGAGGAATGCTCCGTGTACCCCAAATCATCTCGAGATGAGAGCTGATTCCCTGGCTTAGGCTCAAGACGTATGCCAACTTTCCAGAAGCACCTCAGGAGGAGGCTTCTCTCAGCAATAGGTATGTGGGAGGGACCCCGAGTTTGCTGCCTCAAGGGGAATATACAGCGAGAAGCCCTAACTAGAAAGGAGGCCAGTTTTCCTTGCAGTGGCTTGAATACAGGCTCGTCTTTCATCTCACAACATGAAGGGATGTCTGAATCCCCTGTGGAGACCTTAGAGAAAGCCCTAGGTCCCTGCCTCATTTTGACGGAATCCTAACATCCCGCTGACACCTCGAGAGGCACGCGGAGTTCATTGCTTCAAAAGGTGACGATGCCTGACTCCTCTTGAATACTGATAGGAATCCCAAAATCCCTGTGGCTACTGGAAAGGGTCCTTCGGTGCCCTGCCTCACCTGGAGCAGTGTCCCTTTTGCCCTGCCAAGCCTCGAAGAGATTCCTGAGGTGTCCCTCATTACTAGACAGGAGTCCTGACGTCACTGAAGAAACTCGTGTTTTGAAGGGGCATCCCCGCCGTAAGTCGAGAACATACCCCAGGTCCCCGCCGCAACTCAAGAAAAACCATGAGACTTCCCCCTAGAGGCGAGATGAGGCCCCATTCCCCTGCAGTGCATCCAGAGCTATTCCGTGATCCCATTCAAACAAGCCAGGAGCTTCGACTTGCTTAATGGATCTCGAGACAGTCCCCAAGAACACTGTCACCAGTTTAGACGGACCCTGAGGTCACCCAGCAATGCAAAGCAGCTCCATGTGCCCCAAATCAACTCGAGATGAGGCCCGATTACCCTGCATTGACTCCAGAGCCATTCCTTGTTCCCCATTCAACACGACCGGTGGCTCGACTTCCTTCAGGCAACTCCAGAGATGCCCCGAGAACACTGTCCCAAGTCTAGAGGACCACCAACTTAAGCACAGCAACTCGAGGTATGCTCTGTGTACCCCAAATCGTCTCGAGATGAGAGCTGATTCCCTGGCTTAGGCTCAAGACGTATGCCAAATTTCCAGAAGCACCTCAGGAGGAGGCTTCTCAGCAATAGGTATGTGGGAGGGACTCCGAGTGTGCTGCCTCAAGGGGAATATACAGCGAGAAGCCCTAACTTGAAAGGAGGCCGGATTTCCTTGCAGTAGCTTGAATACAGGCATGTCTTTCTTCTCACAACATGAAGGGATGTCTGAATCCCCTGTGGAGACCTTAGAGAAAGCCCTAGGTCCCTGCCTCATTTTGACGGAATGCCTCACATCCCGCTGACACCTCGAGAGGCACGCGGAGTTCATTGCTTCAAAAGGTGACGATGCCTGACTCCTCTTGAATACTGATAGGAATCCCAAAATCCCTGTGGCTACTGGAAAGGGTCCTTGGGTGCCCTGCCTCACCTCGAGAAGCGTCCCTTTTGCGCTGCCAAGCCTCGAAGAGATTCCTGAGGTGTCCCTCGTTACTAGACAGTAGTCCTGACCTCACTGAAGAAATTCGTGTTTTGAAGGGCCATCCCCGCCGTAAGACGAGAACATACCCCAGGTGCCCGCCGCAACTCGAGAAAAACCATGAGACTTCCCCCTAGAGGTGAGATGAGGCCCCATTCCCCTGCAGTGCATGCAGAGCTATTCCGTGATCCCATTCAAACAAGTCAGGAGCTTCGACTTGCTTAATGGATCTCGAGGCAGTCCCCAAGAACACTGTCACCAGTCTAGACGGACCCTGAGGTCACCCCAGCAACGCAAAGCTGCTCCATGTGCCCCAAATCAACTCGAGATGAGGCCCGATTCCCCTGCATTGACTCCAGAGCCATTCCCCGTTCCCCATTCAACACGACCGGTGGCTCGACTTCCTTCAGGCAACTCCAGAGATTCCCCGAGAACACTGTCCCAAGTCTAGAGGAACACCAACTTCCGCACAGCAAATCGAGGAATGTTCCGTGTACCCCAAATCATCTCGAGATGAGAGCTGATTCCCTGGCTTAGGCTCAAGACGTATGCCAACTTTCCAGAAGCACCTCAGGAGGAGGCTTCTCTCAGCAATAGGTATGTGGGAGGGACCCCGAGTTTGCTGCCTCAAGGGGAATACACAGGGAGAAGCCCTAATGTGAACGGAGGCCAGATTTCCTTGCAGTGGCTTGAATACAGGCTAGTATTTGATCTGACAACATGAAGGGATGTCTGAATCCCCTGTGGAGACCTTAGAGGAAGCCCTAGGTCCCTGCCTCATTTTGACTGAATACCTCACATCCCCCTGACACCTCGAGAGGCACGCAGAGTTCATTGCTTCAAAAGGTGACGATGCCTGACTCCTCTTGAATACTTATAGGAATCCCAAAATCCCTGTGGCTACTGGAAAGGGTCCTTGGGTGCCCTGGCTCACCTCGAGAAGCGTCCCTTTTGCCCTGCCAAGCCTCGAAGAGATTGCTGAGGTGTCCCTCATTACTAGACAGGAGTCCTGACGTCACTGAAGAAACTCGTGTTTTGAAGGGCCATCCCCGCCGTAAGTCGAGAACATACCCCAGGTCCCCGCCGCAACTCGAGAAAAACCATGAGACTTCCCCCTAGAGGGGAGATGAGGCCCCATTCCCCTGTAGTGCATGCAGAGATATTCCGTGATCGCATTCAAACAAGTCAGGAGCTTCGACCTGCTTAATGGATCTCGAGACAGTCCCCAAGAACACTGTCACCAGTCTAGACGGACCCTGAGGTCACCCCAGCAAAGCAAAGCAGCTGATGTGCCCCAAATCAACACGAGATGAGGCCCAATTACCCTGCATTGACTCCAGAGCCATTCCCCGTTCCCCGTTCAACACGAACGGTGGCTTGCCTTCCTTCAGGCAACTCCAGAGATGCCCCGAGAACACTGTCCCAAGTCTAGAGGAACACCAACTTCAGCACAGCAACTCGAGGAATGCTCTGTGTACCCCAAATCGTCTCGAGATGAGAGCTGATTCCCTGGCTTAGGCTCAAGACGTATGCCAACTTTCCAGAAGCACCTCAGGAGGAGGCTTCTCAGCAATAGGTATGTGGGAGGGACTCCGAGTGTGCTGCCTCAAGGGGAACATACAGCGAGAAGCCCTAACTTGAAAGGAGGCCGGATTTCCTTGCAGTAGCTTGAATACAGGCTTGTCTTTCTTCTCACAACATGAAGGGATGTCTGAATCCCCTGTGGAGACCTTAGAGAAAGCCCTAGGTCCCTGCCTCATTTTGACGGAATGCCTCACATCCCGCTGACACCTCGAGAGGCACGCGGAGTTCATTGCTTCAAAAGGTGACGATGCCTGACTCCTCCTGAATAATGATAGGAATCCCAAAATCCCTGTTGCTACTGGAAAGTGTACTTGGGTGCCCTGGCTCACCTCGAGAAGCATCCCTTTTGCCCTGCCAAGCCTCGAAGAGATTGCTGAGGTGTCCCTCGTTACTAAACAGGAGTCCTGACATCACTGAAGAAACTCGTGTTTTGAAGGGCCATCCCCACCGTAAGTCGAGAACATACCCCAGGTCACCGCCGCAACTCGAGAAAAACCATGAGACTTCCCCCTAGAGGCGAGATAAGGCCCCATTCCCCTGCAGTGCATGCAGAGCTCTTCCGTTATCCCATTCAAACAAGTCAGGAGCTTCGACTTGCTTAATGGATCTCGAGACAGTCCCCAAGAACACTGTCACCAGTCTAGACGGACCCTGAGGTCACCCCAGCAAAGCAAAGCTGCTCCATGTGCCCCAAATCAACTCGAGATGAGGCCCGATTCCCCTGCATTGACCCCAGAGCCATTCCCCGTTCCCCATTCAACACGACCGGTGGCTCGACTTCCTTCAGGCAACTCCAGAGATGCCCCGAGAACACTGTCCCAAGTCTAGAGGAACACCAACTTCAGCACAGCAACTCGAGGAATGCTCCGTGTACCCCAAATCATCTCGAGATGAGAGCTGATTCCCTGGCTTAGGCTCAAGACGTATGCCAACTTTCCAGAAGCACCTCAGGAGGAGGCTTCTCTCAGCAATAGGTATGTGGGAGGGACCCCGAGTTTGCTGCCTCAAGGGGAATATACAGGGAGAAGCCCTAACTTGAAAGGAGGCCGGTTTTCCTTGCAGTGGCTTGAATACAGGCTCGTCTTTCATCTCACAACATGAAGGGATGTCTGAATCCCCTGTGGAGACCTTAGAGAAAGCCCTAGGTCCCTGCCTCATTTTGACGGAATCCTCACATCCCGCTGACACCTCGAGAGGCACGCGGAGTTCATTGCTTCAAAAGGTGACGATGCCTGACTCCTCTTGAATACTGATAGGAATCCCAAAATCCCTGTGGCTACTGGAAAGGGTCCTTCGGTGCCCTGCCTCACCTCGAGAAGCGTCCGTTTTGCCCTGCCAAGCCTCGAAGACATTGCTGAGGTGTCCCTCGTTACTAGACAGGAGTCCTGACGTCACTGAAGAAACTCGTGTTTTGAAGGGCCGTCCCCGCCGTAAGTCGAGAACATACCCCAGGTCCCCGCCGCAACTCGAGAAAAACCATGAGATTTCCCCCTAGAGGCGAGATGAGGCTCCATTCCCCTGCAGTGCATGCAGAGCTATTCCGTGATCCCATTCAAACAAGTCAGGAGCTTCGACTTGCTTAATGGATCTCGAGACAGTCCCCAAGAACACTGTCACCAGTCTAGACGGACCCTGAGGTCACCCCAGCAATGCAAAGCAGCTCCATGTGCCCCAAATCAACTCGAGATGAGGCCCGATTCCCCTGCATTGACTCCAGAGCCATTCCTCGTTCCCCATTCAATACGACCGGTGGCTCGCCTTCCTTCAGGCAACTCCAGAGATGCCCCGAGAACACTGTCCCAAGTCTAGAGGAACACCAACTTCAGCACAGCAACTCGAGGAATGCTCTGTGTACCCCAAATCGTCTCGAGATGAGAGCTGATTCCCTGGCTTAGGCTCAAGACGTATGCCAAGTTTCCAGAAGCACCTCAGGAGGAGGCTTCTCAGCAATAGGTATGTGGGAGGGACTCCAAGGTTGCTGCCTCAAGGGGAATATACAGCGAGAAGGCCTAACTTGAAAGGAGGCCGGATTTCCTTGCAGTAGCTTGAATACAGGCTTGTCTTTCATCTCACAACATGAAGGGATGTCTGAATCCCCTGTGGAGACCTTGGAGAAAGCCCTAGGTCCCTGCCTCATTTTGCGGAATGCCTCACATCCCGCTGACACCTCGAGAGGCACGCGGAGTTCATTGCTTCAAAAGGTGACGATGCCTGACTCCTCTTGAATACTGATAGGAATCCCAAAATCCCTGTGGCTACTGGAAAGGGTCCTTGGGTGCCCTGCCTCACCTCGAAAAGCGTCCCTTTTGCCCTGCCAAGCCTCGAAGAGATTCCTGAGGTGTCCCTCGTTACTAGACAGGAGTCCTGACGTCACTGAAGAAACTCGTGTTTTGAAGGGCCGTCCCCGCCGTAAGTCGAGAACATACCCCAGGTCCCCGCCGCAACTCGAGAAAAACCATGAGACTTCCCCCTAGAGCAGAGATGATGCCCCATTCCCCTGCAGTGCATGCAGAGCTATTCCGTGATCCCATTCAAACAAGTCAGGAGCTTCGACTTGCTTAATGGATCTCGAGACAGTCCCCAAGAACACTGTCACCAGTCTAGACGGACCCTGAGGTCACCCCAGCAACGCAAAGCAGCTCCATGTGCCCCAAATCAACTCGAGATGAGGCCCGATTCCCCTGCATTGACTCCAGAGCCATTCCCCGTTCCCCATTCAACACGACCGGTGGCTCAACTTCCTTCAGGCAACTCCAGAGATGCCCCGAGAACACTGTCCCAATTCTAGAGGAACACCAACTTCAGCAAAGCAACTCGAGGAATGCTCCGTGTACCCCAAATCATCTCGAGATGAGAGCTGATTCCCTGGCTTAGGCTCAAGACGTATGCCAACTTTCCAGAAGCACCTCAGGAGGAGGCTTCTCTCAGCAATAGGTATGTGGGAGGGACCCCGAGTTTGCTGCCTCAAGGGGAATACACAGGGAGAAGCCCTAATGTGAACGAAGGCCAGATTTCCTTGCAGTGGCTTGAATACAGGCTCGTCTTTGATCTGACAACATGAAGGGATGTCTGAATACCCTGTGGAGATCTTAGAGGAAGCCCTAGGTCCCTGCCTCATTTTGACGGAATACCTCACATCCCCCTGACACCTCGAGAGGCACGCAGAGTTCATTGCTTCAAAAGGTGACGAAGCCTGACTCCTCTTGAATACTGATAGGAATCCCAAAATCCCTGTGGATACTGGAAAGGGTCCTTGGGTTCCCTGGCTCACCTCGAGAAGCGTCCCTTTTGCCCTGCCAAGCCTCGAAGAGATTGCTGAGGTGTCCCTCATTACTAGACAGGAGTCTTGACGTCACTGAAGAAACTCGTGTTTTGAAGGGCCATCCCCGCCGTAAGTCGAGAACATACCCCAGGTCCCCGCCGCAACTCGAGAAAAACCATGAGACTTCCCCCTAGAGGGGAGATGAGGTCCCATTCCCCTGCAGTGCATGCACAGCTATTCCATGATCCCATTCAAACAAGTCAGGAGCTTCGACTTGCTTAATGGATCTCGAGACAGTCCCCAAGAACACTGTCACCAGTCTAGACGGACCCTGAGGTCACCCCAGCAAGGCAAAGCAGCTCCATGTGCCCCAAATCAACTCGAGATGAGGCCCGATTCCCCTGCATTGACTCCAGAGCCATTTCCCGTTCCCCGTTCATCATGAACGGTGGCTTGCCTTCCTTCAGGCAACTCCAGAGATGCCCCGAGAACACTGTCCCAAGTCTAGAGGAACACCAACTTCAGCACAGCAACTCGAGGAATGCTCTGTGTACCCCAAATCGTCTCGAGATGAGAGCTGATTCCCTGGCTTAGGCTCAAGACGTATGCCAAATTTCCAGAAGCACCTCAGGAGGAGGCTTCTCAGCAATAGGTATGTGGGAGGGACCGGGAGTGTGCTGCCTCAAGGGGAATATACAGCGAGAAGCCCTAACTTGAAAGGAGGCCGGATTTCCTTGCAGTAGCTTGAATACAGGCTTGTCTTTCATCTCACAACATGAAGGGATGTCTGAATCCCCTGTGGAGACCTTAGAGAAAGCCCTAGGTCCCTGCCTCATTTTGACGGAATGCCTCACTTCCCGCTGACACCTCGAGAGGCACGCGGAGTTCATTGCTTCAAAAGGTGACGATGCCTGACTCCTCTTGAATACTGATAGGAATCCCAAAATCCCTGTGACTACTGGAAAGGGTCCTTGGGTGCCCTGCCTCACCTCGAGAAGCGTCCCTTTTGCCCTGCCAAGCGTCGAAGAGATTCTTGAGGTGTCCCTCGTTACTAGACAGGAGTCCTGACGTCACTGAAGAAACTCGTGTTTTGAAGGGCCATCCCCGCCGTAAGTCGAGATCATACCCCAGGTCCCCGCCGCAACTCGAGAAAAACCATGAGACTTCCCCCTAGAGGCGAGATAAGGCCCCATGCCCCTGCAGTGCATGCAGAGCTATTCCGTGATCCCATTCAAACAAGTCAGGAGCTTCGACTTGCTTAATGGATCTCGAGACAGTCCCCAAGAACACTGTCACCAGTCTAGACGGACCCTGAGGTCACCCCAGCAACGCAAAGCAGCTCCATGTGCCCCAAATCAACTCGAGATGAGGCCCGATTCCCCTGCATTGACTCCAGAGCCATTCCCCGTTCCCCATTCAACACGACCGGTGGCTCGCCTTCCTTCAGGCAACTCCAGAGATGCCCCGAGAACACTGTCCCAAGTCTAGAGGACCACCAACTTCAGCACAGCAACTCGAGGAATGCTCTGTGTACCCCAAATCGTCTCGAGATGAGAGCTGATTCCCTGGCTTAGGCTCAAGACGTATGCCAACTTTCCAGAAGCACCTCAGGAGGACGCTTCTCAGCAATAGGTATGTGGGAGGGACTCCGAGTTTGCTGCCTCAAGGGGAATATACAGCGAGAAGGCCTAACTTGAAAGGAGGCCGGATTTCCTTGCAGTAGCTTGAATACAGGCTTGTCTTTCATCTCACAACATGAAGGGATGTCTGAATCCCCTGTGGAGACCATGGAGAAAGCCCTAGGTCCCTGCCTCATTTTGACGGAATGCCTCACATCCCGCTGACACCTCGAGAGGCACGCGGAGTTCATTGCTTCAAAAGGTGACGATGCCTGACTCCTCTTGAATACTGATAGGAATCCCCAAATCCCTGTGGCTACTGGAAAGGGTCCTTGGGTGCCCTGGCTCACCTCGAGAAGCGTCCCTTTTGCCCTGCCAAGCCTCGAAGATATTGCTGAGGTGTCCCTCATTACTAGACAGGAGTCCTGACGTCACTGAAGAAACTCGTGTTTTGAAGGGCCATCCCCGCCGTAAGTCGAGAACATACCCCAGGTCCCCGCCGCAACTCGAGAAAAACCATGAGACTTCCCCCTAGAGGGGAGATGAGGCCCCATTCCCCTGCAGTGCATGCAGAGCTATGCCATGATCGCATTCAAACAAGTCAGGAGCTTCGACTTGCTTAATGGATCTCGAGACAGTCCCCAAGAACACTGTCACCAGTCTAGACGGACCCTGAGGTCACCCCAGCAACGCAAAGCTGCTCCATGTGCCCCAAATCAACTCGAGATGAGGCCCGATTCCCCTGCATTGACTCCAGAGCCATTCCCCGTTCCCCATTCAACACGAACGGTGGCTCGACTTCCTTCAGGCAACTCCAGAGATGCCCCGAGAACACTGTCCCAAATCTAGAGGAACACCAACTTCAGCAAAGCAACTCGAGGAATGCTCCGTGTACACCAAATCATCTCGAGATGAGAGCTGATTCCCTGGCTTAGGCTCAAGACGTATGCCAACTTTCCAGAAGCACCTCAGGAGGAGGCTTCTCTCAGCAATAGGTATGTGGGAGGGACCCCGAGTTTGCTGCCTCAAGGGGAATACACAGGGAGAAGCCCTAATGTGAACGGAGGCCAGATTTCCTTGCAGTGGCTTGAATACAGGCTAGTATTTGATCTGACAACATGAAGGGATGTCTGAATCCCCTGTGGAATCCTTAGAGGAAGCCCTAGGTCCCTGCCTCATTTTGACGGAATACCTCACATTCCCCTGACACCTCGAGAGGCACGCGGAGTTCATTGCTTCCTAAGGTGACGATGCCTGACTCCTCTTGAATACTGATAGGAATCCCAAAATCCCTGTGGCTACTGGTAAGGGTCCTTGGGTGCCCTGCCTCACCTCGAGAAGCGTCCCTTTTGCCCTGCCAAGCCTCGAAGAGATTGCTGAGGTGTCCCTCATTACTAGGCAGGAGTCCTGACGTCACTGAAGAAACTCGTGTTTTGAAGGGCCATCCCGGGCGTAAGTCGAGAACATACCCCAGGTCCCCGCCGCAACTCGAGAAAAACCGTGAGACTTCCCCCTAGAGGCGAGATGAGGCCCCATTCCCCTGCAGTGCATGCAGAGCTATTCCGTGATCCCATTCAAACAAGTCAGGAGCTTCGACTTGCTTAATGGATCTCGAAACAGTCCCCAAGAACACTGTCACCAGTCTAGACGGACCGTGAGGTCACCCAGCAATGCAAAGCAGCTCCATGTGCCCCAAATCAACTCGAGATGAGGCCGGATTCCCCTGCATTGACTCCAGAGCCATTCCCCGTTCCCCATTCAACACGACCGCTGGCTCCCTTCCTTCAGGCAACTCCAGAGATGCCCCGAGAACACTGTCCCAAGTCTAGAGGAACACCAACTTCAGCACAGCAACTCGAGGAATGCTCTGTGTACCCCAAATCGTCTCGAGATGATAGCTGATTCCCTGACTTAGGCTCAAGACGTATGCCAACTTTCCAGAAGAACCTCAGGAGGAGGCTTCTCAGCAATAGGTATGTGGGAGGGACTCCGAGTTTGCTGCCTCAAGGGGAATATACAGCGAGAAGGCCTAACTTGAAAGGAGGCCGGATTTCCTTGCAGTAGCTTGAATACAGGCTTGTCTTTCATCTCACATCATGAAGGGATGACTGAATCCCCTGTGGAGACCTTAGAGAAAGCCCTAGGTCCCTGCCTCATTTTGACGGAATGCCTCACATCCCGCTGACACCTCGAGAGGCACGCGGAGTTCAGTGCTTCAAAAGGTGACGATGCCTGACTCCTCTTGAATACTGATAGGAATCCCCAAATCCCTGTGGCTACTGGAAAGGGTCCTTGGGTGCCCTGCCTCACCTCGAGAAGCGTCCCTTTTGCCCTGCCAAGCCTCGAAGAGATTCCTGAGGTGTCCCTCGTTACTAGACAGGAGTCCTGACGTCACTGAAGAAACTCGTGTTTTGAACGGCCATCCCCTCCGTAAGTCGAGAACATAGCCCAGGTCCCCGCCGCAACTCGAGAAAAACCATGAGACTTCCCCCTAGAGGCGAGATGAGGCCCCATTCCCCTGCAGTGCATGCAGAGCTATTCCGTGATCCCATTCAAACAAGTCAGGAGCTTCGACTTGCTTAATGGATCTCGAGACAGTCCCCAAGAACACTGTCACCAGTCTAGACGGACCCTGAGGTCACCCCAGCAACGCAAAGCTGCTCCATGTGCCCAAATCAACTCGAGATGAGGCCCGATTCCCGTGCATTGACTCCAGAGCCATTCCCCGTTCCCCATTCAACACGACCAGTGGCTCGACTTCCTTCAGGCAACTCCAGAGATGCCCCGAGAACACTGTCCCAAGTCTAGAGGAACACCAACTTCAGCAAAGCAACTCCAGGAATGGTCCGTGTACCCCAAATCATCTCGAGATGAGAGCTGATTCCCTGGCTTAGGCTCAAGACGTATGCCAACTTTGCAGAAGCACCTCAGGAGGAGGCTTCTCTCAGCAATAGGTATGTGGGAGGGACCCCGAGTTTGCTGCCTCAAGGGGAATATACAGCGAGAAGCCGTAACTTGAAAGGAGGCCGGATTTCCTTGCAGTGGCTTGAATACAGGCTCGTCTTTCATCTCACAACATGAAGGGATGTCTGAATCCCCTGTGGAGACCTTAGAGGAAGCCCTAGGTCCCTGCCTCATTTTGACGGAATACCTCACATCCCCCTGACACCTCGAGAGGCACGCAGAGTTCACTGCTTCAAAAGGGGACAATGCCTGACTCCTCTTGAATATTTATAGGAATCCCAAAATCCCTGTTGCTACTGGAAAGGGTCCTTGGGTGCCCTGGCTCACCTCGAGAAGCGTCCCTTTTGCCCTGCCAAGCCTCGAAGAAATTGCTGAGGTGTCCCTCATTACTAGGCAGGAGTCCTGACGTCACTGAAGAAACTCGTGTTTTGAAGGGCCATCCCCGCCGTAAGTCGAGAACATACCCCAGGTCCCCGCTGCAACTCGAGAAAAACCATGAGACTTCCCCCTAGAGGCGAGATGAGGCCCCATTCCCCTGCAGTGCATGCAGAGCTATTCCGTGATCCCATTCAAACAAGTCAGGAGCTTCGACTTGCTTAATGGATCTCGAGACAGTCCCCAAGAACACTGTCACCAGTCTAGACGGACCCTGAGGTCACCCCAGCAATGCAAAGCAGCTCCATGTGCCCCAAATCAACTCGAGATGAGCCCCGATTCCCCTGCATTGACTCCAGAGCCATTCCCCGTTCCCCATTCAACACGACCGGTGGCTCGCCTTCCTTCAGGCAACTCCAGAGATGCCCCGAGAACACTGTCCCAAGTCTAGAGGAACACCAACTTCAGCACAGCAACTCGAGGAATGCTCTGTGTACCCCAAATCGTCTCGAGATGAGAGCTGATTCCCTGGCTTAGGCTCAAGACGTATGCCAAATTTCCAGAAGCACCTCAGGAGGAGGCTTCTCAGCAATAGGTATGTGGGAGGGACTCCGAGTGTGCTGCCTCAAGGGGATATACAGCGAGAAGCCCTAACTTGAAAGGAGGCCGGATTTCCTTGCAGTAGCTTGAATACAGGCTTGTCCTCCATCTCACAACATGAAGGGATGTCTCAATCCCCTGTGGAGACCTTAGAGAAAGCCCTACGTCCCTGCCTCCTTTTGACGGAATGCCTCACATCCCGCTGACACCTCGAGAGGCACGCGGAGTTCATTGCTTCAAAAGGTGACGATGCCTGACTCCTCTTGAATACTGATAGGAATCCCAAAATACCTGTGGCTACAGGAAAGGGTTCTTGGGTGCCCTGCCTCACATCGAGAAGCGTCCCTTTTGCCCTGCCAAGCCTCGAAGAGATTGCTGAGGTGTCCCTCATTACTAGGCAGGAGTCCTGACGTCACTGAAGAAACTCGTGTTTTGAAGGGCCATCCCCGCCGTAAGTCGAGAACATACCCCAGGTCCCCGCCGCAACTCGAGAAAAACCGTGAGACTTCCCCCTAGATGCGAGATGAGGCCCCATTCCCCTGCAGTGCATGCAGAGCTATTCCGTGATCCCATTCAAACAAGTCAGGAGCTTTGATTTGCTTAATGGATCTCGAGACAGTCCCCAAGAAAACTGTCACCAGTCTAGACGGACCGTGAGGTCACCCAGCAATGCAAAGCAGCTCCATGTGCCCGAAATCAACTCGAGATGAGGCCCGATTCCCCTGCATTGACTCCAGAGCCATTCCCTGTTCCCCATTCAACACGACCGGTGGCTCGACCTCCTTCAGGCAACTCCAGAGATGCACCGAGAACACTGTCCCAAGTCTAGAGGACCACCAACTTCAGCACAGCAACTCGAGGAATGGTCCGTGTACCCCAAATCATCTCGAGATGAGAGCTGATTCCCTGGCTTAGGCTCAAGACGTATGCCAACTTTGCAGAAGCACCTCAGGAGGAGGCTTCTCTCAGCAATAGGTATGTGGGAGGGACCCCGAGTTTGCTGCCTCAAGGGGAATACACAGGGAGAAGCCCTAATGTGAACGGAGGCCAGATTTCCTTGCAGTGGCTTGAATACAGGCTAGTATTTGATCTGACAACATGAAGGGATGTATGAATCCCCTGTGGAGACCTTAGAGGAAGACCTAGGTCCCTGCCTCATTTTGACGGAATACCTCACATCCCCCTGACACCTCGAGAGGCACGCAGAGTTCATTGCTTCAAAAGTTGACGATGACTGACTCCTCTTGAATACTGTTAGGAATCCCAAAATCCCTGTGGCTACTGGAAAGGGTCCTTGGGTGCCCTGCCTCACCTCGAGAAGCGTCTCTTTTGCCCTGCCAAGCCTCGAAGAGATTGCTGAGGTGTCCCTCATTACTAGACAGGAGTCCTGACGTCACTGAAGAAACTCGTGTTTTGAAGGGCCATCCCCGCCGTAAGTCGAGAACATTCCCCAGGTCCCCGCCGCAACTCGAGAAAAACCATGAGACTTCCCCCTAGAGGGGAGATGAGGACCCATTCCCCTGCAGTGCATGCAGAGCTATTCCATGATCCCATTCAAACAAGTCAGGAGCTTCGACTTGCTTAATGGATCTCGAGACAGTCCCCAAGAACACTGTCACCAGTCTAGACGGACCCTGAGGTCACCCCAGCAACGCAAAGCAGCTCCATGTGCCCCAAATCAACTCGAGATGAGGCCCGATTCCCCTGCATTGACTCCAGAGCCATTCCCCATTCCACATTCAACACGAACGGTGGCTCGCCTTCCTTCAGGCAACTCCAGAGATACCCCGAGAACACTGTCCCAAGTCTAGATTAACACCAACATCAGCACAGCAACTCGAGGAATGCTCTGTGTACCCCAAATCGTCTCGAGATGAGAGCTGATTCCCTGGCTTAGGCTGAAGACATATGCCAACTTTCCAGAAGCACCTCAGGAGGAGGCTTCTCAGCAATAGGTATGTGGGAGGGACTCCGAGTGTGCTGCCTCAAGGGGAATATACAGCGAGAAGCCCTAACTTGAAAGGAGGCCGGATTTCCTTGCAGTAGCTTGAATACAGGCTTGTCTTTCTTCTCACAACATGAAGGGACGTCTGAATCCCCTGTGCAGACCTTAGAGAAAGCCCTAGGTCCCTGCCTCATTTTGACGGAATGCCTCACATCCCGCTGACACCTCGAGAGGCACGCGGAGTTCATTGCTTCAAAAGGTGACGATGCCTGACTCCTCTTGAATACTGATAGGAATCCCAAAATCCCTGTGGCTACTGGAAAGGGTCTTTGGGTGCCCTGGCTCACCTCGAGAAGCGTCCCTTTTGCCCTGCCAAGCCTCGAAGAGATTCCTGAGGTGTCCCTCGTTACTAGACAGGAGTCCTGACGTCACTGAAGAAACTCGTGTTTTGAAGTGCCATCCCCGCCGTAAGTCGAGAACATAGCCCAGGTCCCCGCCGCAACTCGAGAAAAACCATTAGACTTCCCCCTAGAGGCGAGATGAGGCCCCATTCCCCTGCAGTGCATGCAGAGCTATTCCGTGATCCCATTCAAACAAGTCAGGAGCTTCGACTTGCTTAATGGATCTCGAGACAGTCCCCAAGAACACTGTCACCAGTCTAGACGGACCCTGAGGTCACCCCAGCAATGCAAAGCAGCTCCATGTGCCCCAAATCAACTCGAGATGAGGCCCGATTCCCCTGCATTGACTCCAGAGCCATTCCCCGTTCCCAATTCAACACGACCGGCGGCTCGACTTCCTTCAGGCAACTCCAGAGATGCCCCGAGAACACTGTCCCAAGTCTAGAGGACCACCAACTTCAGCACAGCAACTCGAGGAATGCTCTGTGTACCCCAAATCGTCTTGAGATGAGAGCTGATTCCCTGGCTTAGCCTCAAGACGTATGCCAACTTTCCAGAAGCACCTCAGGAGGAGGATTCTCTCAGCAATAGGTATGTGGGAGGGACCCCGAGTTTGCTGCCTCAAGGGGAATATACAGCGAGAAGCGCTAACTTGAAAGGAGGCCGGATATCCTTGCAGTGGCTTGAATACAGGCTCGTGTTTTATCTCACAACATGAAGGGATGTCTGAATCCCCTGTGGAGACCTTAGAGGAAGCCCTAGGTCCCTGCCTCATTTTGACGGAATACCTCACATCCCCCTGACACCTCGAGAGGCACGCAGAGTTCACTGCTTCAAAAGGTGACGATGCCTGACTCCTCTTGAATACTTATAGGAATCCGAAAATCCCTGTGGCTACTGGAAAGGGTCCTTGGGTGCCCTGGCTCACCTCGAGAAGCGTCCCTTTTGCCCTGCCAAGCCTCGAAGAGATTGCTGAGGTGTCCCTCGTTACTAGACAGGAGTCCTGACGTCACTGAAGAAACTCGTGTTTTGAAGGGCCATCCCCGCCGTAAGTCGAGAACATACCCCAGGTCCCCGCCGCAACTCGAGAAAAACCATGAGACTTCCCCCTAGAGGCGAGATGAGGCCCCATTCCCCTGCAGTGCATGCAGAGCTATTCCGTGATCCCATTCAAACAAGTCAGGAGCTTCGACTTGCTTAATGGATCGCGAGACAGTCCCCAAGAACACTGTCACCAGTCTAGACGGACCCTGAGGTCACCCCAGCAATGCAAAGCTGGTCCATGTGCCCCAAATCAACTCGAGATGAGGCCCGATTCCCCTGCATTGACTCCAGAGCCATTCCCCGTTCCCCATTCAACACGACCGGTGGCTCGACTTCCTTCAGGCAACTCCACAGATGCCCCGAGAACAGTGTCCCAAGTCTAGAGGACCACCAACTTCAGCACAGCAACTCGAGGAATGCTCCGTGTACCCCAAATCGTCTCGAGATGAGAGCTGATTCCCTGCCTTAGGCTCAAGACGTAGGCCAACTTTCCAGAAGCACCTCAGGAGGAGGCTTCTCTCAGGAATAGGTATGTGGGAGGGACCCCGAGTTTGCTGCCTCAAGGGGAATACACAGGGAGAAGCCCTAATGTGAAAGGAGGCCAGATTTCCTTGCAGTGGCTTGAACACAGGCTCGTCTTTGATCTCACAACATGAAGGGATGTCTGAATCCCCTGTGGAGACCTTAGAGGAAGCCCTAGGTCCCTGCCTCATTTTGACGGAATACCTCACATCCCCCTGACACCTCGAGAGGCACGCAGAGTTCATTGCTTCAAAAGGTGACGATGCCTGACTCCTCTTGAATACTGATAGGAATCCCAAAATCCCTGTGGCTACTGGAAAGGGTCCTTGGGTGCCCTGCCTCACCTCGAGAAGCGTCCCTTTTGCCCTGCCAAGCCTCGAAGAGATTCCTGAGGTGTCCCTCGTTACTAGACAGGAGTCCTGACGTCACTGAAGAAACTCGTGTTTTGAAGGGCCATCCCCGCCGTAAGTCGAGAACATACCCCAGGTCCCCGCCGCAACTCGAGAAAAACCATGAGACTTCCCCCTAGAGGCGAGATGAGGCCCCATTCCCCTGCAGTGCATGCAGAGCTATTCCGTGATCCCATTCAAACAAGTCAGGAGCTTCGACTTGCTTAATGGATCTCGAGACAGTCCCCAAGAACACTGTCACCAGTCTAGACGGACCCTGAGGTCACCCCAGCAAGGCAAAGCAGCTCCATGTGCCCCAAATCAACTCGAGATGAGGCCCGATTCCCCTGCATTGACTCCAGAGCCATTCCCCATTCCCCGTTCAACACGACCGGTGGCTCGCCTTCCTTCAGGCAACTCCAGATATGCCCCGAGAACACTGTCCCAAGTCTAGAGGAACACCAACTTCATCACAGCAACTCGAGGAATGCTCTGTGTACCCCAAATCGTCTCGAGATGACAGCTGATTCCCTGGCTTAGGCTCAAGACGTATGCCAACTTTCCAGAAGCACCTCAGGAGGAGGCTTCTCTCAGCAATAGGTATGTGGGAGGGACCCCGAGTTTGCTGCCTCAAGGGGAATATACAGCGAGAAGCCCTAACTTGAAAGGAGGCCGGATTTCCTTGCAGTGGCTTGAATACAGGCTCGTCTTTCATCTCACAACATGAAGGGATGTCTGAATCCCCTGTGGAGACCTTAGAGAAAGCCCTAGATCCCTGCCTCATTTTGACGGAATCCTCACATCCCGCTGACACCTCGAGAGGCACGCGGAGTTCATTGCTTCAAAAGGTGACGATGCCTGACTCCTCTTGAATACTGATAGGAATCCCAAAATCCCTGTGGCTACTGGAAAGGGTCCTTGGGTGCCCTGGCTCACGTCGAGAAGCGTCCCTTTTGCCCTGCCAAGCCTCGAAGAGATTCCTGAGGTGTCCCTCGTTACTAGACAGGAGTCCTGACGTCACTGAAGAAACTCGTGTTTTGAAGGGCCATCCCCGCCGTAAGTCGAGAACATACCCCAGGTCCCCGCCGCAACTCGAGAAAAACCATGAGACTTCCCCCTAGAGGCGAGATGAGGCCCCATTCCCCTGCAGTGCATGCAGATCTATTCCGTGATCCCATTCAAACAAGTCAGGAGCTTCGACTTGCTTAATGGATCTCGAGACAGTCCCCAAGAACACTGTCACCAGTCTAGACGGACCCTGAGGTCACCCCAGCAAGGCAAAGCAGCTCCATGTGCCCCAAATCAACTCGAGATTAGGCCCGATTCCCCTGCATTGACTCCAGAGCCATTCCCCGTTCCCCGTTCAACACGACCGGTGGCTCGACTTCCTTCAGGCAACTCCAGAGATGCCCCGAGAACACTGTCCCAAGTCTAGAGGAATACCAACTTCAGCACAGCAACTCGAGGAATGCTCCGTGTACCTCAAATCATCTCGAGATGAGAGCTGATTCCCTGGCTTAGGCTCAAGACGTATGCCAACTTTCCAGAAGCACCTCAGGAGGAGTCTTCTCTCAGCAATAGGTATGTGGGAGGAACCCCGAGTTTGCTGCCTCAAGGAGAATATACAGCTAGAAGCCCTAACTTGAAAGGAGGCCGGATTTCCTTGCAGTGGCTTGAATACAGGCTCGTCTTTCATCTCACAACATGAAGGGTTGTCTGAATCCCCTGTGGAGACCTTAGAGAAAGCCCTAGGTCCCTGCCTCATTTTGACGGAATCCTCACCTCCCGCTGACACCTCGAGAGGCACGCGGAGTTCACTGCTTCAAAAGGTGACGAAGCCTGACTCCTCTTGAATACTGATAGGAATCCCAAAATCCCTGTGGCTACTTTAAAGGGTCCTTGGGTGCCTGCCTCACCTCGAGAAGCGTCCCTTTTGCCCTGCCAAGCCTCGAAGAGATTCCTGAGGTGTCCCTCGTTATTAGACAGGAGTCCTGACGTCACTGAAGAAACTCGTGTTTTGAAGGTCCATCCCCGCCTTAAGTCGAGAACATACCCCAGGTCCCCGCCGCAACTCGAGAAAAACCATGAGACTTCCCCCTAGAGGCGAGATGAGGCCCCATTCCCCTGCAGTGCATGTAGAGCTATTCCGTGATCCCATTCAAACAAGTCAGGAGCTTCGACTTGCTTAATGGATCGCGAGAAATTCCCCAAAACACTGTCACCAGTCTAGACGGACCCTGAGGTCACCCCAGCAATGCAAAGCAGCTCCATGTGCCCCAAATCAACTCGAGATGAGGCCCGATTCCCCTGCATTGACTCCAGAGCCATTCCCCGTTCCCCATTCAACACGACCGGTGGCTCGACTTCCTTCAGGCAACTCCAGAGATGCCCCGAGAACACTGTCCCAAGTCTAGAGGACCACCAACTTCAGCACAGCAACTCGAGGAATGCTCTGTGTACCCCAAATCGTCTTGAAATGAGAGCTGATTCCCTGGCTTAGGCTCAAGACGTATGCCAACTTTCCAGAAGCACCTCAGGAGGAGGCTTCTCTCAGCAATAGGTATGTGGGAGGGACCCCGAGTTTGCTGCCTCAAGGGGAATATACAGCGAGAAGCCCTAACTTGAAAGGAGGCCGGATTTCCTTGCAGTGGCTTGAATACAGGCTCCTCTTTGATCTCACAACATGAAGGGATGTCTGAATACCCTGTGGAGATCTTAGAGGAAGCCCTAGGTCCCTGCCTCATTTTGACGGAATACCTCACATCGCCCTGACACCTCGAGAGGCACACAGAGTTCATTGCTTCAAAAGGTGACGATGCCTGACTCCTCTTGAATACTGATAGGAATCCCAAAATCCCTGTGGCTACTGGTAAGGGTTTGGGTGCCCTGCCTCACCTCGAGAACCGTCCCTTTTGCCCTGTCAAGCCTCGAAGAGATTCCTGAGGTGTCCCTCGTTACTAGACAGGAGTCCTGACGTCACTGAAGAAACTCGTGTTTTGAAGAGCCATCCCCGCCGTAAGTCGAGAACATACCCCAGGTCACCGCCGCAACTCGAGAAAAACCATGAGACTTCCCCCTAGAGGCGAGATGAGGCCCCATTCCCCTGCAGTGCATGCAGAGCTATTCCGTGATCCCATTCAAACAAGTCAGGAGCTTCGACTTGCTTAATGGATCTCGAGACAGTCCCCAAGAACACTGTCACCAGTCTAGACGGACCCTGAGGTCACCCCAGCAAGGCAAAGCAGCTCCATGTGCCCCAAATCAACTCGAGATGAGGCCCGATTCCCCTGCATTGACTCCAGAGCCATTCCCCGTTCCCCATTCAACACGACCGGTGGCTCGACTTCCTTCAGTCAACTCCAGAGATGCCCCGAGAACACTGTCCCAAGTCTAGAGGACCACCAACTTCAGCACAGCAACTCGAGGAATGCACTGTGTACCCCAAATCGTCTCGAGATGAGAGCTGATTCCCTGGCTTAGGCTCAAGACGTATGCCAACTTTCCAGAAGCACCTCAGGAGGAGGCTTCTCTCAGCAATAGGTATGTGGGAGGGACCCCGAGTTTGCTGCCTCAAGGGGAATATACAGCGAGAAGCCCTAACTTGAAATGAGGCCGGATTTCCTTGCAGTGGCTTGAATACAGGCTCGTCTTTCATCTCCCAACATGAAGGGATGTCTGAATCCCCTGTGGAGACCTTAGAGAAAGCCCTACGTCCCTGCCTCATTTTGACGGAATCCTCACATCCCGCTGACACCTCGAGAGGCACGCGGAGTTCATTGCTTCAAAAGGTGACGATGCCTGACTCCTCTTCAATACTGATAGGAATCCCCAAATCCCTGTGGCTACTGGAAAGGGTCCTTGGGTACCCTGCCTCACCTCGAGAAGCGTCCCTTTTTGCCTGCCAAGCCTCGAAGAGATTCCTGAGGTGTCCCTCGTTACTAGACAGGAGTCCTGACGTCACTGAAGAAACTCGTGTTTTGAAGGGCCATCCCGCCGTAAGTCGAGAACATACCCCAGGTCCCCGCCGCAACTCGAGAAAAACCATGAGACTTCCCCCTAGAGGCGAGATGAGGCCCCATTCCCCTGCAGTGCATGCAGTGCTATTCCGTGATGCCATTCAAACAAGTCAGGAGCTTCGACTTGCTAAATGGATCTCGAGACAGTCCCCAAGAACACTGTCACCAGTCTAGACGGACCCTGAGGTCACCCCAGCAACGCAAAGCAACTCCATGTGCCCCAAATAAACTCCAGATGAGGCCCGATTCCCCTGCATTGACTCCAGAGCCATTCCCCGTTCCCCGTTCAACACGACCGGTGGCTCGCCTTCCTTCAGGCAACGCCAGAGATGCCCCGAGAACACTGTCCCAAGACTAGAGGAACACCAACTTCAGCACAGCAACTCGAGGAATGCTCCGTGTACCCCAAATCATCTCGAGATGAGAGCTGATTCCCTGGCTTAGGATCAAGACGTATGCCAACTTTCCAGAAGCACCTCAGGAGGAGGCTTCTCTCAGCAATAGTTATGTGGGAGGGACCCCGGGTTTGCTGCCTCAAGAGGAATACACAGGGAGAAGCCCTAATGTGAAAGGAGGCCAGATTTCCTTGCAGTGGCTTGAATACAGGCTCGTCTTTCATCTCACAACATGAAGGGATGTCTGTATCCCCTGTGGAGATCTTAGAGGAAGCCCTAGGTCCCTGTCTCATTTTGACGGAATACCTCACATCCCCCTGACACCTCGAGAGGCACGCAGAATTCATTACTTCAAAAGGTGACGACGCCTGACTCCTCTTGAATACTTATAGGAATCCCAAAATCCCTGTGGCTACTGGAAAGGGTCCTTGGGTGCCATGGCTCACGTCGAGAAGAGTCCCTTTTGCCCTGCCAAGCCTCGAAGAGATTCCTGAGGTGTCCCTCGTTACTAGACAGGAGTCCTGACGTCACTGAAGAAACTCGTGTTTTGAAGGGCCATCCCCGCCGTAAGTCGAGAACATACCCCAGGTCCCCGCCGCAACTCGAGAAAAACCATGAGACTTCCCCCTAGAGGCAAGATGAGGCCCCATTCCCCTGCAGTGCATGCAGAGCTATTCCCTGATCCCATTCAAACAAGTCAGGAGCTTCGACTTGCTTAATGGATCTCGAGACAGTCCCCAAGAACACTGTCACCAGTCTAGACGGACCCTGAGGTCACCCCAGCAACGCAAAGCAGCTCCATGTGCCCCAAATCAACTCGAGATGAGGCCCGATTCCCCTGCACTGACTCCAGAGCCATTCCCCGTTCCCCGTTCAACACGACCGGTGGCTCGTCTTCCTTCAGGCAACTCCAGAGATGCCCCGAGAACACTGTCCCAAGTCTAGAGTAACACCAACTTCAGCACAGCAACTCGAGGAATGCTCCGTGTACCTCAAACCATCTCGAGATGAGAGCTGATTCCCTGTCTTAGGCTAAAGACGTATGCCAACTTTCCAGAAGCACCTCAGGAGGAGGCTTCTCTCTGCAATAGGTATGTGGGAGGGACCCCGAGTTTGCTGCCTCAAGGGGAATATACAGCGAGAAGCACTAACTTGAAAGGAGGCCGGATTTCCTTGCAGTGGCTTGAATACAGGCTCGTCTTTCATCTCACAACATGAAGGGATGTCTGAATCCGCTGTGGAGACCTTAGAGAAAGCCCTAGGTCCCTGCCTCATTTTGACGGAATCCTCACATCCCGCTGACACCTCGAGAGGCACGCGGAGTAAATTGCTTCAAAAGGTGACGATGCCTGACTCCTCTTGAACACTGATAGGAATCCCAAAATCCCTGTGGCTACTGGAAAGCGTCCTTGGGTGCCCTGCCTCACCTCGAGAAGAGTCCCTTTTGCCCTGCCAAGCCTCGAAGAGATTCCTGAGGTGTCCCTCCTTACTAGACAGGAGTCCTGACGTCACTGAAGAAACTCGTGTTTTGAAGGTCCATCACCCCCGTAAGTCGAGAACATACCCCAGGTCCCCGCCGCAACTCGAGAAAAAACATGAGACTTCCCCCTAGAGGCGAGATGAGGCACCATTCCCCTGCACTGCATGCAGAGCTATTCCGTGATCCCATTCAAACAAGTCAGGAGCTTCGACTTGCTTAATGGATCGCGAGACAGTCCCCAAGAACACTGTCACCAGTCTAGACGGACCCTGAGGTCACCCAGCAATGCAAAGCAGCTCCATGTGCCCCAAATCAACTCGAGATGAGGCCCGATTCCCCTGCATTGACTCCAGAGCCATTCCCCGTTCCCCATTCAACACGACCGGTGGCTCGACTTCCTTCAGGCAACTCCACAGATGCCCCGAGAACAGTGTCCAAGTCTAGAGGACCACCAACTTCAGGACAGCAACTCGAGGAATGCTCCGTGTACCCCAAATCATCTCGAGATGAGAGCTGATTCCCTGGCTTAGGCTCAAGACGTATGGCAACTTTCCAGAAGCACCTCAGGAGGAGGCTTCTCTCAGCAATAGGTATGTGGGAGGGACCCCGAGTTTGCTGCCTCAAGGGGAATACACAGGGAGAAGCCCTAATGTGAAAGGAGGCCAGATTTCCTTGCAGTGGCTTGAACAAAGGCTCGTCTTTGATCTCACAACATGAAGGGATGTCTGAATCCCCTGTGGAGACCTTAGAGGAAGCCCTAGGTCCCTGCCTCATTTAGACGGAATACCTCACATCCCCCTGACACCTCGAGAGGCACGCAGAGTTCATTGCTTCAAAAGGTGGCGATGCCTGACTCCTCTTGAATACTTATAGGAATCCCAAAATCCCTGTGGCTACTGGAAAGGGTCTTTGGGTGCCCTGGCTCACCTCGATAAGCGTTCCTTTTGTCCTGCCAAGCCTCGAAGAGATTGCTGAGGTGTCCCTCGTTACTAGACAGGAGTCCTGACGTCACTGAAGAAACTCGTGTTTTGAAGGGCCATCCCCGCCGTAAGTCGAGAACATACCCCAGGTCCCCGCCGCAATTCGAGAAAAACCGTGAGACTTCCCCCTATAGGCGAGATGAAGCCCCATTCCCCTGCAGTGCAAGCAGAGCTATTCCGTGATCCCATTCAAACAAGTCAGGAGCTTCGACTTGCTTAATGGATCTCGAGACAGTCCCCAAGAACACTGTCACCAGTCTAGACGGACCCTGAGGTCACCCAGCATTGCAAAGCAGCTCAATGTGCCCCAAATCAACTCGAGATGAGGCCAGATTCCCCGGCATTGACTCCAGAGCCATTCCCTGTTCCCGATTCAACACGACCGGTGGCTCGACTTCCTTCAGGCAACTCCAGAGATGCCCCGAGAACACTGTCCCAAGTCTAGAGGACCACCAACTTCGGCACAGCAACTCGAGGAATGCTCTGTGTACCCCAAATCGTCTCGAGATGAGAGCTGATTCCCTGGCTTAGGCTCAAGACGTATGCCAACTTTCCAGAAGCACCTCAGGAGGAGGCTTCTCTCAGCAATAGGTATGTGGGAGGAACCCCGAGTGTGCTGCCTCAAGGGGAATATACAGCTAGAAGCCCTAACTTGAAAGGAGGCCGGATTTCCTTGCAGTGGCTTGAATACAGGCTTGTCATTCATCTCACAACATGAAGGGATGTCTGAATCCCCTGTGGAGACCTTAGAGAAAGCCCTAGATCCCTGCCTCAGTTTGACGGAATCCTCACATCCCGCTGACACCTCGAGAGGCACGCGTAGTTCATTGCTTCAAAAGGTGATGATGCCTGACTCCTCTTGAATACTGATAGGAATCCCAAAATCCCTGTGGCTACTGGAAAGGGTCCTTGGGTGCCCTGCTTCACCTCGAGAAGAGTCCCTTTTCCCTGCCAAGCCTCGAAGAGATTCCTGAGGTGTCCCTCGTTACTAGACAGGAGTCCTGACGTCACTGAAGAAACTCGTCTTTTGAAGGTCCATCCCCGCCGTAAGTCGAGAACATACCCCAGGTCCCCGCCGCAACTCGAGAAAAACCATGAGACTTCCCCCTAGAGGCGAGATGAGGCCCCATTCCCCTGCAGTGCATGCAGAGCTATTCCGTGATCCCATTCAAACAAGTCAGGAGCTTCGCATTGCTTAATGGATCGCGAGACAGTCCCCAAGAACACTGTCACCAGTCTAGACGGACCCTGAGGTCACCCCAGCAATGCAAAGCTGGGCCATGTGCCCCAAATCAACTCGAGATGAGGCACGATTCCCCTGCATTGACTCCAGAGCCATTCCCCGTTCCCCATTCAACACGTCCGGTGGCTCGACTTCCTTCAGGCAACTCCAGAGATGCCCCGAGAACAGTGTCGCAAGTCTAGAGGACCACCAACTTCAGCACAGCAACTCGAGGAATGCTCCGTGTACCCCAAATCGTCTCGAGATGAGAGCTGATTCCCTGGCTTAGGCTCAAGACGTAGGCCAACTTTCCAGAAGCACCTCAGGAGGAGGCTTCTCTCAGCAATAGGTATGTGGGAGGGACCCCGAGTTTGCTGCCTCAAGGGAAATACACAGGGAGAAGCCCTAATGTGAAACGACGCCAGATTTCCTTGCAGTGGCTTGAACAAAGGCTCGTCTTTGATCTCACAACATGAAGGGATGTCTGAATCCCCTGTAGAGACCTTAGAGGAAGCCCTAGGTCCCTGCCTCATTTTGACGGAATACCTCACATCCCCCTGACACCTCGAGAGGCACGCAGAGTTCATTGCTTCAAAAGGTGGCGATGCCTGACTCCTCTTGAATACTTATAGGAATCCCAAAATCCCTGTGGCTACTGGAAAGGGTCCTTGGGTGCCCTGGCTCACCTCGATAAGCGTTCCTTTTGCCCTACCAAGCCTCGAAGAGATTGCTGAGGTGTCCCTCGTTACTAGACAGGAGTCCTGACGTCACTGAAGAAACTCGTGTTTTGAAGGGCCATCCCCGCCGTAAGTCGAGAACATACCCCAGGTCCCCGCCGCAATTCGAGAAAAACCGTGAGACTTCCCCCTATAGGCGAGATGAGGCCCCATTCCCCTGCAGTGCAAGCAGAGCTATTCCGTGATCCCATTCAAACAAGTCAGGAGCTTCGACTTGCTTAATGGATCTCGAGACAGTCCCCAAGAACACTGTCACCAGTCTAGACGGACCCTGAGGTCACCCCAGCAACGCAAAGCAGCTCCATGTGCCCCAAATCAACTCGAGATGAGGCCCGTTTCCCCTGCACTGACTCCAGAGCCATTCCCCGTTCCCCGTTCAACACGACCGGTGGCTCGCCTTCCTTCAGGCAACTCCAGAGATGCCCCGAGAACACTGTCCCAAGTGTAGAGGAACACCAACTTCAGCACAGCAACTCGAGGAATGCTCTGTGTACCCCAAAACGTCTCGAGATGAGAGCTGATTCCCTGGCTTTGGCTCAAGACGTATGCCAACTTTCCAGAAGCACCTCAGGAGGAGGCTTCTCAGCAATAGGTATGTGGGAGGGACTCCGAGTTTGCTGCCTCAAGGGTAATATATAGCGAGAAGCCCTAACTTGAAAGGAGGCGGGATTTCCTTGAAGTAGCTTGAATACAGGCTTGTCTTTCACCTCACAACATGAAGGGATGTCTGAATCCCCTGTGGAGACCTTAGAGAAAGCCCTAGGTCCCTGCCTCATTTTGACGGAATGCCTCACATCCCGCTGACACCTCGAGAGGCACGCGGAGTTCATTGCTTCAAAAGGTGAGGATGCCTGACTCCTCTTGAAAACTGATAGGAATCCCAAAATCCCTGTGGCTACTGGAAAGGGTCCTTGGGTGCCCTGGCTCACCTCGAGAAGCGTCCCTTTTGCCCTGCCAAGCCTCGAAGAGATTGCTGAGGTATCCCTCGTTACTAGACAGGAGTCCTGACGTCACTGAAGAAACTCGTGTTTTGAAGGGCCATCCCCGCCGTAAGTCGAGAACATACCCCAGGTCCCCGCCGCAACTCGAGAAAAACCATGAGACTTCCCCCTAGAGGCGAGATGAGGCCCCATTCCCCTGCAGTGTATGCAGAGCTATTCCGTGATCCCATTCAAACCAGTCAGGAGCTTCGACATGCTTAATGGATCTCGAGACAGTCCCCAAGAACACTGTCACCAGTCTAGACCGACCCTGAGGTCACCCCAGCAATGCAAAGCAGCTCCATGTGCCCCAAATCAACTCGAGATGAGGCCCGATTCCACTGCATTGACTCCAGAGCCATTCCCTGTTCCCCGTTCAACACGACCGGTGGCTCGCCTTCCTTCAGGGAACTCCATAGATGCCCCGAGAACACTGTCCCAAGTCTAGAGGAACACCAACTTCATCACAGCAACTCGAGGAATGCTCTGTGTACCCCAAGTCGTCTCGAGATGAGAGCTGATTCCCTGGCTTAGGCTCAAGACGTATGCCAACTTTCCAGAAGCACCTCAGGAGGAGGCTTCTCAGCAATAGGTATGTGGGAGGGACTCCGAGTTTGCTGCCTCAAGGGCAATATACAGCGAGAAGCCCTAACTTGAAAGGAGGCCGGATTTCCTTGCAGTAGCTTGAATACAGGCTTGTCTTTCATCTCACAACATGAAGGGATGTCTGAATCCCCTGTGGAGACCTTAGAGAAAGCCCTAGTTCCCTGCCTCATTTTGACGGAATGCCTCACATCCCGCTGACACCTCGAGAGGCACGCAGAGTTCATTGCTTCAAAAGGTGACGAAGCCTGACTCCTCTTGAATACTGATAGGAATCCCAAAATCCCTGTGGCTACTGGAAAGGGTCCTTGGGTGCCCTGCCTCACCTCGAGAAGCGTCCCTTTTGCCCTGCCAACCCTCGAAGAGATTCCTGAGGTGTCCCTCGTTACTAGACAGGAGCCCTGATATCACTGAAGAAACTCGTGTTTTGAAGGGAGATCCCCGCCGTAAGTCGAGAACATACCCCAGGTCCCCGCCGCAACTCGAGAAAAACCATGAGACTTCCCCCTAGAGGCGAGATGAGGCCCCATTCCCCTGCAGTGCATGCAGAGCTATTCCGTGATCCCATTCAAACAAGTCAGGAGCTTCGACTTGCTAAATGGATCTCGAGAGAGTCCCCAAGAACACTGTCACCAGTCTAGATGGACCCTGAGGTCAACCCAGCAACGCAAAGCAGCTCCATGTGCCCCAAATCAACTCGAGATGAGGCCCGATTCCCCTGCATTGACTCCAGAGCCATTCCCCGTTCCCCATTCAACACGACCGGTGGCTCGACTTCCTTCAGGCAACTCGAGAGATGCCCCGAGAACACTGTCCCAAGTCTAGAGGAACACCAACTTCAGCACAGCAACTCGAGGAATGCTCCGTGTACCCCAAATCATCTCGAGATGAGAGCTGATTCCCTGGCTTAGGCTCAAGACGTATGCCAACTTTCCAGAAGCACGTCAGGAGGAGGCTTCTCTCAGCAATAGGTATGTGGGAGGGACCCCGAGTTTGCTGCCTCAAGGGGAATATACAGCGAGAAGCCCTAACTTGAAAGGAGGCCGGATTTCCTTGCAGTGGCTTGAATACAGGCTCGTCTTTCATCTCACAACATGAAGGGATGTCTGAATCCCCTGTGGAGACCTTAGAGAAAGCCCTAGGTCCCTGCCTCATTTTGACGGAATGCCTCACATCCCGCTGACACCTCGAGAGGCACGCGGAGTTCATTGTTTCAAAAGGTGACGATGCCTGACTCCTCTTGAATACTGATAGGAATCCCAAAATCCCTGTGGCTACTGGAAAGGGTCCTTGGGTGCCCTGCCTCACCTCGAGAAGCGTCCCTTTTGCCCTGCCAAGCCTCGAAGAGATTCCTGAGGTGTCCCTCGTTACTAGACAGGAGCCCTGATATCACTGAAGAAACTCGTGTTTTGAAGGGAGATCCCCGCCGTAAGTCGAGAACATACCCCAGGTCCCCGCCGCAACTCGAGAAAAACCATGAGACTTCCCCCTAGAGGCGAGATGAGGCCCCATTCCCCTGCAGTGCAAGCAGAGCTATTCCGTGATCCCATTCAAACAAGTCAGGAGCTTCGACTTGCTTAATGGATCTCGAGACAGTCCCCAAGAACACTGTCACCAGTCTAGACGGACCCTGAGGTCACCCCAGCAACGCAAAGCAGCTCCATGTGCCCCAAATCAACTCGAGATGAGGCCCGTTTCCCCTGCACTGACTCCAGAGCCATTCCCCGTTCCCCGTTCAACACGACCGGTGGCTCGCCTTCCTTCAGGCAACTCCAGAGATGCCCCGAGAACACTGTCCCAAGTGTAGAGGAACACCAACTTCAGCACAGCAACTCGAGGAATGCTCTGTGTACCCCAAAACGTCTCGAGATGAGAGCTGATTCCCTGGCTTTGGCTCAAGACGTATGCCAACTTTCCAGAAGCACCTCAGGAGGAGGCTTCTCAGCAATAGGTATGTGGGAGGGACTCCGAGTTTGCTGCCTCAAGGGTAATATATAGCGAGAAGCCCTAACTTGAAAGGAGGCGGGATTTCCTTGAAGTAGCTTGAATACAGGCTTGTCTTTCACCTCACAACATGAAGGGATGTCTGAATCCCCTGTGGAGACCTTAGAGAAAGCCCTAGGTCCCTGCCTCATTTTGACGGAATGCCTCACATCCCGCTGACACCTCGAGAGGCACGCGGAGTTCATTGCTTCAAAAGGTGAGGATGCCTGACTCCTCTTGAAAACTGATAGGAATCCCAAAATCCCTGTGGCTACTGGAAAGGGTCCTTGGGTGCCCTGGCTCACCTCGAGAAGCGTCCCTTTTGCCCTGCCAAGCCTCGAAGAGATTGCTGAGGTATCCCTCGTTACTAGACAGGAGTCCTGACGTCACTGAAGAAACTCGTGTTTTGAAGGGCCATCCCCGCCGTAAGTCGAGAACATACCCCAGGTCCCCGCCGCAACTCGAGAAAAACCATGAGACTTCCCCCTAGAGGCGAGATGAGGCCCCATTCCCCTGCAGTGTATGCAGAGCTATTCCGTGATCCCATTCAAACCAGTCAGGAGCTTCGACATGCTTAATGGATCTCGAGACAGTCCCCAAGAACACTGTCACCAGTCTAGACCGACCCTGAGGTCACCCCAGCAATGCAAAGCAGCTCCATGTGCCCCAAATCAACTCGAGATGAGGCCCGATTCCACTGCATTGACTCCAGAGCCATTCCCTGTTCCCCGTTCAACACGACCGGTGGCTCGCCTTCCTTCAGGGAACTCCATAGATGCCCCGAGAACACTGTCCCAAGTCTAGAGGAACACCAACTTCATCACAGCAACTCGAGGAATGCTCTGTGTACCCCAAGTCGTCTCGAGATGAGAGCTGATTCCCTGGCTTAGGCTCAAGACGTATGCCAACTTTCCAGAAGCACCTCAGGAGGAGGCTTCTCAGCAATAGGTATGTGGGAGGGACTCCGAGTTTGCTGCCTCAAGGGCAATATACAGCGAGAAGCCCTAACTTGAAAGGAGGCCGGATTTCCTTGCAGTAGCTTGAATACAGGCTTGTCTTTCATCTCACAACATGAAGGGATGTCTGAATCCCCTGTGGAGACCTTAGAGAAAGCCCTAGTTCCCTGCCTCATTTTGACGGAATGCCTCACATCCCGCTGACACCTCGAGAGGCACGCAGAGTTCATTGCTTCAAAAGGTGACGAAGCCTGACTCCTCTTGAATACTGATAGGAATCCCAAAATCCCTGTGGCTACTGGAAAGGGTCCTTGGGTGCCCTGCCTCACCTCGAGAAGCGTCCCTTTTGCCCTGCCAACCCTCGAAGAGATTCCTGAGGTGTCCCTCGTTACTAGACAGGAGCCCTGATATCACTGAAGAAACTCGTGTTTTGAAGGGAGATCCCCGCCGTAAGTCGAGAACATACCCCAGGTCCCCGCCGCAACTCGAGAAAAACCATGAGACTTCCCCCTAGAGGCGAGATGAGGCCCCATTCCCCTGCAGTGCATGCAGAGCTATTCCGTGATCCCATTCAAACAAGTCAGGAGCTTCGACTTGCTAAATGGATCTCGAGAGAGTCCCCAAGAACACTGTCACCAGTCTAGATGGACCCTGAGGTCAACCCAGCAACGCAAAGCAGCTCCATGTGCCCCAAATCAACTCGAGATGAGGCCCGATTCCCCTGCATTGACTCCAGAGCCATTCCCCGTTCCCCATTCAACACGACCGGTGGCTCGACTTCCTTCAGGCAACTCGAGAGATGCCCCGAGAACACTGTCCCAAGTCTAGAGGAACACCAACTTCAGCACAGCAACTCGAGGAATGCTCCGTGTACCCCAAATCATCTCGAGATGAGAGCTGATTCCCTGGCTTAGGCTCAAGACGTATGCCAACTTTCCAGAAGCACGTCAGGAGGAGGCTTCTCTCAGCAATAGGTATGTGGGAGGGACCCCGAGTTTGCTGCCTCAAGGGGAATATACAGCGAGAAGCCCTAACTTGAAAGGAGGCCGGATTTCCTTGCAGTGGCTTGAATACAGGCTCGTCTTTCATCTCACAACATGAAGGGATGTCTGAATCCCCTGTGGAGACCTTAGAGAAAGCCCTAGGTCCCTGCCTCATTTTGACGGAATGCCTCACATCCCGCTGACACCTCGAGAGGCACGCGGAGTTCATTGTTTCAAAAGGTGACGATGCCTGACTCCTCTTGAATACTGATAGGAATCCCAAAATCCCTGTGGCTACTGGAAAGGGTCCTTGGGTGCCCTGCCTCACCTCGAGAAGCGTCCCTTTTGCCCTGCCAAGCCTCGAAGAGATTCCTGAGGTGTCCCTCGTTACTAGACAGGAGCCCTGATATCACTGAAGAAACTCGTGTTTTGAAGGGAGATCCCCGCCGTAAGTCGAGAACATACCCCAGGTCCCCGCCGCAACTCGAGAAAAACCATGAGACTTCCCCCTAGAGGCGAGATGAGGCCCCATTCCCCTGCAGTGCATGCAGAGCTATTCCGTGATCCCATTCAAACAAGTCAGGAGCTTCGACTTGCTAAATGGATCTCGAGAGAGTCCCCAAGAACACTGTCACCAGTCTAGATGGACCCTGAGGTCAACCCAGCAACGCAAAGCAGCTCCATGTGCCCCAAATCAACTCGAGATGAGGCCCGATTCCCCTACATTGACTCCAGAGCCATTCCCCGTTCCCCATTCAACACGACCGGTGGCTCGACTTCCTTCAGGCAACTCGAGAGATGCCCCGAGAACACTGTCCCAAGTCTAGAGGAACACCAACTTCAGCACAGCAACTCGAGGAATGCTCCGTGTACCCCAAATCATCTCGAGATGAGAGCTGATTCCCTGGCTTAGGCTCAAGACATATGCCAACTTTCCAGAAGCAATTCAGGAGGAGGCTTCTCTCAGCAATAGGTATGTGGGAGGGACCCCGAGTTTGCTGCCTCAAGGGGAATATACAGCGAGAAGCCCTAACTTGAAAGGAGGCCGGATTTCCTTGCAGTGGCTTGAATACAGGCTCGTCTTTCATCTCACAACATGAAGGGATGTCTGAATCCCCTGTGGAGACCTTAGAGAAAGCCCTAGGTCCCTGCCTCATTTTGACGGAATGCCTCACATCCCGCTGACACCTCGAGAGGCACGCGGAGTTCATTGTTTCAAAAGGTGACGATGCCTGACTCCTCTTGAATACTGATAGGAATCCCAAAATCCCTGTGGCTACTGGAAAGGGTCCTTGGGTGCCCTGCCTCACCTCGAGAAGCGTCCCTTTTGCCCTGCCAACCCTCGAAGAGATTCCTGAGGTGTCCCTCGTTACTAGACAGGAGCCCTGATATCACTGAAGAAACTCGTGTTTTGAAGGGAGATCCCCGCCGTAAGTCGAGAACATACCCCAGGTCCCCGCCGCAACTCGAGAAAAACCATGAGACTTCCCCCTAGAGGCGAGATGAGGCCCCATTCCCCTGCAGTGCATGCAGAGCTATTCCGTGATCCCATTCAAACAAGTCAGGAGCTTCGACTTGCTAAATGGATCTCGAGAGAGTCCCCAAGAACACTGTCACCAGTCTAGATGGACCCTGAGGTCAACCCAGCAACGCAAAGCAGCTCCATGTGCCCCAAATCAACTCGAGATGAGGCCCGATTCCCCTGCATTGACTCCAGAGCCATTCCCCGTTCCCCATTCAACACGACCGGTGGCTCGACTTCCTTCAGGCAACTCCACAGATGCCCCGAGAACACTGTCCCAAGTCTAGAGGAACACCAACTTCAGCACAGCAACTCGAGGAATGCTCCGTGTACCCCAAATCATCTCGAGATGAGAGCTGATTCCCTGGCTTAGGCTCAAGACGTATGCCAACTTTCCAGAAGCACTTCAGGAGGAGGCTTCTCTCAGCAATAGGTATGTGGGAGGGACCCCGAGTTTGCTGCCTCAAGGGGAATATACAGCGAGAAGCCCTAACTTGAAAGGAGGCCGGATTTCCTTGCAGTGGCTTGAATACAGGCTCGTCTTTCATCTCACAACATGAAGGGATGTCTGAATCCCCTGTGGAGACCTTAGAGAAAGCCCTAGGTCCCTGCCTCATTTTGACGGAATGCCTCACATCCCGCTGACACCTCGAGAGGCACGCGGAGTTCATTGTTTCAAAAGGTGACGATGCCTGACTCCTCTTGAATACTGATAGGAATCCCAAAATCCCTGTGGCTACTGGAAAGGGTCCTTGGGTGCCCTGCCTCACCTCGAGAAGCGTCCCTTTTGCCCTGCCAACCCTCGAAGAGATTCCTGAGGTGTCCCTCGTTACTAGGCAGGAGTCCTGACGTCACTGAATAAACTCGTGTTTTGAAGGGCCATCCCCACCGTAAGTCGAGAACATACCCCAGGTCCCCGCCGCAACTCCAGAAAAACCGTGAGACTTCCCCCTAGAGGCGAGATGAGGCCCCATTCCCCTGCAGTGCATGCAGAGCTATTCCGTGATCCCATTCAAACAAGTCAGGAACTTCGACTTGCTTAAGGGATCTCGAGACAGTCCCCAAGAACACTGTCACCAGTCTAGATGGACCCTGAGGTCACCCAGCATTGCAAAGCAGCTCCATGTGCCCCACATCAACTCGAGATGAGGCCAGATTCCCCTGCATTTACTCCAGAGCCATTCCCTGTTCCCGATTCAACACGACCGGTGGCTCGACTTCTTTCAGGCAACTCCAGAGATGCCCCAAGAACACTGTCCCAAGTCTAGAGGACCACCAACTTCGGCACAGCAACTCGAGGAATGCTCTGTGTACCCCAAATCGTCTCGAGATGAGAGCTGATTCCCTGGCTTAGGCTCAAGACGTATGCCAACTTTCCAGAAGCACCTCAGGAGGAGGCTTCTCTCAGCAATAGGTATGTGGGAGGGACCCCGAGTTTGCTGCCTCAAGGGGAATATACAGCGAGAAGCCCTAACTTGAAAGGAGGCCGGATTTCCTTGCAGTGGCTTGAATACAGGCTCGTCTTTCATCTCACAACATGAAGGGATGTCTGAATCCCCTGTGGAGACCTTAGAGAAAGCCCTAGATCCCTGCCTCAGTTTGACGGAATCCTCACATCCCGCTGACACCTCGAGAGGCACGCGTAGTTCATTGCTTCAAAAGGTGACGATGCCTGACTCCTCTTGAATACTTATAGGAATCCCAAAATCCCTGTGGCTACTGGAAAGTGTCCTTGGGTGCCCTGCCTCACCTCGAGAAGCGTCCCTTTTGCCCTGCCAAGCCTCGAAGAGATTCCTGAGGTGTCCCTCGTTACTAGACAGGAGTCCTGACGTCACTGAAGAAACTCGTGTTTTGAAGGTCCATCCCCGCCGTAAGTCGAGAACATACCCCAGGTCACCGCCGCAACTCGAGAAAAACCATGAGACTTCCCCCTAGAGGCGAGATGAGGCCCCATTCCCCTGCAGTGCATGCAGAGCTATTCCGTGATCCCATTCAAACAAGTCAGGAGCTTCGACTTGCTTAATGGATCACGAGACAGTCCCCAAGAACACTGTCACCAGTCTAGACGGACCCTGAGGTCACCCCAGCAACGCAAAGCTGGTCCATGTGCCCCAAATCAACTCGAGATGAGGCCCGATTCCCCTGCATTGACTCCAGAGCCATTCCCCGTTCCCCATTCAACACGTCCGGTGGCTCGACTTCCTTCAGGCAACTCCACAGATGCCCCGAGAACAGTGTCGCAAGTCTAGAGGACCAGCAACTTCAGCACAGCAACTCGAGGAATGCTCTGTGTACCCCAAATCGTCTCGAGATGAGAGCTGATTCCCTGGCTTAGGCTCAAGACGTATGCCAACTTTCCAGAAGCACCTCAAGAGGAGGCTTCTCTCAGCAATAGGTATGTGGGAGGGACCCCGAGTTTGCTGCCTCAAGGGGAATATGCAGGGAGAAGCCCTAACTTGAAAGCAGGCCGGATTTCCTTGCAGTGGCTTGAATACAGGCTCGTCTTTCATCTCACAACATGAAGGGATGTCTGAATCCCCTGTGGAGACCTTAGAGAAAGCCCTAGGTCCCTGCCTCATTTTGACGGAATGCCTCACATCCCGCTGACACCTCGAGAAGCACGCAGAGTTCATTGCTTCAAAAGGTGACGATGCCTGACTCCTCTTGAATACTGATAGGAATCCCAAAATCCCTGTGACTACTGGAAAGGGTCCTTGGGTGCCCAGGCTTACTTCGAGAAGCATCCCTTTTGCCCTGCCAAGCCTCGAAGAGATTGCTGAGGTGTCCCTCGTTACTAGACAGGAGTCCTGACGTCACTGAAGAAACTCGTGTTTTGAAGGGCCATCCCCGCCGTAAGTCGAGAACATACCCCAGGTCCCCGCCGCAACTCGAGAAAAACCATGAGACTTCCCCCTAGAGGCGAGATGAGGCCCCATTCCCCTGCAGTGCATGCAGAGCTATTCCGTGATCCCATTCAAACAAGTCAGGAGCTTCGACTTGCTAAATGGATCTCGAGACAGTCCCCAAGAACACTGTCACCAGTCTAGACGGACCATGAGGTCAACCCAGCAACGCAAAGCAGCTCCATGTGCCCCAAATCAACTCGAGATGAGGCCCGATTCCCCTGCATTGACTCCAGAGCCATTCCCCGTTCCCCATTCAACACGACCGGTGGCTCGACTTCCTTCAGGCAACTCCAGAGATGCCCCGAGAACACTGTCCCAAGTCTAGAGGACCACCAACTTCAGCACAGCAACTCGAGGAATGCTCTGTGTACCCCAAATCGTCTCGAGATGAGAGCTGATTCCCTGGCTTAGGCTCAAGACGTATGCCAACTTTCCAGAAGCACCTCAGGAGGAGGCTTCTCTCAGCAATAGGTATGTGGGAGGGACTCCGAGTTTGCTGCCTCAAGGGGAATATACAGCGAGAAGCACTAACTTGAAAGGAGGCCGGATTTCCTTGCAGTAGCTTGAATACAGGCTTGTCTTTCATCTCACAACATGAAGGGATGTCTGAATCCCCTGTGGAGACCTTCGATAAAGTCCTAGGTCCCTGCCTCATTTTGACGGAATGCCTCACATCCCGCTGACAGCTCGAGAGGCACGCGTAGTTCATTGCTTCAAAAGGTGACGATGCCTGACTCCTCGTGAATACTTATAGGAATCCCAAAATCCCTGTGGCTACTGGAAAGGGTCCTTGGGTGCCCTGCCTCACCTCGAGAAGCGTCCCTTTTGCCCTGCCAAGCCTCGAAGAGATTCCTGAGGTGTCCCTCGTTACTAGACAGGAGTCCTGACGTCACTGAAGAAACTCGTGTTTTGAAGGTCCATCCCCGCCGTAAGTCGAGAACATACCCCAGGTCCCCGCCGCAACTCGAGAAAAACCATGAGACTTCCCCCTAGAGGCGAGATGAGGCCCCATTCCCCTGCAGTGCATGCAGAGCTATTCCGTGATCCCATTCAAACAAGTCAGGAGCTTCGACTTGCTTAATGGATCGCGAGACAGTCCCCAAGAACACTGTCACCAGTCTAGACGGACCCTGAGGTCACCCCAGCAATGCAAAGCTGGTCCATGTGCCCGAAATCAACTCGAGATGAGGCCCGATTCCCCTGCATTGACTCCAGAGCCATTCCCCGTTCCCCATTCAACACGTCCGGTGGCTCGACTTCCTTCAGGCAACTCCACAGATGCCCCGAGAACAGTGTCGCAAGTCTAGAGGACCAGCAACTTCAGCACAGCAACTCGAGGAATGCTCTGTGTACCCCAAATCGTCTCGAGATGAGAGCTGATTCCCTGGCTTAGGCTCAAGACGTATGCCAACTTTCCAGAAGCACCTCAGGAGGAGGCTTCTCTCAGCAATAGGTATGTGGGAGGGACCCCGAGTTTGCTGCCTCAAGGGGAATATGCAGGGAGAAGCCCTAACTTGAAAGCAGGCCGGATTTCCTTGCAGTGGCTTGAATACAGGCTCGTCTTTCATCTCACAACATGAAGGGATGTCTGAATCCCCTGTGGAGACCTTAGAGAAAGCCCTGGGTCCCTGCCTCATTTTGACGGAATCCTCACATCCCGCTGACACCTCGAGAGGCACACGGAGTTCATTGCTTCAAAAGGTGACGATGCCTGACTCCTCTTGAATACTGATAGGAATCCCAAAATCCATGTGGCTACTGGAATGGGTCCTTGGGTGCCCAGGCTTACTTCGAGAAGCATCCCTTTTGCCCTGCCAAGCCTCGAATAGATTCCTGAGGTGTCCCTCGTTACTAGACAGGAGTCCTGACGTCACTGAAGAAACTCGTGTTTTGAAGGGCCATCCCCGCCTTAAGTCGAGAACATACCCCAGGTCCCCGCCGCAACTCGAGAAAAAGCATGAGACTTCCCCTTAGAGGCGAGATGAGGCCCCATTCCCCTGCAGTGCATGCAGAGCTATTCCGTGATCCCATTCAAACAAGTCAGGAGCTTCGACTTGCTTAATGGATCTCGAGACAGTCCCCAAGAACACTGTCACCAGTCTAGACGGACCCTGAGGTCACCCCAGCAACGCAAAGCAGCTCCATGTGCCCCAAATCAACTCGAGATGAGGCCCGATTCCCCTGCATTGACTCCAGAGCCATTCCCCGTTCCCCGTTCAACACGAACGGTGGCTCGCCTTCCTTCAGGCAACTCCAGAGATGCCCCGAGAACACTGTCCCAAGTCCAGAGGAACACCAACTTGAGCACAGCAACTCGAGGAATGCTCTGTGTACCCCAAATCATTTTGAGATGAGAGCTGATTCCCTGGCTTAGGTTCAAGACTTATGCCAACTTTCCAGAAGCACCTCAGGAGGAGGCTTCTCAGCAATAGGTATGTGGGAGGGACTCCGAGATTGCTGCCTTAAGGGGAATATACAGCGAGAAGACCTAACTTGAAAGGAGGCCGGATTTCCTTGCAGTAGCTTGAATACAGGCTTGTCTTTCATCTCACAACAGGAAGGGATGTCTGAAACCCCTGTGGAGACCTTAGAGAAAGCCCTAGGTCCCTGCCTCATTTTGACGGAATGCCTCACATCCCGCTGACACCTCGAGAGGCACGCAGAGTTCATTGCTTCAAAAGGTGACGATGCCTGACTCCTCTTGAATACTTATAGGAATCCCAAAATCCCTGTGACTACTGGAAAGGGTCCTTGGGTGCTCAGGCTTACCTCGAGAAGCGTCCCTTATGAACTGCCAAGCCTCGAAGAGATTGCTGAGGTGTCCCTCGTTACTAGACAGGAGTCCTGACGTCACTGAAGAAACTCGTGTTTTGAAGGGCCATCCCCGCCGTAAGTCGAGAACATACCCCAGGTCCCCGCCGCAACTCGAGAAAAACCATGAGACTTCCCCCTAGAGGCGAGATGAGGCCCCATTCCCCTGCAGTGCATGCAGAGCTATTCCGTGATCCCATTCAAACAAGTCAGGAGCTTCGACTTGCTTAATGGATCTCGAGACAGTCCCCAAGAACACTGTCACCAGTCTAGACGGACCCTGAGGTCACCCCAGCAACGCAAAGCAGCTCCATGTGCCCCAAATCAACTCGAGATGAGGCCCGATTCCCCTGCATTGACTCCAGAGCCATTCCCCGTTCCCCGTTCAACAGGACCGGTGGCTCGACTTCCTTCAGGCAACTCCAGAGATGCCCCGAGAACACTGTCCCAAGTCTAGAGGACCACCAACTTCAGCACAGCAACTCTAGGAATGCTCTGTGTACCCCAAATCGTCTCGAGATGAGAGCTGATTCCCTGGCTTAGGCTCAAGACGTATGCCAACTTTCCAGAAGCACCTCAGGAGGAGGCTTCTCTCAGCAATAGGTATGTGGGAGGGACTCCGAGTTTGCTGCCTCAAGGGGAATATACAGCGAGAAGCACTAACTTGAAAGGAGGCCGGATTTCCTTGCAGTAGCTTGAATACAGGCTTGTCTTTCATCTCACAACATGAAGGGATGTCTGAATCCCCTGTGGAGACCTTCGATAAAGTCCTAGGTCCCTGCCTCATTTTGACGGAATGCCTCACATCCCGCTGACAGCTCGAGAGGCACGCGGAGTTCATTGCTTCAAAAGGTGACGATGCCTGACTCCTCTTGAATACTGATAGGAATCCCAAAATCCCTGTGGCTACTGGAAAGGGTCCTTGGGTGCCCTGGCTCACCTCGAGAAGCGTCCCTTTTGCCCTGCCAGGCCTCGAAGAGATTCCTGAGGTGTCCCTCGTTACTAGACAGGAGTCCTGACGTCACTGAAGAAACTCGTGTTTTGAAGGGCCATCCCCGCCGTAAGTCGAGAACATACCCCAGGTCCCCGCCGCAACTCGAGAAAAACCATGAGACTTCCCCCTAGAGGCGAGATGAGGCCCCATTCCCCTGCAGTGCATGCAGAGCTATTCCGTGATCCCATTCAAAAAAGTCAGGAGCTTCGACTTGCTTAATGGATCTCGAGACAGTCCCCAAGAACACTGTCACCAGTCTAGACGGACCCTGAGGTCACCCCAGCAACGCAAAGCAGGTCCATGTGCCCCAAATCAACTCGAGATGAGGCCCGATTCCCCTGCATTGACTCCAGAGCCATTCCCCGTTCCCCATTCAACACGACCGGTGGCTCGTCTTCCTTCAGGCAACTCCAGAGATGCCCCGAGAACACTGTCCCAAGTGTAGAGGAACACCAACTTCAGCACAGCAACTCGAGGAATGCTCCGTGTACCCCAAAACATCTCGAGATGAGAGTTGATTCCCTGGCTTAGGCTCAAGACGTATGCCAACTTTCCAGAAGCACCTCATGAGGAGGCTTCTCTCAGCAATAGGTATGTGGGAGGGACCCCGAGTTTGCTGCCTCAAGGGGAATATACAGCGAGAAGCACTAACTTGAAAGGAGGCCGGATTTCCTTGCAGTGGCTTGAATACAGGCTCGTCTTTCATCTCACAACATGAAGGGATGTCTGAATCCCCTGTGGAGACCTTAGAGAAAGCCCTAGGTCCCTGCCTCATTTTGACGGAATGCCTCACATCCCGCTGACACCTCGAGAGGCACGCGGAGTTCATTGCTTCAAAAGGTGACGATGCCTGACTCCTCTTGAATACTGATAGGAATCCCAAAATCCCTGTGGCTACTGGAAAGGTCTTTGGGTGCCCTGCCTCACCTCGAGAAGCGTCCCTTTTGCCCTGCCAACCCTCGAAGAGATTCCTGAGGTGTCCCTCGTTACTAGGCAGGAGTCCTGACGTCACTGAAGAAACTCGTGTTTTGAAGGGCCATCCCCGCCATAAGTCGAGAACATACCCCAGGTCCCCGCCGCAACTCCAGAAAAACCGTGAGACTTCCCCCTAGAGGCGAGATGAGGCCCCATTCCCCTGCAGTGCATGCAGAGCTATTCCGTGATCCCATTCAAACAAGTCAGGAACTTCGACTTGCTTAATGGATCTCGAGACAGTCCCCAAGAACACTGTCACCAGTCTAGACGGACCCTGAGGTCACCCAGCATTGCAAAGCAGCTCCATGTGCCCCAAATCAACTCGAGATGAGGCCAGATTCCCCTGCATTGACTCCAGAGCCATTCCCTGTTCCCGATTCAACACGACCGGTGGCTCGACTTCCTTCAGGCAACTCCAGAGATGCCCCGAGAACACTGTCCCAAGTCTAGAGGACCACCAACTTCGGCACAGCAACTCGAGGAATGCTCTGTGTACCCCAAATCGTCTTGAGATGAGAGCTGATTCCCTGGCTTAGCCTCAAGACGTATGCCAACTTTCCAGAAGCACCTCATGAGGAGGCTTCTCTCAGCAATAGGTATGTGGGAGGGACCCCGAGTTTGCGGCCTCAAGGGGAATATACAGCCAGAAGCCCTAACTTGAAAGGAGGCCGGATTTCCTTGCAGTGGCTTGAATACAGGCTCGTCTTTTATCTCACAACATGAAGGGATGTCTGAATCCCCTGTGGAGACCTTAGAGGAAGCCCTAGGACCCTGCCTCATTTTGACGGAATACCTCACATCCCCCTGACACCTCGAGAGGCACGCAGAGTTCATTGCTTCAAAAGGTGACGATGCCTGACTCCTCTTGAATACTTATAGGAATCCGAAAATCCCTGTGGCTACTGGAAAGGGTCCTTGGGTGCCCTGGCTCACGTCGAGAAGCGTCCTTTTGCCCTCCCAAGCCTCGAAGAGATTCCTGAGGTGTCCCTCGTTACTAGACAGGAGTCCTGACGTCACTGAAGAAACTCGTGTTTTGAAGGGCCATCCCCGCCGTAAGTCGAGAACATACCCCAGGTCCCCGCCGCAACTCGAGAAAAACCATGAGACTTCCCCCTAGAGGCGAGATGAGGCCCCATTCCCCTGCAGTGCATGCAGTGCTATTCCGTGATGCCATTCAAACAAGTCAGGAGCTTCGACTTGCTAAATGGATCTCGAGACAGTCCCCAAGAACACTGTCACCAGTCTAGACGGACCCTGAGGTCACCCCAGCAACGCAAAGCAACTCCATGTTCCCCAAATAAACTCCAGATGAGGCCCGATTCCCCTGCATTGACTCCAGAGCCATTCCCCGTTCCCCATTCAACACGTCCGGTGGCTCGATTTCCTTCAGTCAACTCCAGAGATGCCCCGAGAACAGTGTCCCAAGTCTAGAGGACCACCAACTTCAGCACAGCAACTCGAGGAATGCTCCGTGTACCACAAATCGTCTCGAGATGAGAGCTGATTCCCTGGCTTAGGCTCAAGACGTAGGCCAACTTTCCAGAAGCACCTCAGGAGGAGGCTTCTCTCAGCAATAGGTATGTGGGAGGGACCCCGAGTTTGCTGCCTCAAGGGGAATACACAGGGAGAAGCCCTAATGTGAAAGGAGGCCAGATTTCCTTGCAGTGGCTTGAACACAGGCTCGTCTTTGATCTCACAACATGAAGGGATGTCTGAATCCCCTGTGGAGACCTTAGAGGAAATCCTAGGTCCCTGCCTCATTTTGACGGAATACCTCACATCCCCCTGACACATCGAGAGGCACGCAGAGTTCATTGCTTCAAAAGGTGACGATGCCTGACTCCTCTTGAATACTGATAGGAATCCCAAAATCCCTGTGGCTACTGGAAAGGGTCCTTGGGTGCCCTGGCTCACCTCGGGAAGCGTCCCTTTTGCCCTGCCAATCCTCGAAGAGATTGCTGAGGTGTCCCTCGTTACTAGACAGGAGTCCTGACGTCACTGAAGAAACTCGTGTTTTGAAGGGCCATCCCCGCCATAAGTCGAGAACATATCCCAGGTCCCCGCCGCAACTCGAGAAAAACCATGAGACTTCCCCCTAGAGGCGAGATGAGGCCCCATTCCCCTGCAGTGCATGCAGAGCTATTCCGTGATCCCATTCAAACAAGTCAGGAGCTTCGACTTGCTTAATGGATCTCGAGACAGTCCCCAAGAACACTGTCACCAGTCTAGACGGACCCTGAGGTCACCCCAGCAATGCAAAGCAGCTCCATGTGCCCCAAATCAACTCGAGATGAGGCCTGATTCCCCTGCATTGAATCCAGAGCCATTCCCCGTTCCCCGTTCAACACAACCGGTGGCTCGCCTTCCTTCAGGCAACTCCAGAGATGCCCCGAGAACACTGTCCCAAGTCTAGAGGAACACCAACTTCATCACAGCAACTCGAGGAATGCTCTGTGTACCCCAAATCGTCTCGAGATGAGAGATGATTCCCTGGCTTAGGGTCAAGACGTAGGCCAACTTTCCAGAAGCACCTCAGGAGGAGGCTTCTCTCAGCAATAGGTATGTGGGAGGGACCCCGAGTTTGCTGCCTCAAGGGGAATACACAGGGAGAAGCCCTAATGTGAAAGGAGGCCAGATTTCCTTGCAGTGGCTTGAACACAGGCTCGTCTTTGATCTCACAACATGAAGGGATGTCTGAATCCCCTGTGGAGACCTTAGAGAAAGCCCTAGGTCCCTGCCTCATTTTGACGGAATGCCTCACATCCCGCTGACACCTCGAGAGGCACGCGGAGTTCATTGCATCAAAAGGTGACGATGCCTGACTCCTCTTGAATACTGATAGGAATCCCAAAATCCCTGTGGCTACTGGAAAGGGTCCTTGGGTGCCCTGCCTCACCTCGAGAAGCGTCCCTTTTGCCCTGCCAAGCCTCGAAGAGATTCCTGAGGTGTCCCTCGTTACTAGACAGGAGCCCTGACGTCACTGAAGAAACTCGTGTTTTGAAGGGCCATCCCCGCCGTAAGTCGAGAACATACCCCAGGTCCCCGCCGCAACTCGAGAAAAACCGTGAGACTTCCCCCTAGAGGCGAGATGAGGCCCCATTCCCCTGCAGTGCATGCAGAGCTATTCCGTGATCCCATTCAAACAAGTCAGGAGCTTCGACTTGCTTAATGGATCTCGAGAGAGTCCCCAAGAACACTGTCACCAGTCTAGACGGACCCTGAGGTCACCCCAGCAAGGCAAAGCAGCTCTATGTGACCCAAATCAACTCGAGATTAGGCCCGATTCCCCTGCATTGACTCCAGAGCCATTCCCCGTTCCCCGTTCAACACGACCGGTGGCTCGACTTCCTTCAGGCAACTCCAGAGATGCCCCGAGAACACTGTCCCAAGTCTAGAGGAACACCAACTTCAGCACAGCAACTCGAGGAATGCTCCGTGTACCTCAAATCATCTCGAGATGAGAGCTGATTCCCTGGCTTAGGCTCAAGACGTATGCCAACTTTCCAGAAGCACCTCAGGAGGAGGCTTCTCACAGCAATAGGTATGTGGGAGGGACCCCGAGTTTGCTGCCTCAAGGAGAATATACAGCGAGAAGCCCTAACTTGAAAGGGGGCCGGATTTCCTTGCAGTGGCTTGAATACAGGCTCGTCTTTCATCTCACAACATGAAGGGATGTCTGAATCCCCTTGGAGACCTTAGAGAAAGACCTAGGTCCCTGCCTCATTTTGACGGAATCCTCACATCCCGCTGACACCTCGAGAGGCACGCGGAGTTCATTGCTTCAAAAGGTGACGAAGCCTGACTCCTCTTGAATACTGATAGGAATCCCAAAATCCCTGTGGCTACTGGAAAGGGTGCTTGGGTGACCTGCCTCACCTCGAGAAGCGTCCCTTTTGCCCTGCCAAGGCTCGAAGAAATTCCTGAGGTGTCCCTCTTTACTAGAAAGGAGCCCTGACGTCACTGAAGAAACTTGTGTTTTGAAGGGCCATCCCCGCCGTAAGTCGAGAACATACCCCAGGTCCCCGCCGCAACTCGAGAAAAACCATGAGACTTCCCCCTAGAGGCGAGATGAGGCCCCATTCCCCTGCAGTGCATGCAGAGCTATTCCGTGATCCCATTCAAACAAGTCAGGAGCTTCGACTTGCTAAATGGATCTCGAGACAGTCCCCAAGAACACTGTCACCAGTCTAGATGGACCCTGAGGTCACCCCAGCAACGCAAAGCAGCTCCATGTGCCACAAATCAACTCGAGATGAGGCCCGATTCCCCTGGATTGACTCCAGAGCCATTCCCCGTTCCCCATTCAACACGACCGGTGGCTCGACTTCCTTCAGGCAACTCCAGAGATGCCCCGAGAACACTCTCCCAAGTCTAGAGGAACACCAACTTCATCACAGCAACTCGAGGAATGCTCTGTGTACCCCAAATCGTCTCGAGATGAGAGCTGATTCCCTGGCTTAGGGTCAAGACGTATGCCAACTTTCCAGAAGCACCTCAGGAGGAGGCTTCTCAGCAATAGGTATGTGGGAGGGACTCCGAGTTTGCTGCCTCAAGGGCAATATACAGCGAGAAGCCCTAACTTGAAAGGAGGCCGGATTTCCTTGCAGTAGCTTGAATACAGGCTTGTCTTTCATCTCACAACATGAAGGGATGTCTGAATCCCCTGTGGAGACCTTAGAGAAAGCCCTAGGTCCCTGCCTCATTTTGACGGAATGCCTCACATCCCGCTGACACCTCGAGAGGCACGTGGAGTTCATTGCATCAAAAGGTGACGATGCCTGACTCCTCTAGAAAACTGATAGGAATCCCAAAATCCCTGTGGCTACTGGAAAGGGTGCTTGGGTGACCTGCCTCACCTCGAGAAGCGTCCCTTTTGCCCTGCCAAGGCTCGAAGAAATTCCTGAGGTGTCCCTCGTTACTAGACAGGAGTCCTGACGTCACTGAAGAAACTCGTGTTTTGAAGGGCCATCCCCGCCATAAGTCGAGAACTACCCCAGGTCCCCGTCGCAACTCGAGAAAAACCGTGAGACTTCCCCCTAGAGGCGAGATGAGGCCCCATTCCCCTGCAGTGCATGCAGAGCTATTCCGTGATCCCATTCAAACAAGTCAGGAGCTTCGACTTGCTTAATGGATCTCGAGACAGTCCCCAAGAACACTGTCACCAGTCTAGACGGACCCTGAGGTCACCCCAGCAACGCAAAGCAGCTCCATGTGCCCCAAATCAACTCGAGATGAGGCCCGATTCCCCTGCATTGACTCCAGAGCCATTCCCCTTTCCCCGTTCAACACGACCGGTGGCTCGCCTTCCTTCAGGCAACTCCAGAGATGCCCCGAGAACACTGTCCCAAGTCTAGAGGAACACCAACTTCAGCACAGCAACTCGAGGAATGCTCTGTGTACCCCAAAACGTCTCGAGATGAGAGCTGATTCCCAGGCTTAGGATCAAGACGTATGCCAACTTTCCAGAAGCACCTCAGGAGGAGGCTTCTCAGCAATAGGTATGTGGGAGGGACTCCGAGTTTGCTGCCTCAAGGGGAATATACAGCGAGAAGCCCTAACTTGAAAGGTGGCCGGATTTCCTTGCAGTAGCTTGAATACAGGCTTGTCTTTCACCTCACAACATGAAGGGATGACTGAATCCCCTGTGGAGACCTTAGAGGAAGCCCTAGGTCCCTGCCTCATTTTGACGGAATACCTCACATCCCCCTGACACCTCGAGAGGCACGCAGAGTTCATTGCTTCAAAAGGTGACGATACCTGACTCCTCTTGAATACTGATAGGAATCCCAAAATCCCTGTGGCTACTGGAAAGGGTCCTTGGGTGCCCTGGCTCACCTCGAGAAGCGTCCCTTTTGCCCTGCCAAGCCTCGAAGAGATTGCTGAGGTGTCCCTCGTTACTAGACAGGAGTCCTGACGTCACTGAAGAAACTCGTGTTTTGAAGGGCCATCCCCGCCGTAAGTCGAGAACATACCCCAGGTCCCCGAGGCAACTCGAGAAAAACCATGAGACTTCCCCCTAGAGGCATGATGAGGCCCCATTCCCCTGCAGTGCATGCAGAGCTATTCCGTGATCCCATTCAAACAAGTCAGGAGCTTCGACTTGCTTAATGGATCTCGAGACAGTCCCCAAGAAAACTGTCACCAGTCTAGACGGACCCTGAGGTCACCCCAGCAATGCAAAGCAGCTCCATGTGCCCCAAATCAACTCGAGATGAGGCCCGATTCCCCTGCATTGACTCCAGAGCCATTCCCCGTTCCCCGTTCAACACGACCGGTGGCTCGCCTTCCTTCAGGCAACTCCAGAGATGCCCCGAGAACACTGTCCCAAGTATAGCGGAACACCAACTTCATCACAGCAACTCGAGGAATGCTCTGTGTACCCCAAATCGTCTCGAGATGAGAGCTGATTCCCTGGCTTAGGCTCAAGACGTAGGCCAACTTTCCAGAAGCACCTCAGGAGGAGGCTTCTCTCAGCAATAGGTATGTGGGAGGGACCCCGTGTTTGCTGCCTCATGGGGAATACACAGAGAGAAGCCCTAATGTGAAAGGAGGCCAGATTTCCTTGCAGTGGCTTGAACACAGGCTCGTCTTTGATCTCACAACATGAAGGGATGTCTGAATCCCCTGTGGAGCCCTTAGAGGAAGCCCTAGGACCCTGCCTCATTTTGACGGAATACCTCACATCCCCCTGACACCTCGAGAGGCACGCAGAGTTCATTGCTTCAAAAGGTGACGATGCCTGACTCCTCTTGAATTCTGATAGGAATCGCAAAATCCCTGTGGCTACTGGAAAGGGTCCTTGGGTGCCCTGGCTCACCTCGAGAAGCGTCCCTTTTGCCCTGCCAAGCCTCGAAGAGATTCCTGAGGTGTCCCTCGTTACTAGACAGGAGTCCTGACGTCACTGAAGAAACTCGTGTTTTGAAGGGCCATCCCCGCCGTAAGTCGAGAACATACCCCAGGTCCCCGCCGCAACTCGAGAAAAACCATGAGACTTCCCCCTAGAGGCGAGATGAGGCCACATTCCCCTGCAGTGCATGCAGAGCTATTCCGTGATCCCCATCCAACAAGTCAGGAGTTTCTACTTGCTTAATGGATCGCGAGACAGTCCCCAAGAACACTGTCACCAGTCTAGACGGACCCTGAGGTCACCCCAGCAACGCAAAGCAGCTCCATGTGCCCCAAACCAACTCGAGATTAGGCCCGATTCCCCTGCATTGACTCCAGAGCCATTCCCCGTTCCCCGTTCAACACGACCAGTGGCTCGCCTTCCTTCAGGCAACTCCAGAGATGCCCCGAGAACACTGTCCCAAGTCTAGAGGAACACCAACTTCATCACAGCAACTCGAGGAATGCTCTGTGTACCCCAAATCGTCTCGAGATGACAGCTGATTCCCTGGCTTAGGCTCAAGACGTATGCCAACTTTCCAGAAGCACCTCAGGAGGAGGCTTCTCTCAGCAATAGGTATGTGGGAGGGACCCCGAGTTTGCTGCCTCAAGGGGAATATACAGCGAGAAGCCCTAACTTGAAAGGAGGCCGGATTTCCTTGCAGTGGCTTGAATACAGGCTCGTCTTTCATCTCACAACATGAAGGGATGTCTGAATCCCCTGTGGAGACCTTAGAGAAAGCCCTAGATCCCTGCCTCATTTGACGGAATCCTCACATCCCGCTGACACCTCGAGAGGCACGCGGAGTTCATTGCTTCAAAAGGTGACGATGCCTGACTCCTCTTGAATACTGATAGGAATCCCAAAATCCCTGTGGCTACTGGAAAGGGTCCTTGGGTGCCCTGCCTCACCTCGAGAAGAGTCCCTTTTGCCCTGCCAAGCCTCGAAGAGATTCCTGAGGTGTCCCTCGTTACTAGACAGGAGTCCTGACGTCACTGAAGAAACTCGTGTTTTGAAGGTCCATCCCCGCCGTAAGTCGAGAACATACCCCAGGTCCCCGCCGCAACTCGAGAAAAACCATGAGACTTCCCCCTAGAGGCGAGATGAGGCCCCATTCCCCTGCAGTGCATGCAGAGCTATTCCGTGATCCCATTCAAACAAGTCAGGAGCTTCGACTTGCTTAATGGATCGCGAGACAGTCCCCAAGAACACTGTCACCAGTCTAGACGGACCCTGAGGTCACCGCAGCAATGCAAAGCTGGTCCATGTGCCCCAAATCAACTCGAGATGAGGCCCGATTCCCCTGCATTGACTCCAGAGCCATTCCCCGTTCCCCATTCAACACGACCGGTGGCTCGACTTCCTTCAGGCAACTCCAAGGATGCCCCGAGAACAGTGTCCCAAGTCTAGAGGACCACCAACTTCAGCACAGCAACTCTAGGAATGCTCCGTGTACCCCAAATCGTCTCGAGATGAGAGCTGATTCCCTGGCTTAGGGTCAAGACGTATGCCAACTTTCCAGAAGCACCTCAGGAGGAGGCTTCTCAGCAATAGGTATGTGGGAGGGACTCCGAGTTTGCTGCCTCAAGGGCAATATACAGCGAGAAGCCCTAATGTGAAAGGAGGCCAGATTTCCTTGCAGTGGCTTGAACACAGGCTCGTCTTTGATCTCACAACAGGAAGGGATGTCTGAATCCCCTGTGGAGACCTTAGAGGAAGCCCTAGGTCCCTGCCTCATTTTGACGGAATACCTCACATCCCCCTGACACCTCGAGAGGCACGCAGAGTTCATTGCTTCAAAAGGTGACGATGCCTGACTCCTCTTGAATACTGATAGGAATCCCAAAATCCCTGTGGCTACTGGAAAGGGTCCTTGGGTGCCCTGGCTCACCTCGAGAAGCGTCCCTTTTGCCCTGCCAAGCCTCGAAGAGATTGCTGAGGTGTCCCTCGTTACTAGACAGGAGTCCTGACGTCACTGAAGAAACTCGTGTTTTGAAGGGCCATCCCCGCCGTAAGTCGAGAACATACCCCAGGTCCCCGAGGCAACTCGAGAAAAACCATGAGACTTCCCCCTAGAGGCGTGATGAGGCCCCATTCCCCTGCAGTGCATGCAGAGCTATTCCGTGATCCCATTCAAACAAGTCAGGAGCTTCGACTTGCTTAATGGATCTCGAGACAGTCCCCAAGAAAACTGTTACCAGTCTAGACGGACCCTGAGGTCACCCAGCAATGCAAAGCAGCTCCATGTGCCCCAAATCAACTCGAGATGAGGCCCGATTCCCCTGAATTGACTCCAGAGCTATTCCCCGTTCCCCGTTCAACACGACCGGTGGCTCGCCTTCCTTCAGGCAACTCCAGAGATGCCCCGAGAACACTGTCCCAAGTCTAGCGGAACACCAACTTCATCACAGCAACTCGAGGAATGCTCTGTGTACCCCAAATCGTCTCGAGATGAGAGCTGATTCCCTGGCTTAGGCTCAAGACGTAGGCCAACTTTCCAGAAGCACCTCAGGAGGAGGCTTCTCTCAGCAATAGGTATGTGGGAGGGACCCCGTGTTTGCTGCCTCATGGGGAATACACAGAGAGAAGCCCTAATGTGAAAGGAGGCCAGATTTCCTTGCAGTGGCTTGAACACAGGCTCGTCTTTGATCTCACAACATGAAGGGATGTCTGAATCCCCTGTGGAGCCCTTAGAGGAAGCCCTAGGACCCTGCCTCATTTTGACGGAATACCTCACATCCCCCTGACACCTCGAGAGGCACGCAGAGTTCATTGCTTCAAAAGGTGACGATGCCTGACTCCTCTTGAATACTGATAGGAATCCCAAAATCCCTGTGGCTACTGGAAAGGGTCCTTGGGTGCCCTGGCTCACCTCGAGAAGCGTCCCTTTTGCCCTGCCAAGCCTCGAAGAGATTCCTGAGGTGTCCCTCGTTACTAGACAGGAGTCCTGACGTCACTGAAGAAACTCGTGTTTTGAAGGGCCATCCCCGCCGTAAGTCGAGAACATACCCCAGGTCCCCGCCGCAACTCGAGAAAAACCATGAGACTTCCCCCTAGAGGCGAGATGAGGCCCCATTCCCCTGCAGTGCATGCAGAGCTATTCCGTGATCCCATTCAAACAAGTCAGGAGCTTCGACTTGCTTAATGGATCGCGAGACAGTCCCCAAGAACACTGTCACCAGTCTAGACGGACCCTGAGGTCACCCCAGCAACGCAAAGCAGCTCCATGTGCCCCAAACCAACTCGAGATTAGGCCCGATTCCCCTGCATTGACTCCAGAGCCATTCCCCGTTCCCCGTTCAACACGACCAGTGGCTCGCCTTCCTTCAGGCAACTCCAGAGATGCCCCGAGAACAATGTCCCAAGTCTAGAGGAACACCAACTTCATCACAGCAACTCGAGGAATGCTCTGTGTACCCCAAATCGTCTCGAGATGACAGCTGATTCCCTGGCTTAGGCTCAAGACGTATGCCAACTTTCCAGAAGCACCTCAGGAAGAGGCTTCTCTCAGCAATAGGTATGTGGGAGGGACCCCGAGTTTGCTGCCTCAAGGGGAATATACAGCGAGAAGCCCTAACTTGAAAGGAGGCCGGATTTCCTTGCAGTGGCTTGAATACAGGCTCGTCTTTCATCTCACAACATGAAGGGATGTCTGAATCCCCTGTGGAGACCTTAGAGAAAGCCCTAGATCCCTGCCTCATTTTGACGGAATCCTCACATCCCGCTGACACCTCGAGAGGCACGCGGAGTTCATTGCTTCAAAAGGTGACGATGCCTGACTCCTCTTGAATACTGATAGGAATCCCAAAATCCCTGTGGCTACTGGAAAGGGTCCTTGGGTGCCCTGCCTCACCTCGAGAAGCGTCCCTTTTGCCCTGCCAAGCCTCGAAGAGATTCCTGAGGTGTCCCTCGTTACTAGACAGGAGTCCTGACGTCACTGAAGAAACTCGTGTTTTGAAGGTCCATCCCCGCCGTAAGTCGAGAACATACCCCAGGTCCCCGCCGCAACTCGAGAAAAACCATGAGACTTCCCCCTAGAGGCGAGATGAGGCCCCATTCCCCTGCAGTGCATGCAGAGCTATTCCGTGATCCCATTCAAACAAGTCAGGAGCTTCGACTTGCTTAATGGATCGCGAGACAGTCGCCAAGAACACTGTCACCAGTCTAGACGGACCCTGAGGTCACCGCAGCAATGCAAAGCTGGTCCATGTGCCCCAAATCAACTCGAGATGAGGCCCGATTCCCCTGCATTGACTCCAGAGCCATTCCCCGTTCCCCATTCAACACGACCGGTGGCTCGACTTCCTTCAGGCAACTCCAAGGATGCCCCGAGAACAGTGTCCCAAGTCTAGAGGACCACCAACTTCAGCACAGCAACTCGAGGAATGCTCCGTGTACCCCAAATCGTCTCGAGATGAGAGCTGATTCCCTGCCTTAGGCTCAAGACGTAGGCCAACTTTCCAGAAGCACCTCAGGAGGAGGCTTCTCTCAGCAATAGGTATGTGGGAGGGACCCCGAGTTTGCTGCCTCAAGGGGAATACACAGGGAGAAGCCCTAATGTGAAAGGAGGCCAGATTTCCTTGCAGTGGCTTGAACACAGGCTCGTCTTTGATCTCACAACATGAAGGGATGTCTGAATTCCCTGTGGAGACCTTAGAGGTAGCCCTAGGTCCCTGCCTCATTTTGACGGAATACCTCACATCCCCCTGACACCTCGAGAGGCATGCAGAGTTCATTGCTTCAAAAGGTGACGATGCCTTACTCCTCTTGAATACTGATAGGAATCCCAAAATCCCTGTGGCTACTGGAAAGGGTCCTTGGGTGCCCTGGCTCACCTCGAGAAGCGTCCCTTTTGCCCTGCCAAGCCTCGAAGAGATTGCTGAGGTGTCCCTCGTTACTAGACAGGAGTCCTGACGTCACTGAAGAAACTCGTGTTTTGAAGGGCCATCCCCGCCGTAAGTCGAGAACATACCCCAGGTCCCCGCCGCAACTCGAGAAAAACCATGAGACTTCCCCCTAGAGGCGAGATGAGGCCCCATTCCCCTGCAGTGCATGCAGAGCTATTCCGTGATCCCATTCATACAAGTCAGGAGCTTCGACTTGCTTAATGGATATCGAGACAGTCCCCAAGAACACTGTCACCAGTCTAGACGGACCCTGAGGTCACCCCAGCAAGGCAAAGCAGCTCCATGTGCCCCAAATCAACTCGAGATTAGGCCCGATGCCCCTGCATTGACTCCAGAGCCATTCCCCGTTCCCCGTTCAACACGACCGGTGGCTCGCCTTCCTTCAGGCAACTCCAGAGATGCCCCGAGAACACTGTCCCAAGTCTAGAGGAACAGCAACTTCAGCACAGCAACTCGAGGAATGCTCTGTGTACCCCAAATCGTCTTGAGATGAGAGCTGATTCCCTGGCTTAGGCTCAAGACGTATGCCAACTTTCCATAAGCACCTCAGGAGGAGGCTTCTCTCAGCAATAGGTATGTGGGAGGGACCCCGAGTTTGCTGCCTCAACGGGAATATACAGCGAGAAGCCCTAACTTGAAAGGAGGCCGGATTTCCTTGCAGTGGCTTGAATACAGGCTCGTCTTTCATCTCACAACATGAAGGGATGTCTGAATCCCCTCTGGAGACCTTAGAGGAAGCCCTAGGTCCCTGCCTCATTTTGACGGAATACCTCACATCCCCCTGACACATCGAGAGGCACGCAGAGTTCATTGCTTCAAAAGGTGACGATGCCTGACTCCTCTTGAATACTTATAGGAATCCCAAAATCCCTGTGGCTACTGGAAAGGGTCCTTGGGTGCCCTGGCTCACGTCGAAAAGCGTCCCTTTTGCCCTGCCAAGCCTCGAAGAGATTCCTGAGGTGTCCCTCGTTACTAGACAGGAGTCCTGACGTCACTGAAGAAACTCGTGTTTTGAAGGGCCATCCCCGCCGTAAGTCGAGAACATACCCCAGGTCCCCGCCGCAACTCGAGAGAAATCATGAGACTTCCCCCTAGAGGCGAGATGAGGCCCCATTCCCCTGCAGTGCATGCAGAGCTATTCCGTGATCCCATTCAAACAAGTCAGGAGCTTCGACTTGCTTAATGGATCGCGAGACAGTCCCCAAGAACACTGTCACCAGTCTAGACGGACCCTGAGGTCACCGCAGCAATGCAAAGCTGGTCCATGTGCCCCAAATCAACACGAGATGAGGCCCGATTCCCCTGCATTGACTCCAGAGCCATTCCCCGTTCCCCATTCAACACGACCGGTGGCTCGACTTCCTTCAGGCAACTCCAAGGATGCCCCGAGAACAGTGTCCCAAGTCTAGAGGACCACCAACTTCAGCACAGCAACTCGAGGAATGCTCTGTGTACCCCAAATCGTCTTGAAATGAGAGCTGATTCCCTGGCTTAGGCTCAAGACGTATGCCAACTTTCCAGAAGCACCTCAGGAGGAGGCTTCTCTCAGCAATAGGTATGTGGGAGGGACCCCGAGTTTGCTGCCTCAAGGGGAATATACAGCGAGAAGCCCTAACTTGAAAGGAGGCCGGATTTCCTTGCAGTGGCTTGAATACAGGCTCGTCTTTCATCTCACAACATGAAGGGATGTCTGAATATCCCGTGGAGACCTTAGAGGAAGCCCTAGGTCCCTGCCTCATTTTGACGGAATACCTCACATCCCCCTGACACCTCGAGAGGCACACAGAGTTCATTGCTTCAAAAGGTGACGATGCCTGACTCCTCTTGAATACTTATTGGAATCCCAAAATCCCTGTGGCTACTGGAAAGGGTCCTTGGGTGCCCTGGCTCACCTCGAGAAGCGTCCCTTTTGCCCTGCCAAGCCTCGAAGAGATTCCTGAGGTGTCCCTCGTTACTAGACAGGAGTCCTGACGTCACTGAAGAAACTCGTGTTTTGAAGGGCCATCCCCGCCGTAAGTCGAGAACATACCCCAGGTCCCCGCCGCAACTCGAGAAAAACCATGAGACTTCCCCCTAGAGGCGAGATGAGGCCCCATTCCCCTGCAGTGCATGCAGAGCTATTCCGTGATCCCATTCATACAAGTCAGGAGCTTCGACTTGCTTAATGGATATCGAGACAGTCCCCAAGAACACTGTCACCAGTCTAGACGGACCCTGAGGTCACCCCAGCAAGGCAAAGCAGCTCCATGTGCCCCAAATCAACTCGAGATTAGGCCCGATTCCCCTGCATTGACTCCAGAGCCATTCCCCGTTCCCCATTCAACACGACCGGTGGCTCGACTTCCTTCAGGCAACTCCAGAGATGCCCCGAGAACACTGTCCCAAGTCTAGAGGACCACCAACTTCAGCACAGCAACTCGAGGAATGCTCTGTGTACCCCAAATCGTCTTGAGATGAGAGCTGATTCCCTGGCTTAGGCTCAAGACGTATGCCAACTTTCCAGAAGCACCTCAGGAGGAGGCTTCTCTCAGCAATAGGTATGTGGGAGGGACCCCGAGTTTGCTGCCTCAAGGGGAATATACAGCGAGAAGCCCTAACTTGAAAGGAGGCCGGATTTCCTTGCAGTGGCTTGAATACAGGCTCGTCTTTCATCTCACAACATGAAGGGATGTCTGAATCCCCTGTGGAGACCTTAGAGGAAGCCCTAGGTCCCTGCCTCATTTTGACGGAATACCTCACATCCCCCTGACACATCGAGAGGCACGCAGAGTTCATTGCTTCAAAAGGTGACGATGCCTGACTCCTCTTGAATACTTATAGGAATCCCAAAATCCCTGTGGCTACTGGAAAGGGTCCTTGGGTGCCCTGGCTCACGTCGAGAAGCGTCCCTTTTGCCCTGCCAAGCCTCGAAGAGATTCCTGAGGTGTCCCTCGTTACTAGACAGGAGTCCTGACGTCACTGAAGAAACTCGTGTTTTGAAGGGCCATCCCCGCCGTAAGTCGAGAACATACCCCAGGTCCCCGCCGCAACTCGAGAGAAATCATGAGACTTCCCCCTAGAGGCGAGATGAGGCCCCATTCCCCTGCAGTGCATGCAGAGCTATTCCGTGATCCCATTCAAACAAGTCAGGAGCTTCGACTTGCTTAATGAATCGCCGGAAATTCCCCAAGAACACTGTCACCAGTCTAGACGGAACCTGAGGTCACCCCAGCAATGCAAAGCAGCTCCATGTGCCCCAAATCAACTCGAGATGAGCCCGGATTCCCCTGCATTGACTCCAGAGCCATTCCCCGTTCCCCATTCAACACGACCGGTGACTCGACTTCCTTCAGGCTACTCCACAGATGCCCCGAGAACAGTGTCCCAAGTCTAGAGGAACACCAACTTCAGCACAGCAACTCGAGGAATGCTCCGTGTACCACAAATCGTCTCGAGATGAGAGCTGATTCTCTGGCTTAGGCTCAAGACGTATGCCAACTTTCCAGAAACACATCAGGAGGAGGCTTCTCTCAGCAATAGGTATGTGGGAGGGACCCCGAGTTTGCTGCCTCAAGGGGAATATACAGCGAGAAGCCCTAATGTGAAAGGAGGCCAGATTTCCTTGCAGTGGCTTGAACACAGGCTCGTCTTTGATCTCACAACATGAAGGGATGTCTGAATCCCCTGTGGAGACCTTAGAGGAAGCCCTAGGTCCCTGCCTCATTTTGACGGAATACCTCACATCCCCCTGACACCTCGAGAAGCACGCAGAGTTCATTGCTTCAAAAGGTGGCGATGCCTGACTCCTCTTGAATACTTATAGGAATCCCAAAATCCCTGTGGCTACTGGAAATGGTCCTTGGGTGCCCTGGCTCACCTCGAGATGCGTCCCTTTTGCTCTGCCAAGCCTCGAAGAGATTGCTGAGGTGTCCCTCGTTACTAGACAGGAGTACTGACGTCACTGAAGAAACTCGTGTTTTGAAGGGCCATCCCCGCCGTAATTCGAGAACATACCACAGGTCCCCGAAGCAACTCGAGAAAAACCATGAGACTTCCCCCTAGAGGCGAGATGAGGCCCCATTCCCCTGCAGTGCATGCAGAGCTATTCCGTGATCCCATTCAAACAAGTCAGGAGCTTCGACTTGCTTAATGGATCTCGAGACAGTCCCCAAGAACACTGTCACCAGTCTAGACGGACCCTGAGGTCACCCCAGCAACGCAAAGCAACTCCATGTGCCCCAAATAAACTCGAGATGAGGCCCGATTCCCCTGCATTGTCTCCAGAGCCATTCCCCGTTCCCCATTCAACACGACCGGTGGCTCGACTTCCTTCAGGCAACTCGAGAGATGCCCCGAGAACACTGTCCCAAGTCTAGAAGAACACCAACTTCAGCACAGCAACTCGAGGAATGCTCCGTATACCCCAAATCATCTCGAGATGAGAGCAGATTCCCTGGCTTAGGCTCAAGACGTATGCCAACTTTCCAGAAGCACCTCAGGAGGAGGCTTCTCTCAGCAATAGGTATGTGGGAGGGACCCCGAGTTTGCTGCCTCAAGGAGAATACACAGGGAGAAGCCCTAATGTGAACGGAGGCCAGATTTCCTTGCAGTGGCTTGAATACAGGCTCGTCTTCAATCTCACAACATGAAGGGATGTCTGAATCCCCTGTGGAGACCTTAGAGAAGGCCCTAGGTCCCTGCCTCATTTTGACGGAATGCCTCACATCCCGCTGACACCTCGAGAGGCACGCGGAGTTCATTGCTTCAAAAGGTGACGATGCCTGACTCCTCTTGAATACTGATAGGAATCCCAAAATCCCTGTGGCTACTGGAAAGGGTCCTTGGGTGCCCTGTCTCACCTCGAGAAGCGTCCCTTTTGCCCTGCCAAGCCTCGAAGAGATTCCTGAGGTGTCCCTTGTTACTAGACAGGAGCCCTGACGTCACTGAAGAAACTTGTGTTTTGAAGGGCCATCCCCGCCGTAAGTCGAGAACATACCCCAGGTCCCCGCCGCAACTCGAGAAAAACCATGAGACTTCCCCCTAGAGGCGAGATGAGGCCCCATTCCCCTGCAGTGCATGCAGAGCTATTCCGTGATCCCATTCAAACAAGTCAGGAGCTTCGACTTGCTTAATGGATCGCGAGAAATTCCCCAAGAACACTGTCACCAGTCTAGACGGACCCTGAGGTCACCCCAGCAATGCAAAGCAGCTCCATGTGCCCCAAATCAACTCGAGATGAGCCCCGATTCCCCTGCATTGACTCCAGAGCCATTCCCCGTTCCACGTTCAACACGACCGGTGGCTCGACTTCCTTCAGGCAACTCCAGAGATGCCCCGAGAACACTGTCCCAAGTCTAGAGGAACACCAACTTCGGCACAGCAACTCGAGGAATGCTCCGTGTACCTCAAATCATCTCGAGATGAGAGCTGATTCCCTGGCTTAGGCTCAAGACGTATGCCAACTTTCCAGAAGCACCTCAGGAGGAGGCTTCTCTCAGCAATAGGTATGTGGGAGGGACGCCGAGTTTGCTGCCTCAAGGAGAATATACATCGAGAAGCCCTAACTTGAAAGGAGGCCGGATTTCCTTGCAGTGGCTTGAATACAGGCTCGTCTTTCATCTCACAACATGAAGGGATGTCTGAATCCCCTGTGGAGACCTTAGAGAAAGACCTAGGTCCCTGCCTCATTTTGACGGAATCCTCACATCCCGCTGACACCTCGAGAGGCACGCGGAGTTCATTGCTTCAAAAGGTGACGAAGCCTGACTCCTCTTGAATACTGATAGGAATCCCAAAATCCCTGTGGCTACTGGAAAGGGTCCTTGGGTGACCTACCTCACCTCGAGAAGCGTCCCTTTTGCCCTGCCAAGGCTCGAAGAAATTCCTGAGGTGTCCCTCGTTACTAGACAGGAGTCCTGACGTCACTGAAGAAACTCGTGTTTTGAAGGGCCATCCCCGCCGTAAGTCGAGAACTAACCCAGGTCCCCGTCGCAACTCGAGAAAAACCGTGAGACTTCCCCCTAGAGGCGAGATGAGGCCCCATTCCCCTGCAGTGCAAGCAGAGCTATTCCGTGATCCCATTCAAACAAGTCAGGAGCTTCGACTTGCTTAATGGATCTCGAGACAGTCCTCAAGAACACTGTCACCAGTCTAGACGGACCCTGAGGTCACCCCAGCAACGCAAAGCAGCTCCATGTGCCCCAAATCAACTCGAGATGAGGCCCGATTCCCCTGCATTGACTCCAGAGCCATTCCCCGTTCCCCGTTCAACACGACCGGTGGCTCGCCTTCCTTCAGGCAACTCCAGAGATGCCCGAGAACACTGTCCCAATTCTAGAGGAACACCAACTTCAGCACAGCAACTCGAGGAATGCTCTGTGTACCCCAAAACGTCTCGAGATGAGAGCTGATTCCCTGGCTTAGGCTCAAGACGTATGCCAACTTTCCAGAAGCACCTCAGGAGGAGGCTTCTCAGCAATAGGTATGTGGGAGGGACTCTGAGTTTGCTGCCTCAAGGGGAATATACAGCGAGAAGCCCTAACTTGAAAGGAGGCCGGATATCCTTGCAGTGGCTTGAATACAGGCTCGTCTTTCATCTCACAACATGAAGGGATGTCTGAATCCCCTGTGGAGACCTTACAGAAAGCCCTAGGTCCCTGCCTCATTTTGACGGAATCCTCACATCCCGCTGACACCTCGAGAGGCACGCGGAGTTCATTGCTTCAAAAGGTGACGATGCCTGACTCCTCTTGAATACTGATAGGAATCCCAAAATCCCTGTGGCTACTGGAAAGGGTCCTTGGGTGCCCTGCCTCACCTCGAGAAGCGTCCCTTTTGCCCTGCCAAGCCTCGAAGAGATTCCTGAGGTGTCCCTCGTTACTAGACAGGAGTCCTGACGTCACTGAAGAAACTCGTGTTTTGAAGGTCCATCCCCGCCGTAAGTCGAGAACATACCCCAGGTACCCGCCGCAACTCGAGAAAAACCATGAGACTTCCCCCTAGAGGCGAGATGAGGCCCCATTCCCCTGCAGTGCATGCAGAGCTATTCCGTGATCCCATTCAAACAAGTCAGGAGCTTCGACTTGCTTAATGGATCGCGAGACAGTCCCCAAGAACACTGTCACCAGTCTAGACGGACCCTGAGGTCACCCCAGCAATTCAAAGCTGGTCCATGTGCCCCAAATCAACTCGAGATGAGGCCCGATTCCCCTGCATTGACTCCAGAGCCATTCCCCGTTCCCCATTCAACACGACCGGTGGCTCGACTTCCTTCAGGCAACTCCACAGATGCCCCGAGAACAGTGTCCCAAGTCTAGAGGACCACCAACTTCAGCACAGCAACTCGAGGAATGCTCCGTGTACCCCAAATCGTCTCGAGATGAGAGCTGATTCCCTGCCTTAGGCTCAAGACGTAGGCCAACTTTCCAGAAGCACCTCAGGAGGAGGCTTCTCTCAGCAATACGTATGTGGGAGGGACCCCGAGTTTGCTGCCTCAAGGGGAATACACAGGGAGAAGCCCTAATGTGAAAGGAGGCCAGATTTCCTTGCAGTGGCTTGAACACAGGCTCGTCTTTGATCTCACAACATGAAGGGATGTCTGAATCCCCTGTGGAGACCTTAGAGGAAGCCCTAGGTCCCTGCCTCATTTTGACGGAATACCTCACATCCCCCTGACACCTCGAGAGGCACGCAGAGTTCATTGCTTCAAAAGGTGACGATGCCTGACTCCTCTTGAATACTGATAGGAATCCCAAAATCCCTGTGGCTACTGGAAAGGGTCCTTGGGTGCCCTGGCTCTCCTCGAGAAGCGTCCCTTTTGCCCTGCCAAGCCTCGAAGAGATTCCAGAGGTGTCCCTCGTTACTAGACAGGAGTCCTGACGTCACTGAAGAAACTCGTGTTTTGAAGGGCCATCCCCGCCGTAAGTCGAGAACATACCCCAGGTCCCCGCCGCAACTCGAGAAAAACCATGAGACTTCCCCCTAGAGGCGAGATGAGGCCCCATTCCCCTGCAGTGCATGCAGAGCTATTCCGTGATCCCATTCAAACAAGTCAGGAGCTTCGACTTGCTTAATGGATCTCGAGACAGTCCCCAAGAACACTGTCACCAGTCTAGACGGACCCTGAGGTCACCCCAGCAAGGCAAAGCAGCTCCATGTGCCCCAAATCAACTCGAGATGAGGCCCGATTCCCCTGCATTGACTCCAGAGCGATTCCCCGTTCCCCGTTCAACACGACCGGTGGCTCGACTTCCTTCAGGCAACTCGAGAGATGACCCGAGAACACTGTCCCAAGTCTAGAGGAACACCAACTTCAGCACAGCAACTCGAGGAATGCTCCGTGTACCCCAAATCATCTCGAGATGAGAGCTGATTTCCTGGCTTAGGCTCAAGACGTATGCCAACTTTCCAGAAGCACCTCAGGAGGAGGCTTCTCTCAGCAATAGGTATGTGGTAGGGACCCCTAGTTTGCTGCCTCAAGGAGAATACACAGGGAGAAGCCCTAATGTGAACGGAGGCCAGATTTCCTTGCAGTGGCTTGAATACAGGCTCGTCTTCGATCTCACAACATGAAGGGATGTCTGAATCCCCTGTGGAGACCTTAGAGAAAGCCCTAGGTCCCTGCCTCATTTTGACGGAATGCCTCACATCCCGCTGACACCTCGAGAGGCACGCGGAGTTCATTGCTTCAAAAGGTGACGATGCCTGACTCCTCTTGAATACTGATAGGAATCCCAAAATCCCTGTGGCTACTGGAAAGGGTCCTTGGGTGCCCTGCCTCACCTCGAGAAGCGTCCCTTTTGCCCTGCCAAGCCTCGAAGAGATTCCTGAGGTGTCCCTTGTTACTAGACAGGAGCCCTGACGTCACTGAAGAAACTTGTGTTTTGAAGGGCCATCCCCGCCGTAAGTCGAGAACATATCCCAGGTCCCCGCCGCAACTCGAGAAAAGCCATGAGACTTCCCCCTAGAGGCGAGATGAGGCCCCATTCCCCTGCAGTGCATGCAGAGCTATTCCGTGATCCCATTCAAACAAGTCAGGAGCTTCGACTTGCTTAATGGATCGCGAGAAACTCCCCAAGAACACTGTCACCAGTCTAGACGGACCCTGAGGTCACCCCAGCAATGCAAAGCAGCTCCATGTGCCCCAAATCAACTCGAGATGAGCCCCGATTCCCCTGCATTGACTCCAGAGCCATTCCCCGTTCCCCGTTCAACGCGACCGGTGGCTCGACTTCCTTCAGGCAACTCCAGAGATGCCCCGAGAACACTGTCCCAAGTCTAGAGGAACACCAACTTCAGCACAGCAACTCGAGGAATGCTCCGTGTACCTCAAATCATCTCGAGATGAGAGCTGATTCCCTGGCTTAGGCTCAAGACGTATGTCAACTTTCCAGAAGCACCTCAGGAGGAGGCTTCTCTCAGCAATAGGTATGTGGGAGGGACCCCGAGTTTGCTGCCTCAAGGAGAATATACATCGAGAAGCCCTAACTTGAAAGGAGGCCGGATTTCCTTGCAGTGGCTTGAATACAGGCTCGTCTTTCATCTCACAACATGAAGGGATGTCTGAATCCCCTGTGGAGACCTTAGAGAAAGACCTAGGTCCCTGCCTCATTTTGACGGAATCCTCACATCCCGCTGACACCTCGAGAGGCACGCGGAGTTCATTGCTTCAAAAGGTGACGAAGCCTGACTCCTCTTGAATACTGATAGGAATCCCAAAATCCCTGTGGCTACTGGAAAGGGTCCTTGGGTGACCTGCCTCACCTCGAGAAGCGTTCCTTTTGCCCTGCCAAGGCTCGAAGAAATTCCTGAGGTGTCCCTCGTTACTAGACAGGAGTCCTGACGTCACTGAAGAAACTCGTGTTTTGAAGGGCCATCCCCGCCGTAAGTCGAGAACTACCCCAGGTCCCCGCCGCAACTCGAGAAAAACCGTGAGACTTCCCCCTAGAGGCGAGATGAGGCCCCATTCCCCAGCAGTGCAAGCAGAGCTATTCCGTGATCCCATTCAAACAAGTCAGGAGCTTCGACTTGCTTAATGGATCTCGAGACAGTCCCCAAGAACACTGTCACCAGTCTAGACGGACCCTGAGGTCACCCCAGCAACGCAAAGCAGCTCCATGTGCCCCAAATCAACTCGAGATGAGGCCCGATTCCCCTGCATTGACTCCAGAGCCATTCCCCGTTCCCCGTTCAACACGACCGTTGGCTCGCCTTCCTTCAGGCAACTCCAGAGATGCCCCGAGAACACTGTCCCAAGTCTAGAGGAACACCAACTTCATCACAGCAACTCGAGGAATGCTCTGTGTACCCCAAATCGTCTCGAGATGACAGCTGATTCCCTGGCTTAGGCTCAAGACGTATGCCAACTTTCCAGAAGCACCTCAGGAGGAGGCTTCTCTCAGCAATAGGTATGTGGGAGGGACCCCGAGTTTGCTGCCTCAAGGGGAATATACAGCGAGAAGCCCTAACTTGAAAGGAGGCCGGATATCCTTGCAGTGGCTTGAATACAGGCTCGTCTTTCATCTCACAACATGAAGGGATGTGTGAATCCCCTGTGGAGACCTTAGAGAAAGCCCTAGATCCCTGCCTCATTTTGACGGAATCCTCACATCCCGCTGACACCTCGAGAGGCACGTGGAGTTCATTGCTTCAAAAGGTGACGATGCCTGACTCCTCTTGAATACTGATAGGAATCCCAAAATCCCTGTGGCTACTGGAAAGGGTCCTTGGGTGCCCTGCCTCACCTCGAGAAGCGTCCCTTTTGCCCTGCCAAGCCTCGAAGAGATTCCTGAGGTGTCCCTCGTTACTAGACAGGAGTCCTGACGTCACTGAAGAAACTCGTGTTTTGAAGGGCCATCCCCGCCGTAAGTCGAGAACATACCCCAGGTCCCCGCCGCAACTCGAGAAAAACCATGAGACTTCCCCCTAGAGGCGAGATGAGGCCCCATTCCCCTGCAGTGCATGCAGAGCTATTCCGTGATCCCATTCAAACAAGTCAGGAGCTTCGACTTGCTTATTGGATCGCGAGACAGTCCCCAAGAACACTGTCACCAGTCTAGACGGACCCTGAGGTCACCCCAGCAATGCAAAGCTGGTCCATGTGCCCCAAATCAACTCGAGATGAGGCCCGATTCCCCTGCATTGACTCCAGAGCCATTCCCCGTTCCCCATTCAACACGACCGGTGGCTCGACTTCCTTCAGGCAACTCCACAGATGCCCCGAGAACAGTGTCCCAAGTCTAGAGGACCACCAACTTCAGCACAGCAACTCGAGGAATGCTCCGTGTACCCCAAATCGTCTCGAGATGAGAGCTGATTCCCTGCCTTAGGCTCAAGACGTAGGCCAACTTTCCAGAAGCACCTCAGGAGGAGGCTTCTCTCAGCAATAGGTATGTGGGAGGGACCCCGAGTTTGCTGCCTCAAGGGGAATACACAGGGAGAAGCCCTAATGTGAAAGGAGGCCAGATTTCCTTGCAGTGGCTTGAACACAGGCTCGTCTTTGATCTCACAACATGAAGGGATGTCTGAATCCCCTGTGGAGACCTTAGAGGAAGCCCTAGGTCCCTGCCTCATTTTGACGGAATACCTCACATCCCCCTGACACCTCGAGAGGCACGCAGAGTTCATTGCTTCAAAAGGTGACGATGCCTGACTCCTCTTGAATACTGATAGGAATCCCAAAATCCCTGTGGCTACTGGAAAGGGTCCTTGGGTGCCCTGCCTCACCTCGAGAAGCGTCCCTTTTGCCCTGCCAAGCCTCGAAGAGATTCCAGAGGTGTCCCTCGTTACTAGACAGGAGTCCTGACGTCACTGAAGAAACTCGTGTTTTGAAGGGCCATCCCCGCCGTAAGTCGAGAACATACCCCAGGTCCCCGCCGCAACTCGAGAAAAACCATGAGACTTCCCCCTAGAGGCGAGATGAGGCCCCATTCCCCTGCAGTGCATGCAGAGCTATTCCGTGATCCCATTCAAACAAGTCAGGAGCTTCGACTTGCTTAATGGATCTCGAGACAGTCCCCAAGAACACTGTCACCAGTCTAGACGGACCCTGAGGTCACCCCAGCAATGCAAAGCAGCTTAATGTGCCCCAAATCAACTCGAGATGAGGCCCGATTCCCCTGCATTGACCCCAGAGCCATTCCCCGTTCCCCATTCAACACGACCGGTGGCTCGACTTCCTTCAGGCAACTCCACAGATGCCCCGAGAACAGTTTCCCAAGTCTAGAGGACCACCAACTTCAGCACAGCAACTCGAGGAATGCTCCGTGTACCCCAAATCATCTCGAGATGAGAGCTGATTCCCTGGCTTAGGCTCAAGACGTAGGCCAACTTTCCAGAAGCACCTCAGGAGGAGGCTTCTCTCAGCAAAAGGTATGTGGGAGGGACCCCGAGTTTGCTGCCTCAAGGGGAATACACAGGGAGAAGCCCTAATGTGAAAGGAGGCCAGATTTCCTTGCAGTGGCTTGAACACAGGCTCGTTTTTGATCTCACAACATGAAGGGATGTCTGAATCCCCTGTGGAGACCTTAGAGGAAGCCCTAGGTCCCTGCCTCATTTTGACGGAATACCTCACATCCCCCTGACACCTCGAGAGGCACGCAGAGTTCATTGCTTAAAAAGGTGACGATGCCTGACTCCTCTTGAATACTGATAGGAATCCCAAAATCCCTGTGGCTACTGGAAAGGGTCCTTGGGTGCCCTGGCTCACCTCGAGAAGCGTCCCTTTTGCCCTGCCAAGCCTCGAAGAGATTGCTGAGGTGTCCCTCGTTACTAGACAGGAGTCCTGACGTCACTGAATAAACTCGTGTTTTGAAGGGCCATCCCCGCCGTAAGTCGAGAACATACCCCAGGTCCCCGCCGCAACTCGAGAGAAACCATGAGACTTCCCACTAGAGGCGAGATGAGGCCCCATTCCCCTGCAGTGCATGCAGAGCTATTCCGTGATCCCATTCAAACAAGTCAGGAGCTTCGACTTGCTTAATGGATCTCGAGACAGTCCCCAAGAAAACTGTCACCAGTCTAGACGGACCCTGAGGTCACCCCAGCAATGCAAACCAGCTCCATGTGCCCCAAATCAACTCGAGATGAGGCCCGATTCCCCTGCATTGACTCCAGAGCCCTTCCCCGTTCCCCGTTCAACACGACCGTTGGCTCGCCTTCCTTCAGGCAACTCCAGAGATGCCCCGAGAACACTGTCCCAAGTCTAGAGGAACACCAACTTCAGCACAGCAACTGGAGGAATACTCTGTGTACCCCAAATCGTCTTGAAATGAGAGCTGATTCCCTGGCTTAGGCTCAAGACGTATGCCAACTTTCCAGAAGCACCTCAGGAGGAGGCTTCTCTCAGCAATAGGTAAGTGGGAGGGACCCCGAGTTTGCTGCCTCAAGGGGAATATACAGCGAGAAGCCCTAAGTTGAAAGGAGGCCGGATTTCCTTGCAGTGGCTTGAATACAGGCTCGTCTTTCATCTCACAACATGAAGGGATGTCTGAATACCCTGTGGAGAACTTAGAGGAAGCCCTAGGTCCCTGCCTCATTTTGACGGAATACCTCACATCGCCCTGACACCTCGAGAGGCACACAGAGTTCATTGCTTCAAAAGGTGACGATGCCTGACTCCTCTTGAATACTGATAGGAATCCGAAAATCCCTGTGGCTACTGGAAAGGGTCCTTGGGTGCCCTGGCTCACGTCGAGAAGCGTCCCTTTTGCCCTGCCAAGCCTCGAAGAGATTCCTGAGGTGTCCCTCGTTACTAGACAGGAGTCCTGACGTCACTGAAGAAACTCGTGTTTTGAAGGGCCATCCCCGCCGTAAGTCGAGAACATACCCCAGGTCCCCGCCGCAACTCGAGAAAAACCATGAGACTTCCCCCTAGAGGCGAGATGAGGCCCCATTCCCCTGCAGTGCATGCAGAGCTATTCCGTGATCCCATTCAAACAAGTCAGGAGCTTCGACTTGCTTAATGGATATCGACACAGTCCCCAAGAACACTGTCACCAGTCTAGACGGACCCTGAGGTCACCCCAGCAAGGCAAAGCAGCTCCATGTGACCCAAATCAACTCGAGATTAGGCCCGATTCCCCTGCATTGACTCCAGAGCCATTCCCCGTTCCCCGTTCAACACGACCGGTGGCTCGACTTCCTTCAGGCAACTCCACAGATGCCCCGAGAACACTCTCCCAAGTCTAGGGGAACACCAACTTCATCACAGCAACTCGAGGAATGCTCTGTGTACCCCAAATCGTCTCGAGATGAGAGCTGATTCCCTGGCTTAGGGTCAAGACGTATGCCAACTTTCCAGAAGCACCTCAGGAGGAGGCTTCTCAGCAATAGGTATGTGGGAGAGACTCCGAGTTTGCTGCCTCAAGGGCAATATACAGCGAGAAGCCCTAACTTGAAAGGAGGCCGGATTTCCTTGCAGGGGCTTGAATACAGGCTCGTCTTTGATCTCACAACATGAAGGGATGTCTGAATCCCCTGTGGAGACCTTAGAGGAAGCCCTAGGTCCCTGCCTCTTTTTGACGGAATACCTCACATCCCCCTGACACCTCGAGAAGCACGCAGAGTTCATTGCTTCAAAAGGTGGCGATGCCTGACTCCTCTTGAATACTGATAGGAATCCCAAAATCCCTGTGGCTACTGGAAAGGGTCCTTGGGTGCCCTGGCTCCCCTCGAGAATCGTCCCTTTTGCTCTGCCAAGCCTCGAAGAGATTGCTGAGGTGTCCCTCGTTACTAGACAGGAGTCCTGACGTCACTGAAGAAACTCGTGTTTTGAAGGGCCATCCCCGCCGTAAGTCGAGAACATACCCCAGGTTCCCTCCGCAATTCGAAAAAAACTGTGAGATTTCCCCCTATAGGCGAGATGAGGCCCCATTCCCCTGCAGTGCAAGCAGAGCTATTCCGTGATCCCATTCAAACAAGTCAGGAGCTTCGACTTGCTTAATGGATCTCGGGACAGTCCCCAAGAACACTGTCACCAGTCTAGACGGACCCTGAGGTCACCCCAGCAACGCAAAGCAGCTCCATGTGCCCCAAATCAACTCGAGATGAGGCCCGATTCCCCTGCATTGACTCCAGAGCCATTCCCCGTTCCCCGTTCAACACGACCGGTGGCTCGCCTTCCTTCAGGCAACTCCAGAGATGCCCCGAGAACACTGTCCCAAGTCTAGAGGAACACCAACTTCAGCACAGCAACTCGAGGAATGCTCTGTGTACCCCAAAACGTCTCGAGATGAGAGCTGATTCCCTGGCTTAGGCTCAAGACGTATGCCAACTTTCCAGAAGCACCTCAGGAGGAGGCTTCTCAGCAATAGGTATGTGGGAGGGACTCCGAGTTTGCTGCCTCAAGGGGAATATAAGGCGAGAAGCCCTAACTTGAAAGGAGGCCGGATTTCCTTGCAGTAGCTTGAATACAGGCTTGTCTTTCACCTCACAACATGAAGGGATGTCTGAATCCCCTGTGGAGACCTTAGAGATAGCCCTAGGTCCCTGCCTCATTTTGACGGAATACCTCACATCCCGCTGACACGTCGAGAGGCACGCGGAATTCATTGCTTCAAAAGGTGACGATGCCTGACTCCTCTAGAAAACTGATAGGAATCCCAAAATCCCTGTGGCTACTGGAATGGGTCCTTGGTTGCCCTGGCTCACCTCGAGAAGCGTCCCTTTTGCCCTGCCAAGCCTCGAAGAGATTGCTGAGGTGTCCCTCGTTACTAGACAGGAGTACTGACGTCACTGAAGAAACTCGTATTTTGAAGGGCCATCCCCGCCGTAAGTCGAGAACATACTCCAGGTCCCCGCCGCAACTCGAGAAAAACCATGAGACTTCCCCATAGAGGCGAGATGAGGCCCCATTCACCTGCAGTGCATGCAGAGCTATTCCGTGATCCCATTCAAACAAGTCAGGAGCTTCGACTTGCTTAATGGATCTCGAGACAGTCCCCAAGAACACTGTCACCAGTCTAGACGGACCCTGAGGTCACCCCAGCAACGCAAAGCAACTCTATGTGCCACAAATAAACTCGAGATGAGGCCAGATTCCCCTGCATTGTCTCCAGAGCCATTCCCCGTTCCCCATTCAATACGACCGGTGGCTCGCCTTCCTTCAGGCAACTCCAGAGATGCCCCGAGAACACTGTCCCAAGTCTAGAGGAACACCAACTTCAGCACAGCAACTCGAGGAATGCTCCGTGTACCCCAAATCATCTCGAGATGAGAGCTGATTCCCTGGCTTAGACTCAAGACGTATGCCAACTTTCCAGAAGCACCTCAGGAGGAGGCTTCTCTCAGCAATAGGTATGTGGGAGGGACCCCGAGTTTGCTGCCTCAAGGAGAATACACAGGGAGAAGCCCTAATGTGAAAGGAGGCCAGATTTCCTTGCAGTAGCTTGAATACAGGCTCGTCTTCGATCTCACAACATGAAGGGATGTCTGAATCCCCTGTGGAGACCTTAGAGGAAGCCCTAGGTCCCTGCCTCATTTTGACGGAATACCTCACATCCTCCTGACACCTCGAGAGGCACGCAGAGTTCATTGCTTAAAAAGGTGACGATGCCTGACTCCTCTTGAATACTTATAGGAATCCCAAAATCCCTGTGGCTACTGGAAAGGGTCCTTGGGTGCCCTGGCTCACCTCGAGAAGCGTCCCTTTTGCCCTGCCAAGCCTCGAAGAGATTGCTGAGGTGTCCCTCGTTACTAGACAGGAGTCCTGACGTCACTGAAGAAACTCGTGTTTTGAAGGGCCATCCCCGCCGTAAGTCGAGAACATACCCCAGGTCCCCGCCGCAACTCGAGAGAAACCATGAGACTTCCCCCTAGAGGCGAGATGAGGCCCCATTCCCCTGCAGTGCATGCAGAGCTATTCCGTGATCCCATTCAAACAAGTCAGGAGCTTCGACTTGCTTAATGGATCTCGAGACAGTCCCCAAGAACACTGTCACCAGTCTAGACGGACCCTGAGGTCACCCCAGCAATGCAAAGCAGCTCCATGTGCCCCAAATCAACTCGAGATGAGGCCCGATTCCCCTGCATTGACTCCAGAGCCATTCCCCGTTCCCCATTCAACACGACCGGTGGCTCGACTTCCTTCAGGCAACTCCAAAGATGCCCTGAGAACACTGTCCCAAGTCTAGAGGAACACCAACTTCAGCACAGCAACTCGAGGAATGCTCCGTGTACCCCAAATCATCTCGAGATGAGAGCTGATTCCCTGGCTTAGGCTCAAGTCGTATGCCCACTTTCCAGAAGCACTTCAGGAGGAGGCTTCTTTCAGCAATAGGTATGTGGGAGGGACCCCGAGTTTGCTGCGTCAGGGGGAATATACAGCGAGAAGCCCTAACTTGAAAGGAGGCCGGATTTCCTTGCAGTGGCTTGAATACAGGCTCGTCTTTCATCTCACAACATGAAGGGATGTCTGAATCCCCTGTGGAGACCTTAGAGAAAGCCCTAGATCCCTGCCTCATTTTGACGGAATGCCTCACATCCCGCTGACACCTCGAGAGGCACGCGGAGTTCATTGCTTCAAAAGGTGACGATGCCTGACTCCTCTTGAATACTGATAGGAATCCCAAAATCCCTGTGGCTACTGGAAAGGGTCCTTGGGTGCCCTGCCTCACCTCGAGAAGCGTCCCTTTTGCCCTGCCAAGCCTCGAAGAGATTCCTGAGGTGTCCCTCGTTACTAGACAGGAGTCCTGACGTCACTGAAGAAACTCGTGTTTTGAAGGGCCATTCCCGCCGTAAGTCGAGGACATACCCCAGGTCCCCGCCGCAACTCGAGAAAAAACGTGAGACTTCCCCCTAGAGGCGAGATGAGGCCCCATTCCCCTGCAGTGCATGCAGAGCTATTCCGTGATCCCATTCAAACAAGTCAGGAGCTTTGACTTGCTTAATGGATCTCGAGACAGTCCCCAAGAACACTGTCACCAGTCTAGTCGGAACCTGAGGTCACCCAGCAACGCAAAGCAGCTCCATGTGCCCCAAATCAACTCGAGATGAGGCCCGATTCCCCTGCATTGACTCCAGAGCCATTCCCCGTTCCCCATTCAACACGATCGGTGGCTCGACTTCTTTCAGGCAACTCCAGAGATGCCCCGAGAACAGTGTCCCAAGTCTAGAGGACCACCAACTTCAGCACAGCAACACGAGGAATGCTCTGTGTACCCCAAATCGTCTTGAGATGAGAGCTGATTCCCTGGCTTAGGCTCAAGACGTATGCCAACTTACCAGAAGCACCTCAGGAGGAGGCTTCTCTCAGCTATAGATATGTGGGAGGGACCCCGAGTTTGCTGCCTCAAGGGGAATATACAGCGAGAAGCCCTAACTTGAAAGGAGGCCGGATTTCCTTGCAGTGGCTGAATACAGGCTCGTCTTTCATCTCACAACATGAAGGGATGTCTGAATCCCCTGTGGAGACCTTAGAGAAAGCCCTAGGTCCCTGCCTCATTTGACGGAATGCCTCACATCCCGCTGACACCTCGAGAGGCACGCGGAGTTCATTGCTTCAAAAGGTGACGATGCCTGACTCCTCTAGAAAACTGATAGGAATCCCAAAATCCCTGTGGCTACTGGAAAGGGTCCTTGGGTGCCCTGCCTCACCTCGAGAAGCGTCCCTTTTGCCCTGCCAAGCCTCGAAGAGATTCCTGAGGTGTCCCTCGTTACTAGACAGGAGTCCTGACGTCACTGAAGAAACTCGTGTTTTGAAGGGCCATCCCCGCCGTAAGTCGAGAACATACCCCAGGTCCCCGCCGCAACTCGAGAAAAACCATGAGACTTCCCCCTAGAGGCGAGATGAGGCCCCATTCCCCTGCAGTGCATGCAGAGCTATTCCGTGATCCCATTCAAACAAGTCAGGAGCTTCGACTTGCTTAATGGATCTCGAGACAGTCCCCAAGAACAGTGTCACCAGTCTAGATGGACCCTGAGGTCAACCCAGCAACGCAAAGCAGCTCCATGTGCCCCAAATTAACTCGAGATGAGGCCCGATTCCCCTGCATTGACTCCAGAGCCATTCCCCGTTCCCCATTCAACACGACCGGTGGCTCGACTTCCTTCAGGCAACTCCAAAGATGCCCCGAGAACACTGTCCCAAGTCTAGAGGAACACCAACTTCAGCACAGCAACTCGATGAATGCTCCGTGTACCCCAAATCATCTCAAGATGAGAGCTGATTCCCTGGCTTAGGCTCAAGACGTATGCCAACTTTCCAGAAGCACTTCAGGAGGAGGCTTCTCTCAGCAATAGGTATGTGGGAGGGACCCCGAGTTTGCTGCCTCAGGGGGAATATACAGCGAGAAACCCTAACTTGAAAGGAGGCCGGATTTCCTTGCAGTGGCTTCAATACAGGCTCGTCTTTCATCTCACAACATGAAGGGATGTCTGAATCCCCTGTGGAGACCTTAGAGAAAGCCCTAGGTCCCTGCCTCATTTTGACGGAATGCCTCACATCCCGCTGACACCTCGAGAGGCACGCGGAGTTCATTGCTTCAAAAGGTGACGATGCCTGACTCCTCTTGAATACTGATAGGAATCCCAAAATCCCTGTGGCTACTGAAAAGGGTCCTTGGGTGCCCTGCCTCACCTCGAGAAGCGTCCCTTTTGCCCTGCCAAGCCTCGAAGAGATTCCTGAGGTGTCCCTCGTTACTAGGCAGGAGTCCTGACGTCACTGAAGAAACTCGTGTTTTGAAGGGCCATCCTCGCCGTAAGTCGAGAACATACCCCAAGTCCCCGCCGCAACTCGAGAAAAACCGTGAGACTTCCCCCTAGAGGCGAGATGAGGCCCCATTCCCCTGCAGTGCATGCAGAGCTATTCCGTGATCCCATTCAAACAAGTCAGGAGCTTCGACTTGCTTAATGGATCTCGAGACAGTCCCCAAGAACACTGTCACCAGTCTAGACGGACCCTGAGGTCACCCAGCAACGAAAAGCAGCTCCCTGTGCCCCAAATCAACTCGAGATGAGGCCCGATTCCCCTGCATTGACTCCAGAGCCATTCCCCGTTCCCCATTCAACACGACTGGTGGCTCGACTTCCTTCAGGCAACTCCAGAGATGCCCCGAGAAGACTGTCCCAAGTCTAGAGGACAACCAACTTCAGCACAGCAACTCGAGGAATGCTCTATGTAATCCAAATCGTCTCGAGATGAGAGCTGATTCCCTGGCTTAGGCTCAAGACGTAGGCCAACTTTCCAGAAGCACCTCAGGAGGAGGCTTCTCTCAGCAATAGGTATGTGGGAGGGACCCCGAGTATGCTGCCTCAAGGGGAATACACAGGGAGAAGCCCTAATGTGAAAGGAGGCCAGATTTCCTTGCAGTGGCTTGAACACAGGCTCGTCTTTGATCTCACAACATGAAGGGATGTCTGAATCCCCTGTGGAGACCTTAGAGGAAGCCCTAGGTCCCTGCCTCATTTTGACGGAATACCTCACATCCCCCTGACACCTCGAGAGGCACGCAGAGTTCATTGCTTCAAAAGGTGACGATGCCTGACTCCTCTTGAATACTTATAGGAATCCCAAAATCCCTGTGGCTACTGGAAAGGGTCCTTGGGTGCCCTACTCACCTAGAGAAGCGTCCCTTTTGCCCTGCCAAGCCTCGAAGAGATTCCTGATGTGTCCCTCGTTACTAGACAGGAGTCCTGACGTCACTGAAGAAACTCGTGTTTTGAAGGGCCATCCCCGCCGTAAGTCGAGAACATACCCCAGGTCCCCGCCGCAACTCGAGAAAAACCATGAGACTTCCCCCTAGAGGCGAGATGAGGCCCCATTCCGCTGCAGTGCATGCAGAGCTATTCCGTGATCCCATTCAAAGAAGTCAGGAGCTTGGACTTGCTTAATGGATCTCGAGACAGTCCCCAAGAACACTGTCACCAGTGTAGACGGACCCTGAGGTCACCCCAGCAACGCAAAGCAGCTCCATGTGCCCCAAATCAACTCGAGATGAGGCCCGATTCCCCTGCATTGACTCCAGAGCCATTCCTCGTTAACCGTTCAACACGACCTGTGGCTCGACTTCCTTCAGGCAACTCCAGAGATGCCCCGAGAACACTGTCCCAAGTCTAGAGGAACACCAACTTCAGCACAGCAACTCGAGGAATGCTCCGTGTACCTCAAATCATCTCGAGATGAGAGCTGATTCCCTGGCTTAGGCTCAAGACGTATGCCAACTTTCCAGAAGCACCTCAGGAGGAGGCTTCTCTCAGCAATAGGTATGTGGGAGGGACCCCGAGTTTGCTGCCTCAAGGAGAATATACAGCGAGAAGCCCTAACTTGAAAGGAGGCCGGATTTCCTTGCAGTGGCTTGAATACAGGCTCGTCTTTCATCTCACAACATGAAGGATGTCTGAATCCCCTGTGGAGACCTTAGAGAAAGACCTAGGTCCCTGCCTCATTTTGACGGAATCCTCACATCCCGCTGACACCCCGAGAGGCACGCGGAGTTCATTGCTTCAAAAGGTGACGATGCCTGACTCCTCTTGAATACTGATAGGAATCCCAAAATCCCTGTGGCTACTGGAAAGGGTCCTTGGGTGCCCTGCCTCACCTCGAGAAGCGTTCCTTTTGCCCTCCCAAGCCTCGAAGAGATTCCTCAGGTGTCCCTCGTTACTAGACAGGAGCCCTGTCGTCACTGAAGAAACTCGTGTTTTGAAGGTCCATCCCCGCCGTAAGTCGAGAACATACCCCAGGTCCCCGCCGCAACTCGAGAAAAACCATGAGACTTCCCCCTAGAGGCGAGATGAGGCCCCATTCCCCTGCAGTGCATGCAGAGCTATTCCGTGATCCCATTCAAACAAGTCAGGAGCTTCGACTTGCTAAATGGATCTCGAGACAGTCCCCAAGAACACTGTCACCAGTCTAGATGGACCCTGAGGTCACCTCAGCAACGCAAAGCAGCTCCATGTGCCCCAAATCAACTCGAGATGAGGCCCGATTCCCCTGCATTGACTCCAGAGCCATTCCTCGTTAACCGTTCAACACGACCTGTGGCTCGACTTCCTTCAGGCAACTCCAGAGATGCCCCGAGAACACTGTCTCAAGTCTAGAGGACCACCAACTTCAGCACAGCAACTCGAGGAATGCTCTGTGTACCCCAAATCGTCTCGAGATGAGAGCTGATTCCCTGGCTTAGGCTCAAGACGTATGCCAACTTTCCAGAAGCACCTCAGGAGGAGGCTTCTCAGCAATAGGTATGTTGGAGGGACTCCGAGTTTGTTGCCTCAAGGGCAATATACAGCGATAAGCCCTAACTTGAAAGGAGTCCGGATTTCCTTGCAGTAGCTTGAATACAGGCTTGTCTTTCATCTCACAACATGAAGGGATGTCTGAATCCCCTGTGGAGACCTTAGAGAAAGCCCTAGTTCCCTGCCTCATTTTGACGGAATGCCTCACATCCCGCTGACACCTCGAGAGGCACGCGGAGTTCATTGCATCAAAAGGTGACGATGCCTGACTCCTCTTGAATACTGATAGGAATCCCAAAATCCCTGTGGCTACTGGAAAGGGTCCTTGGGTGCCCTGCCTCACCTCGAGAAGCGTCCCTTTTGCCCTGCCAAGCCTCGAAGAGATTCCTGAGGTGTCCCTCGTTACTAGAGAGGAGCCCTGACGTCACTGAAGAAACTCGTGTTTTGAAGGGCCATCCCCGCCGTAAGTCGAGAACATACCCCAGGTCCCCGCCGCAACTCGAGAAAAACCATGAGACTTCCCCCTAGAGGCGAGATGAGGCCCCATTCCCCTGCAGTGCATGCAGAGCTATTCCGTGATCCCATTCAAACAAGTCAGGAGCTTCGACTTGCTAAATGGATCTCGAGACAGTCCCCAAGAACACTGTCACCAGTCTAGATGGACCCTGAGGTCAACCCAGCAACGCAAAGCAGCTCCATGTGCCCCAAATCAACTCGAGATGAGGCCCGATTCCCCTGCATTGACTCCAGAGCCATTCCCCGTTCCCCATTCAACACGACCGGTGGCTCGACTTCCTTCAGGCAACTCCAAAGATGCCCTGAGAACACTGTCCCAAGTCTAGAGGACCACCAACTTCAGCACAGCAACTCGAGGAATGCTCCGTGTACCCCAAATCATCTCGAGATGAGAGCTGATTCCCTGGCTTAGGCTCAAGTCGTATGCCGACTTTCCAGAAGCACGTCAGGAGGAGGCTTCTCTCAGCAATAGGTATGTGGGAGGGACCGCGAGTTTGCTGCCTCAGGGGAAATATACAGCGAGAAGCCCTAACTTGAAAGGAGGCCGGATTTCCTTGCAGTGGCTTGAATACAGGCTCGTCTTTCATCTCACAACATGAAGGGATGTCTGAATCCCCTGTGGAGACCTTAGAGAAAGCCCTAGATCCCTGCCTCATTTTGACCGAATGCCTCACATCCCGCTGACACCTCGAGAGGCACGCGGAGTTCATTGCTTCAAAAGGTGACGATGCCTGACTCCTCTAGAATACTGATAGGAATCCCAAAATCCCTGTGGCTACTGGAAAGGGTCCTTGGGTGCCCTGTCTCACCTCGAGAAGCGTCCCTTTTGCCCTGCCAAGCCTCGAGGAGATTCCTGAGGTGTCCCTCGTTACTAGACAGGAGTCCTGACGTCACTGAAGAAACTCGTGTTTTGAAGGGCCATCCCTGCCGTAAGTCGAGAACATAACCCAGGTCCCCGCCGCAACTCGAGAAAAACCGTGAGACTTCCCCCTAGAGGCGAGATGAGGCCCCATTCCCCTGCAGTGCATGCAGAGCTATTCCGTGATCCCATTCAAACAAGTCAGGAGCTTCGACTTGCTTAATGGATCTCGAGACAGTCCCCAAGAACACTGTCACCAGTCTAGACGGAACCTGAGGTCACCCAGCAACGCAAAGCAGCTCCATGTGCCCCAAATCAACTCGAGATGAGGCCCGATTCCCCTGCATTGACTCCAGAGCCATTCCCCGTTCCCCATTCAACACGATCGGTGGCTCGACTTCCTTCAGGCAACTCCAGAGATGCCCCGAGAACAGTGTCCCAAGTCTAGAGGACCACCAACTTCAGCACAGCAACACGAGGAATGCGCTGTCTACCCAAAATTGTCTTGAGATGAGAGCTGATTCCCTGGCTTAGGCTCAAGACGTAGGCCAACTTTCCAGAAGCACCTCAGGAGGAGGCTTCTCTCAGCAATAGGTATGTGGGAGGGACCCCGAGTATGCTGCCTCAAGGGGAATACACAGGGAGAAGCCCTAATGTGAAAGGAGGCCAGATTTCCTTGCAGTGGCTTGAACACAGGCTCGTCTTTGATCTCACAACATGAAGGGATGTCTGAATCTCCTGTGGAGACCTTAGAGGAAGCCCTAGGTCCCTGCCTCATTTTGACGGAATACCTCACATCCCCCTGACACCTCGAGAGGCACGCAGAGTTCATTGCTTCAAAAGGTGACGATGCCTGACTCCTCTTGAATACTGATAGGAATCCCAAAATCCCTGTGGCTACTGGAAAGGGTCCTTGGGTGCCCTGGCTCACGTCGAGAAGCGTCCCTTTTGCCCTGCCAAGCCTCGAAGAGATTCCTGATGTGTCCCTCGTTACTAGACAGGAGTCCTGACGTCACTGAAGAAACTCGTGTTTTGAAGGTCCATCCCCGCCGTAAGTCGAGAACATACCCCAGGTCCCCGCCGCAACTCGCGAAAAACCATGAGACTTCCCCCTAGAGGCGAGATGAGGCCCCATTCCCCTGCAGTGCATGCAGAGCTATTCCGTGATCCCATTCAAACAAGTCAGGAGCTTCGACGTGCTTAATGGATCGCGAGACAGTCCCCAAGAACACTGTCACCAGTCTAGACGGACCCTGAGGTCACCCCAGCAATGCAAAGCTGGTCCATGTGCCCCAAATCAACTCGAGATGAGGCCCGATTCCCCTGCATTGACTCCAGAGCCATTCCCCGTTCCCCATTCAACACGACCGGTGGCTCGACTTCCTTCAGGCAACTCCACAGATGCCCCGAGAACAGTGTCCCAAGTCTAGAGGACCACCAACTTCAGCACAGCAACTCGAGGAATGCTCTGTGTACCCCAAATCGTCTCGAGATGAGAGCTGATTCCCTGGCTTAGGCTCAAGACGTAGGCCAACTTTCCAGAAGCACGTCAGGAGGAGGCTTCTCTCAGCAATAGGTATGTGGGAGAGAACCCGAGTTTGCTGCCTCAAGGGGAATACACAGGGAGAAGCCCTAATGTGAAAGGAGGCCAGATTTCCTTGCAGTGGCTTGAACACAGGCTCGTCTTTGATCTCACAACATGAAGGGATGTCTGAATCCCCTGTGGAGACCTTAGAGGAAGCCCTAGGTCCCTGCCTCATTTTGACGGAATACCTCACATCCCCCTGACACCTCGAGAGGCACGCAGAGTTCATTGCTTCAAATGGTGACGATGCCTGACTCCTCTTGAATACTTATAGGAATCCCAAAATCCCTGTGGCTACTGGAAAGGGTCCTTGGGTGCCCTGGCTCACGTCGAGAAGCGTCCCTTTTGCCCTGCCAAGCCTCGAAGAGATTCCTGATGTGTCCCTCGTTACTAGACAGGAGTCCTGACGTCACTGAAGAAACTCGTGTTTTGAAGGTCCATCCCCGCCGTAAGTCGAGAACATACCCCAGGTCCCCGCCGCAACTCGAGAAAAACCAAGAGACTTCCCCCTAGAGGCGAGATGAGGTCCCATTCCCCTGCAGTGCATGCAGAGCTATTCCGTGATCCCATTCAAACAAGTCAGGAGCTTCGACTTGCTTAATGGATCTCGAGTCAGTCCCCAAGAACACTGTCACCAGTCTAGACGGACCCTGAGGTTACCCCAGCAACGCAGGGCAGCTCCATGTGCCCCAAATCAACTCGAGATTAGGCCCGATTCCCCTGCAATGACTCCAGAGCCATTCCCCGTTCCCCGTTCAACACGACCCGTGGCTCGACTTCCTTCAGGCAACTCCAGAGATGCCCCGAGAACACTGTCTCAAGTCTAGAGGAACACCAACTTCAGCACAGCAACTCGAGGAATGCTCCGTGTACCTCAAATCATCTCGAGATGAGAGCTGATTCCCTGGCTTAGGCTCAAGACGTATGCCAACTTTCCAGAAGCACCTCAGGAGGAGGCTTCTCTCAGCAACAGGTATCTGGGAGGGACCCCGAGATTGCTGCCTCAAGGAGAATATACAGCGAGAAGCCCTAACTTGAAAGGAGGCCGGATTTCCTTGCAGTGGCTTGAATACAGGCTCGTCTTTCATCTCACAACATGAAGGGATGTCTGAATCCCCTGTGGAGACCTTAGAGAAAGCCCTAGGTCCCTGCCTCATTTTGACGGAATCCTCACATCCCGCTGACACCTCGAGAGGCACGCGGAGTTCATTGCTTCAAAAGGTGACGAAGCCTGACTCCTCTTGAATACTGATAGGAATCCCCAAATCCCTGTGGCTACTGGAAAGGGTCCTTGGGTGCCCTGCCTCACCTCGAGAAGGGTCCCTTTTGCCCTGCCAAGCCTCGAATAGATTGCTGAGGTGTCCCTCGTTACTAGACAGGAGTCCTGACGTCACTGAAGAAACTCGTGTTTTGAAGGGCCATCCCCGCCGTAAGTCGAGAACATAAACCAGGTCCCCGCCGCAATTCGAGAAAAACCGTGAGACTTCCTCCTATAGGCGAGATGAGGCCCCATTCCCCTGCAGTGCAAGCAGAGCTATTCCGTGATTCCATTCAAACAAGTCAGGATCTTCGACTTGCTTAATGGATCTCGAGACAGTCCCCAAGAACACTGTCACCAGTCTAGACGGAACCTAAGGTCACCCCAGCAATGCAAAGCAGCACCATGTGTCCCAAATCAACTCGAGATGAGGCCCGATTCCCCTGCATTGACTCCAGAGCCATTCCCCGTTCCCCGTTCAACACGACCGGTGGCTCGCCTTCCTTCAGGCAACTCCAGAGATGCCCCGAGAACACTGTCCCAAGTCTAGAGGACCACCAACTTCAGCACAGCAACTCGAGGAATGCTCTGTGTACCCCAAAACATCTCGAGATGAGAGCTGATTCCCTGGTTTAGGCTCAAGACGTATGCCAACTTTCCAGAAGCACCTCAGGAGGAGGCTTCTCAGCAATAGGTATGTGGGAGGGACCCCGAGTTTGCTGCCTCAGGGGGAATATACAGCGAGAAGCCCTAACTTGAAAGGAGGCCGGATTTCCTTGCAGTGGCTTGAATACAGGCTCGTCTTTCATCTCACAACATGAAGGGATGTCTGAATCCCCTGTGGAGACCTTAGAGAAAGCCCTAGGTCCCTGCCTCATTTTGACGGAATGCCTCACATCCCGCTGACACCTCGAGAGGCACGCGGAGTTCATTGCTTCAAAAGGTGACGATGCCTGACTTCTCTTGAATACTGATAGGAATCCCAAAATCCCTGTGGCTACTGGAAAGGGTCCTTGGGTGCCCTGCCTCACCTCGAGAAGCGTCCCTTTTGCCCTGCCAAGCCTCGAAGAGATTCCTGAGGTGTCCCTCATTACTAGGCAGGAGTCCTTACGTCACTGAAGAAACTCGTGTTTTGAAGGGCCATCCCCGCCGTAAGTCGAGAACATAACCCAGGTCCCCGCCGCAACTCGAGAAAAACCGTGAGACTTCCCCCTAGAGGCGAGATGAGGCCCCATTCCCCTGCAGTGCATGCAGAGCTATTCCGTGATCCCATGGAAACAAGTCAGGAGCTTCGACTTGCTTAATGGATCTCGAGACAGTCCCCAAGAACACTGTCCCAGTCTAGACGGACCCTGAGGTCACCCCAGCAATGCAAAGCAGCTCCATGTGCCCCAAATCAACTCGAGATGAGGCCCGATTCCCCTGCATTGACTCCAGAGCCATTCCCCGTTCCCCATTCAACACGACCGGTGGCTCGCCTTCCTTCAGGCAACTCCAGAGATGCCCCGAGAACACTGTCCCAAGTCTACAGGAACACCAACTTCATCACAGCAACTCAAGGAATGCTCTGTGTACCCCAAATCGTCTCGAGATGAGAGCTGATTCAATGGCTTAGGGTCAAGACGTATGCCAACTTTCCAGAAGCACCTCAGGAGGAGGCTTCTCAGCAATAGGTATGTGGGAGGGACTCCGAGTTTGCTGCCTCAAGGGCAATATACAGCGAGAAGCCCTAACTTGAAAGGAGGCCGGATTTCCTTGCAGTAGCTTGAATACAGGCTTGTCTTTCATCTCACAACATGAAGGGATGTCTGAATCCCCTGTGGAGACCTTAGAGAAAGCCCTAGGTCCCTGCCTCATTTTGACGGAATCCTCACATCCCGCTGACACCTCGAGAGGCACGCGGAGTTCATTGCTTCAAAAGGTGACGATGCCTGACTCCTCTTGAATACTGATAGGAATCCCAAAATCCCTGTGGCTACTGGAAAGGGTCCTTGGGTGCCCTGCCTCACCTCGAGAAGCGTCCCTTTTGCCCTGCCAATCCTCGAAGAGATTCCTGATGTGTCCCTCGTTACTAGACAGGAGTCCTGACGTCACTGAAGAAACTCGTGTTTTGAAGGTCCATCCCCGCCGTAAGTCGAGAACATACCCCAGGTCCAGGCCGCAACTCGCGAAAAACCATGAGACTTCCCCCTAGAGGCGAGATGTGGCCCCATTCCCCTGCAGTGCATGCAGAGCTATTCCGTGATCCCATTCAAAGAAGTCAGGAGCTTCGACTTGGTTAATGGATCGCGAGACAGTCCCCAAGAACACTGTCACCAGTCTAGACGGACCCTGAGGTCACCCCAGCAATGCAAAGCTGGTCCATGTGCCCCAAATCAACTCGAGATGAGGCCCGATTCCCCTGCATTGACTCCAGAGCCATTCCCCGTTCCCTATTCAACACGACCTGTGGCTCGACTTCCTTCAGGCAACTCCACAGATGCCCCGAGAACAGTGTCCCAAGTCTAGAGGACCAACAACTTCAGCACAGCAACTCGAGCAATGCTCCGTGTACCCCCAATCGTCTCGAGATGAGAGCTGATTCATTGGCTTAGGCTCAAGACGTATGCCAACTTTCCAGAAGCACATCAGGAGGAGGCTTCTCTCAGCAATAGGTATGTGGGAGGGACGCCGAGTTTGCTGCCTCAAGGGGAATACACAGGGAGAAGCCCTAATGTGAAAGGAGGCCAGATTTCCTTGCAGTGGCTTGAACACAGGCACGTGTTTGATCTCACAACATGAAGGGATTTCTGAATCCCCTGTGGAGACCTTACAGGAAGCCCTAGGTCCCTGCCTCATTTTGACGGAATATCTCACATCCCCCTGACACCTCGAGAGGCACGCAGAGTTCATTGTTTCAAAAGGTGGCGATGCCTGACTCCTCTTGAATACTTATAGGAATCCCCAAATCCCTGTGGCTACTGGAAAGGGTCCTTGGGTGCCCTGGCTCACCTCGAGAAGCGTCCCTTTGGCCCTGCCAAGCCTCGAATAGATTGCTGAGGTGTCCCTCCTTACTAGACAGGAGTCCTGACGTCACTGAAGAAACTCGTGTTTTGAAGGGCCATCCCCGCCGTAAGTCGAGAACATAAACCAGGTCCCCGCCGCAATTCGAGAAAAACCGTGAGACTTCCCCCTATAGGCGAGATGAGGCCCCATTCCCCTGCAGTGCAAGCAGAGCTATTCCGTGATCCCATTCAAACAAGTCAGGATCTTCGACTTGCTTAATGGATCTCGAGACAGTCCCCAAGAACACTGTCACCAGTCTAGACGGACCCTAAGGTCACCCCAGCAACGCAAAGCAGCACCATGTGCCCCAAATCAACTCGAGATGAGGCCCGATTCCCCTGCATTGACTCCAGAGCCATTCCCCGTTCCCCGTTCAACACGACCGGTGGCTCGCCTTCCTTCAGGCAACTCCAGAGATGCCCCGAGAACACTGTCCCAAGTCTAGAGGACCACCAACTTCAGCACAGCAACTCGAGGAATGCTCCGTGTACCCCAAAACATCTCGAGATGAGAGCTGATTCCCTGGCTTAGGCTCAAGAAGTATGCCAACTTTCCAGAAGCACCTCAGGAGGAGGCTTCTCAGCAATAGGTATGTGGGAGGGACCCCGAGTTTGCTGCCTCAGGGGGAATATACAGCGAGAAGCCCTAACTTGAAAGGAGGCCGGATTTCCTTGCAGTGGCTTGAATACAGGCTCGTCTTTCATCTCACAACATGAAGGGATGTCTGAATCCCCTGTGGAGACCTTAGAGAAAGCCCTAGGTCCCTGACTCATTTTGACGGAATGCCTCACATCCCGCTGACACCTCGAGAGGCAAGCGGAGTTCATTGCTTCAAAAGGTGACGATGCCTGACTCCTCTTGAATACTGATAGGAATCCCAATATCCCTGTGGCTACTGGAAAGGGTCCTTGGGTGCCCTGGCTCACCTCGAGAAGCGTCCCTTTTGCCCTGCCAAGCCTCGAATAGATTGCTGAGGTGTCCCTCCTTAGTAGACAGGAGTCCTGACGTCACTGAAGAAACTCGTGTTTTGAAGGGCCATCCCCGCCGTATGTCGAGAACATACCCCAGGTCCCCGCCGCCACTCGAGAAAAACCATGAGACATCCCCCTGGAGGCGAGATGAGGCCCCATTCCCCTGCAGTGCATGCAGAGCTATTCCGTGATCCCATTCAAACAAGTCAGGAGCTTCGACTTGCTTAATGGATCTCGAGTCAGTCCCCAAGAACACTGTCACCAGTCTAGACGGACCCTGAGGTCACCCCAGCAACGAAAAGCAGCTCCATGTGACACAAGTCAACTCGAGATGAGTCCCGATTCCCCTGCATTGACTCCAGAGCCATTCCCTGTTCCCCATTCAACACGACCGGTGGCTCGACTTCCTTCAGGCAACTCCAGAGATGCCCCGAGAACACTGTCCCATGTCTAGAGGAACACCAACTTCAGCACAGCAACTCGAGGAATGCTCCCTGTACCACAAATCGTCTCGAGATTAGAGCTGATTCCCTGGCTTAGGCTCAAGACGTATGCCAACTTTCCAGAAGCACCTCAGGAGGAGGCTTCTCTCAGCAATAGGTATGTGGGAGGGACCCCGAGTTTGCTGCCTCAAGGGGAATATACAGCGAGAAGCCCTAACTTGAAAGGAGGCCGGATTTCCTTGCAGTGGGTTGAATACGGGCTCGTGTTTCATCTCACAACATGAAGGGATGTCTGAGTTCCCTGTGGAGACCTTAGAGGAAGCCCTAGGTCCCTGCCTCATTTTGACGGAATGCCTCACATCCCGCTGACACCTCGAGAGGCACGCGGAGTTCATTGCTTCAAAAGGTGATGATGCCTGACTCCTCTTGAATACTAATAGGAATCCCAAAATCCCTGTGGCTACTGGAAAGGGTCCTTGGGTGCCCTGCCTCACCAGGAGAAGCGTCCCTTTTGCCCTGCCAAGCCTCGAAGAGACTCCTGAGGTGTCCCTCGTTACTAGACAGGAGTCCTGACGTCACTGAAGAAACTCGTGTTTTGAAGGGCCATCCCCGCTGGAAGACGAGAACATACCCCAGGTCCCGCCACAACTCGAGAAAAACCATGAGACTTCCCCCTAGAGGAGAGATGAGGCCCCATTCCCCTGCAGTGCATGCAGAGCTATTCCGTGATCCCATTCAAACAAGTCAGGTGCTTCGACTTGCTTAATGGATCTCGAGACAATCCCCAAGAACACTGTCACCAGTCTAGACGGACCGTGAGGTCACCGCAGCAACGCAAAGCAGCTCGATGTGCCCCAATGAACTCGAGATGAGGCCCGATTCCCCTGCATTGACTTCAGAGCCATTCCCCGTTCCCCATTCAACCCGACCGGTGGCTCGACTTCCTTCAGGCAACTCCAGAGATGCCCCGAGAACACTGTCCCAAGTCTAGAGGAACACCAACTTCAGCACAGCAACTCGAGGAATGCTCCGTGTACCCCAAATCGTCTCGAGATGAGAGCTGATTCCCTGGCTTAGGCTCAAGACGTATGCCAACTTTCCAGAAGCACCTCAGGAGGAGGCTTCTCTCAGCAATAGGTATGTGGGAGGGACCCCGAGTTTGCTGCCTCAAGGGGAATATACAGCGAGAAGCCCTAACTTGAAAGGAGGCCGGATTTCCTTGCAGTGGCTTAAATACAGGCTCGTGTTTCATCTCACAACATGAAGGGATGACTGAATCCCCTGTGGAGACCTTAGAGGAAGCCCACGGTCCCTGCCTCATTTTGACGGAATGCCTCACATCCCGTTGACACCCCGAGAGGCCCGCGGAGTTCATTGCTTCAAAAGTTGACGATGCCTGACTCCTCTTGAATACTGATAGGAATCCCAAAATCCCTGTGGCTACTGGAAAGTGTCCTTGGGTGCCCTGCCTCACCTCGAGAAGCGTCCCTTTTGCCCTGCCAAGCCTCGAAGAGATTCCTGAGGTGTCCCTCGTTACTAGACAGGAGTCCTGACGACACTGAAGAAACTCGTGTTTTCAAGGGCCATCCACGCCGTAAGTCGAGAACATACCCCAGGTCCTCGCCGCAACTCGAGAAAAGCCATGAGACTTCCCTCTAGAGGAGAGATGAGGCCCCATTCCCCTGCAGTGCATGCAGAGCTATTCCGTGATCCCATTCAAACAAGTCAGGAGCTTCGACTTGCTTAATGGATCTCGAGACAGTCCCCAAGAACACTCTCACCAGTCAAGACGGACCCTGAGTTCACCCCAGCAACGCAAAGCAGCTCCATGTGCCCCAAATCAACTCGAGATGAGGCCCGATTCCCCTGCATTGACCCCAAAGCCATTCCCCATTCCCCATTCACCCGACCGGTGGCTCGACTTCCTTCAGGCAACTCCAGAGATGCCCCGAGAACACTGTCCCAAGTCTAGAGGAACACAAACTTCAGCACAGCAACTCGAGGAATGCTCCGTGTACCCAAAATCGTCTCGAGATGAGAGCTGATTCCCTGGCTTAGGCTCAAGACGTATGCCAACTTTCCAGAAGCACCTCAGGAGGAGGCTTCTCTCAGCAATAGGTATGTGGGAGGGACCCCGAGTTTGCTGCCTCAAGGGGAATATACAGCGAGAAGCCCTAACTTGAAAGGAGGCAGGATTTCCTTGCAGTGGCTTGAATACAGGCTCGTGTTTCATCTCACAACATGAAGGGATGTCTGAATCCCCTGTGCAGACCTTAGAGAAAGCCCTAGGTCCCAGCCTCATTTTGACGGAATGCCTCACATCCCGTTGACACCTCGAGAGGCACGCAGAGTTCATTGCTTCAAAAGGTGACGATGCCTGACTCCTCTTGAATACTGATAGGAATCCCAAAATCCCTGTGGCTACTGGAAAGGGTCCTTGGGTGCCCTGCCTCACCTCGAGAAGCGTCCTTTTTGCCCTGCCAAGCCTCGAAGAGACTCCTGAGGTGTCCCTCGTTACCAGACAGGAGTCCTGACGTCACTGAAGAAACTCTTGTTTTGAAGGGCCATCCCCGCCGTAAGTCGAGAACATACCCCAGGTCCCGCCGCAACTGGAGAAAAACCATGAGACTTCCCCCTAGAGGCGAGATGAGGCCCCATTCCCCTGCAGTGCATGCAGAGCTATTCCGTGATCCCATTCAAGCAAGTCAGGTGCTTCGACTTGCTTAATGGATCTCGAGAGAGTCCCCAAGAACACTGTCACCTGTCTATACGGACCCTGAGGTTACCCCAGCAACGCAAAGCAGCTCCATGTGCCCCAATGAACTCGAGATGAAGCCCGATTCCCCTGCATTGACTCCAGAGCCATTCCCCGTTCCCCATTCAACACGACCGGTGGCTCGACTTCCTTCAGGCAACTCCAGAGATGCCCCGAAAACACTGTCCCAAGTCTAGAGGAACACCAACTTCAGCACAGCAACTCGAGGAATGCTCCGTGTACCCCAAATCGTCTCGAGATGAGAGCTGATTCCCTGGCTTAGGCTCAAGATGTATGCCAACTTTCCAGAAGCACCTCAGGAGGAGGCTTCTCTCAGCAATAGGTATGTGGGAGGGACCCCGAGTTTGCTGCCTCAAGGGGAATATACAGCGAGAAGCCCTAACTTGAAAGGAGGCCGGATTTCCTTGCAGTGGCTTAAATACAGGCTCGTGTTTCATCTCACAACATGAAGGGATGACTGAATCCCCTGTGGAGACCTTAGAGGAAGCCCACGGTCCCTGCCTCATTTTGACGGAATGCCTCACATCCCGTTGACACCCCGAGAGGCCCGCGGAGTTCATTGCTTCAAAAGTTGACGATGCCTGACTCCTCTTGAATACTGATAGGAATCCCAAAATCCCTGTGGCTACTGGAAAGGGTCCTTGGGTGCCCTGCCTCACCTCGAGAAGCGTCCCTTTTGCCCTGCCAAGCCTCGAAGAGATTCCTGAGGTGTCCCTCGTTACTAGACAGGAGTCCTGACGTCACTGAAGAAACTCGTGTTTTCAAGGGCCATCCACGCCGTAAGTCGAGAACATACCCCAGGTCCTCGCCGCAACTCGAGAAAAGCCATGAGACTTCCCCATAGAGGCGAGATGAGGCCCCATTCCACTGCAGTGAATGCAGAGCTATTCAGTGATCCCATTCAAACAAGTCAGGAGCTTCGACTTGCTTAATGGATCTCGAGACAGTCCCCAAGAACACTGTCACCAGTCTAGACGGACCGTGAGGTCACCCCAGCAACGCAAAGCAGCTCCATGTGCCCCAAATCAACTCGAGATGAGGCCCGATTCCCCTGCATTGACCCCAGAGCCATTCCCCGTTCCCCATTCAACCAGACCGATGGCTCGACTTCCTTCAGGCAACTCCAGAGATGCCACGAGAACACTGTCCCAAGTCTAGAGGAACAACAACTTCAGCACAGCAACTCGAGGAATGCTCCGTGTACCCCAAATCGTCTCGAGATGAGAGCTGATTCCCTGGCTTAGGCTCAAGACGTATGCCAACTTTCCAGAAGCACCTCAGGAGGAGGCTTCTCTCAGCAATAGGTATGTGGGAGGGACCCCGAGTTTGCTGCCTCAAGGGGAATATACAGCGAGAAGCCCTAACTTGAAAGGAGGCCGGATTTCCTTTCAGTGGCTTGAATACAGGCTCGTGTTTCATCTCACAACATGAAGGGATGACTGAATCCCCTGTGGAGACCATAGAGGAAGCCCAAGTTCCCTGCCTCATTTTGACGGAATGCCTCACATCCCGTTGACACCTCGAGAGGCACGCGGAGTTCATTGCTTCAAAAGGTGACGATGCCTGACTCCTCTTGAATACTGATAGGAATCCCAAAATCCCTGTGGCTACTGGAAAGGGTCCTTGGGTGCCCTGCCTCACCTCGAGAAGCGTCCCTTTTGCCCTGCCAAGCTTCGAAGAGATTCCTGAGGTGTCCCTCGTTACTAGACAGGAGTCCTGACGTCACTGAAGAAACTCGTGTTTTGAAGGGCCATCCCCGCCGGAAGTCGAGAACATACCCCAGGTCCCCGCCGCAACTCAAGAAAAACCATGAGACTTCCCCCTAGAGGCGAGATGAGGCCCCATTCCCCTGCAGTGCATGCAGAGCTATTCCGTGATCCCATTCAAACAAGTCAGGAGCTTCGACTTGCTTAATGGATCTCCAGACAGTCCCCAAGAACACTGTCACCAGTCTAGACGGACCCTGAGGACAACCCAGCAACGCAAAGCAGCTCCATGTGCCCCAAATCAACTCGAAATGAGGCCCGATTCCCCTGCATTGACTACAGAGCCATTCCCTGTTCCCCATTCAACACGATCGGTGGCTCGACTTCCATCAGGCAACTCCAGAGATGCCCCGAGAACACTGTCCCAAGTCTAGAGGAACACCAACTTCAGCACAGCAAATCGAGGAATGCTCCATGTACCCCAAATCGTCTCGAGATGAGAGCTGATTCCCTGGCTTAGGCTCAAGACGTATGCCAACTTTCCAGAAGCACCTTAGGAGGAGGCTTCTCTCAGCAATAGGTATGTGGGAGGGACCCCGAGTTTGCTACCTCAAGGGGAATATACAGCGAGAAGCCCTAATTTGAAAGGAGGCCGGATTTCCTTGCTGTGGCTTGAATACAGGCTCGTGTTTCATCTCACAACATGAAGGGATGTCTGAATCCCCTGTGGAGACCTTAGAGAAAGCCGTAGGTCCCTGCCTCATTTTGACGGAATGCCTCACATCCCGCTGACACCTCGAGAGTCACGCAGAGTTCATTGCTTCAAAAGGTGACGATGCCTGACTCCTCTTGAATACTGATAGGAATCCCAAAATCCCGGTGGCTACTGGAAAGGGTACTTGGGTGCCCTGCCTCACCTCGAGAAGCGTCCCTTTTGCCCTGCCAAGCCTCGAAGAGATTCCTGAGGTGTCCCTCGTTACTAGACAGGAGTCCTGACGTCACTGAAGAAACTCGTGTTTTGAAGGGCCATCCCCGCCGTAAGTCGAGAACATACCCCAGGTCCCGCCGCAACTCAAGAAAAACCATGAGACTTCCCCCTAGAGGCGAGATGAGGCCCCATTCCCCTGCAGTGCATGCAGAGCTATTCCGTGATCCCATTCAAACAAGTCAGGTACTTCGACTTGCTTAATGGATCTCAAGACAGTCCCCAAGAACACTGTCACCTGTCTAGACGGACCCTGAGGTTACCCCAGCAACGCAAAGCAGCTCCATGTGCCCCAAGTCAACTCGACATGAGGCCTGATTCCCCTGCATTGACTCCAGAGCCATTCCCCTTTCCCCATTCAACCCGACCGGTGGCTCGACTTCCTTCAGGCAACTCCAGAGATGCCCCGAGAACACTGTCCCAAGTCTAGAGGAACACCAACTTCAGCACAGCAACTCGAGGAATGCTCCGTGTACGCCAAATCGTCTCGAGATGAGAGCTGATTCCCTGGCTTGGGCTCAAGACGTATGCCAACTTTCCAGAAGCACCTCAGGAGGAGGCTTCTCTCAGCAATAGGTATGTGGGAGGGACCCCGAGTTTGCTGCCTCAAGGGGAATATACAGCGAGAAGCCCTAACTTGATAGGAGGCCGGATTTCCTTGCAGTGGCTTAAATACAGGCTCGTGTTTCATCTCACAACATGAAGGGATGACTGAATCCCCTGTGGAGAACTTAGAGAAAGCCCACGGTCCCTGCCTCATTTTGACGGATGCCTCACATCCCGTTGACACCTCGAGAGGCAAGCGGAGTTCATTCCTTCAAAATTTGACGATGCCTGACACCTCTTGAATACTGATAGGAATCCCAAAATCCCTGTGGCTACTAGAAAGGGTCCTTGGGTGCCCTGCCTCACCTCGAGAATCGTCCCTTTTGCCCTGCCAAGCTTCGAAGAGATTCCTGAGGTGTCCCTCGTTACTAGACAGGAGACCTGACGTCACTGAAGAAACTCGTGTTTTGAAGGGCCATCCCCGCCGGAAGACGAGAACATACCCCAGGTCCCCGCCGCAACTCAAGAAAAACCATGAGACTTCCCCCTAGAGGTGAGATGAGGCCCCATTCCCCTGCAGTGCATGCAGAGCTATTCCGTGATCCCATTCAAACAAGTCAGGAGCTTCGACTTGCTTAATGGATCTCGAGACAGTCCCCAAGAACACTGTCACCAGTCTAGACGGACCCTGAGGACAACCCAGCAACGCAAAGCAGCTCCATGTGCCCCAATCAACTCGAGATGAGGCCCGATTCCCCTGCATTGACCCCAGAGCCATTCCCCGTTCCCCATTCAACCCGACCGGTGGCTCGACTTCCTTCAGGCAACTCCAGAGATGCCCCGAGAACACTGTCCCAAGTCTAGAGGAACACCAACTTCAGCACAGCGACTCGAGGAATGCTCCATGTACCCCAAATCGTCTCGAGATGAGAGCTGATTCCCTGGCTTAGGCTCAAGACGTATGCCAACTTTCCAGAAGCACCTCAGGAGGAGGCTTCTCTCAGCAATAGGTATGTGGGAGGGACCCCGAGTTTGCTGCCTCAAGGGGAATATACAGCGAGAAGCCCTAACTTGAAAGGAGGCCGGATTTCCTTGCTGTGGCTTGAATACAGGCTCTTGTTTCATCTCACAACATGAAGGGATGTCTGAATCCCCTGTGGAGACCTTAGAGAAAGCCCTAGGTCCCTGCCTCTTTTTGACGGAATGCCTCACATCCCGTTGAGACCTCGAGAGCCACGCAGTGTTCATTGCTTCAAAAGGTGACGATGCCTGACTCCTCTTGAATACTGATAGGAATCCCAAAATCCCTGTGGCTACTGGAAAGGGTCTTTGGGTGCCCTGCCTCACCTCGAGAAGCGTCCGTTTTGCCCTGCCAAGCCTCGAAGACATTCCTGAGCTGTCCCTCCTTGCTAGACAGGAGTCCTGACGTCACTGAAGAAACTCGTATTTTGAAGGGCCATCCCCGCCATAAGTCGAGATCATACCCCAGGTCCCCGCCGCAACTCGAGAAAAACCATGAGACTTCCCCCTAGAGGCAAGATGAGGCCCCATTCCCCTGCAGTGCATGCAGAGCTATTCCGTGATCCCATTCAAACAAGTCAGGAGCTTTGACTTGCTTAATGGATCTCGAGACAGTCCCCAAGAACACTGTCACCAGTCTAGACGGACCCTGAGGTCACCCCAGCAACGCAAAGCAGCTCCATGTGCCCCAAATCAACTCGAGATGAGGCCCGATTCCCCTGCATTGACTCCAGAGCCATTCCCCGTTCCCCATTCAACATGATCAGTGGCTCGACTTCCTTCAGGCAACTCCAGAGATGCCCCGAGAACACTGTCCCAAGTCTAGAGGAACACCAACTTCAGCACAGCAACTCGAGGAATGCTCCGTGTACTCCAAATCGTCTCGAGATGAGAGCTAATTCCCTGGCTTAGGCTCAAGACGTATGCCAACTTTCCAGAAGCACCTCAGGAGGAGGCTTCTCTCAGCAATAGGTATGTGGGAGGGACCCCAAATTTGTTGCCTCAAGGGGAATATACAGCGAGAAGCCCTAACTTGAAAGGAGGCCGGATTTCCTTGCAGTGGCTTGAATACAGGCTCGTCTTTCATCTCACAACATGAAGGGATGTCTGAATCCCCTGTGGAGACCTTAGAGAAAGCCCTAGGTCCCTGCCTCATTTTGACGGATGCCTCACATCCCGTTGACACCTCGAGAGGCAAGCGGAGTTCATTGCTTCAAAAGGTGACGATGCCTGACTCCTCTTGAATACTGATAGGAATCCCAAAATCCCTGTGGCTACTGGAAAGGGTCCTTGGGTGCCCTGCCTCACCTCGAGAATCGTCCCTTTTGCCCTGCCAAGCTTCGAAGAGATTCCTGAGGTGTCCCTCGTTACTAGACAGGAGTCCTGACGTCACTGAAGAAACTCGTGTTTTGAAGGGCCATCCCCGCCGGAAGACGAGAACATACCCCAGGTCCCGCCACAACTCGAGAAAAACCATGAGACTTCCCCCTAGAGGCGAGATGAGGCCCCATTCCCCTGCAGTGCATGCAGAGCTATTCCGTGATCCCATTCAAACAAGTCAGGAGCTTCGACTTGCTTAATGGATCGCGAGAAAGTCCCCAAGAACACTGTCACCAGTCTAGACGGACCCTGAGGTCACCCCAGCAACGCAAAGCAGCTCCATGTGCCCCAAATCAACTCGAGATGAGGCCCGATTCCACTGCATTGACTCCAGAGCCATTCCCCGTTCCCTATTCAACACGACCTGTGGCTCGACTTCCTTCAGGCAACTCCACAGATGCCCCGAGAACAGTGTCCCAAGTCTAGAGGACCAACAACTTCAGCACAGCAACTCGAGCAATGCTCCGTGTACCCCCAATCGTCTCGAGATGAGAGCTGATTCATTGGCTTAGGCTCAAGACGTATGCCAACTTTCCAGAAGCACATCAGGAGGAGGCTTCTCTCAGCAATAGGTATGTGGGAGGGACGCCGAGTTTGCTGCCTCAAGGGGAATACACAGGGAGAAGCCCTAATGTGAAAGGAGGCCAGATTTCCTTGCAGTGGCTTGAACACAGGCACCTGTTTGATCTCACAACATGAAGGGATGTCTGAATCCCCTGTGGAGACCTTAGAGGAAGCCCTAGGTCCCTGCCTCATTTTGACGGAATATCTCACATCCCCCTGACACCTCGAGAGGCACGCAGAGTTCATTGTTTCAAAAGGTGGCGATGCCTGACTCCTCTTGAATACTTATAGGAATCCCCAAATCCCTGTGGCTACTGGAAAGGGTCCTTGGGTGCCCTGGCTCACCTCGAGAAGCGTCCCTTTTGCCCTGCCAAGCCTCGAATAGATTGCTGAGGTGTCCCTCCTTACTAGACAGGAGTCCTGACGTCACTGAAGAAACTCGTGTTTTGAAGGGCCATCCCCGCCGTAAGTCGAGAACATAAACCAGGTCCCCGCCGCAATTCGAGAAAAACCGTGAGACTTCCCCCTATAGGCGAGATGAGGCCACATTCCCCTGCAGTGCAAGCAGAGCTATTCCGTGATCCCATTCAAACAAGTCAGGATCTTCGACTTGCTTAATGGATCTCGAGACAGTCCCCAAGAACACTGTCACCAGTCTAGACGGACCCTAAGGTCACCCCAGCAACGCAAAGCAGCACCATGTGCCCCAAATCAACTCGAGATGAGGCCCGATTCCCCTGCATTGACTCCAGAGCCATTCCCCGTTCCCCGTTCAACACGACCGGTGGCTCGCCTTCCTTCAGGCAACTCCAGAGATGCCCCGAGAACACTGTCCCAAGTCTAGAGGACCACCAACTTCAGCACAGCAACTCGAGGAATGCTCCGTGTACCCCAAAACATCTCGAGATGAGAGCTGATTCCCTGGCTTAGGCTCAAGACGTATGCCAACTTTCCAGAAGCACCTCAGGAGGAGGCTTCTCAGCAATAGGTATGTGGGAGGGACCCCGAGTTTGCTGCCTCAGGGGGAATATACAGCGAGAAGCCCTAACTTGAAAGGAGGCCGGATTTCCTTGCAGTGGCTTGAATACAGGCTCGTCTTTCATCTCACAACATGAAGGGATGTCTGAATCCCCTGTGGAGACCTTAGAGAAAGCCCTAGGTCCCTGACTCATTTTGACGGAATGCCTCACATCCCGCTGACACCTCGAGAGGCAAGCGGAGTTCATTGCTTCAAAAGGTGACGATGCCTGACTCCTCTTGAATACTGATAGGAATCCCAATATCCCTGTGGCTACTGGAAAGGGTCCTTGGGTGCCCTGGCTCACCTCGAGAAGCGTCCCTTTTGCCCTGCCAAGCCTCGAATAGATTGCTGAGGTGTCCCTCCTTACTAGACAGGAGTCCTGACGGCACTGAAGAAACTCGTGTTTTGAAGGGCCATCCCCGCCGTATGTCGAGAACATACCCCAGGTCCCCGCCGCCACTCGAGAAAAACCATGAGACATCCCCCTGGAGGCGAGATGAGGCCCCATTCCCCTGCAGTGCATGCAGAGCTATTCCGTGATCCCATTCAAACAAGTCAGGAGCTTCGACTTGCTTAATGGATCTCGAGTCAGTCCCCAAGAACACTGTCACCAGTCTAGACGGACCCTGAGGTCACCCCAGCAACGAAAAGCAGCTCCATGTGACACAAGTCAACTCGAGATGAGTCCCGATTCCCCTGCATTGACTCCAGAGCCATTCCCCGTTCCCCATTCAACACGACCGGTGGCTCGACTTCCTTCAGGCAACTCCAGAGATGCCCCGAGAACACTGTCCCATGTCTAGAGGAACACCAACTTCAGCACAGCAACTCGAGGAATGCTCCCTGTACCCCAAATCGTCTCGAGATTAGAGCTGATTCCCTGGCTTAGGCTCAAGACGTATGCCAACTTTCCAGAAGCACCTCAGGAGGAGGCTTCTCTCAGCAATAGGTATGTGGGAGGGACCCCGAGTTTGCTGCCTCAAGGGGAATATACAGCGAGAAGCCCTAACTTGAAAGGAGGCCGGATTTCCTTGCAGTGTGTTGAATACGGGCTCGTGTTTCATCTCACAACATGAAGGGATGTCTGAGTTCCCTGTGGAGACCTTAGAGGAAGCCCTAGGTCCCTGACTCATTTTGACGGAATGCCTCACATCCCGCTGACACCTCGAGAGGCACGCGGAGTTCATTGCTTCAAAAGGTGATGATGCCTGACTCCTCTTGAATACTAATAGGAATCCCAAAATCCCTGTGGCTACTGGAAAGGGTCCTTGGGTGCCCTGCCTCACCTCGAGAAGCGTCCCTTTTGCCCTGCCAAGCCTCGAAGAGACTCCTGAGGTGTCCCTCGTTACTAGACAGGAGTCCTGACGTCACTGAAGAAACTCGTGTTTTGAAGGGCCATCCCCGCCGTAAGTCGAGAACATACCCCAGGTCCCGCCGCAACTCGAGAAAAACCATGAGACTTCCCCCTAGAGGCGAGATGAGGCCCCATTCCCCTGCAGTGCATGCAGAGCTATTCCGTGATCCCATTCAAGCAAGTCAGGTGCTTCGACTTGCTTAATGGATCTCGAGAGAGTCCCCAAGAACACTGTCACCTGTCTATACGGACCCTGAGGTTACCCCAGCAACGCAAAGCAGCTCCATGTGCCCCAATGAACTCGAGATGAAGCCCGATTCCCCTGCATTGACTCCAGAGCCATTCCCCATTCCCCATTCAACACGACCGGTGGCTCGACTTCCTTCAGGCAACTCCAGAGATGCCCCGAAAACACTGTCCCAAGTCTAGAGGAACACCAACTTCAGCACAGCAACTCGAGGAATGCTCCGTGTACCCCAAATCGTCTCGAGATGAGAGCTGATTCCCTGGCTTAGGCTCAAGATGTATGCCAACTTTCCAGAAGCACCTCAGGAGGAGGCTTCTCTCAGCAATAGGTATGTGGGAGGGACCCCGAGTTTGCTGCCTCAAGGGGAATATACAGCGAGAAGCCCTAACTTGAAAGGAGGCCGGATTTCCTTGCAGTGGCTTAAATACAGGCTCGTGTTTCATCTCACAACATGAAGGGATGACTGAATCCCCTGTGGAGACCTTAGAGGAAGCCCACGGTCCCTGCCTCATTTTGACGGAATGCCTCACATCCCGTTGACACCCCGAGAGGCCCGCGGAGTTCATTGCTTCAAAAGTTGACGATGCCTGACTCCTCTTGAATACTGATAGGAATCCCAAAATCCCTGTGGCTACTGGAAAGGGTCCTTGGGTGCCCTGCCTCACCTCGAGAAGCGTCCCTTTTGCCCTGCCAAGCCTCGAAGAGATTCCTGAGGTGTCCCTCGTTACTAGACAGGAGTCCTGACGTCACTGAAGAAACTCGTGTTTTCAAGGGCCATCCACGCCGTAAGTCGAGAACATACCCCAGGTCCTCGCCGCAACTCGAGAAAAGCCATGAGACTTCCCCATAGAGGCGAGATGAGGCCCCATTCCACTGCAGTGCATGCAGAGCTATTCAGTGATCCCATTCAAACAAGTCAGGAGCTTCGACTTGCTTAATGGATCTCGAGACAGTCCCCAAGAACACTGTCACCAGTCTAGACGGACCGTGAGGTCACCCCAGCAACGCAAAGCAGCTCCATGTGCCCCAAATCAACTCGAGATGAGGCCCGATTCCCCTGCATTGACCCCAGAGCCATTCCCCGTTCCCCATTCAACCAGACCGATGGCTCGACTTCCTTCAGGCAACTCCAGAGATGCCACGAGAACACTGTCCCAAGTCTAGAGGAACAACAACTTCAGCACAGCAACTCGAGGAATGCTCCGTGTACCCCAAATCGTCTCGAGATGAGAGCTGATTCCCTGGCTTAGGCTGAAGACGTATGCCAACTTTCCAGAAGCACCTCAGGAGGAGGCTTCTCTCAGCAATAGGTATGTGGGAGGGACCCCGAGTTTGCTGCCTCAAGGGGAATATACAGCGAGAAGCCCTAACTTGAAAGGAGGCCGGATTTCCTTTCAGTGGCTTGAATACAGGCTCGTGTTTCATCTCACAACATGAAGGGATGACTGAATCCCCTGTGGAGACCATAGAGGAAGCCCAAGTTCCCTGCCTCATTTTGACGGAATGCCTCACATCCCGTTGACACCTCGAGAGGCACGCGGAGTTCATTGCTTCAAAAGGTGACGATGCCTGACTCCTCTTGAATACTGATAGGAATCCCAAAATCCCTGTGGCTACTGGAAAGGGTCCTTGGGTGCCCTGCCTCACCTCGAGAAGCGTCCCTTTTGCCCTGCCAAGCTTCGAAGAGATTCCTGAGGTGTCCCTCGTTACTAGACAGGAGTCCTGACGTCACTGAAGAAACTCGTGTTTTGAAGGGCCATCCCCGCCGGAAGTCGAGAACATACCCCAGGTCCCCGCCGCAACTCAAGAAAAACCATGAGACTTCCCCCTAGAGGCGAGATGAGGCCCCATTCCCCTGCAGTGCATGCAGAGCTATTCCGTGATCCCATTCAAACAAGTCAGGAGCTTCGACTTGCTTAATGGATCTCCAGACAGTCCCCAAGAACACTGTCACCAGTCTAGACGGACCCTGAGGACAACCCAGCAACGCAAAGCAGCTCCATGTGCCCCAAATCAACTCGAAATGAGGCCCGATTCCCCTGCATTGACTACAGAGCCATTCCCTGTTCCCCATTCAACACGATCGGTGGCTCGACTTCCATCAGGCAACTCCAGAGATGCCCCGAGAACACTGTCCCAAGTCTAGAGGGACACCAACTTCAGCACAGCAAATCGAGGAATGCTCCATGTACCCCAAATCGTCTCGAGATGAGAGCTGATTCCCTGGCTTAGGCTCAAGACGTATGCCAACTTTCCAGAAGCACCTTAGGAGGAGGCTTCTCTCAGCAATAGGTATGTGGGAGGGACCCCGAGTTTGCTACCTCAAGGGGAATATACAGCGAGAAGCCCGAATTTGAAAGGAGGCCGGATTTCCTTGCTGTGGCTTGAATACAGGCTCGTGTTTCATCTCACAACATGAAGGGATGTCTGAATCCCCTGTGGAGACCTTAGAGAAAGCCGTAGGTCCCTGCCTCATTTTGACGGAATGCCTCACATCCCGCTGACACCTCGAGAGTCACGCAGAGTTCATTGCTTCAAAAGGTGACGATGCCTGACTCCTCTTGAATACTGATAGGAATCCCAAAATCCCGGTGGCTACTGGAAAGGGTCCTTGGGTGCCCTGCCTCACCTCGAGAAGCGTCCCTTTTGCCCTGCCAAGCCTCGAAGAGATTCCTGAGGTGTCCCTCGTTACTAGACAGGAGTCCTGACGTCACTGAAGAAACTCGTGTTTTGAAGGGCCATCCCCGCCGTAAGTCGAGAACATACCCCAGGTCCCGCCGCAACTCAAGAAAAACCATGAGACTTCCCCCTAGAGGCGAGATGAGGCCCCATTCCCCTGCAGTGCATGCAGAGCTATTCCGTGATCCCATTCAAACAAGTCAGGTACTTCGACTTGCTTAATGGATCTCAAGACAGTCCCCAAGAACACTGTCACCTGTCTAGACGGACCCTGAGGTCACCCCAGCAACGCAAAGCAGCTCCATGTGCCCCAAGTCAACTCGACATGAGGCCTGATTCCCCTGCATTGACTCCAGAGCCATTCCCCTTTCCCCATTCAACCCGACCGGTGGCTCGACTTCCTTCAGGCAACTCCAGAGATGCCCCGAGAACACTGTCCCAAGTCTAGAGGAACACCAACTTCAGCACAGCAACTCGAGGAATGCTCCGTGTACGCCAAATCGTCTCGAGATGAGAGCTGATTCCCTGGCTTGGGCTCAAGACGTATGCCAACTTTCCAGAAGCACCTCAGGAGGAGGCTTCTCTCAGCAATAGGTATGTGGGAGGGACCCCGAGTTTGCTGCCTCAAGGGGAATATACAGCGAGAAGCCCTAACTTGATAGGAGGCCGGATTTCCTTGCAGTGGCTTAAATACAGGCTCGTGTTTCATCTCACAACATGAAGGGATGACTGAATCCCCTGTGGAGAACTTAGAGAAAGCCCACGGTCCCTGCCTCATTTTGACGGATGCCTCACATCCCGTTGACACCTCGAGAGGCAAGCGGAGTTCATTCCTTCAAAATTTGACGATGCCTGACACCTCTTGAATACTGATAGGAATCCCAAAATCCCTGTGGCTACTGGAAAGGGTCCTTGGGTGCCCTGCCTCACCTCGAGAATCGTCCCTTTTGCCCTGCCAAGCTTCGAAGAGATTCCTGAGGTGTCCCTCGTTACTAGACAGGAGTCCTGACGTCACTGAAGAAACTCGTGTTTTGAAGGGCCATCCCCGCCGGAAGACGAGAACATACCCCAGGTCCCCGCCGCAACTCAAGAAAAACCATGAGACTTCCCCCTAGAGGTGAGATGAGGCCCCATTCCCCTGCAGTGCATGCAGAGCTATTCCGTGATCCCATTCAAACAAGTCAGGAGCTTCGACTTGCTTAATGGATCTCGAGACAGTCCCCAAGAACACTGTCACCAGTCTAGACGGACCCTGAGGACAACCCAGCAACGCAAAGCAGCTCCATGTGCCCCAATCAACTCGAGATGAGGCCCGATTCCCCTGCATTGACCCCAGAGCCATTCCCCGTTCCCCATTCAACCCGACCGGTGGCTCGACTTCCTTCAGGCAACTCCAGAGATGCCCCGAGAACACTGTCCCAAGTCTAGAGGAACACCAACTTCAGCACAGCGACTCGAGGAATGCTCCATGTACCCCAAATCGTCTCGAGATGAGAGCTGATTCCCTGGCTTAGGCTCAAGACGTATGCCAACTTTCCAGAAGCACCTCAGGAGGAGGCTTCTCTCAGCAATAGGTATGTGGGAGGGACCCCGAGTTTGCTGCCTCAAGGGGAATATACAGCGAGAAGCCCTAACTTGAAAGGAGGCCGGATTTCCTTGCTGTGGCTTGAATACAGGCTCGTGTTTCATCTCACAACATGAAGGGATGTCTGAATCCCCTGTGGAGACCTTAGAGAAAGCCGTAGGTCCCTGCCTCATTTTGACGGAATGCCTCACATCCCGCTGACACCTCAAGAGTCACGCAGTGTTCATTGCTTCAAAAGGTGACGATGCCTGACTCCTCTTGAATACTGATAGGAATCCCAAAATCCCGGTGGCTACTGGAAAGGGTCCTTGGGTGCCCTGCCTCACCTCGAGAAGCGTCCCTTTTGCCCTGCCAAGCCTCGAAGAGATTCCTGAGGTGTCCCTCGTTACTAGACAGGAGTCCTGACGTCACTGAAGAAACTCGTGTTTTGAAGGGCCATCCCCGCCGTAAGTCGAGATCATACCCCAGGTCCCCGCCGCAACTCGAGAAAAACCATGAGACTTCCCCCTAGAGGCGAGATGAAGCCCCATTCCCCTGCAGTGCATGCAGAGCTATTCCGTGATCCCATTCAAACAATCAGGAGCTTTGACTTGCTTAATGGATCTCGAGACAGTCCCCAGAACACTGTCACCAGTCTAGACGGACCCTGAGGTCACCCCAGCAACGCAAAGCAGCTCCATGTGCCCCAAATCAACTCGAGATGAGGCCCGATTCCCCTGCATTGACTCCAGAGCCATTCCCCGTTCCCCATTCAACATGATCAGTGGCTCGACTTCCTTCAGGCAACTCCAGAGATGCCCCGAGAACACTGTCCCAAGTCTAGAGGAACACCAACTTCAGCACAGCAACTCGAGGAATGCTCCGTGTACTCCAAATCGTCTCGAGATGAGAGCTAATTCCCTGGCTTAGGCTCAAGACGTATGCCAACTTTCCAGAAGCACCTCAGGAGGAGGCTTCTCTCAGCAATAGGTATGTGGGAGGGACCCCGAATTTGCTGCCTCAAGGGGAATATACAGCGAGAAGCCCTAACTTGAAAGGAGGCCGGATTTCCTTGCAGTGGCTTGAATACAGGCTCGTGTTTCATCTCACAACATGAAGGGATGTCTGAATCCCCTGTGGAGACCTTAGAGAAAGCCCTAGGTCCCGGCCTCATTTTGACGGAATGCCTCACATCCCATTGACACCTCGAGAGGCACGCGGAGTTCATTGCTTCAAAAGGTGACGATGCCTGAGTCCTCTTGAAAACTGATAGGAATCCGAAAATCACTCTGGCTACTGGAAAGGGTCCTTGGGTGCCCTGCCTCACCTCGAGAAGCGTCCCTTTTGCCCTGCCAAGCCTCGAAGAGATTCCTGAGGTGTCCCTCGTTACTAGACAGGAGTCCTGACGTCACTGAAGAAACTCGTGTTTTGAAGGGCCATCCCCGCCGTAAGTCGAGAACATACCCCAGGTCCCTGCCGCCACTCGAGAAAAACCATGAGACTTCCCCCTGGAGGCGAGATGAGGCCCCATTCCCCTGCAGTGCATGCAGAGCTATTCCGTGATCCCATTCAAACAAGTCAGGAGCTTTGACTTGCTTAATGTATCTCGAGACAGTCCCCAGAACACTGTCACCAGTCTAGACGGACCCTGAGGTCACCCCAGCAACGCAAAGCATCTCCATGTGCCCCAAATCAACTCGAGATGAGGCCCGATTCCCCTGCATTGACTCCAGAGCCATTCCCCGTTCCCCATTCAACACGATCAGTGGCTCGACTTCCTTCAGGCAACTCCAGAGATGCCCCGAGAACACTGTCCCAAGTCTAGAGGAACACCAACTTCAGCACAGCAACTCGAGGAATGCTCCGTGTACTCCAAATCGTCTCGAGATGAGAGCTAATTCCCTGGCTTAGGCTCAAGACGTATGCCAACTTTCCAGAAGCACCTCAGGAGGAGGCTTCTCTCAGCAATAGGTATGTGGGAGGGACCCCAAATTTGCTGCCTCAAGGGGAATATACAGCGAGAAGCCCTAACTTGAAAGGAGGCCGGATTTCCTTGCAGTGGCTTGAATACAGGCTCGTCTTTCATCTCACAACATGAAGGGATGTCTGAATCCCCTGTGGAGACCTTAGAGAAAGCCCTAGGTCCCGGCCTCATTTTGACGGATGCCTCACATCCCGTTGACACCTCGAGAGGCACGCAGAGTTCATTGCTTCAAAAGGTGACGATGCCTGACTCCTCTTGAATACTGATAGGAATCCCAAAATCCCGGTGGCTACTGGAAAGGGTCCTTGGGTGCCCTGCCTCACTTCGAGAAGCGTCCCTTTTGCCCTGCCAAGCTTCGAAGAGATTCCTGAGGTGTCCCTCGTTACTAGACAGGAGTCCTGACGTCACTGAAGAAACTCGTGTTTTGAAGGGCCATCCCCGCCGGAAGACGAGAACATACCCCAGGTCCCCGCCGCAACTCAAGAAAAACCATGAGACTTCCCCCTGGAGGCGAGATGAGGCCCCATTCCCCTGCAGTGCATGCAGAGCTATTCCGTGATCCCATTCAAACAAGTCAGGAGCTTCGACTTGCTTAATGGATCTCGAGACAGTCCCCAAGAACACTGTCACCAGTCTAGACGGACCCTGAGGACAACCCAGCAACGCAAAGCAGCTCCATGTGCCCCAAATCAACTCGAGATGAGGCCCGATTCCCCTGCATTGACTACAGAGCCATTCCCCGTTCCCCATTCAACACGATCGGTGGCTCGACTTCCTTCAGGCAACTCCAGAGATGCCCCGAGAACACTGTCCCAAGTCTAGAGGAACACCAACTTCAGCACAGCAAATCGAGGAATGCTCGGTGTACCCCAAATCGTCTCGAGATGAGAGCTGATTCCCTGGCTTAGGCTCAAGACGTATGCCAACTTTCCAGAAGCACCTCAGGAGGAGGCTTCTCTCAGCAATAGGTATGTTGGACGGACCCTGAGTCTGCTGCCTCAAGGGGAATATACAGCGAGAAGCCCTAACTTGAAAGGAGGCCGGATTTCCTTGCTGTGGCTTGAATACAGGCTCTTGTTTCATCTCACAACATGAAGGGATGTCTGAATCCCCTGTGGAGACCTTAGAGAAAGTCCTAGGTCCCTGCCTCTTTTTGACGGAATGCCTCACATCCCGTTGAGACCTCGAGAGACACGCAGTGTTCATTGCTTCAAAAGGTGACGATGCCTGACTCCTCTTGAATACTGATAGGAATCCCAAAATCCCTGTGGCTACTGGAAAGGGTCTTTGGGTGCCCTGCCTCACCTCGAGAAGCGTCCGTTTTGCCCTGCCAAGCCTCGAAGACATTCCTGAGCTGTCCCTCCTTGCTAGACAGGAGTCCTGACGTCACTGAAGAAACTCGTGTTTTGAAGGGCCATCCCCGCCATAAGTCGAGATCATACCCCAGGTCCCCGCCGCAACTCGAGAAAAACCATGAGATTACCCCCTAGAGGCGAGATGAGGCCCCATTCCCCTGCAGTGCATGCAGATCTATTCCGTGATCCCATTCAAACAAGTCAGGAGCTTTGACTTGCTTAATGGATCTCGAGACAGTCCCCAGAACACTGTCACCAGTCTAGACGTACCCTGAGGTCACCCCAGCAACGCAAAGCATCTCCATGTGCCCCAAATCAACTCGAGATGAGGCCCGATTCCCCTGCATTGACTCCAGAGCCATTCCCCGTTCCCCATTCAACACGATCAGTGGCTCGACTTCCTTCAGGCAACTCCAGAGATGCCCCGAGAACACTGTCCCAAGTCTAGAGGAACACCAACTTCAGCACAGCAACTCGAGGAATGCTCCGTGTACTCCAAATCGTCTCGAGATGAGAGCTAATTCCCTGGCTTAGGCTCAAGACGTATGCCAACTTTCCAGAAGCACCTCAGGAGGAGGCTTCTCTCAGCAATAGGTATGTGGGAGGGACCCCAAATTTGTTGCCTCAAGGGGAATATACAGCGAGAAGCCCTAACTTGAAAGGAGGCCGGATTTCCTTGCAGTGGCTTGAATACAGGCTCGTGTTTCATCTCACAACATGAAGGGATGTCTGAATCCCCTGTGGAGACCTTAGAGAAAGCCCTAGGTCCCTGCCTCATTTTGACGGATGCCTCACATCCCGTTGACACCTCGAGAGGCAAGCGGAGTTCATTGCTTCAAAAGGTGACGATGCCTGACTCCTCTTGAATACTGATAGGAATCCCAAAATCCCTGTGGCTACTGGAAAGGGTCCTTGGGTGCCCTGCCTCACATCGAGAATCGTCCCTTTTGCCCTGCCAAGCTTCGAAGAGATTCCTGAGGTGTCCCTCGTTACTAGACAGGAGTCCTGACGTCACTGAAGAAACTCGTGTTTTGAAGGGCCATCCCCGCAGTAAGTCGAGAACATACCCCAGGTCCCCGCCGCAACTCGAGAAAAACCATGAGACATCCCCCTAGAGGCGAGATGAGGCCCCATTCCCCTGCAGTGCATGCAGAGCTATTCCGTGATCCCATTCAAACAAGTCAGGAGCTTCGACTTGCTTAATGGATCTCGAGACAGTCCCCAAGAACACTGTCACCAGTCTAGACGGACCCTGAGGACAACCCAGCAACGCAAAGCAGCTCCATGTGCCCCAAATCAACTCGAGATGAGGCCCGATTCCCCTGCATTGACTACAGAGCCATTCCCTGTTCCCCATTCAACACGATCGGTGGCTCGACTTCCTTCAGGCAACTCCAGAGATGCCCCGAGAACACTGTCCCAAGTCTAGAGGAACACCAACTTCAGCACAGCAAATTGAGGAATGCTCCGTGTACCCCAAATCGTCTCGAGATGAGAGCTGATTCCCTGGCTTAGGCTCAAGACGTATGCCAACTTTCCAGAAGCACCTCAGGAGGAGGCTTCTCTCAGCAATAGGTATGTGGGACGGACCCTGAGTCTGCTGCCTCAAGGGGAATATACAGCGAGAAGCCCTAACTTGAAAGGAGGCCAGATATCCTTGCTGTGGCTTGAATACAGGCTCTTGTTTCATCTCACAACATGAAGGGATGTCTGAATCCCCTGTGGAGACCTTAGAGAAAGCCCTAGTTCCCTGCCTCTTTTTGACGGAATGCCTCACATCCCGTTGAGACCTCGAGAGGCACGCAGTGTTCATTGCTTCAAAAGGTGACGATGCCTGACTCCTCTTGAATACTGATAGTAATCCCAAAATCCCTGTGGCTACTGGAAAGGGTCTTTGGGTGCCCTGCCTCACCTCGAGAAGCGTCCGTTTTGCCCTGCCAAGACTCGAAGACATTCCTGAGCTGTCCCTCCTTGCTAGACAGGAGTCCTGACGTCACTGAAGAAACTCGTATTTTGAAGGGCCATCCCCGCCATAAGTCGAGATCATACCCAAGGTCCCCGCCGCAACTCGAGAAAAACCATGAGACTTCCCCCTAGAGGCGAGATGAGGCCCCATTCCCCTGCAGTGCATGCAGAGCTATTCCGTGATCCCATTCAAACAAGTCAGGAGCTTTGACTTGCTTAATGGATCTCGAGACAGTCCCCAGAACACTGTCACCAGTCTAGACGGACCCTGAGGTCACCCCAGCAACGCAAAGCAGCTCCATGTGCCCCAAATCAACTCGAGATGAGGCCCGATTCCCCTGCATTGACTCCAGAGCCATTCCCCGTTCCCCATTCAACATGATCAGTGGCTCGACTTCCTTCAGGCAACTCCAGAGATGCCCCGAGAACACTGTCCCAAGTCTAGAGGAACACCAACTTCAGCACAGCAACTCGAGGAATGCTCCGTGTACTCCAAATCGTCTCGAGATGAGAGCTGATTCCCTGGCTTAGGCTCAAGACGTATGCCAACTTTCCAGAAGCACCTCAGGAGGAGGCTTCTCTCAGCAATAGGTATGTGGGAGGGACCCCGAGTTTGCTGCCTCAAGGGGAATATACAGCGAGAAGCCCTAACTTGAAAGGAGGCCGGATTTCCTTGCAGTGGCTTGAATACAGGCTCGTGTTTCATCTCACAACATGAAGGGATGTCTGAATCCCCAGTGGAGACCTTAGAGAAAGCCCTAGGTCCCGGCCTCATTTTGACGGAATGCCTCACATCCCGTTGACACCTCGAGAGGCACGCGGAGTTCATTGCTTCAAAAGGTGACGATGCCTGACTCCTCTTGAAAATTGATAGGAATCCGAAAATCACTCTGGCTACTGGAAAGGGTCCTTGGGTGCCCTGCCTCACCTCGAGAAGCGTCCCTTTTGCCCTGCCAAGCCTCGAAGAGATTCCTGAGGTGTCCCTCGTTACTAGACAGGAGTCCTGACGTCACTGAAGAAACTCGTGTTTTGAAGGGCCATCCCCGCCGGAAGACGAGAACATACCCCAGGTCCCCGCCGCAACTCAAGAAAAACCATGAGACTTCCCCCTGGAGGCGAGATGAGGCCCCATTCCCCTGCAGTGCATGCAGAGCTATTCCGTGATCCCATTCAAACAAGTCAGGAGCTTCGACTTGCTTAATGGATCTCGAGACAGTCCCCAAGAACACTGTCACCAGTCTAGACGGACCCTGAGGACAACCCAGCAACGCAAAGCAGCTCCATGTGCCCCAAATCAACTCGAGATGAGGCCCGATTCCCCTGCATTGACTACAGAGCCATTCCCTGTTCCCCATTCAACACGATCGGTGGCTCGACTTCCTTCAGGCAACTCCAGAGATGCCCCGAGAACACTGTCCCAAGTCTAGAGGAACACCAACTTCAGCACAGCAAATCGAGGAATGCTCGGTGTACCCCAAATCGTCTCGAGATGAGAGCTGATTCCCTGGCTTAGGCTCAAGACGTATGCCAACTTTCCAGAAGCACCTCAGGAGGAGGCTTCTCTCAGCAATAGGTATGTTGGACGGACCCTGAGTCTGCTGCCTCAAGGGGAATATACAGCGAGAAGCCCTAACTTGAAAGGAGGCCGGATTTCCTTGCTGTGGCTTGAATACAGGCTCTTGTTTCATCTCACAACATGAAGGGATGTCTGAATCCCCTGTGGAGACCTTAGAGAAAGCCCTAGGTCCCTGCCTCTTTTTGACGGAATGCCTCACATCCCGTTGAGACCTCGAGAGACACGCAGTGTTCATTGCTTCAAAAGGTGACGATGCCTGACTCCTCTTGAATACTGATAGGAATCCCAAAATCCCTGTGGCTACTGGAAAGGGTCTTTGGGTGCCCTGCCTCACCTCGAGAAGCGTCCGTTTTGCCCTGCCAAGCCTCGAAGACATTCCTGAGCTGTCCCTCCTTGCTAGACAGGAGTCCTGACGTCACTGAAGAAACTCGTGTTTTGAAGGGCCATCCCCGCCATAAGTCGAGATCATACCCCAGGTCCCCGCCGCAACTCGAGAAAAACCATGAGATTACCCCCTAGAGGCGAGATGAGGCCCCATTCCCCTGCAGTGCATGCAGAGCTATTCCGTGATCCCATTCAAACAAGTCAGGAGCTTTGACTTGCTTAATGTATCTCGAGACAGTCCCCAGAACACTGTCACCAGTCTAGACGGACCCTGAGGTCACCCCAGCAACGCAAAGCATCTCCATGTGCCCCAAATCAACTCGAGATGAGGCCCGATTCCCCTGCAGTGACTCCAGAGCCATTCCCCGTTCCCCATTCAACACGATCAGTGGCTCGACTTCCTTCAGGCAACTCCAGAGATGCCCCGAGAACACTGTCCCAAGTCTAGAGGAACACCAACTTCAGCACAGCAACTCGAGTAATGCTCCGTGTACTACAAATCGTCTCGAGATGAGAGCTAATTCCCTGGCTTAGGCTCAAGACGTATGCCAACTTTCCAGAAGCACCTCAGGAGGAGGCTTCTCTCAGCAATAGGTATGTGGGAGGGACCCCAAATTTGTTGCCTCAAGGGGAATATACAGCGAGAAGCCCTAACTTGAAAGGAGGCCGGATTTCCTTGCAGTGGCTTGAATACAGGCTCGTGTTTCATCTCACAACATGAAGGGATGTCTGAATCCCCTGTGGAGACCTTAGAGAAAGCCCTAGGTCCCTGCCTCATTTTTGACGGAATGCCTCACATCCCGTTGACACCTCGAGAGGCAAGCGGAGTTCATTGTTTCAAAAGGTGACGATGCCTGACTCCTCTTGAATACTGATAGGAATCCCAAAATCCCTGTGGCTACTGGAAAGGGTCCTTGGGTGCCCTGCCTCACCTCGAGAATCGTCCCTTTTGCCCTGCCAAGCTTCGAAGAGATTCCTGAGGTGTCCCTCGTTACTAGACAGGAGTCCTGACGTCACTGAAGAAACTCGTGTTTTGAAGGGCCATCCCCGCCGGAAGACGAGAACATACCCCAGGTCCCCGCCGCAACTCAAGAAAAACCATGAGACTTCCCCCTAGAGGCGAGATGAGGCCCCATTCCCCTGCAGTGCATGCAGAGCTATTCCGTGATCCCATTCAAACAAGTCAGGAGCTTCGACTTGCTTAATGGATCTCGAGACAGTCCCCAAGAACACTGTCACCAGTCTAGACGGACCCTGAGGACAACCCAGCAACGCAAAGCAGCTCCATGTGCCCCAAATCAACTCGAGATGAGGCCCGATTCCCCTGCATTGACTACAAAGCCATTCCCTGTTCCCCATTCAACACGATCGGTGGCTCGACTTCCTTCAGGCAACTCCAGAGATGCCCCGAGAACACTGTCCCAAGTCTAGAGGAACACCAACTTCAGCACAGCAAATCGAGGAATGCTCCGTGTACCCCAAATCGTCTCGAGATGAGAGCTGATTCCCTGGCTTAGGCTCAAGACGTATGCCAACTTTCCAGAAGCACCTCAGGAGGAGGCTTCTCTCAGCAATAGGTATGTGGGACGGACCCTGAGTCTGCTGCCTCAAGGGGAATATACAGCGAGAAGCCCTAACTTGAAAGGAGGCCGGATTTCCTTGCTGTGGCTTGAATACAGGCTCTTGTTTCATCTCACAACATGAAGGGATGTCTGAATCCCCTGTGGAGACCTTAGAGAAAGCCCTAGGTCCCTGCCTCTTTTTGACGGAATGCCTCACATCCCGTTGAGACCTCGAGAGGCACGCAGTGTTCATTGCTTCAAAAGGTGACGATGCCTGACTCCTCTTGAATACTGATAGGAATCCCAAAATCCCTGTGGCTACTGGAAAGGGTCTTTGGGTGCCCTGCCTCACCTCGAGAAGCGTCCGTTTTGCCCTGCCAAGCCTCGAAGACATTCCTGAGCTGTCCCTCCTTGCTAGACAGGAGTCCTGACGTCACTGAAGAAACTCGTGTTTTGAAGGGCCATCCCCGCCATAAGTCGAGATCATACCCCAGGTCCCCGCCGCAACTCGAGAAAAACCATGAGATTACCCCCTAGAGGCGAGATGAGGCCCCATTCCCCTGCAGTGCATGCAGAGCTATTCCGTGATCCCATTCAAACAAGTCAGGAGCTTTGACTTGCTTAATGTATCTCGAGACAGTCCCCAGAACACTGTCACCAGTCTAGACGGACCCTGAGGTCAACCCAGCAACGCAAAGCATCTCCATGTGCCCCAAATCAACTCGAGATGAGGCCCGATTCCCCTGCATTGACTCCAGAGCCATTCCCCGTTCCCCATTCAACACGATCAGTGGCTCGACTTCCTTCAGGCAACTCCAGAGATGCCCCGAGAACACTGTCCCAAGTCTAGAGGAACACCAACTTCAGCACAGCAACTCGAGGAATGCTCCGTGTACTCCAAATCGTCTCGAGATGAGAGCTAATTCCCTGGCTTAGGCTCAAGACGTATGCCAACTTTCCAGAAGCACCTCAGGAGGAGGCTTCTCTCAGCAATAGGTATGTGGGAGGGACCCCAAATTTGTTGCCTCAAGGGGAATATACAGCGAGAAGCCCTAACTTGAAAGGAGGCCGGATTTCCTTGCAGTGGCTTGAATACAGGCTCGTGTTTCATCTCACAACATGAAGGGATGTCTGAATCCCCTGTGGAGACCTTAGAGAAAGCCCTAGGTCCCTGCCTCATTTTGACGGATGCCTCACATCCCGTTGACACCTCGAGAGGCAAGCGGAGTTCATTGCTTCAAAAGGTGACGATGCCTGACTCCTCTTGAATACTGATAGGAATCCCAAAATCCCTGTGGCTACTGGAAAGGGTCCTTGGGTGCCCTGCCTCACCTCGAGAATCGTCCCTTTTGCCCTGCCAAGCTTCGAAGAGATTCCTGAGGTGTCCCTCGTTACTAGACAGGAGTCCTGACGTCACTGAAGAAACTCGTGTTTTGAAGGGCCATCCCCGCCGGAAGACGAGAACATACCCCAGGTCCCGCCACAACTCGAGAAAAACCATGAGACTTCCCCCTAGAGGCGAGATGAGGCCCCATTCCCCTGCAGTGCATGCAGAGCTATTCCGTGATCCCATTCAAACAAGTCAGGAGCCTCGACTTGCTTAATGGATCTCGAGACAGTCCCCAAGAACACTGTCACCAGTCTAGACGGACCCTGAGGACAACCCAGCAACGCAAAGCAGCTCCATGTGCCCCAAATCAACTCGAGATGAGGCCCGATTCCCCTGCATTGACTACAGAGCCATTCCCTGTTCCCCATTCAACACGATCGGTGGCTCGACTTCCTTCAGGCAACTCCAGAGATGCCCCGAGAACACTGTCCCAAGTCTAGAGGAACACCAACTTCAGCACAGCAAATCGAGGAATGCTCCGTGTACCCCAAATCGTCTCGAGATGAGAGCTGATTCCCTGGCTTAGACTCAAGACGTATGCCAACTTTCCAGAAGCACCTCAGGAGGAGGCTTCTCTCAGCAATAGGTATGTGGGACGGACCCTGAGTCTGCTGCCTCAAGGGGAATATACAGCGAGAAGCCCTAACTTGAAAGGAGGCCGGATTTCCTTGCTGTGGCTTGAATACAGGCTCTTGTTTCATCTCACAACATGAAGGGATGTCTGAATCCCCTGTGGAGACCTTAGAGAAAGCCCTAGGTCCCTGCCTCTTTTTGACGGAATGCCTCACATCCCGTTGAGACCTCGAGAGGCACGCAGTGTTCATTGCTTCAAAAGGTGACGATGCCTGACTCCTCTTGAATACTGATAGGAATCCCAAAATCCCTGTGGCTACTGGAAAGGGTCTTTGGGTGCCCTGCCTCACCTCGAGAAGCGTCCGTTTTGCCCTGCCAAGCCTCGAAGACATTCCTGAGCTGTCCCTCCTTGCTAGACAGGAGTCCTGACGTCACTGAAGAAACTCGTATTTGAAGGGCCATCCCCGCCATAAGTCGAGATCATACCCCAGGTCCCCGCCGCAACTCGAGAAAAACCATGAGACTTCCCCCTAGAGGCAAGATGAGGCCCCATTCCCCTGCAGTGCATGCAGAGCTATTCCGTGATCCCATTCAAACAAGTCAGGAGCTTTGACTTGCTTAATGGATCTCGAGACAGTCCCCAGAACACTGTCACCAGTCTAGACGGACCCTGAGGTCACCCCAGCAACGCAAAGCATCTCCATGTGCCCCAAATCAACTCGAGATGAGGCCCGATTCCCCTGCATTGACTCCAGAGCCATTCCCCGTTCCCCATTCAACACGATCAGTGGCTCGACTTCCTTCAGGCAACTCCAGAGATGCCCCGAGAACACTGTCCCAAGTCTAGAGGAACACCAACTTCAGCACAGCAACTCGAGGAATGCTCCGTGTACTCCAAATCGTCTCGAGATGAGAGCTAATTCCCTGGCTTAGGCTCAAGACGTATGCCAACTTTCCAGAAGCACCTCAGGAGGAGGCTTCTCTCAGCAATAGGTATGTGGGAGGGACCCCAAATTTGTTGCCTCAAGGGGAATATACAGCGAGAAGCCCTAACTTGAAAGGAGGCCGGATTTCCTTGCAGTGGCTTGAATACAGGCTCGTGTTTCATCTCACAACATGAAGGGATGTCTGAATCCCCTGTGGAGACCTTAGAGAAAGCCCTAGGTCCCTGCCTCATTTTGACGGATGCCTCACATCCCGTTGACACCTCGAGAGGCAAGAGGAGTTCATTGCTTCAAAAGGTGACGATGCCTGACTCCTCTTGAATACTGATAGGAATCCCAAAATCCCTGTGGCTACTGGAAAGGGTCCTTGGGTGCCCTGCCTCACCTCGAGAATCGTCCCTTTTGCCCTGCCAAGCTTCGAAGAGATTCCTGAGGTGTCCCTCGTTACTAGACAGGAGTCCTGACGTCACTGAAGAAACTCGTGTTTTGAAGGGCCATCCCCGCCGGAAGACGAGAACATACCCCAGGTCCCCGCCGCAACTCAAGAAAAACCATGAGACTTCCCCCTAGAGGCGAGATGAGGCCCCATTCCCCTGCAGTGCATGCAGAGCTATTCCGTGATCCCATTCAAACAAGTCAGGAGCTTCGACTTGCTTAATGGATCTCGAGACAGTCCCCAAGAAAACTGTCACCAGTCTAGACGGACCCTGAGGACAACCCAGCAACGCAAAGCAGCTCCATGTGCCCCAAATCAACTCGAGATGAGGCCCGATTCCCCTGCATTGACTACAGAGCCATTCCCTGTTCCCCATTCAACACGATCGGTGGCTCGACTTCCTTCAGGCAACTCCAGAGATGCCCCGAGAACACTGTCCCAAGTCTAGAGGAACACCAACTTCAGCACAGCAAATCGAGGAATGCTCCGTGTACCCCAAATCGTCTCGAGATGAGAGCTGATTCCCTGGCTTAGGCTCAAGACGTATGCCAACTTTCCAGAAGCACCTCAGGAGGAGGCTTCTCTCAGCAATAGGTATGTGGGACGGACCCTGAGTCTGCTGCCTCAAGGGGAATATACAGCGAGAAGCCCTAACTTGAAAGGAGGCCGGATATCCTTGCTGTGGCTTGAATACAGGCTCTTGTTTCATCTCACAACATGAAGGGATGTCTGAATCCCCTGTGGAGACCTTAGAGAAAGCCCTAGGTCCCTGCCTCTTTTTGACGGAATGCCTCACATCCCGTTGAGACCTCGAGAGGCACGCAGTGTTCATTGCTTCAAAAGGTGACGATGCCTGACTCCTCTTGAATACTGATAGGAATCCCAAAATCCCTGTGGCTACTGGAAAGGGTCTTTGGGTGCCCTGCCTCACCTCGAGAAGCGTCCGTTTTGCCCTGCCAAGCCTCGAAGACATTCCTGAGCTGTCCTCCTTGCTAGACAGGAGTCCTGACGTCACTGAAGTAAGTCGTATTTGAAGGGCCATCCCCGCCATAAGTCGAGATCATATCCCAGGTCCCCGCCGCAACTCGAGAAAAACCATGAGACTTCCCCCTAGAGGCAAGATGAGGCCCCATTCCCCTGCAGTGCATGCAGAGCTATTCCGTGATCCCATTCAAACAAGTCAGGAGCTTTGACTTGCTTAATGGATCTCGAGACAGTCCCCAGAACACTGTCACCAGTCTAGACGGACCCTGAGGTCACCCCAGCAACGCAAAGCAGCTCCATGTGCCCCAAATCAACTCGAGATGAGGCCCGATTCCCCTGCATTGACTCCAGAGCCATTCCCCGTTCCCCATTCAACATGATCAGTGGCTCGACTTCCTTCAGGCAACTCCAGAGATGCCCCGAGAACACTGTCCCAAGTCTAGAGGAACACCAACTTCAGCACAGCAACTCGAGGAATGCTCCGTGTACTCCAAATCGTCTCGAGATGAGAGCTAATTCCCTGGCTTAGGCTCAAGACGTATGCCAACTTTCCAGAAGCACCTCAGGAGGAGGCTTCTCTCAGCAATAGGTATGTGGGAGGGACCCCGAATTTGCTGCCTCAAGGGGAATATACAGCAAGAAGCCCTAACTTGAAAGGAGGCCGGATTTCCTTGCAGTGGCTTGAATACAGGCTCGTGTTTCATCTCACAACATGAAGGGATGTCTGAATCCCCTGTGGAGACCTTAGAGAAAGCCCTAGGTCCCTGCCTCATTTTGACGGATGCCTCACATCCCGTTGACACCTCGAGAGGCACGCGGAGTTCATTGCTTCAAAAGGTGACGATGCCTGACTCCTCTTGAATACTGATAGGAATCCCAAAATCCCTGTGGCTACTGGAAAGGGTCCTTGGGTGCCCTGCCTCACCTCGAGAAGCGTCCCTTTTGCCCTGCCAAGCCTCGAAGAGATTCCTGAGGTGTCCCTCGTTACTAGACAGGAGTCCTGACGTCACTGAAGAAACTCGTGTTTTGAAGGGCCATCCCCGCCGTAAGTCGAGAACATACCCCAGGTCCCTGCCGCCACTCGAGAAAAACCATGAGACTTCCCCCTGGAGGCGAGATGAGGCCCCATTCCCCTGCAGTGCATGCAGAACTATTCCGTGATCCCATTCAAACAAGTCAGGAGCTTCGACTTGCTTAATGGATCTCGAGACAGTCCCCAAGAACACTGTCACCAGTCTAGACGGACCCTGAGGACAACCCAGCAACACAAAGCAGCTCCATGTGCCCCAAATCAACTCGAGATGAGGCCCGATTCCCCTGCATTGACTACAGAGCCATTCCCTGTTCCCCATTCAACACGATCGGTGGCTCGACTTCCTTCAGGCAACTCCAGAGATGCCCCGAGAACACTGTCCCAAGTCTAGAGGAACACCAACTTCAGCACAGCAAATCGAGGAATGCTCCGTGTACCCCAAATCGTCTCGAGATGAGAGCTGATTCCCTGGCTTAGGCTCAAGACGTATGCCAACTTTCCAGAAGCACCTCAGGAGGAGGCTTCTCTCAGCAATAGGTATGTGGGACGGACCCTGAGTCTGCTGCCTCAAGGGGAATATACAGCGAGAAGCCCTAACTTGAAAGGAGGCCGGATATCCTTGCTGTGGCTTGAATACAGGCTCTTGTTTCATCTCACAACATGAAGGGATGTCTGAATCCCCTGTGGAGACCTTAGAGAAAGCCCTAGATCCCTGCCTCTTTTTGACGGAATGCCTCACATCCCGTTGAGACCTCGAGAGGCACGCAGTGTTCATTGCTTCAAAAGGTGACGATGCCTGACTTCTCTTGAATACTGATAGGAATCCCAAAATCCCTGTGGCTACTGGAAAGGGTCTTTGGGTGCCCTGCCTCACCTCGAGAAGCGTCCGTTTTGCCCTGCCAAGCCTCGAAGACATTCCTGAGCTGTCCCTCCTTGCTAGACAGGAGTCCTGACGTCACTGAAGAAACTCGTGTTTTGAAGGGCCATCCCCGCCATAAGTCGAGATCATACCCCAGGTCCCCGCCGCAACTCGAGAAAAACCATGAGATTACCCCCTAGAGGCGAGATGAGGCCCCATTCCCCTGCAGTGCATGCAGAGCTATTCCGTGATCCCATTCAAACAAGTCAGGAGCTTTGACTTGCTTAATGTATCTCGAGACAGTCCCCAGAACACTGTCACCAGTCTAGACGGACCCTGAGGTCACCCCAGCAACGCAAAGCATCTCCATGTGCCCCAAATCAACTCGAGATGAGGCCCGATTCCCCTGCATTGACTCCAGAGCCATTCCCCGTTCCCCATTCAACACGATCAGTGGCTCGACTTCCTTCAGGCAACTCCAGAGATGCCCCGAGAACACTGTCCCAAGTCTAGAGGAACACCAACTTCAGCACAGCAACTCGAGGAATGCTCCGTGTACCCCAAATCGTCTCGAGATGAGAGCTGATTCCCTGGCTTAGGCTCAAGACGTATGCCAACTTTCCAGAAGCACCTCAGGAGGAGGCTTCTCTCAGCAATAGGTATGTGGGAGGGACCCCGAGTATGCTGCCTCAAGGGGAATACACAGGGAGAAGCCCTAATGTGAAAGGAGGCCAGATTTCCTTGCAGTGGCTTGAACACAGGCTCGTCTTTGATCTCACAACATGAAGGGATGTCTGATCCCCTGTGGAGACCTTAGAGGAAGCCCTAGGTCCCTGCCTCATTTTGACGGAATACCTCACATCCCCCTGACACCTCGAGAGGCACGCAGAGTTCATTGCTTCAAAAGGTGACGATGCCTGACTCCTCTTGAATACTGATAGGAATCCCAAAATCCCTGTGGCTACTGGAAAGGGTCCTTGGGTGCCCTGCCTCACCTCGAGAAGCGTCCCTTTTGCCCTGCCAAGCCTCGAAGAGATTCCTGATGTGTCCCTCGTTACTAGACAGGAGTCCTGACGTCACTGAAGAAACTCGTGTTTTGAAGGGCCATCCCCGCCGTAAGTCGAGAACATAAACCAGGTCCCCGCCGCAACTCGCGAAAAACCATGAGACTTCCCCCTAGAGGCGAGATGAGGCCCCATTCCCCTGCAGTGCATGCAGAGCTATTCCGTGATCCCATTCAAACAAGTCAGGAGCTTCGACGTGCTTAATGGATCGCGAGACAGTCCCCAAGAACACTGTCACCAGTCTAGACGGACCCTGAGGTCACCCCAGCAATGCAAAGCTGGTCCATGTGCCCCAAATCAACTCGAGATGAGGCCCGATTCCCCTGCATTGACTCCAGAGCCATTCCCCGTTCCCCATTCAACACGACCGGTGGCTCGACTTCCTTCAGGCAACTCCACAGATGCCCCGAGAACAGTGTCCCAAGTCTAGAGGACCACCAACTTCAGCACAGCAACTCGAGGAATGCTCTGTGTACCCCAAATCGTCTCGAGATGAGAGCTGATTCCCTGGCTTAGGCTCAAGACGTAGGCCAACTTTCCAGAAGCACGTCAGGAGGAGGCTTCTCTCAGCAATAGGTATGTGGGAGGGAACCCGAGTTTGCTGCCTCAAGGGGAATACACAGGGAGAAGCCCTAATGTGAAAGGAGGCCAGATTTCCTTGCAGTGGCTTTCACACAGGCTCGTCTTTGATCTCAAAACATGAAGGGATGTCTGAATCCCCTGTGGAGACCTTAGAGGAAGCCCTAGGTCCCTGCCTCATTTTGACGGAATACCTCACATCCCCCTGACACCTCGAGAGGCACGCAGAGTTCATTGCTTCAAATGGTGACGATGCCTGACTCCTCTTGAATACTTATAGGAATCCCAAAATCCCTGTGGCTACTGGAAAGGGTCCTTGGGTGCCCTGGCTCACGTCGAGAAGCGTCCCTTTTGCCCTGCCAAGCCTCGAAGAGATTCCTGAGGTGTCCCTCGTTACTAGACAGGAGTCCTGACGTCACTGAAGAAACTCGTGTTTTGAAGGGCCATCCCCGCCGTAAGTCGAGAACACACCCCAGGTCCCCGCCGCAACTCGAGAAAAACCAAGAGACTTCCCCCTAGAGGCGAGATGAGGTCCCATTCCCCTGCAGTGCATGCAGAGCTATTCCGTGATCCCATTCAAACAAGTCAGGAGCTTCGACTTGCTTAATGGATCTCGAGACAGTCCCCAAGAACACTGTCACCAGTCTAGACGGACCCTGAGGTTACCCCAGCAACGCAAAGCAGCTCCATGTGCCCCAAATCAAATCGAGATTAGGCCCGATTCCCCTGCAAAGACTCCAGAGCCATTCCCCGTTCCCCGTTCAACACGACCCGTGGCTCGACTTCCTTCAGGCAACTCCAGAGATGCCCCGAGAACACTGTCTCAAGTCTAGAGGAACACCAACTTCAGCACAGCAACTCGAGGAATGCTCCGTGTACCTCAAATCATCTCGAGATGAGAGCTGATTCCCTGGCTTAGGCTCAAGACGTATGCCAACTTTCCAGAAGCACCTCAGGAGGAGGCTTCTCTCAGCAACAGGTATCTGGGAGGGACCCCGAGATTGCTGCCTCAAGGAGAATATACAGCGAGAAGCCCTAACTTGAAAGGAGGCCGGATTTCCTTGCAGTGGCTTGAATACAGGCTCGTCTTTCATCTCACAACATGAAGGGATGTCTGAATCCCCTGTGGAGACCTTAGAGAAAGCCGTAGGTCCCTGCCTCATTTTGACGGAATCCTCACATCCCGCTGACACCTCGAGAGGCACGCGGAGTTCATTGCTTCAAAAGGTGACGAAGCCTGACTCCTCTTGAATACTGATAGGAATCCCCAAATCCCTGTGGCTACTGGAAAGGGTCCTTGGGTGCCCTGCCTCACCTCGAGAAGGGTCCCTTTTGCCCTGCCAAGCCTCGAAGAGATTCCTGAGGTGTCCCTTGTTACTAGACAGGAGTCCTGACGTCACTGAAGAAACTCGTGTTTTGAAGGTCCATCCCCGCCTTAAGTCAAGAACATACCCCAGGTCAACGCCGCAACTCGAGAAAAACCATGAGACTTCCCCCTAGAGGCGAGATGAGGCCCCATTCCCCTGCAGTGCATGCAGAGCTATTCCGTGATCCCATTCAAACAAGTCAGGAGCTTCGACTTGCTTAATGGATAGCGAGAAAGTCCCCAAGAACACTGTCACCAGTCTAGACGGACCCTGAGGTCACCCCAGCAACGCAAAGCAGCTCCATGTGCCCCAAATCAACTCGAGATGAGGCCCGATTCCACTGCATTGACTCCAGAGCCATTCCCCGTTCACTATTCAACACGACCGGTGGCTCGACTTCCTTCAGGCAACTCCACAGATGCCCCGAGAACAGTGTCCCAAGTCTAGAGGACCAACAACTTCAGCACAGCAACTCGAGGAATGCTCCGTGTACCCCCAGTCGTCTCGAGATGAGAGCTGATTCATTGGCTTAGGCTCAAGACGTATGCCAACTTTCCAGAAGCACATCAGGAGGAGGCTTCTCTCAGCAATAGGTATGTGGGAGGGACGCCGAGTTTGCTGCCTCAAGGGGAATACACAGGGAGAAGCCCTAATGTGAAAGGAGGCCAGATTTCCTTGCAGTGGCTTGAACACAGGCTCGTCTTTGATCTCACAACATGAAGGGATGTCTGAATCCCCTGTGGAGACCTTAGAGGAAGCCCTAGGTCCCTGCCTCATTTTGACGGAATACCTCACATCCCCCTGACACCTCGAGAGGCACGCAGAGTTCATTGCTTCAAAAGGTGGCGATGCCTGACTCCTCTTGAATACTTATAGGAATCCCAAAATCCCTGTGGCTACTGGAAAGGGTCCTTGGGTGCCCTGGCTCACCTCGAGAAGCGTCCCTTTTGCCCTGCCAAGCCTCGAATAGATTGCTGAGGTGTCCCTCGTTACTAGACAGGAGTCCTGACGTCACTGAAGAAACTCGTGTTTTGAAGGGCCATCCCCGCCGTAAGTCGAGAACATAAACCAGGTCCCCGCCGCAATTCGAGAAAAACCGTGAGACTTCCTCCTATAGGCGAGATGAGGCCCCATTCCCCTGCAGTGCAAGCAGAGCTATTCCGTGATCCCATTCAAACAAGTCAGGATCTTCGACTTGCTTAATGGATCTCGAGACAGTCCCCAAGAACACTGTCACCAGTCTAGACGGAACCTAAGGTAACCCCAGCAATGCAAAGCAGCACCATGTGTCCCAAATCAACTCGAGATGAGGCCCGATTCCCCTGCATTGACTCCAGAGCCATTCCCCGTTCCCCGTTCAACACGACCGGTGGCTCGCCTTCCTTCAGGCAACTCCAGAGATGCCCGGAGAACACTGTCCCAAGTCTAGAGGACCACCAACTTCAGCACAGCAACTCGAGGAATGCTCTGTGTACCCCAAAACATCTCGAGATGAGAGCTGATTCCCTGGTTTAGGCTCAAGACGTATGCCAACTTTCCAGAAGCACCTCAGGAGGAGGCTTCTCAGCAATAGGTATGTGGGAGGGACCCCGAGTTTGCTGCCTCAGGGGGAATATACAGCGAGAAGCCCTAACTTGAAAGGAGGCCGGATTTCCTTGCAGTGGCTTGAATACAGGCTCGTCTTTCATCTCACAACATGAAGGGATGTCTGAATCCCCTGTGGAGACCTTAGAGAAAGCCCTAGGTCCCTGCCTCATTTTGACGGAATGCCTCACATCCCGCTGACACATCGAGAGGCACGCGGAGTTCATTGCTTCAAAAGGTGACGATGCCTGACTCCTCTTGAATACTGATAGGAATACCAAAATCCCTGTGGCTACTGGAAAGGGTCCTTGGGTGCCCTGCCTCACCTCGAGAAGCGTCCCTTTTGCCCTGCCAAGCCTCGAAGAGATTCCTGAGGTGTCCCTCATTACTAGGCAGGAGTCCTTACGTCACTGAAGAAACTCGTGTTTTGAAGGGCCATCCCCGCCGTAAGTCGAGAACATAACCCAGGTCCCCGCCGCAACTCGAGAAAAACCGTGAGACTTCCCCCTAGAGGCGAGATGAGGCCCCATTCCCCTGTAGTGCATGCAGAGCTATTCCGTGATCCCATGCAAACAAGTCAGGAGCTTCGACTTGCTTAATGGATCTCGAGACAGTCCCCAAGAACACTGTCCCAGTCTAGACGGACCCTGAGGTCACCCCAGCAATGCAAAGCAGCTCCATGTGCCCCAAATCAACTCGAGATGAGGCCCGATTCCCCTGCATTGACTCCAGAGCCATTCTCCGTTCCCCATTCAACACGACCGGTGGCTCGCCTTCCTTCAGGCAACTCCAGAGATGCCCCGAGAACACTGTCCCAAGTCTAGAGGAACACCAACTTCATCACAGCAACTCGAGGAATGCTCTGTGTACCCCAAATCGTCTCGAGATGAGAGCTGATTCCCTGGCTTAGGGTCAAGACGTATGCCAACTTTCCAGAAGCACCTCAGGAGGAGGCTTCTCAGCAATAGGTATGTGGGAGGGACTCCGAGTTTGCTGCCTCAAGGGCAATATACAGCGAGAAGCCCTAACTTGAAAGGAGGCCGGATTTCCTTGCAGTAGCTTGAATACAGGCTTGTCTTTCATCTCACAACATGAAGGGATGTCTGAATCCCCTGTGGAGACCTTAGAGAAAGCCCTAGGTCCGTGCCTCATTTTGACGGAATCCTCACATCCCGCTGACACCTCGAGAGGCACGCGGAGTTCATTGCTTCAAAAGGTGACGATGCCTGACTCCTCTTGAATACTGATAGGAATCCCAAAATCCCTGTGGCTACTGGAAAGGGTCCTTGGGTGCCCTGCCTCACCTCGAGAAGCGTCGCTTTTGCCCTGCCAAGCCTCGAAGAGATTCCTGATGTGTCCCTCGTTACTAGACAGGAGTCCTGACGTCACTGAAGAAACTCGTGTTTTGAAGGTCCATCCCCGCCGTAAGTCGAGAACATACCCCAGGTCCAGGCCGCAACTCGCGAAAAACCATGAGACTTCCCCCTAGAGGCGAGATGAGGCCCCATTCCCCTGCAGTGCATGCAGAGCTATTCCGTGATCCCATTCAAACAAGTCAGGAGCTTCGACTTGCTTAATGGATCGCGAGACAGTCCCCAAGAACACTGTCACCAGTCTAGACGGACCCTGAGGTCACCCCAGCAATGCAAAGCTGGTCCATGTGCCCCAAATCAACTCGAGATGAGGCCCGATTCCCCTGCATTGACTCCAGAGCCATTCCCCGTTCCCTATTCAACACGACCGGTGGCTCGACTTCCTTCAGGCAACTCCACAGATGCCCCGAGAACAGTGTCCCAAGTCTAGAGGACCACCAACTTCAGCACAGCAACTCGAGGAATGCTCTGTGTACACCAAATCGTCTCGAGATGAGAGCTGATTCCCTGGCTTAGGCTCAAGACGTAGGCCAACTTTCCAGAAGCACGTCAGGAGGAGGCTTCTCTCAGCAATAGGTATGTGGGAGGGACCCCGAGTTTGCTGCCTCAAGGGGAATACACAGGGAGAAGCCCTAAAGTGAAAGGAGGCCAGATTTCCTTGCAGTGGCTTGAACACAGGCTCGTCTTTGATCTCACAACATGAAGGGATGTCTGAATCCCCTGTGGAGACCTTAGAAGAAGCCCTAGGTCCCTGCCTCATTTTGACGGAATACCTCACATCCCCCTGACACCTCGAGAGGCACGCAGAGTTCATTGCTTCAAACGGTGACGATGCCTGACTCCTCTTGAATACTTATAGGAATCCCAAAATCCCTGTGGCTACTGGAAAGGGTCCTTGGTGCCCTGGCTAACGTCGAGAAGCGTCCCTTTTGCCCTGCCAAGCCTCGAAGAGATTCCTGAGGTGTCCCTCGTTACTAGACAGGAGTCCTGACGTCACTGAAGAAACTCGTGTTTTGAAGGGCCATCCCCGCCGTAAGTCGAGAACATACCCCAGGTCCCCGCCGCAACTCGAGAAAAACCAAGAGACTTCCCCCTAGAGGCGAGATGAGGTCCCATTCCCCTGCAGTGCATGCAGAGCTATTCCGTGATCCCATTCAAACAAGTCAGGAGCTTCGACTTGCTTAATGGATCTCGAGACAGTCCCCAAGAACACTGTCAACAGTCTAGACGGACCCTGAGGTTACCCCAGCAACGCAAAGCAGCTCCATGTGAACCAAATCAACTCGAGATTAGGCCCGATTCCCCTGCAATGACTCCAGAGCCATTCCCCGTTCCCCGTTCAACACGACCCGTGGCTCGACTTCCTTCAGGCAACTCCAGAGATGCCCCGAGAACACTGTCTCAAGTCTAGAGGAACACCAACTTCAGCACAGCAACTCGAGGAATGCTCCGTGTACCTCAAATCATCTCGAGATGAGAGCTGATTCCCTGGCTTAGGCTCAAGACGTATGCCAACTTTCCAGAAGCACCTCAGGAGAAGGCTTCTCTCAGCAACAGGTATCTGGGAGGGACCCCGAGATTGCTGCCTCAAGGAGAATATACAGCGAGAAGCCCTAACTTGAAAGGAGGCCGGATTTCCTTGCAGTGGCTTGAATACAGGCTCGTCTTTCATCTCACAACATGAAGGGATGTCTGAATCCCCTGTGGAGACCTTAGAGAAAGCCGTAGGTGCCTGCCTCATTTTGACGGAATCCTCACATCCCGCTGACACCTCGAGAGGCACGCGGAGTTCATTGCTTCAAAAGGTGACGAAGCCTGACTCCTCTTGAATACTGATAGGAATCCCCAAATCCCTGTGGCTACTGGAAAGGGTCCTTGGGTGCCCTGCCTCACCTCGAGAAGGGTCCCTTTTGCCCTGCCAAGCCTCGAAGAGATTCCTGAGGTGTCCCTCGTTACTAGACAGGAGTCCTGACGTCACTGAAGAAACTCGTGTTTTGAAGGTCCATCCCCGCCTTAAGTCGAGAACATACCCCAGGTCAACGCCGCAACTCGAGAAAAACCGTGAGACTTCCCCCTATAGGCGAGATGAGGCCCCATTCCCCTGCAGTGCAAGCAGAGCTATTCCGTGATCCCATTCAAACAAGTCAGGATCTTCGACTTGCTTAATGGATCTCGAGACAGTCCCCAAGAACACTGTCACCAGTCTAGACGGACCCTAAGGTCACCCCAGCAACGCAAAGCAGCACCATGTGCCCCAAATCAAATCGAGATGAGGCCCGATTCCCCTGCATTGACTCCAGAGCCATTCCCCGTTCCCCGTTCAACACGACCGGTGGCTCGCCTTCCTTCAGGCAACTCCAGAGATGCCCCGAGAACACTGTCCCAAGTCTAGAGGACCACCAACTTCAGCACAGCAACTCGAGGAATGCTCTGTGTACCCCAAAACATCTCGAGATGAGAGCTGATTCCCTGGCTTAGGCTCAAGACGTATGCCAACTTTCCAGAAGCACCTCAGGAGGAGGCTTCTCTCAGCAATAGGTATGTGGGAGGGACCCCGAGTTTGCTGCCTCAGGGGGAATATACAGCGAGAAGCCCTAACTTGAAAGGAGGCCGGATTTCCTTGCAGTGGCTTGAATACAGGCTCGTGTTTCATCTCACAACATGAAGGGATGTCTGAATCCCCTGTGGAGACCTTAGAGAAAGCCCTAGGTCCCTGCCTCATTTTGACGGAATGCCTCACATCCCGCTGACACCTCGAGAGGCAAGCGGAGTTCATTGCTTCAAAAGGTGACGATGCCTGACTCCTCTTGAATACTGATAGGAATCCCAAAATCCATGTGGCTACTGGAAAGGGTCCTTGGGTGCCCTGGCTCAACTCCAGAAGCGTCCCTTTTGCCCTGCCAAGCCTCGAATAGATTGCTGAGGTGTCCCTCGTTACTAGACAGGAGTCCTGACGTCACTGAAGAAACTCGTGTTTTGAAGGGCCATCCCCGCCGTAAGTCGAGAACATAACCCAGGTCCCCGCCGCCACTCGAGAAAAACCATGAGACTTCCCCCTGGAGGCGAGATGAGGCCCCATTCCCCTGCAGTGCATGCAGAGCTATTCCGTGATCCCATTCAAACAAGTCAGGAGCTTCGACTTGCTTAATGGATCTCGAGTCAGTCCCCAAGAACACTGTCACCAGTCTAGACGGACCCTGAGGTCACCCCAGCAACGAAAAGCAGCTCCATGTGACACAAGTCAACTCGAGATGAGTCCCGATTCCCCTGCATTGACTCCAGAGCCATTCCCCGTTCCCCATTCAACACGACCGGTGGCTCGACTTCCTTCAGGCAACTCCAGAGATGCCCCGAGAACACTGTCCCATGTCTAGAGGAACACCAACTTCAGCACAGCAACTCGAGGAATGCTCCCTGTACCCCAAATCGTCTCGAGATGAGAGCTGATTCCCTGGCTTAGGCTCAAGACGTATGCCAACTTTCCAGAAGCACCTCAGGAGGAGGCTTCTCTCAGCAATAGGTATGTGGGAGGGACCCCGAGTTTGCTGCCTCAAGGGGAATATACAGCGAGAAGCCCTAACTTGAAAGGAGGCCGGATTTCCTTGCAGTGGGTTGAATACGGGCTCGTGTTTCATCTCACAACATGAAGGGATGTCTGAATTCCCTGTGGAGACCTTAGAGGAAGCCCTAGGTCCCTGCCTCATTTTGACGGAATGCCTCACATCCCGCTGACACCTCGAGAGGCACGCGGAGTTCATTGCTTCAAAAGGTGATGATGCCTGACTCCTCTTGAATACTAATAGGAATCCCAAAATCCCTGTGGCTACTGGAAAGGGTCCTTGGGTGCCCTGCCTCACCTCGAGAAGCGTCCCTTTTGCCCTGCCAAGCCTCGAAGAGACTCCTGAGGTGTCCCTCGTTACTAGACAGGAGTCCTGACGTCACTGAAGAAACTCGTGTTTTGAAGGGCCATCCCCGCCGTAAGTCGAGAACATACCCCAGGTCCCGCCACAACTCGAGAAAAACCATGAGACTTCCCTCTAGAGGCGAGATGAGGCCCCATTCCCCTGCAGTGCATGCAGAGCTATTCCGTGATCCCATTCAAACAAGTCAGGTGCTTCGACTTGCTTAATGGATCTCGAGACAGTCCCCAAGAACACTGTCACCTGTCTATACGGACCCTGAGGTTACCCCAGCAACGCAAAGCAGCTCCCTGTGCCCCAAGTCAACTCGACATGAGGCCTGATTCCCCTGCATTGACACCAGAGCCATTCCCCGTTCCCCATTCAACACGACCGGTGGCTCGACTTCCTTCAGGCAACTCCAGAGATGCCCCGAGAACACTGTCCCAAGTCTAGAGGAACTCCAACTTCAGCACAGCAACTCGAGGAATGCTCCGTGTACCCCAAATCGTCTCGAGATGAGAGCTGATTCCCTGGCTTAGGCTCAAGACGTATGCCAACTTTCCAGAAGCACCTCAGGAGGAGGCTACTCTCAGCAATAGGTATGTGGGAGGGACCCCGAGTTTGCTGCCTCAAGGGGAATATACAGCGAGAAGCCCTAACTTGAAAGGAGGCCGGATTTCCTTGCAGTGGCTTGAATACAGGCTCGTGTTTCATCTCACAACATGAAGGGATGACTGAATCCCCTGTGGAGACCTTAGAGGAAGCCCAAGCTCCCTGCCTCATTTTGACGGAATGCCTCACATCCCGTTGACACCCCGAGAGGCCCGCGGAGTTCATTGCTTCAAAAGTTGACGATGCCTGACTCCTCTTGAATACTGATAGGAATCCCCAAATCCCTGTGGCTACTGGAAAGGGTCCTTGGGTGCCCTGCCTCACCTCGAGAAGGGTCCCTTTTGCCCTGCCAAGCTTCGAAGAGATTCCTGAGGTGTCCCTCGTTACTAGACAGGAGTCCTGACGTCACTGAAGAAACTCGTGTTTTGAAGGGCCATCCCCACCGGAAGTCGAGAACATACCCCAGGTCCCCGCCGCAACTCAAGAAAAACCATGAGACTTCCCCCTAGAGGCGAGATGAGGCCCCATTCCCCTGCAGTGCATGCAGAGCTATTCCGTGATCCCATTCAAACAAGTCAGGAGCTTCGACTTGCTTAATGGATCACGAGACAGTCCCCAAGAACACTGTCACCAGTCTAGACGGACCCTGAGGACAACCCAGCAACGCAAAGCAGCTCCATGTGCCCCAATCAACTCGAGATGAGGCCCGATTCCCCTGCATTGACCCCAGAGCCATTCCCCGTTCCCCATTCAACCCGACCGGTGGCTCGACTTCCTTCAGGCAACTCCAGAGATGCCCCGAGAACACTGTCCCAAGTCTAGAGGAACACCAACTTCAGCACAGCGACTCGAGGAATGCTCCATGTACCCCAAATCGTCTCGAGATGAGAGCTGATTCCCTGGCTTAGGCTCAAGACGTATGCCAACTTTCCAGAAGCACCTCAGGAGGAGGCTTCTCTCAGCAATAGGTATGTGGGAGGGACCCCGAGTTTGCTGCCTCAAGGGGAATATACAGCGAGAAGCCCTAACTTGAAAGGAGGCCGGATTTCCTTGCTGTGGCTTGAATACAGGCTCTTGTTTCATCTCACAACATGAAGGGATGTCTGAATCCCCTGTGGAGACCTTAGAGAAAGCCCTAGGTCCCTGCCTCTTTTTGACGGAATGCCTCACATCCCGTTGAGACCTCGAGAGCCACGCAGTGTTCATTGCTTCAAAAGGTGACGATGCCTGACTCCTCTTGAATACTGATAGGTATCCCAAAATCCCTGTGGCTACTGGAAAGGGTCTTTGGGTGCCCTGCCTCACCTCGAGAAGCGTCCGTTTTGCCCTGCCAAGCCTCGAAGACATTCCTGAGCTGTCCCTCCTTGCTAGACAGGAGTCCTGACGTCACTGAAGAAACTCGTATTTTGAAGGGCCATCCCCGCCATAAGTCGAGATCATACCCCAGGTCCCCGCCGCAACTCGAGAAAAACCATGAGACTTCCCCCTAGAGGCAAGATGAGGCCCATTCCCCTGCAGTGCATGCAGAGCTATTCCGTGATCCCATTCAAACAAGTCAGGAGCTTTGACTTGCTTAATGGATCTCGAGACAGTCCCCAGAACACTGTCACCAGTCTAGACGGACCCTGAGGTCACCCCAGCAACGCAAAGCAGCTCCATGTGCCACAAATCAACTCGAGATGAGGCCCGATTCCCCTGCATTGACTCCAGAGCCATTCCCCGTTCCCCATTCAACATGATCAGTGGCTCGACTTCCTTCAGGCAACTCCAGAGATGCCCCGAGAACACTGTCCCAAGTCTAGAGGAACACCAACTTCAGCACAGCAACTCGAGGAATGCTCCATGTACTCCAAATCGTCTCGAGATGAGAGCTAATTCCCTGGCTTAGGCTCAAGACGTATGCCAACTTTCCAGAAGCACCTCAGGAGGAGGCTTCTCTCAGCAATAGGTATGTGGGAGGGACCCCGAATTTGCTGCCTCAAGGGGAATATACAGCGAGAAGCCCTAACTTGAAAGGAGGCCGGATTTCCTTGCAGTGGCTTGAATACAGGCTCGTGTTTCATCTCACAACATGAAGGGATGTCTGAATCCCCTGTGGAGACCTTAGAGAAAGCCCTAGGTCCCGGCCTCATTTTGACGGAATGCCTCACATCCCGTTGACACCTCGAGAGGCACGCGGAGTTCATTGCTTCAAAAGGTGACGATGCCTGACTCCTCTTGAAAACTGATAGGAATCCCAAAATCCCTGTGGCTACTGGAAAGGGTCCTTGGGTGCCCTGCCTCACCTCGAGAAGCGTCCCTTTTGCCCTGCCAAGCCTCGAAGAGATTCCTGAGGTGTCCCTCGTTACTAGACAGGAGTCCTGACGTCACTGAAGAAACTCGTGTTTTGAAGGGCCATCCCCGCCGTAAGTCGAGAACATACCCCAGGTCCCTGCCGCCACTCGAGAAAAACCATGAGACTTCCCCCTGGAGGCGAGATGAGGCCCCATTCCCCTGCAGTGCATGCAGAGCTATTCCGTGATCCCATTCAAACAAGTCAGGAGCTTCGACTTGCTTAATGGATCTCGAGACAGTCCCCAAGAACACTGTCACCAGTCTAGACGGACCCTGAGGACAACCCAGCAACGCAAAGCAGCTCCATGTGCCCCAAATCAACTCGAGATGAGGCCCGATTCCCCTGCATTGACTACAGAGCCATTCCCTGTTCCCCATTCAACACGATCGGTGGCTCGACTTCCTTCAGGCAACTCCAGAGATGCCCCGAGAACACTGTCCCAAGTCTAGAGGAACACCAACTTCAGCACAGCAAATCGAGGAATGCTCCGTGTACCCCAAATCGTCTCGAGATGAGAGCTGATTCCCTGGTTTAGGCTCAAGACGTATGCCAACTTTCCAGAAGCACCTCAGGAGGAGGCTTCTCTCAGCAATAGGTATGTGGGACGGACCCTGAGTCTGCTGCCTCAAGGGGAATATACAGCGAGAAGCCCTAACTTGAAAGGAGGCCGGATTTCCTTGCTGTGGCTTGAATACAGGCTCTTGTTTCATCTCACAACATGAAGGGATGTCTGAATCCCCTGTGGAGACCTTAGAGAAAGCCCTAGGTCCCTGCCTCTTTTTGACGGAATGCCTCACATCCCGTTGAGACCTCGAGAGGCACGCAGTGTTCATTGCTTCAAAAGGTGACGATGCCTGACTCCTCTTGAATACTGATAGGAATCCCAAAATCCCTGTGGCTACTGGAAAGGGTCCTTGGGTGCCCTGCCTCACCTCGAGAAGCGTCCGTTTTGCCCTGCCAAGCCTCGAAGACATTCCTGAGCTGTCCCTCCTTGCTAGACAGGAGTCCTGACGTCACTGAAGAAACTCGTATTTTGAAGGGCCATCCCCGCCATAAGTCGAGATCATACCCCAGGTCCCCGCCGCAACTCGAGAAAAACCATGAGACTTCCCCCTAGAGGCGAGATGAGGCCCCATTCCCCTGCAGTGCATGCAGAGCTATTCCGTGATCCCATTCAAACAAGTCAGGAGCTTTGACTTGCTTAATGGATCTCGAGACAGTCCCCAGAACACTGTCACCAGTCTAGACGGACCCTGAGGTCACCCCAGCAACGCAAAGCAGCTCCATGTGCCCCAAATCAACTCGAGATGAGGCCCGATTCCCCTGCATTGACTCCAGAGCCATTCCCCGTTCCCCATTCAACATGATCAGTGGCTCGACTTCCTTCAGGCAACTCCAGAGATGCCCCGAGAACACTGTCCCAAGTCTAGAGGAACACCAACTTCAGCACAGCAACTCGAGGAATGCTCCATGTACTCCAAATCGTCTCGAGATGAGAGCTAATTCCCTGGCTTAGGCTCAAGACGTATGCCAACTTTCCAGAAGCACCTCAGGAGGAGACTTCTCTCAGCAATAGGTATGTGGGAGGGACCCCGAATTTGCTGCCTCAAGGGGAATATACAGCGAGAAGCCCTAACTTGAAAGGAGGCCGGATTTCCTTGCAGTGGCTTGAATACAGGCTCGTGTTTCATCTCACAACATGAAGGGATGTCTGAATCCCCTGTGGAGACCTTAGAGAAAGCCCTAGGTCCCGGCCTCATTTTGACGGAATGCCTCACATCCCGTTGACACCTCGAGAGGCACGCGGAGTTCATTGCTTCAAAAAGTGACGATGCCTGACTCCTCTTGAATACTGATAGGAATCCCAAAATCACTCTGGCTACTGGAAAGGGTCCTTGGGTGCCCTGCCTCACCTCGAGAAGCGTCCCTTTTGCCCTGCCAAGCCTCGAAGAGATTCCTGAGGTGTCCCTCGTTACTAGACAGGAGTCCTGACGTCACTGAAGAAACTCGTGTTTTGAAGGGCCATCCCCCCCGTAAGTCGAGAACATACCCCAGGTCCCTGCCGCCACTCGAGAAAAACCATGAGACTTCCCCCTGGAGGCGAGATGAGGCCCCATTCCCCTGCAGTGCATGCAGAGCTATTCCGTGATCCCATTCAAACAAGTCAGGAGCTTCGACTTGCTTAATGGATCTCGAGACAGTCCCCAAGAACACTGTCACCAGTCTAGACGGACCCTGAGGACAACCCAGCAACGCAAAGCAGCTCCATGTGCCCCAAATCAACTCGAGATGAGGCCCGATTCCCCTGCATTGACTACAGAGCCATTCCCTGTTCCCCATTCAACACGATCGGTGGCTCGACTTCCTTCAGGCAACTCCAGAGATGCCCCGAGAACACTGTCCCAAGTCTAGAGGAACACCAACTTCAGCACAGCAAATCGAGGAATGCTCCGTGTACCCCAAATCGTCTCGAGATGAGAGCTGATTCCCTGGCTTAGGCTCAAGACGTATGCCAACTTTCCAGAAGCACCTCAGGAGGAGGCTTCTCTCAGCAATAGGTATGTGGGACGGACCCTGAGTCTGCTGCCTCAAGGGGAATATACAGCGAGAAGCCCTAACTTGAAAGGAGGCCGGATATCCTTGCTGTGGCTTGAATACAGGCTCTTGTTTCATCTCACAACATGAAGGGATGTCTGAATCCCCTGTGGAGACCTTAGAGAAAGCCCTAGGTCCCTGCCTCTTTTTGACGGAATGCCTCACATCCCGTTGAGACCTCGAGAGGCACGCAGTGTTCATTGCTTCAAAAGGTGACGATGCCTGACTCCTCTTGAATACTGATAGGAATCCCAAAATCCCTGTGGCTACTGGAAAGGGTCTTTGGGTGCCCTGCCTCACCTCGAGAAGCGTCCGTTTTGCCCTGCCAAGCCTCGAAGACATTCCTGAGCTGTCCCTCCTTGCTAGACAGGAGTCCTGACGTCACTGAAGAAACTCGTGTTTTGAAGGGCCATCCCCGCCATAAGTCGAGATCATACCCCAGGTCCCCGCCGCAACTCGAGAAAAACCATGAGATTACCCCCTAGAGGCGAGATGAGGCCCCATTCCCCTGCAGTGCATGCAGAGCTATTCCGTGATCCCATTCAAACAAGTCAGGAGCTTTGACTTGCTTAATGGATCTCGAGACAGTCCCCAGAACACTGTCACCAGTCTAGACGGACCCTGAGGTCACCCCAGCAACGCAAAGCATCTCCATGTGCCCCAAATCAACTCGAGATGAGGCCCGATTCCCCTGCATTGACTCCAGAGCCATTCCCCGTTCCCCATTCAACACGATCAGTGGCTCGACTTCCTTCAGGCAACTCCAGAGATGCCCCGAGAACACTGTCCCAAGTCTAGAGGAACACCAACTTCAGCACAGCAACTCGAGGAATGCTCCGTGTACTCCAAATCGTCTCGAGATGAGAGCTAATTCCCTGGCTTAGGCTCAAGACGTATGCCAACTTTCCAGAAGCACCTCAGGAGGAGGCTTCTCTCAGCAATAGGTATGTGGGAGGGACCCCAAATTTGTTGCCTCAAGGGGAATATACAGCGAGAAGCCCTAACTTGAAAGGAGGCCGGATTTCCTTGCAGTGGCTTGAATACAGGCTCGTGTTTCATCTCACAACATGAAGGGATGTCTGAATCCCCTGTGGAGACCTTAGAGAAAGCCCTAGGTCCCTGCCTCATTTTGACGGATGCCTCACATCCCGTTGACACCTCGAGAGGCAAGCGGAGTTCATTGCTTCAAAAGGTGACGATGCCTGACTCCTCTTGAATACTGATAGGAATCCGAAAATCACTCTGGCTACTGGAAAGGGTCCTTGGGTGCCCTGCCTCACCTCGAGAAGCGTCCCTTTTGCCCTGCCAAGCCTCGAAGAGATTCCTGAGGTGTCCCTCGTTACTAGACAGGAGTCCTGACGTCACTGAAGAAACTCGTGTTTTGAAGGGCCATCCCCGCCGTATGTCGAGAACATACCCCAGGTCCCTGCCGCCACTCGAGAAAAACCATGAGACTTCCCCCTGGAGGCGAGATGAGGCCCCATTCCCCTGCAGTGCATGCAGAGCTATTCCGTGATCCCATTCAAACAAGTCAGGAGCTTCGACTTGCTTAATGGATCTCGAGACAGTCCCCAAGAACACTGTCACCAGTCTAGACGGACCCTGAGGACAACCCAGCAACGCAAAGCAGCTCCATGTGCCCCAAATCAACTCGAGATGAGGCCCGATTCCCCTGCATTGACTCGAGAGCCATTCCCTGTTCCCCATTCAACACGATCGGTGGCTCGACTTCCTTCAGGCAACTCCAGAGATGCCCCGAGAACACTGTCCCAAGTCTAGAGGAACACCAACTTCAGCACAGCAAATCGAGGAATGCTCGGTGTACCCCAAATCGTCTCGAGATGAGAGCTGATTCCCTGGCTTAGGCTCAAGACGTATGCCAACTTTCCAGAAGCACCTCAGGAGGAGGCTTCTCTCAGCAATAAGTATGTTGGACGGACCCTGAGTCTGCTGCCTCAAGGGGAATATACAGCGAGAAGCCCTAACTTGAAAGGAGGCCGGATTTCCTTGCTGTGGCTTGCATACAGGCTCTTGTTTCATCTCACAACATGAAGGGATGTCTGAATCCCCTGTGGAGACCTTAGAGAAAGCCCTAGGTCCCTGCCTCTTTTTGACGGAATGCCTCACATCCCGTTGAGACCTCGAGAGGCATGCAGTGTTCATTGCTTCAAAAGGTGACGATGCCTGACTCCTCTTGAATACTGATAGGAATCCCAAAATCCCTGTGGCTACTGGAAAGGGTCTTTGGGTGCCCTGCCTCACCTCGAGAAGCGTCCGTTTTGCCCTGCCAAGCCTCGAAGATATTCCTGAGCTGTCCCTCCTTGCTAGACAGGAGTCCTGACGTCACTGAAGAAACTCGTGTTTTGAAGGGCCATCCCCGCCATAAGTCGAGATCATACCCCAGGTCCCCGCCGCAACTCGAGAAAAACCATGAGATTACCCCCTAGAGGCGAGATGAGGCCCCATTCCCCTGCAGTGCATGCAGAGCTATTCCGTGATCCCATTCAAACAAGTCAGGAGCTTTGACTTGCTTAATGTATCTCGAGACAGTCCCCAGAACACTGTCACCAGTCTAGACGGACCCTGAGGTCACCCCAGCAACGCAAAGCATCTCCATGTGCCCCAAATCAACTCGAGATGAGGCCCGATTCCCCTGCATTGACTCCAGAGCCATTCCCCGTTCCCCATTCAACACGATCAGTGGCTCGACTTCCTTCAGGCAACTCCAGAGATGCCCCGAGAACACTGTCCCAAGTCTAGAGGAACACCAACTTCAGCACAGCAACTCGAGGAATGTTCCGTGTACTCCAAATCGTCTTGAGATGAGAGCTAATTCCCTGGCTTAGGCTCAAGACGTATGCCATCTTTCCAGAAACACCTCAGGAGGAGGCTTCTCTCAGCAATAGGTATGTGGGAGGGACCCCAAATTTGTTGCCTCAAGGGGAATATACAGCGAGAAGCCCTAACTTGAAAGGAGGCCGGATTTCCTTGCAGTGGCTTGAATACAGGCTCGTGTTTCATCTCACAACATGAAGGGATGTCTGAATCCCCTGTGGAGACCTTAGAGAAAGCCCTAGGTCCCTGCCTCATTTTGACGGATGCCTCACATCCCGTTGACACCTCGAGAGGCAAGCGGAGTTCATTGCTTCAAAAGGTGACGATGCCTGACTCCTCTTGAATACTGATAGGAATCCCAAAATCCCTGTGGCTACTGGAAAGGGTCCTTGGGTGCCCTGCCTCACCTCGAGAATCGTCCCTTTTGCCCTGCCAAGCTTCGAAGAGATTCCTGAGGTGTCCCTCGTTACTAGACAGGAGTCCTGACGTCACTGAAGAAACTCGTGTTTTGAAGGGCCATCCCCGCCGGAAGACGAGAACATACCCCAGGTCCCGCCACAACTCGAGAAAAACCATGAGACTTCCCCCTAGAGGCGAGATGAGGCCCCATTCCCCTGCAGTGCATGCAGAGCTATTCCGTGATCCCATTCAAACAAGTCAGGAGCTTCGACTTGCTTAATGGATCTCGAGACAGTCCCCAAGAACACTGTCACCAGTCTAGACGGACCCTGAGGAAAACCCAGCAACGCAAAGCAGCTCCATGTGCCCCAAATCAACTCGAGATGAGGCCCGATTCCCCTGCATTGACTACAGAGCCATTCCCTGTTCCCCATTCAACACGATCGGTGGCTCGACTTCCTTCAGGCAACTCCAGAGATGCCCCGAGAACACTGTCCCAAGTCTAGAGGAACACCAACTTCAGCACAGCAAATCGAGAAATGCTCCGTGTACCCCAAATCGTCTCGAGATGAGAGCTGATTCCCTGGCTTAGGCTCAAGACGTATGCCAACTTTCCAGAAGCACCTCAGGAGGAGGCTTCTCTCAGCAATAGGTATGTGGGACGGACCCTGAGTCTGCTGCCTCAAGGGGAATATACAGCGAGAAGCCCTAACTTGAAAGGAGGCCGGATTTCCTTGCTGTGGCTTGAATACAGGCTCTTGTTTCATCTCACAACATGAAGGGATGTCTGAATCCCCTGTGGAGACCTTAGAGAAAGCCCTAGGTCCCTGCCTCTTTTTGACGGAATGCCTCACATCCCGTTGAGACCTCGAGAGGCACGCAGTGTTCATTGCTTCAAAAGGTGACGATGCCTGACTCCTCTTGAATACTGATAGGAATCCCAAAATCCCTGTGGCTACTGGAAAGGGTCTTTGGGTGCCCTGCCTCACCTCGAGAAGCGTCCGTTTTGCCCTGCCAAGCCTCGAAGACATTCCTGAGCTGTCCCTCCTTGCTAGACAGGAGTCCTGACGTCACTGAAGTAACTCGTATTTGAAGGGCCATTCCCGCCATAAGTCGAGATCATACCCCAGGTCCCCGCCGCAACTCGAGAAAAAACATGAGACTTCCCCCTAGAGGCAAGATGAGGCCCCATTCCCCTGCAGTGCATGCAGAGCTATTCCGTGATCCCATTCAAACAAGTCAGGAGCTTTGACTTGCTTAATGGATCTCGAGACAGTCCCCAGAACACTGTCACCAGTCTAGACGGACCCTGAGGTCACCCCAGCAACGCAAAGCAGCTCCATGTGCCCCAAATCAACTCGAGATGAGGCCCGATTCCCCTGCATTGACTCCAGAGCCATTCCCCGTTCCCCATTCAACATGATCAATGGCTCGACTTCCTTCAGGCAACTCCAGAGATGCCCCGAGAACACTGTCCCAAGTCTAGAGGAACACCAACTTCAGCACAGCAACTCGAGGAATGCTCCGTGTACTCCAAATCGTCTCGAGATGAGAGCTAATTCCCTGGCTTAGGCTCAAGACGTATGCCAACTTTCCAGAAGCACCTCAGGAGGAGGCTTCTCTCAGCAATAGGTATGTGGGAGGGACCCCGAATTTGCTGCCTCAAGGGGAATATACAGCGAGAAGCCCTAACTTGAAAGGAGGCAGGATTTCCTTGCAGTGGCTTGAATACAGGCTCGTGTTTCATCTCACAACATGAAGGGATGTCTGAATCCCCTGTGGAGACCTTAGAGAAAGCCCTAGGTCCCTGCCTCATTTTGACGGATGCCTCACATCCCGTTGACACCTCGAGAGGCACGCGGAGTTCATTGCTTCAAAAGGTGACGATGCCTGACTCCTCTTGAATACTGATAGGAATCCCAAAATCCCTGTGGCTACTGGAAAGGGTCCTTGGGTGCCCTGCCTCACCTCGAGAAGCGTCCCTTTTGCCCTGCCAAGCCTCGAAGAGATTCCTGAGGTGTCCCTCGTTACTAGACAGGAGTCCTGACGTCACTGAAGAAACTCGTGTTTTGAAGGGCCATCCCCGCCGTAAGTCGAGAACATACCCCAGGTCCCTGCCGCCACTCGAGAAAAACCATGAGACTTCCCCCTGGAGGCGAGATGAGGCCCCATTCCCCTGCAGTGCATGCAGAGCTATTCCGTGATCCCATTCAAACAAGTCAGGAGCTTCGACTTGCTTAATGGATCTCGAGACAGTCCCCAAGAACACTGTCACCAGTCTAGACGGACCCTGAGGACAACCCAGCAACGCAAAGCAGCTCCATGTGCCCCAAATCAACTCGAGATGAGGCCCGATTCCCCTGCATTGACTACAGAGCCATTCCCTGTTCCCCATTCAACACGATCGGTGGCTCGACTTCCTTCAGGCAACTCCAGAGATGCCCCGAGAACACTGTCCCAAGTCTAGAGGAACACCAACTTCAGCACAGCAAATCGAGGAATGCTCCGTGTACCCCAAATCGTCTCGAGATGAGAGCTGATTCCCTGGCTTAGGCTCAAGACGTATGCCAACTTTCCAGAAGCACCTCAGGAGGAGGCTTCTCTCAGCAATAGGTATGTGGGACGGACCCTGAGTCTGCTGCCTCAAGGGGAATATACAGCGAGAAGCCCTAACTTGAAAGGAGGCCGGATATCCTTGCTGTGGCTTGAATACAGGCTCTTGTTTCATCTCACAACATGAAGGGATGTCTGAATCCCCTGTGGAGACCTTAGAGAAAGCCCTAGGTCCCTGCCTCTTTTTGACGGAATGCCTCACATCCCGTTGAGACCTCGAGAGGCACGCAGTGTTCATTGCTTCAAAAGGTGACGATGCCTGACTCCTCTTGAATACTGATAGGAATCCCAAAATCCCTGTGGCTACTGGAAAGGGTCTTTGGGTGCCCTGCCTCACCTCGAGAAGCGTCCGTTTTGCCCTGCCAAGCCTCGAAGACATTCCTGAGCTGTCCCTCCTTGCTAGACAGGAGTCCTGACGTCACTGAAGAAACTCGTGTTTTGAAGGGCCATCCCCGCCATAAGTCGAGATCATACCCCAGGTCCCCGCCGCAACTCGAGAAAAACCATGAGATTACCCCCTAGAGGCGAGATGAGGCCCCATTCCCCTGCAGTGCATGCAGAGCTATTCCGTGATCCCATTCAAACAAGTCAGGAGCTTTGACTTGCTTAATGGATCTCGAGACAGTCCCCAGAACACTGTCACCAGTCTAGACGGACCCTGAGGTCAACCCAGCAACGCAAAGCATCTCCATGTGCCCCAAATCAACTCGAGATGAGGCCCGATTCCCCTGCATTGACTCCAGAGCCATTCCCCGTTCCCCATTCAACACGATCAGTGGCTCGACTTCCTTCAGGCAACTCCAGAGATGCCCCGAGAACACTGTCCCAAGTCTAGAGGAACACCAACTTCAGCACAGCAACTCGAGGAATGCTCCGTGTACTCCAAATCGTCTCGAGATGAGAGCTAATTCCCTGGCTTAGGCTCAAGACGTATGCCAACTTTCCAGAAGCACCTCAGGAGGAGGCTTCTCTCAGCAATAGGTATGTGGGAGGGACCCCAAATTTGTTGCCTCAAGGGGAATATACAGCGAGAAGCCCTAACTTGAAAGGAGGCCGGATTTCCTTGCAGTGGCTTGAATACAGGCTCGTGTTTCATCTCACAACATGAAGGGATGTCTGAATCCCCTGTGGAGACCTTAGAGAAAGCCCTAGGTCCCTGCCTCATTTTGACGGATGCCTCACATCCCGTTGACACCTCGAGAGGCAAGCGGAGTTCATTGCTTCAAAAGGTGACGATGCCTGACTCCTCTTGAATACTGATAGGAATCCGAAAATCACTCTGGCTACTGGAAAGGGTCCTTGGGTGCCCTGCCTCACCTCGAGAAGCGTCCCTTTTGCCCTGCCAAGCCTCGAAGAGATTCCTGAGGTGTCCCTCGTTACTAGACAGGAGTCCTGACGTCACTGAAGAAACTCGTGTTTTGAAGGGCCATCCCCGCCGTAAGTCGAGAACATACCCCAGGTCCCTGCCGCCACTCGAGAAAAACCATGAGACTTCCCCCTGGAGGCGAGATGAGGCCCCATTCCCCTGCAGTGCATGCAGAGCTATTCCGTGATCCCATTCAAACAAGTCAGGAGCTTCGACTTGCTTAATGGATCTCGAGACAGTCCCCAGAACACTGTCACCAGTCTAGACGGACCCTGAGGTCACCCCAGCAAAGCAAAGCAGCTCCATGTGCCCCAAATCAACTCGAGATGAGGCCCGATTCCCCTGCATTGACTCCAGAGCCATTCCCCGTTCCCCATTCAACATGATCAGTGGCTCGACTTCCTTCAGGCAACTCCAGAGATGCCCCGAGAACACTGTCCCAAGTCTAGAGGAACACCAACTTCAGCACAGCAACTCGAGGAATGCTCCGTGTACTCCAAATCGTCTCGAGATGAGAGCTAATTCCCTGGCTTAGGCTCAAGACGTATGCCAACTTTCCAGAAGCACCTCAGGAGGAGGCTTCTCTCAGCAATAGGTATGTGGGAGGGACCCCGAATTTGCTGCCTCAAGGGGAATATACAGCGAGAAGCCCTAACTTGAAAGGAGGCCGGATTTCCTTGCAGTGGCTTGAATACAGGCTCGTGTTTCATCTCACAACATGAAGGGATGTCTGAATCCCCTGTGGAGACCTTAGAGAAAGCCCTAGGTCCCGGCCTCATTTTGACGGAATGCCTCACATCCCGTTGACACCTCGAGAGGCACGCGGAGTTCATTGCTTCAAAAGGTGACGATGCCTGACTCCTCTTGAAAACTGATAGGAATCCCAAAATCACTCTGGCTACTGGAAAGGGTCCTTGGGTGCCCTGCCTCACCTCGAGAAGCGTCCCTTTTGCCCTGCCAAGCCTCGAAGAGATTCCTGAGGTGTCCCTCGTTACTAGACAGGAGTCCTGACGTCACTGAAGAAACTCGTGTTTTGAAGGGCCATCCCCGCCGTAAGTCGAGAACATACCCCAGGTCCCTGCCGCCACTCGAGAAAAACCATGAGACTTCCCCCTGGAGGCGAGATGAGGCCCCATTCCCCTGCAGTGCATGCAGAGCTATTCCGTGATCCCATTCAAACAAGTCAGGAGCTTCGACTTGCTTAATGGATCTCGAGACAGTCCCCAAGAACACTGTCACCAGTCTAGACGGACCCTGAGGACAACCCAGCAACGCAAAGCAGCTCCATGTGCCCCAAATCAACTCGAGATGAGGCCCGATTCCCCTGCATTGACTACAGAGCCATTCCCTGTTCCCCATTCAACACGATCGGTGGCTCGACTTCCTTCAGGCAACTCCAGAGATGCCCCGAGAACACTGTCCCAAGTCTAGAGGAACACCAACTTCAGCACAGCAAATCGAGGAATGCTCCGTGTACCCCAAATCGTCTCGAGATGAGAGCTGATTCCCTGGCTTAGGCTCAAGACGTATGCCAACTTTCCAGAAGCACCTCAGGAGGAGGCTTCTCTCAGCAATAGGTATGTGGGACGGACCCTGAGTATGCTGCCTCAAGGGGAATATACAGCGAGAAGCCCTAACTTGAAAGGAGGCCGGATTTCCTTGCTGTGGCTTGAATACAGGCTCTTGTTTCATCTCACAACATGAAGGTATGTCTGAATCCCCTGTGGAGACCTTAGAGAAAGCCCTAGGTCCCTGCCTCTTTTTGACGGAATGCCTCACATCCCGTTGAGACCTCGAGAGGCACGCAGTGTTCATTGCTTCAAAAGGTGACGATGCCTGACTCCTCTTGAATACTGATAGGAATCCCAAAATCCCTGTGGCTACTGGAAAGGGTCCTTGGGTGCCCTGCCTCACCTCGAGAAGCGTCCCTTTTGCCCTGCCAAGCTTCGAAGAGATTCCTGAGGTGTCCCTCGTTACTAGACAGGAGTCCTGACGTCACTGAAGAAACTCGTGTTTTGAAGGGCCATCCCCGCCGGAAGTCGAGAACATACCCCAGGTCCCCGCCGCAACTCAAGAAAAACCATGAGACTTCCCCCTAGAGGCGAGATGAGGCCCCATTCCCCTGCAGTGCATGCAGAGCTATTCCGTGATCCCATTCAAACAAGTCAGGAGCTTCGACTTGCTTAATGGATCTCGAGACAGTCCCCAAGAACACTGTCACCAGTCTAGACGGACCCTGAGGACAACCCAGCAACGCAAAGCAGCTCCATGTGCGCCAAATCAACTCGAAATGAGGCCCGATTCCCCTGCATTGACTACAGAGCCATTCCCTGTTCCCCATTCAACACGATCGGTGGCTCGACTTCCTTCAGGCAACTCCAGAGATGCCCCGAGAACACTGTCCCAAGTCTAGAGGAACACCAACTTCAGCACAGCAAATCGAGGAATGCTCCATGTACCCCAAATCGTCTCGAGATGAGAGCTGATTCCCTGGCTTAGGCTCAAGACGTATGCCAACTTTCCAGAAGCACCTCAGGAGGAGGCTTCTCTCAGCAATAGGTATGTGGGAGGGACCCCGAGTTTGCTACCTCAAGGGGAATATACAGCGAGAAGCCCTAACTTGAAAGGAGGCCGGATTTCCTTGCTGTGGCTTGAATACAGGCTCGTGTTTCATCTCACAACATGAAGGGATGACTGAATCCCCTGTGGAGACCTTAGAGAAAGCCGTAGGTCCCTGCCTCATTTTGACGGAATGCCTCACATCCCGCTGACACCTCGAGAGTCACGCAGAGTTCATTGCTTCAAAAGGTGACGATGCCTGACTCCTCTTGAATACTGATAGGAATCCCAAAATCCCGGTGGCTACTGGAAAGGGTCCTTGGGTGCCCTGCCTCACCTCGAGAAGCGTCCCTTTTGCCCTGCCAAGCCTCGAAGAGATTCCTGAGGTGTCCCTCGTTACTAGACAGGAGTCCTGACGTCACTGAAGAAACTCGTGTTTTGAAGGGCCATCCCCGCCGTAAGTCGAGAACATACCCCAGGTCCCGCCGCAACTCAAGAAAAACCATGAGACTTCCCCCTAGAGGCGAGATGAGGCCCCATTCCCCTGCAGTGCATGCAGAGCTATTCCGTGATCCCATTCAAACAAGTCAGGTACTTCGACTTGCTTAATGGATCTCAAGACAGTCCCCAAGAACACTGTCACCTGTCTAGACGGACCCTGAGGTTACCCCAGCAACGCAAAGCAGCTCCATGTGCCCCAAGTCAACTCGACATGAGGCCTGATTCCCCTGCATTGATTCCAGAGCCATTCCCCTTTCCCCATTCAACCCGACCGGTGGCTCGACTTCCTTCAGGCAACTCCAGAGATGCCCCGAGAACACTGTCCCAAGTCTAGAGGAACACCAACTTCAGCACAGCAACTCGAGGAATGCTCCGTGTACGCCAAATCGTCTCGAGATGAGAGCTGATTCCCTGGCTTGGGCTCAAGACGTATGCCAACTTTCCAGAAGCACCTCAGGAGGAGGCTTCTCTCAGCAATAGGTATGTGGGAGGGACCCCGAGTTTGCTGCCTCAAGGGGAATATACAGCGAGAAGCCCTAACTTGATAGGAGGCCGGATTTCCTTGCAGTGGCTTAAATACAGGCTCGTGTTTCATCTCACAACATGAAGGGATGACTGAATCCCCTGTGGAGAACTTAGAGAAAGCCCACGGTCCCTGCCTCATTTTGACGGATGCCTCACATCCCGTTGACACCTCGAGAGGCAAGCGGAGTTCATTCCTTCAAAATTTGACGATGCCTGACACCTCTTGAATACTGATAGGAATCCCAAAATCCCTGTGGCTACTGGAAAGGGTCCTTGGGTGCCCTGCCTCACCTCGAGAATCGTCCCTTTTGCCCTGCCAAGCTTCGAAGAGATTCCTGAGGTGTCCCTCGTTACTAGACAGGAGTCCTGACGTCACTGAAGAAACTCGTGTTTTGAAGGGCCATCCCCGCTGGAAGACGAGAACATACACCAGGTCCCCGCCGCAACTCAAGAAAAACCATGAGACTTCCCCCTAGAGGTGAGATGAGGCCCCATTCCCCTGCAGTGCATGCAGAGCTATTCCGTGATCCCATTCAAACAAGTCAGGAGCTTCGACTTGCTTAATGGATCTCGAGACAGTCCCCAAGAACACTGTCACCAGTCTAGACGGACCCTGAGGACAACCCAGCAACGCAAAGCAGCTCCATGTGCCCCAATCAACTCGAGATGAGGCCCGATTCCCCTGCATTGACCCCAGAGCCATTCCCCGTTCCCCATTCAACCCGACCGGTGGCTCGACTTCCTTCAGGCAACTCCAGAGATGCCCCGAGAACACTGTCCCAAGTCTAGAGGAACACCAACTTAAGCACAGCGACTCGAGGAATGCTCCATGTACCCCAAATCGTCTCGAGATGAGAGCTGATTCCCTGGCTTAGGCTCAAGACGTATGCCAACTTTCCAGAAGCACCTCAGGAGGAGGCTTCTCTCAGCAATAGGTATGTGGGAGGGACCCCGAGTTTGCTGCCTCAAGGGGAATATACAGCGAGAAGACCTAACTTGAAAGGAGGCCGGATTTCCTTGCTGTGGCTTGAATACAGGCTCTTGTTTCATCTCACAACATGAAGGGATGTCTGAATCCCCTGTGGAGACCTTAGAGAAAGCCCTAGGTCCCTGCCTCTTTTTGACGGAATGCCTCACATCCCGTTGAGACCTCGAGAGCCACGCAGTGTTCATTGCTTCAAAAGGTGACGATGCCTGACTCCTCTTGAATACTGATAGGAATCCCAAAATCCCTGTGGCTACTGGAAAGGTTCTTTGGGTGCCCTGCCTCACCTCGAGAAGCGTCCGTTTTGCCCTGCCAAGCCTCGAAGACATTCCTGAGCTGTCACTCCTTGCTAGACAGGAGTCCTGACGTCACTGAAGAAACTCGTATTTTGAAGGGCCATCCCCGCCATAAGTCGAGATCATACCCCAGCTCCCCGCCGCAACTCGAGAAAAACCATGAGACTTCCCCCTAGAGGCGAGATGAGGCCCCATTCCCCTGCAGTGCATGCAGAGCTATTCCGTGATCCCATTCAAACAAGTCAGGAGCTTTGACTTGCTTAATGGATCTCGAGACAGTCCCCAGAACACTGTCACCAGTCTAGACGGACCCTGAGGTCACCCCAGCAACGCAAAGCAGCTCCATGTGCCACAAATCAACTCGAGATGAGGCCCGATTCCCCTGCATTGACTCCAGAGCCATTCCCCGTTCCCCATTCAACATGATCAGTGGCTCGACTTCCTTCAGGCAACTCCAGAGATGCCCCGAGAACACTGTCCCAAGTCTAGAGGAACACCAACTTCAGCACAGCAACTCGAGGAATGCTCCGTGTACTCCAAATCGTCTCGAGATGAGAGCTAATTCCCTGGCTTAGGCTCAAGACGTATGCCAACTTTCCAGAAGCACCTCAGGAGGAGGCTTCTCTCAGCAATAGGTATGTGGGAGGGACCCCGAATTTGCTGCCTCAAGGGGAATATACAGCGAGAAGCCCTAACTTGAAAGGAGGCCGGATTTCCTTGCAGTGGCTTGAATACAGGCTCGTGTTTCATCTCACAACATGAAGGGATGTCTGAATCCCCTGTGGAGACCTTAGAGAAAGCCCTAGGTCCCGGCCTCATTTTGACGGAATGCCTCACATCCCGTTGACACCTCGAGAGGCACGCGGAGTTCATTGCTTCAAAAGGTGACGATGCCTGACTCCTCTTGAAAACTGATAGGAATCCCAAAATCACTCTGGCTACTGGAAAGGGTCCTTGGGTGCCCTGCCTCACCTCGAGAAGCGTCCCTTTTGCCCTGCCAAGCCTCGAAGAGATTCCTGAGGTGTCCCTCGTTACTAGACAGGAGTCCTGACGTCACTGAAGAAACTCGTGTTTTGAAGGGCCATCCCCGCCGTAAGTCGAGAACATACCCCAGGTCCCTGCCGCCACTCGAGAAAAACCATGAGACTTCCCCCTGGAGGCGAGATGAGGCCCCATTCCCCTGCAGTGCATGCAGAGCTATTCCGTGATCCCATTCAAACAAGTCAGGAGCTTCGACTTGCTTAATGGATCTCGAGACAGTCCCCAAGAACACTGTCACCAGTCTAGACGGACCCTGAGGACAACCCAGCAACGCAAAGCAGCTCCATGTGCCCCAAATCAACTCGAGATGAGGCCCGATTCCCCTGCATTGACTACAGAGCCATTCCCTGTTCCCCATTCAACACGATCGGTGGCTCGACTTCCTTCAGGCAACTCCAGAGATGCCCCGAGAACACTGTCCCAAGTCTAGAGGAACACCAACTTCAGCACAGCAAATCGAGGAATGCTCCGTGTACCCCAAATCGTCTCGAGATGAGAGCTGATTCCCTGGTTTAGGCTCAAGACGTATGCCAACTTTCCAGAAGCACCTCAGGAGGAGGCTTCTCTCAGCAATAGGTATGTGGGACGGACCCTGAGTCTGCTGCCTCAAGGGGAATATACAGCGAGAAGCCCTAACTTGAAAGGAGGCCGGATTTCCTTGCTGTGGCTTGAATACAGGCTCTTGTTTCATCTCACAACATGAAGGGATGTCTGAATCCCCTGTGGAGACCTTAGAGAAAGCCCTAGGTCCCTGCCTCTTTTTGACGGAATGCCTCACATCCCGTTGAGACCTCGAGAGGCACGCAGTGTTCATTGCTTCAAAAGGTGACGATGCCTGACTCCTCTTGAATACTGATAGGAATCCCAAAATCCCTGTGGCTACTGGAAAGGGTCCTTGGGTGCCCTGCCTCACCTCGAGAAGCGTCCGTTTTGCCCTGCCAAGCCTCGAAGACATTCCTGAGCTGTCCCTCCTTGCTAGACAGGAGTCCTGACGTCACTGAAGAAACTCGTATTTTGAAGGGCCATCCCCGCCATAAGTCGAGATCATACCCCAGGTCCCCGCCGCAACTCGAGAAAAACCATGAGACTTCCCCCTAGAGGCGAGATGAGGCCCCATTCCCCTGCAGTGCATGCAGAGCTATTCCGTGATCCCATTCAAACAAGTCAGGAGCTTTGACTTGCTTAATGGATCTCGAGACAGTCCCCAGAACACTGTCACCAGTCTAGACGGACCCTGAGGTCACCCCAGCAACGCAAAGCAGCTCCATGTGCCCCAAATCAACTCGAGATGAGGCCCGATTCCCCTGCATTGACTCCAGAGCCATTCCCCGTTCCCCATTCAACATGATCAGTGGCTCGACTTCCTTCAGGCAACTCCAGAGATGCCCCGAGAACACTGTCCCAAGTCTAGAGGAACACCAACTTCAGCACAGCAACTCGAGGAATGCTCCATGTACTCCAAATCGTCTCGAGATGAGAGCTAATTCCCTGGCTTAGGCTCAAGACGTATGCCAACTTTCCAGAAGCACCTCAGGAGGAGACTTCTCTCAGCAATAGGTATGTGGGAGGGACCCCGAATTTGCTGCCTCAAGGGGAATATACAGCGAGAAGCCCTAACTTGAAAGGAGGCCGGATTTCCTTGCAGTGGCTTGAATACAGGCTCGTGTTTCATCTCACAACATGAAGGGATGTCTGAATCCCCTGTGGAGACCTTAGAGAAAGCCCTAGGTCCCGGCCTCATTTTGACGGAATGCCTCACATCCCGTTGACACCTCGAGAGGCACGCGGAGTTCATTGCTTCAAAAAGTGACGATGCCTGACTCCTCTTGAAAACTGATAGGAATCCCAAAATCACTCTGGCTACTGGAAAGGGTCCTTGGGTGCCCTGCCTCACCTCGAGAAGCGTCCCTTTTGCCCTGCCAAGCCTCGAAGAGATTCCTGAGGTGTCCCTCGTTACTAGACAGGAGTCCTGACGTCACTGAAGAAACTCGTGTTTTGAAGGGCCATCCCCGCCGTAAGTCGAGAACATACCCCAGGTCCCTGCCGCCACTCGAGAAAAACCATGAGACTTCCCCCTGGAGGCGAGATGAGGCCCCATTCCCCTGCAGTGCATGCAGAGCTATTCCGTGATCCCATTCAAACAAGTCAGGAGCTTCGACTTGCTTAATGGATCTCGAGACAGTCCCCAAGAACACTGTCACCAGTCTAGACGGACCCTGAGGACAACCCAGCAACGCAAAGCAGCTCCATGTGCCCCAAATCAACTCGAGATGAGGCCCGATTCCCCTGCATTGACTACAGAGCCATTCCCTGTTCCCCATTCAACACGATCGGTGGCTCGACTTCCTTCAGGCAACTCCAGAGATGCCCCGAGAACACTGTCCCAAGTCTAGAGGAACACCAACTTCAGCACAGCAAATCGAGGAATGCTCCGTGTACCCCAAATCGTCTCGAGATGAGAGCTGATTCCCTGGCTTAGGCTCAAGACGTATGCCAACTTTCCAGAAGCACCTCAGGAGGAGGCTTCTCTCAGCAATAGGTATGTGGGACGGACCCTGAGTCTGCTGCCTCAAGGGGAATATACAGCGAGAAGCCCTAACTTGAAAGGAGGCCGGATATCCTTGCTGTGGCTTGAATACAGGCTCTTGTTTCATCTCACAACATGAAGGGATGTCTGAATCCCCTGTGGAGACCTTAGAGAAAGCCCTAGGTCCCTGCCTCTTTTTGACGGAATGCCTCACATCCCGTAGAGACCTCGAGAGGCACGCAGTGTTCATTGCTTCAAAAGGTGACGATGCCTGACTCCTCTTGAATACTGATAGGAATCCCAAAATCCCTGTGGCTACTGGAAAGGGTCTTTGGGTGCCCTGCCTCACCTCGAGAAGCGTCCGTTTTGCCCTGCCAAGCCTCGAAGACATTCCTGAGCTGTCCCTCCTTGCTAGACAGGAGTCCTGACGTCACTGAAGAAACTCGTGTTTTGAAGGGCCATCCCCGCCATAAGTCGAGATCATACCCCAGGTCCCCGCCGCAACTCGAGAAAAACCATGAGATTACCCCCTAGAGGCGAGATGAGGCCCCATTCCCCTGCAGTGCATGCAGAGCTATTCCGTGATCCCATTCAAACAAGTCAGGAGCTTTGACTTGCTTAATGGATCTCGAGACAGTCCCCAGAACACTGTCACCAGTCTAGACGGACCCTGAGGTCAACCCAGCAACGCAAAGCATCTCCATGTGCCCCAAATCAACTCGAGATGAGGCCCGATTCCCCTGCATTGACTCCAGAGCCATTCCCCGTTCCCCATTCAACACGATCAGTGGCTCGACTTCCTTCAGGCAACTCCAGAGATGCCCCGAGAACACTGTCCCAAGTCTAGAGGAACACCAACTTCAGCACAGCAACTCGAGGAATGCTCCGTGTACTCCAAATCGTCTCGAGATGAGAGCTAATTCCCTGGCTTAGGCTCAAGACGTATGCCAACTTTCCAGAAGCACCTCAGGAGGAGGCTTCTCTCAGCAATAGGTATGTGGGAGGGACCCCAAATTTGTTGCCTCAAGGGGAATATACAGCGAGAAGCCCTAACTTGAAAGGAGGCCGGATTTCCTTGCAGTGGCTTGAATACAGGCTCGTGTTTCATCTCACAACATGAAGGGATGTCTGAATCCCCTGTGGAGACCTTAGAGAAAGCCCTAGGTCCCTGCCTCATTTTGACGGATGCCTCACATCCCGTTGACACCTCGAGAGGCAAGCGGAGTTCATTGCTTCAAAAGGTGACGATGCCTGACTCCTCTTGAATACTGATAGGAATCCGAAAATCACTCTGGCTACTGGAAAGGGTCCTTGGGTGCCCTGCCTCACCTCGAGAAGCGTCCCTTTTGCCCTGCCAAGCCTCGAAGAGATTCCTGAGGTGTCCCTCGTTACTAGACAGGAGTCCTGACGTCACTGAAGAAACTCGTGTTTTGAAGGGCCATCCCCGCCGTAAGTCGAGAACATACCCCAGGTCCCTGCCGCCACTCGAGAAAAACCATGAGACTTCCCCCTGGAGGCGAGATGAGGCCCCATTCCCCTGCAGTGCATGCAGAGCTATTCCGTGATCCCATTCAAACAAGTCAGGAGCTTCGACTTGCTTAATGGATCTCGAGACAGTCCCCAAGAACACTGTCACCAGTCTAGACGGACCCTGAGGACAACCCAGCAACGCAAAGCAGCTCCATGTGCCCCAAATCAACTCGAGATGAGGCCCGATTCCCCTGCATTGACTCGAGAGCCATTCCCTGTTCCCCATTCAACACGATCGGTGGCTCGACTTCCTTCAGGCAACTCCAGAGATGCCCCGAGAACACTGTCCCAAGTCTAGAGGAACACCAACTTCAGCACAGCAAATCGAGGAATGCTCGGTGTACCCCAAATCGTCTCGAGATGAGAGCTGATTCCCTGGCTTAGGCTCAAGACGTATGCCAACTTTCCAGAAGCACCTCAGGAGGAGGCTTCTCTCAGCAATAGGTATGTTGGACGGACCCTGAGTCTGCTGCCTCAAGGGGAATATACAGCGAGAAGCCCTAACTTGAAAGGAGGCCGGATTTCCTTGCTGTGGCTTGCATACAGGCTCTTGTTTCATCTCACAACATGAAGGGATGTCTGAATCCCCTGTGGAGACCTTAGAGAAAGCCCTAGGTCCCTGCCTCTTTTTGACGGAATGCCTCACATCCCGTTGAGACCTCGAGAGGCACGCAGTGTTCATTGCTTCAAAAGGTGACGATGCCTGACTCCTCTTGAATACTGATAGGAATCCCAAAATCCCTGTGGCTACTGGAAAGGGTCTTTGGGTGCCCTGCCTCACCTCGAGAAGCGTCCGTTTTGCCCTGCCAAGCCTCGAAGATATTCCTGAGCTGTCCCTCCTTGCTAGACAGGAGTCCTGACGTCACTGAAGAAACTCGTGTTTTGAAGGGCCATCCCCGCCATAAGTCGAGATCATACCCCAGGTCCCCGCCGCAACTCGAGAAAAACCATGAGATTACCCCCTAGAGGCGAGATGAGGCCCCATTCCCCTGCAGTGCATGCAGAGCTATTCCGTGATCCCATTCAAACAAGTCAGGAGCTTTGACTTGCTTAATGTATCTCGAGACAGTCCCCAGAACACTGTCACCAGTCTAGACGGACCCTGAGGTCACCCCAGCAACGCAAAGCATCTCCATGTGCCCCAAATCAACTCGAGATGAGGCCCGATTCCCCTGCATTGACTCCAGAGCCATTCCCCGTTCCCCATTCAACACGATCAGTGGCTCGACTTCCTTCAGGCAACTCCAGAGATGCCCCGAGAACACTGTCCCAAGTCTAGAGGAACACCAACTTCAGCACAGCAACTCGAGGAATGTTCCGTGTACTCCAAATCGTCTCGAGATGAGAGCTAATTCCCTGGCTTAGGCTCAAGACGTATGCCAACTTTCCAGAAACACCTCAGGAGGAGGCTTCTCTCAGCAATAGGTATGTGGGAGGGACCCCAAATTTGTTGCCTCAAGGGGAATATACAGCGAGAAGCCCTAACTTGAAAGGAGGCCGGATTTCCTTGCAGTGGCTTGAATACAGGCTCGTGTTTCATCTCACAACATGAAGGGATGTCTGAATCCCCTGTGGAGACCTTAGAGAAAGCCCTAGGTCCCTGCCTCATTTTGACGGATGCCTCACATCCCGTTGACACCTCGAGAGGCAAGCGGAGTTCATTGCTTCAAAAGGTGACGATGCCTGACTCCTCTTGAATACTGATAGGAATCCCAAAATCCCTGTGGCTACTGGAAAGGGTCCTTGGGTGCCCTGCCTCACCTCGAGAATCGTCCCTTTTGCCCTGCCAAGCTTCGAAGAGATTCCTGAGGTGTCCCTCGTTACTAGACAGGAGTCCTGACGTCACTGAAGAAACTCGTGTTTTGAAGGGCCATCCCCGCCGGAAGACGAGAACATACCCCAGGTCCCGCCACAACTCGAGAAAAACCATGAGACTTCCCCCTAGAGGCGAGATGAGGCCCCATTCCCCTGCAGTGCATGCAGAGCTATTCCGTGATCCCATTCAAACAAGTCAGGAGCTTCGACTTGCTTAATGGATCTCGAGACAGTCCCCAAGAACACTGTCACCAGTCTAGACGGACCCTGAGGAAAACCCAGCAACGCAAAGCAGCTCCATGTGCCCCAAATCAACTCGAGATGAGGCCCGATTCCCCTGCATTGACTACAGAGCCATTCCCTGTTCCCCATTCAACACGATCGGTGGCTCGACTTCCTTCAGGCAACTCCAGAGATGCCCCGAGAACACTGTCCCAAGTCTAGAGGAACACCAACTTCAGCACAGCAAATCGAGAAATGCTCCGTGTACCCCAAATCTTCTCGAGATGAGAGCTGATTCCCTGGCTTAGGCTCAAGACGTATGCCAACTTTCCAGAAGCACCTCAGGAGGAGGCTTCTCTCAGCAATAGGTATGTGGGACGGACCCTGAGTCTGCTGCCTCAAGGGGAATATACAGCGAGAAGCCCTAACTTGAAAGGAGGCCGGATTTCCTTGCTGTGGCTTGAATACAGGCTCTTGTTTCATCTCACAACATGAAGGGATGTCTGAATCCCCTGTGGAGACCTTAGAGAAAGCCCTAGGTCCCTGCCTCTTTTTGACGGAATGCCTCACATCCCGTTGAGACCTCGAGAGGCACGCAGTGTTCATTGCTTCAAAAGGTGACGATGCCTGACTCCTCTTGAATACTGATAGGAATCCCAAAATCCCTGTGGCTACTGGAAAGGGTCTTTGGGTGCCCTGCCTCACCTCGAGAAGCGTCCGTTTTGCCCTGCCAAGCCTCGAAGACATTCCTGAGCTGTCCCTCCTTGCTAGACAGGAGTCCTGACGTCACTGAAGTAACTCGTATTTGAAGGGCCATTCCCGCCATAAGTCGAGATCATACCCCAGGTCCCCGCCGCAACTCGAGAAAAAACATGAGACTTCCCCCTAGAGGCAAGATGAGGCCCCATTCCCCTGCAGTGCATGCAGAGCTATTCCGTGATCCCATTCAAACAAGTCAGGAGCTTTGACTTGCTTAATGGATCTCGAGACAGTCCCCAGAACACTGTCACCAGTCTAGACGGACCCTGAGGTCACCCCAGCAACGCAAAGCAGCTCCATGTGCCCCAAATCAACTCGAGATGAGGCCCGATTCCCCTGCATTGACTCCAGAGCCATTCCCCGTTCCCCATTCAACATGATCAATGGCTCGACTTCCTTCAGGCAACTCCAGAGATGCCCCGAGAACACTGTCCCAAGTCTAGAGGAACACCAACTTCAGCACAGCAACTCGAGGAATGCTCCGTGTACTCCAAATCGTCTCGAGATGAGAGCTAATTCCCTGGCTTAGGCTCAAGACGTATGCCAACTTTCCAGAAGCACCTCAGGAGGAGGCTTCTCTCAGCAATAGGTATGTGGGAGGGACCCCGAATTTGCTGCCTCAAGGGGAATATACAGCGAGAAGCCCTAACTTGAAAGGAGGCAGGATTTCCTTGCAGTGGCTTGAATACAGGCTCGTGTTTCATCTCACAACATGAAGGGATGTCTGAATCCCCTGTGGAGACCTTAGAGAAAGCCCTAGGTCCCTGCCTCATTTTGACGGATGCCTCACATCCCGTTGACACCTCGAGAGGCACGCGGAGTTCATTGCTTCAAAAGGTGACGATGCCTGACTCCTCTTGAATACTGATAGGAATCCCAAAATCCCTGTGGCTACTGGAAAGGGTCCTTGGGTGCCCTGCCTCACCTCGAGAAGCGTCCCTTTTGCCCTGCCAAGCCTCGAAGAGATTCCTGAGGTGTCCCTCGTTACTAGACAGGAGTCCTGACGTCACTGAAGAAACTCGTGTTTTGAAGGGCCATCCCCGCCGTAAGTCGAGAACATACCCCAGGTCCCTGCCGCCACTCGAGAAAAACCATGAGACTTCCCCCTGGAGGCGAGATGAGGCCCCATTCCCCTGCAGTGCATGCAGAGCTATTCCGTGATCCCATTCAAACAAGTCAGGAGCTTCGACTTGCTTAATGGATCTCGAGACAGTCCCCAAGAACACTGTCACCAGTCTAGACCGACCCTGAGGACAACCCAGCAACGCAAAGCAGCTCCATGTGCCCCAAATCAACTCGAGATGAGGCCCGATTCCCCTGCATTGACTACAGAGCCATTCCCTGTTCCCCATTCAACACGATCGGTGGCTCGACTTCCTTCAGGCAACTCCAGAGATGCCCCGAGAACACTGTCCCAAGTCTAGAGGAACACCAACTTCAGCACAGCAAATCGAGGAATGCTCCGTGTACCCCAAATCGTCTCGAGATGAGAGCTGATTCCCTGGCTTAGGCTCAAGACGTATGCCAACTTTCCAGAAGCACCTCAGGAGGAGGCTTCTCTCAGCAATAGGTATGTGGGACGGACCCTGAGTCTGCTGCCTCAAGGGGAATATACAGCGAGAAGCCCTAACTTGAAAGGAGGCCGGATATCCTTGCTGTGGCTTGAATACAGGCTCTTGTTTCATCTCACAACATGAAGGGATGTCTGAATCCCCTGTGGAGACCTTAGAGAAAGCCCTAGGTCCCTGCCTCTTTTTGACGGAATGCCTCACATCCCGTTGAGACCTCGAGAGGCACGCAGTGTTCATTGCTTCAAAAGGTGACGATGCCTGACTCCTCTTGAATACTGATAGGAATCCCAAAATCCCTGTGGCTACTGGAAAGGGTCTTTGGGTGCCCTGCCTCACCTCGAGAAGCGTCCGTTTTGCCCTGCCAAGCCTCGAAGACATTCCTGAGCTGTCCCTCCTTGCTAGACAGGAGTCCTGACGTCACTGAAGAAACTCGTGTTTTGAAGGGCCATCCCCGCCATAAGTCGAGATCATACCCCAGGTCCCCGCCGCAACTCGAGAAAAACCATGAGATTACACCCTAGAGGCGAGATGAGGCCCCATTCCCCTGCAGTGCATGCAGAGCTATTCCGTGATCCCATTCAAACAAGTCAGGAGCTTTGACTTGCTTAATGTATCTCGAGACAGTCCCCAGAACACTGTCACCAGTCTAGACGGACCCTGAGGTCACCCCAGCAACGCAAAGCATCTCCATGTGCCCCAAATCAACTCGAGATGAGGCCCGATTCCCCTGCATTGACTCCAGAGCCATTCCCCGTTCCCCATTCAACACGATCAGTGGCTCGACTTCCTTCAGGCAACTCCAGAGATGCCCCGAGAACACTGTCTCAAGTCTAGAGGAACACCAACTTCAGCACAGCAACTCGAGGAATGCTCCGTGTACCCCAAATCGTCTCGAGATGAGAGCTGATTCCCTGGCTTAGGCTCAAGACGTATGCCAACTTTCCAGAAGCACCTCAGGAGGAGGCTTCTCTCAGCAATAGGTATGTGGGGGGACCCCGAGTATGCTGCCTCAAGGGGAATACACAGGGAGAAGCCCTAATGTGAAAGGAGGCCAGATTTCCTTGCAGTGGCTTGAACACAGGCTCGTCTTTGATCTCACAACATGAAGGGATGTCTGAATCCCCTGTAGAGACCTTAGAGGAAGCCCTAGGTCCCTGCCTCATTTTGACGGAATACCTCACATCCCCCTGACACCTCGAGAGGCACGCAGAGTTCATTGCTTCAAAAGGTGACGATGCCTGACTCCTCTTGAATACTGATAGGAATCCCAAAATCCCTGTGGCTACTGGAAAGGGTCCTTGGGTGCGCTGCCTCACCTCGAGAAGCGTCCCTTTTGCCCTGCCAAGCCTCGAAGAGATTCCTGAGGTGTCCGTCGTTACTAGACAGGAGTCCTGACGTCACTGAAGAAACTCGTGTTTTGAAGGTCCATCCCCGCCGTAAGTCGAGAACATACCCCAGGTCCCCGCCGCAACTCGCGAAAAACCATGAGACTTCCCCCTAGAGGCGAGATGAGGCCCCATTCCCCTGCAGTGCATGCAGAGCTATTCCGTGATCCCATTCAAACAAGTCAGGAGCTTCGACGTGCTTAATGGATCTCGAGACAGTCCCCAAGAACACTGTCACCAGTCTAGACGGACCCTGAGGTCACCCCAGCAATGCAAAGCTGGTCCATGTGCCCCAAATCAACTCGAGATGAGGCCCGATTCCCCTGCATTGACTCCAGAGCCATTCCCCGTTCCACATTCAACACGACCGGTGGCTCGACTTCCTTCAGGCAACTCCACAGATGCCCCGAGAACAGTGTCCCAAGTCTAGAGGACCACCAACTTCAGCACAGCAACTCGAAGAATGCTCTGTGTACCCCAAATCGTCTCGAGATGAGAGCTGATTCCCTGGCTTAGGCTCAAGACGTAGGCCAACTTTCCAGAAGCACGTCAGGAGGAGGCTTCTCTCAGCAATAGGTATGTGGGAGGGAACCCGAGTTTGCTGCCTCAAGGGGAATACACAGGGAGAAGCCCTAATGTGAAAGGAGGCCAGATTTCCTTGCAGTGGCTTGAACACAGGCTCGTCTTTGATCTCACAACATGAAGGGATGTCTGAATCCCCTGTGGAGACCTTAGAGGAAGCCCTAGGTCCCTGCCTCATTTTGACGGAATACCTCACATCCCCCTGACACCTCGAGAGGCACGCAGAGTTCATTGCTTCAAATGGTGACGATGCCTGACTCCTCTTGAATACTTATAGGAATCCCAAAATCCCTGTGGCTACTGGAAAGGGTCCTTGGGTGCCCTGGCTCACGTCGAGAAGCGTCCCTTTTGCCCTGCCAAGCCTCGAAGAGATTCCTGAGGTGTCCCTCGTTACTAGACAGGAGTCCTGACGTCACTGAAGAAACTCGTGTTTTGAAGGTCCATCCCCGCCTTAAGTCAAGAACATACCCCAGGTCAACGCCGCAACTCGAGAAAAACCATGAGACTTCCCCCTAGAGGCGAGATGAGGCCCCATTCCCCTGCAGTGCATGCAGAGCTATTCCGTGATCCCATTCAAACAAGTCAGGAGCTTCGACTTGCTTAATGGATAGCGAGAAAGTCCCCAAGAACACTGTCACCAGTCTAGACGGACCCTGAGGTCACCCCAGCAACGCAAAGCAGCTCCATGTGCCCCAAATCAACTCGAGATGAGGCCCGATTCCACTGCATTGACTCCAGAGCCATTCCCCGTTCCCTATTCAACACGACCGGTGGCTCGACTTCCTTCAGGCAACTCCACAGATGCCCCGAGAACAGTGTCCCAAGTCTAGAGGACCAACAACTTCAGCACAGCAACTCGAGGAATGCTCCGTGTACCCCCAATCGTCTCGAGATGAGAGCTGATTCATTGGCTTAGGCTCAAGACGTATGCCAACTTTCCAGAAGCACATCAGGAGGAGGCTTCTCTCAGCAATGGGTATGTGGAAGGGACGCCGAGTTTGCTGCCTCAAGGGGAATACACAGGGAGAAGCCCTAATGTGAAAGGAGGCCAGATTTCCTTGCAGTGGCTTGAACACAGGCACGTGTTTGATCTCACAACATGAAGGGATGTCTGAATCCCCTGTGGAGACCTTAGAGGAAGCCCTAGGTCCCTGCCTCATTTTGACGGAATACCTCACATCCCCCTGACACCTCGAGAGGCACGCAGATTTCATTGCTTCAAAAGGTGGCGATGCCTGACTCCTCTTGAATACTTATAGGAATCCCAAAATCCCTGTGGCTACTGGAAAGGGTCCTTGGGTGCCCTGGCTCACCTCGAGAAGTGTCCCTTTTGCCCTGCCAAGCCTCGAATAGATTGCTGAGGTGTCCCTCGTTACTAGACAGGAGTCCTGACGTCACTGAAGAAACTCGTGTTTTGAAGGGCCATCCCCGCCGTAAGTCGAGAACATAAACCAGGTCCCCGCCGCAATTCGAGAAAAACCGTGAGACTTCCTCCTATAGGCGAGATGAGGCCCCATTCCCCTGCAGTGCAAGCAGAGCTATTCCGTGATCCCATTCAAACAAGTCAGGATCTTCGACTTGCTTAATGGATCTCGAGACAGTCCCCAAGAACACTGTCACCATTCTAGACGGAACCTAAGGTCACCCCAGCAATGCAAAGCAGCACCATGTGTCCCAAATCAACTCGAGATGAGGCCCGATTCCCCTGCATTGACTCCAGAGCCATTCCCCGTTCCCCGTTCAACACGACCGGTGGCTCGCCTTCCTTCAGGCAACTCCAGAGATGCCCGGAGAACACTGTCCCAAGTCTAGAGGACCACCAACTTCAGCACAGCAACTCGAGGAATGCTCTGTGTACCCCAAAACATCTCGAGATGAGAGCTGATTCCCTGGTTTAGGCTCAAGACGTATGCCAACTTTCCAGAAGCACCTCAGGAGGAGGCTTCTCAGCAATAGGTATGTGGGAGGGACCCCGAGTTTGCTGCCTCAGGGGGAATATACAGCGAGAAGCCCTAACTTGAAAGGAGGCCGGATTTCCTTGCAGTGGCTTGAATACAGGCTCGTCTTTCATCTCACAACATGAAGGGATGTCTGAATCCCCTGTGGAGACCTTAGAGAAAGCCCTAGGTCCCTGCCTCATTTTGACGGAATGCCTCACATCCCGCTGACACCTCGAGAGGCACGCGGAGTTCATTGCTTCAAAAGGTGACGATGCCTGACTCCTCTTGAATACTGATAGGAATCCCAAAATCCCTGTGGCTACTGGAAAGGGTGCTTGGGTGCCCTGCCTCACCTCGAGAAGCGTCCCTTTTGCCCTGCCAAGCCTCGAAGAGATTCCTGAGGTGTCCCTCATTACTAGGCAGGAGTCCTTACGTCACTGAAGAAACTCGTGTTTTGAAGGGCCATCCCCGCCGTAAGTCGAGAACATAACCCAGGTCCCCGCCGCAACTCGAGAAAAACCGTGAGACTTCCCCCTAGAGGCGAGATGAGGCCCCATTCCCCTGCAGTGCATGCAGAGCTATTCCGTGATCCCATGCAAACAAGTCAGGAGCTTCGACTTGCTTAATGGATCTCGAGACAGTCCCCAAGAACACTGTCCCAGTCTAGACGGACCCTGAGGTCACCCCAGCAATGCAAAGCAGCTCCATGTGCCCCAAATCAACTCGAGATGAGGCCCGATTCCCCTGCATTGACTCCAGAGCCATTCTCCGTTCCCCATTCAACACGACCGGTGGCTCGCCTTCCTTCAGGCAACTCCAGAGATGCCCCGAGAACACTGTCCCAAGTCTAGAGGAACACCAACTTCAGCACAGCAACTCGAGGAATGCTCTGTGTACCCCAAATCGTCTCGAGATGAGAGCTGATTCCCTGGCTTAGGGTAAAGACCTATGCCAACTTTCCAGAAGCACCTCAGGAGGAGGCTTCTCAGCAATAGGTATGTGGGAGGGACTCCGAGTTTGCTGCCTCAAGGGCAATATACAGCGAGAAGCCCTAACTTGAAAGGAGGCCGGATTTCCTTGCAGTAGCTTGAATACAGGCTTGTCTTTCATCTCACAACATGAAGGGATGTCTGAATCCCCTGTGGAGACCTTAGAGAAAGCCCTAGGTCCCTGCCTCATTTTGACGGAATCCTCACATCCCGCTGACACCTCGAGAGGCACGCGGAGTTCATTGCTTCAAAAGGTGACGATGCCTGACTCCTCTTGAATACTGATAGGAATCCCAAAATCCCTGTGGCTACTGGAAAGGGTCCTTGGGTGCCCTGCCTCACCTCGAGAAGCGTCGCTTTTGCCCTGCCAAGCCTCGAAGAGATTCCTGATGTGTCCCTCGTTACTAGACAGGAGTCCTGACGTCACTGAAGAAACTCGTGTTTTGAAGGTCCATCCCCGCCGTAAGTCGAGAACATACCCCAGGTCCAGGCCGCAACTCGCGAAAAACCATGAGACTTCCCCCTAGAGGCGAGATGAGGCCCCATTCCCCTGCAGTGCATGCAGAGCTATTCTGTGATCCCATTCAAACAACTCAGGAGCTTCGACTTGCTTAATGGATCGCGAGACAGTCCCCAAGAACACTGTCACCAGTCTAGACGGACCCTGAGGTCACCCCAGCAATGCAAAGCTGGTCCATGTGCCCCAAATCAACTCGAGATGAGGCCCGATTCCCCTGCATTGACTCCAGAGCCATTCCCCGTTCCCCATTCAACATGATCAGTGGCTCGACTTCCTTCAGGCAACTCCACAGATGCCCCGAGAACAGTGTCCCAAGTCTAGAGGACCAACAACTTCAGCACAGCAACTCGAGGAATGCTCCGTGTACCCCCAATCGTCTCGAGATGAGAGCTGATTCATTGGCTTAGGCTCAAGACGTATGCCAACTTTCCAGAAGCACATCAGGAGGAGGCTTCTCTCAGCAATAGGTATGTGGGAGGGACGCCGAGTTTGCTGCCTCAAGGGGAATACACAGGGAGAAGCCCTAATGTGAAAGGAGGCCAGATTTCCTTCCAGTGGCTTGAACACAGGCACGTGTTTGATCTCACAACATGAAGGGATGTCTGAATCCCCTGTGGAGACCTTAGAGGAAGCCCTAGGTCCCTGCCTCATTTTGACGGAATACCTCACATCCCCCTGACACCTCGAGAGGCACGCAGAGTTCATTGCTTCAAACGGTGACGATGCCTGACTCCTCTTGAATACTTATAGGAATCCCAAAATCCCTGTGGCTACTGGAAAGGGTCCTTGGTGCCCTGGCTAACGTCGAGAAGCGTCCCTTTTTCCCTGCCAAGCCTCGAAGAGATTCCTGAGGTGTCCCTCGTTACTAGACAGGAGTCCTGACGTCACTGAAGAAACTCGTGTTTTGAAGGGCCATCCCCGCCGTAAGTCGAGAACATACCCCAGGTCCCCGCCGCAACTCGAGAAAAACCAAGAGACTTCCCCCTAGAGGCGAGATGAGGTCCCATTCCCCTGCAGTGCATGCAGAGCTATTCCGTGATCCCATTCAAACAAGTCAGGAGCTTCGACTTGCTTAATGGATCTCGAGACAGTCCCCAAGAACACTGTCAACAGTCTAGACGGACCCTGAGGTTACCCCAGCAACGCAAAGCAGCTCCATGTGCCCCAAATCAACTCGAGATTAGGCCCGATTCCCCTGCAATGACTCCAGAGCCATTCCCCGTTCCCCGTTCAACACGACCCGTGGCTCGACTTCCTTCAGGCAACTCCAGAGATGCCCCGAGAACACTGTCTCAAGTCTAGAGGAACACCAACTTCAGCACAGCAACTCGAGGAATGCTCCGTGTACCTCAAATCATCTCGAGATGAGAGCTGATTCCCTGGCTTAGGCTCAAGACGTATGCCAACTTTCCAGAAGCACTTCAGGAGAAGGCTTCTCTCAGCAACAGGTATCTGGGAGGGACCCCGAGATTGCTGCCTCAAGGAGAATATACAGCGAGAAGCCCTAACTTGAAAGGAGGCCGGATTTCCTTGCAGTGGCTTGAATACAGGCTCGTCTTTCATCTCACAACATGAAGGGATGTCTGAATCCCCTGTGGAGACCTTAGAGAAAGCCGTAGGTCCCTGCCTCATTTTGACGGAATCCTCACATCCCGCTGACACCACGAGAGGCACGCGGAGTTCATTGCTTCAAAAGGTGACGAAGCCTGACTACTCTTGAATACTGATAGGAATCCCCAAATCCCTGTGGCTACTGGAAAGGGTCCTTGGGTGCCCTGCCTCACCTCGAGAAGGGTCCCTTTTGCCCTGCCAAGCCTCGAAGAGATTCCTGAGGTGTCCCTCGTTACTAGACAGGAGTCTTGACGGCACTGAAGAAACTCGTGTTTTGAAGGTCCATCCCCGCCTTAAGTCGAGAACATACCCCAGGTCAACGCCGCAACTCGAGAAAAACCATGAGACTTCCCCCTAGAGGCGAGATGAGGCCCCATTCCCCTGCAGTGCATGCAGAGCTCTTCCGTGATCCCATTCAAACAAGTCAGGAGCTTCGACTTGCTTAATGGATCGCGAGAAAGTCCCCAAGAACACTGTAACCAGTCTAGACGGACCCTGAGGTCACCCCAGCAACGCAAAGCAGCTCCATGTGCCCCAAATCAACTCGAGATGAGGCCCGATTCCACTGCATTGACTCCAGAGCCATTCCCCGTTCCCTATTCAACACGACCTGTGGCTCGACTTCCTTCAGGCAACTCCACAGATGCCCCGAGAACAGTGTCCCAAGTCTAGAGGACCAACAACTTCAGCACAGCAACTCGAGGAATGCTCCGTGTACCCCCAATCGTCTCGAGATGAGAGCTGATTCATTGGCTTAGGCTCAAGACGTATGCCAACTTTCCAGAAGCACCTCAGGAGGAGGCTTCTCAGCAATAGGTATGTGGGAGGGACCCCGAGTTTGCTGCCTCAGGGGGAATATACAGCGAGAAGCCCTAACTTGAAAGGAGGCCGGATTTCCTTGCAGTGGCTTGAATACAGGCTCGTCTTTCATCTCACAACATGAAGGGATGTCTGAATCCCCTGTGGAGACCTTAGAGAAAGCCCTAGGTCCCTGCCTCATTTTGACGGAATGCCTCACATCCCGTTGAGACCCCGAGAGGCCCGCGGAGTTCATTGCTTCAAAAGTTGACGATGCCTGACTCCTCTTGAATACTGATAGGAATCCCAAAATCCCTGTGGCTACTGGAAAGTGTCCTTGGGTGCCCTGCCTCACCTCGAGAAGCGTCCCTTTTGCCCTGCCAAGCCTCGAAGAGATTCCTGAGGTGTCCCTCGTTACTAGACAGGAGTCCTGACGACACTGAAGAAACTCGTGTTTTCAAGGGCCATCCACGCCGTAAGTCGAGAACATACCCCAGGTCCTCGCCGCAACTCGAGAAAAGCCATGAGACTTCCCTCTAGAGGCGAGATGAGGCCCCATTCCCCTGCAGTGCATGCAGAGCTATTCAGTGATCCCATTCAAACAAGTCAGGAGCTTCGACTTGCTTAATGGATCTCGAGACAGTCCCCAAGAACACTCTCACCAGTCAAGACGGACACTGAGTTCACCCCAGCAACGCAAAGCAGCTCCATGTGCCCCAAATCAACTCGAGATGAGGCCCGATTCCCCTGCATTGACCCCAGAGCCATTCCCCGTTCCCCATTCAACCCGACCGGTGGCTCGACTTCCTTCAGGCAACTCCAGAGATGCCCCGAGAACACTGTCCCAAGTCTAGAGGAACACAAACTTCAGCACAGCAACTCGAGGAATGCTCTGTGTACCCCAAATCGTCTCGAGATGAGAGCTGATTCCCTGGCTTAGGCTCAAGACGTATGCCAACTTTCCAGAAGCACCTCAGGAGGAGGCTTCTCTCAGCAATAGGTATGTGGGAGGGACCCCGAGTTTGCTGCCTCAAGGGGAATATACAGCGAGAAGCCCTAACTTGAAAGGAGGCAGGATTTCCTTGCAGTGGCTTGAATACAGGCTCGTGTTTCATCTCACAACATGAAGGGATGTCTGAATCCCCTGTGCAGACCTTAGAGAAAGCCCTAGGTCCCAGCCTCATTTTGACGGAATGCCTCACATCCCGTTGACACCTCGAGAGGCACGCAGAGTTCATTGCTTCAAAAGGTGACGATGCCTGACTCCTCTTGAATACTGATAGGAATCCCAAAATCCCTGTGGCTACTGGAAAGGGTCCTTGGGTGCCCTGCCTCACCTCGAGAAGCGTCCTTTTTGCCCTGCCAAGCCTCGAAGAGACTCCTGAGGTGTCCCGCGATACCAGACAGGAGTCCTGACGTCACTGAAGAAACTCTTGTTTTGAAGGGCCATCCCCGCCGTAAGTCGAGAACATACCCCAGGTCCCGCCGCAACTCGAGAAAAACCATGAGACTTCCCCCTAGAGGCGAGATGAGGCCCCATTCCCCTGCAGTGCATGCAGAGCTATTCCGTGATCCCATTCAAGCAAGTCAGGTGCTTCGACTTGCTTAATGGATCTCGAGAGAGTCCCCAAGAACACTGTCACCTGTCTATACGGACCCTGAGGTTACCCCAGCAACGCAAAGCAGCTCCATGTGCCCCAATGAACTCGAGATGAAGCCCGATTCCCCTGCATTGACTCCAGAGCCATTCCCCGTTCCCCATTCAACACGACCGGTGGCTCGACTTCCTTCAGGCAACTCCAGAGATGCCCCGAGAACACTGTCCCAAGTCTAGAGGAACACCAACTTCAGCACAGCAACTCGAGGAATGCTCCGTGTACCCCAAATCGTCTCGAGATGAGAGCTGATTCCCTGGCTTAGGCTCAAGACGTATGCCAACTTTCCAGAAGCACCTCAGGAGGAGGCTTCTCTCAGCAATAGGTATGTGGGAGGGACCCCGAGTTTGCTGCCTCAAGGGGAATATACAGCGAGAAGCCCTAACTTGAAAGGAGGCCGGATTTCCTTGCAGTGGCTTAAATACAGGCTCGTGTTTCATCTCACAACATGAAGGGATGACTGAATGCCCTGTGGAGATCTTAGAGGAAGCCCACGGTCCCTGCCTCATTTTGACGGAATGCCTCACATCCCGTTGACACCCCGAGAGGCCCGCGGAGTTCATTGCTTCAAAAGTTGACGATGCCTGACTCCTCTTGAATACTGATAGGAATCCCAAAATCCCTGTGGCTACTGGAAAGGGTCCTTGGGTGCCCTGCCTCACCTCGAGAAGCGTCCCTTTTGCCCTGCCAAGCTTCGAAGAGATTCCTGAGGTGTCCCTCGTTACTAGACAGGAGTCCTGACGTCACTGAAGAAACTCGTGTTTTCAAGGGCCATCCACGCCGTAAGTCGAGAACATACACCAGGTCCTCGCCGCAACTCGAGAAAAGCCATGAGACTTCCCCATAGAGGCGAGATGAGGCCCCATTCCACTGCAGTGCATGCAGAGCTATTCAGTGATCCCATTCAAACAAGTCAGGAGCTTCGACTTGCTTAATGGATCTCGAGACAGTCCCCAAGAACACTGTCACCAGTCTAGACGGACCGTGAGGTCACCCCAGCAACGCAAAGCAGCTCCATGTGCCCCAAATCAACTCGAGATGAGGCCCGATTCCCCTGCATTGACCCCAGAGCCATTCCCCGTTCCCCATTCAACCAGACCGATGGCTCGACTTCCTTCAGGCAACTCCAGAGATGCCACGAGAACACTGTCCCAAGTCTAGAGGAACAACAACTTCAGCACAGCAACTCGAGGAATGCTCCGTGTACCCCAAATCGTCTCGAGATGAGAGCTGATTCCCTGGCTTAGGCTCAAGACGTATGCCAACTTTCCAGAAGCACCTCAGGAGGAGGCTTCTCTCAGCAATAGGTATGTGGGAGGGACCCCGAGTTTGCTGCCTCAAGGGGAATATACAGCGAGAAGCCCTAACTTGAAAGGAGGCCGGATTTCCTTTCAGTGGCTTGAATACAGGCTCGTGTTTCATCTCACAACATGAAGGGATGACTGAATCCCCTGTGGAGACCATAGAGGAAGCCCAAGTTCCCTGCCTCATTTTGACGGAATGCCTCACATCCCGTTGACACCTCGAGAGGCACGCGGAGTTCATTGCTTCAAAAGGTGACGATGCCTGACTCCTCTTGAATACTGATAGGAATCCCAAAATCCCTGTGGCTACTGGAAAGGGTCCTTGGGTGCCCTGCCTCACCTCGAGAAGCGTCCCTTTTGCCCTGCCAAGCTTCGAAGAGATTCCTGAGGTGTCCCTCGTTACTAGACAGGAGTCCTGACGTCACTGAAGAAACTCGTGTTTTGAAGGGCCATCCCCGCCGGAAGTCGAGAACATACCCCAGGTCCCCGCCGCAACTCAAGAAAAACCATGAGACTTCCCCCTAGAGGCGAGATGAGGCCCCATTCCCCTGCAGTGCATGCAGAGCTATTCCGTGATCCCATTCAAACAAGTCAGGAGCTTCGACTTGCTTAATGGATCTCGAGACAGTCCCCAAGAACACTGTCACCAGTCTAGACGGACCCTGAGGACAACCCAGCAACGCAAAGCAGCTCCATGTGCCCCAAATCAACTCGAAATGAGGCCCGATTCCCCTGCATTGACTACAGAGCCATTCCCTGTTCCCCATTCAACATGATCGGTGGCTCGACTTCCTTCAGGCAACTCCAGAGATGCCCCGAGAACACTGTCCCAAGTCTAGAGGAACACCAACTTCAGCACAGCAAATCGAGGAATGCTCTATGTACCCCAAATTGTCTCGAGATGACAGCTGATTCCCTGGCTTAGGCTCAAGACGTATGCCAACTTTCCAGAAGCACCTCAGGAGGAGGCTTCTCTCAGCAATAGGTATGTGGGAGGGACCCCGAGTTTGCTACCTCAAGGGGAATATACAGCGAGAAGCCCTAATTTGAAAGGAGGCCGGATTTCCTTGCTGTGGCTTGAATACAGGCTCGTGTTTCATCTCACAACATGAAGGGATGTCTGAATCCCCTGTGGAGACCTTAGAGAAAGCCGTAGGTCCCTGCCTCATTTTGACGGAATGCCTCACATCCCGCTGACACCTCGAGAGTCACGCAGAGTTCATTGCTTCAAAAGGTGACGATGCCTGACTCCTCTTGAATACTGATAGGAATCCCAAAATCCCGGTGGCTACTGGAAAGGGTCCTTGGGTGCCCTGCCTCACCTCGAGAAGCGTCCCTTTTGCCCTGCCAAGCCTCGAAGAGATTCCTGAGGTGTCCCTCGTTACTAGACAGGAGTCCTGACGTCACTGAAGAAACTCGTGTTTTGAAGGGCCATCCCCGCCGTAAGTCGAGAACATACCCCAGGTCCCGCCGCAACTCAAGAAAAACCATGAGACTTCCCCCTAGAGGCGAGATGAGGCCCCATTCCCCTGCAGTGCATGCAGAGCTATTCCGTGATCCCATTCAAACAAGTCAGGTACTTCGAATTGCTTAATGGATCTCAAGACAGTCCCCAAGAACACTGTCACCTGTCTAGACGGACCCTGAGGTTACCCCAGCAACGCAAAGCAGCTCCATGTGCCCCAAGTCAACTCGACATGAGGCCTGATTCCCCTGCATTGACTCCAGAGCCATTCCCCTTTCCCCATTCAACCCGACCGGTGGCTCGACTTCCTTCAGGCAACTCCAGAGATGCCCCGAGAACACTGTCCCAAGTCTAGAGGAACACCAACTTCAGCACAGCAACTCGAGGAATGCTCCGTGTACGCCAAATCGTCTCGAGATGAGAGCTGATTCCCTGGCTTGGGCTCAAGACGTATGCCAACTTTCCAGAAGCACCTCAGGAGGAGGCTTCTCTCAGCAATAGGTATGTGGGAGGGACCCCGAGTTTGCTGCCTCAAGGGGAATATACAGCGAGAAGCCCTAACTTGATAGGAGGCCGGATTTCCTTGCAGTGGCTTAAATACAGGCTCGTGTTTCATCTCACAACATGAAGGGATGACTGAATCCCCTGTGGAGAACTTAGAGAAAGCCCACGGTCCCTGCCTCATTTTGACGGATGCCTCACATCCCGTTGACACCTCGAGAGGCAAGCGGAGTTCATTCCTTCAAAATTTGACGATGCCTGACACCTCTTGAATACTGATAGGAATCCCAAAATCCCTGTGGCTACTGGAAAGGGTCCTTGGGTGCCCTGCCTCACCTCGAGAATCGTCCCTTTTGCCCTGCCAAGCTTCGAAGAGATTCCTGAGGTGTCCCTCGTTACTAGACAGGAGTCCTGACGTCACTGAAGAAACTCGTGTTTTGAAGGGCCATCCCCGCTGGAAGACGAGAACATACACCAGGTCCCCGCCGCAACTCAAGAAAAACCATGAGACTTCCCCCTAGAGGTGAGATGAGGCCCCATTCCCCTGCAGTGCATGCAGAGCTATTCCGTGATCCCATTCAAACAAGTCACGAGCTTCGACTTGCTTAATGGATCTCGAGACAGTCCCCAAGAACACTGTCACCAGTCTAGACGGACCCTGAGGACAACCCAGCAACGCAAAGCAGCTCCATGTGCCCCAATCAACTCGAGATGAGGCCCGATTCCCCTGCATTGACCCCAGAGCCATTCCCCGTTCCCCATTCAACCTGACCGGTGGCTCGACTTCCTTCAGGCAACTCCAGAGATGCCCCGAGAACACTGTCCCAAGTCTAGAGGAACACCAACTTCAGCACAGCGACTCGAGGAATGCTCCATGTACCCCAAATCGTCTCGAGATGAGAGCTGATTCCCTGGCTTAGGCTCAAGACGTATGCCAACTTTCCAGAAGCACCTCAGGAGGAGGCTTCTCTCAGCAATAGGTATGTGGGAGGGACCCCGAGTTTGCTGCCTCAAGGGGAATATACAGCGAGAAGCCCTAACTTGAAAGGAGGCCGGATTTCCTTGCTGTGGCTTGAATACAGGCTCTTGTTTCATCTCACAACATGAAGGGATGTCTGAATCCCCTGTGGAGACCTTAGAGAAAGCCCTAGGTCCCTGCCTCTTTTTGACGGAATGCCTCACATCCCGTTGAGACCTCGAGAGGCACGCAGTGTTCATTGCTTCAAAAGGTGACGATGCCTGACTCCTCTTGAATACTGATAGGAATCCCAAAATCCCTGTGGCTACTGGAAAGGGTCCTTGGGTGCCCTGCCTCACCTCGAGAAGCGTCCGTTTTGCCCTGCCAAGCCTCGAAGACATTCCTGAGCTGTCCCTCCTTGCTAGACAGGAGTCCTGACGTCACTGAAGAAACTCGTATTTTGAAGGGCCATCCCCGCCATAAGTCGAGATCATACCCCAGGTCCCCGCCGCAACTCGAGAAAAACCATGAGACTTCCCCCTAGAGGCGAGATGAGGCCCCATTCCCCTGCAGTGCATGCAGAGCTATTCCGTGATCCCATTCAAACAAGTCAGGAGCTTTGACTTGCTTAATGGATCTCGAGACAGTCCCCAGAACACTGTCACCAGTCTAGACGGACCCTGAGGTCACCCCAGCAAGGCAAAGCAGCTCCATGTGCCCCAAATCAACTCGAGATGAGGCCCGATTCCCCTGCATTGACTCCAGAGCCATTCCCCGTTCCCCATTCAACATGATCAGTGGCTCGACTTCCTTCAGGCAACTCCACAGATGCCCCGAGAACACTGTCCCAAGTCTAGAGGAACACCAACTTCAGCACAGCAACTCGAGGAATGCTCCGTGTACTCCAAATCGTCTCGAGATGAGAGCTAATTCCCTGGCTTAGGCTCAAGACGTATGCCAACTTTCCAGAAGCACCTCAGGAGGAGGCTTCTCTCAGCAATAGGTATGTGGGAGGGACCCCGAATTTGCTGCCTCAAGGGGAATATACAGCGAGAAGCCCTAACTTGAAAGGAGGCCGGATTTCCTTGCAGTGGCTTGAATACAGGCTCGTGTTTCATCTCACAACATGAAGGGATGTCTGAATCCCCTGTGGAGACCTTAGAGAAAGCCCTAGGTCCCTGCCTCATTTTGACGGATGCCTCACATCCCGTTGACACCTCGAGAGGCACGCGGAGTTTATTGCTTCAAAAGGTGACGATGCCTGACTCCTCTTGAATACTGATAGGAATCCCAAAATCCCTGTGGCTACTGGAAAGGGTCCTTGGGTGCCCTGCCTCACCTCGAGAAGCGTCCCTTTTGCCCTGCCAAGCCTCGAAGAGATTCCTGAGGTGTCCCTCGTTACTAGACAGGAGTCCTGACGTCACTGAAGAAACTCGTGTTTTGAAGGGCCATCCCCGCCGTAAGTCGAGAACATACCCCAGGTCCCTGCCGCCACTCGAGAAAAACCATGAGACTTCCCCCTGGAGGCGAGATGAGGCCCCATTCCCCTGCAGTGCATGCAGAGCTATTCCGTGATCCCATTCAAACAAGTCAGGAGCTTCGACTTGCTTAATGGATCTCGAGACAGTCCCCAAGAACACTGTCACCAGTCTAGACGGACCCTGAGGACAACCCAGCAACGCAAAGCAGCTCCATGTGCCCCAAATCAACTCGAGATGAGGCCCGATTCCCCTGCATTGACTACAGAGCCATTCCCTGTTCCCCATTCAACACGATCGGTGGCTCGACTTCCTTCAGGCAACTCCAGAGATGCCCCGAGAACACTGTCCCAAGTCTAGAGGAACACCAACTTCAGCACAGCAAATCGAGGAATGCTCCGTGTACCCCAAATCGTCTCGAGATGAGAGCTGATTCCCTGGCTTAGGCTCAAGACGTATGCCAACTTTCCAGAAGCACCTCAGGAGGAGGCTTCTCTCAGCAATAGGTATGTGGGACGGACCCTGAGTCTGCTGCCTCAAGGGGAATATACAGCGAGAAGCCCTAACTTGAAAGGAGGCCGGATATCCTTGCTGTGGCTTGAATACAGGCTCTTGTTTCATCTCACAACATGAAGGGATGTCTGAATCCCCTGTGGAGACCTTAGAGAAAGCCCTAGGTCCCTGCCTCTTTTTGACGGAATGCCTCACATCCCGTTGAGACCTCGAGAGGCACGCAGTGTTCATTGCTTCAAAAGGTGACGATGCCTGACTCCTCTTGAATACTGATAGGAATCCCAAAATCCCTGTGGCTACTGGAAAGGGTCTTTGGGTGCCCTGCCTCACCTCGAGAAGCGTCCGTTTTGCCCTGCCAAGCCTCGAAGACATTCCTGAGCTGTCCCTCCTTGCTAGACGGGAGTCCTGACGTCACTGAAGAAACTCGTGTTTTGAAGGGCCATCCCCGCCATAAGTCGAGATCATACCCCAGGTCCCCTCCGCAACTCGAGAAAAAACATGAGATTACCCCCTAGAGGCGAGATGAGGCCCCATTCCCCTGCAGTGCATGCAGAGCTATTCCGTGATCCCATTCAAACAAGTCAGGAGCTTTGACTTGCTTAATGGATCTCGAGACAGTCCCCAGAACACTGTCACCAGTCTAGACGGACCCTGAGGTCACCCCAGCAACGCAAAGCAGCTCCATGTGCCCCAAATCAACTCGAGATGAGGCCCGATTCCCCTGCATTGACTCCAGAGCCATTCCCCGTTCCCCATTCAACATGATCAGTGGCTCGACTTCCTTCAGGCAACTCCAGAGATGCCCCGAGAACACTGTCCCAAGTCTAGAGGAACACCAACTTCAGCACAGCAACTCGAGGAATGCTCCGTGTACTCCAAATCGTCTCGAGATGAGAGCTAATTCCCTGGCTTAGGCTCAAGACGTATGCCAACTTTCCAGAAGCACCTCAGGAGGAGGCTTCTCTCAGCAATAGGTATGTGGGAGGGACCCCGAATTTGCTGCCTCAAGGGGAATATACAGCGAGAAGCCCTAACTTGAAAGGAGGCCGGATTTCCTTGCAGTGGCTTGAATACAGGCTCGTGTTTCATCTCACAACATGAAGGGATGTCTGAATCCCCTGTGGAGACCTTAGAGAAAGCCCTAGGTCCCGGCCTCATTTTGACGGAATGCCTCACATCCCGTTGACACCTCGAGAGGCACGCGGAGTTCATTGCTTCAAAAGGTGACGATGCCTGACTCCTCTTGAAAACTGATAGGAATCCCAAAATCACTCTGGCTACTGGAAAGGGTCCTTGGGTGCCCTGCCTCACCTCGAGAAGCGTCCCTTTTGCCCTGCCAAGCCTCGAAGAGATTCCTGAGGTGTCCCTCGTTACTAGACAGGAGTCCTGACGTCACTGAAGAAACTCGTGTTTTGAAGGGCCATCCCCGCCGTAAGTCGAGAACATACCCCAGGTCCCTGCCGCCACTCGAGAAAAACCATGAGACTTCCCCCTGGAGGCGAGATGAGGCCCCATTCCCCTGCAGTGCATGCAGAGCTATTCCGTGATCCCATTCAAACAAGTCAGGAGCTTCGACTTGCTTAATGGATCTCGAGACAGTCCCCAAGAACACTGTCACCAGTCTAGACGGACCCTGAGGACAACCCAGCAACGCAAAGCAGCTCCATGTGCCCCAAATCAACTCGAGATGAGGCCCGATTCCCCTGCATTGACTACAGAGCCATTCCCTGTTCCCCATTCAACACGATCGGTGGCTCGACTTCCTTCAGGCAACTCCAGAGATGCCCCGAGAACACTGTCCCAAGTCTAGAGGAACACCAACTTCAGCACAGCAAATCGAGGAATGCTCCGTGTACCCCAAATCGTCTCGAGATGAGAGCTGATTCCCTGGCTTAGGCTCAAGACGTATGCCAACTTTCCAGAAGCACCTCAGGAGGAGGCTTCTCTCAGCAATAGGTATGTGGGACGGACCCTGAGTATGCTGCCTCAAGGGGAATATACAGCGAGAAGCCCTAACTTGAAAGGAGGCCGGATTTCCTTGCTGTGGCTTGAATACAGGCTCTTGTTTCATCTCACAACATGAAGGTATGTCTGAATCCCCTGTGGAGACCTTAGAGAAAGCCCTAGGTCCCTGCCTCTTTTTGACGGAATGCCTCACATCCCGTTGAGACCTCGAGAGGCACGCAGTGTTCATTGCTTCAAAAGGTGACGATGCCTGACTCCTCTTGAATACTGATAGGAATCCCAAAATCCCTGTGGCTACTGGAAAGGGTCCTTGGGTGCCCTGCCTCACCTCGAGAAGCGTCCCTTTTGCCCTGCCAAGCTTCGAAGAGATTCCTGAGGTGTCCCTCGTTACTAGACAGGAGTCCTGACGTCACTGAAGAAACTCGTGTTTTGAAGGGCCATCCCCGCCGGAAGTCGAGAACATACCCCAGGTCCCCGCCGCAACTCAAGAAAAACCATGAGACTTCCCCCTAGAGGCGAGATGAGGCCCCATTCCCCTGCAGTGCATGCAGAGCTATTCCGTGATCCCATTCAAACAAGTCAGGAGCTTCGACTTGCTTAATGGATCTCGAGACAGTCCCCAAGAACACTGTCACCAGTCTAGACGGACCCTGAGGACAACCCAGCAACGCAAAGCAGCTCCATGTGCGCCAAATCAACTCGAAATGAGGCCCGATTCCCCTGCATTGACTACAGAGCCATTCCCTGTTCCCCATTCAACACGATCGGTGGCTCGACTTCCTTCAGGCAACTCCAGAGATGCCCCGAGAACACTGTCCCAAGTCTAGAGGAACACCAACTTCAGCACAGCAAATCGAGGAATGCTCCATGTACCCCAAATCGTCTCGAGATGAGAGCTGATTCCCTGGCTTAGGCTCAAGACGTATGCCAACTTTCCAGAAGCACCTCAGGAGGAGGCTTCTCTCAGCAATAGGTATGTGGGAGGGACCCCGAGTTTGCTACCTCAAGGGGAATATACAGCGAGAAGCCCTAACTTGAAAGGAGGCCGGATTTCCTTGCAGTGGCTTGAATACAGGCTCGTGTTTCATCTCACAACATGAAGGGATGACTGAATCCCCTGTGGAGACCTTAGAGAAAGCCGTAGGTCCCTGCCTCATTTTGACGGAATGCCTCACATCCCGCTGACACCTCGAGAGTCACGCAGAGTTCATTGCTTCAAAAGGTGACGATGCCTGACTCCTCTTGAATACTGATAGGAATCCCAAAATCCCGGTGGCTACTGGAAAGGGTCCTTGGGTGCCCTGCCTCACCTCGAGAAGCGTCCCTTTTGCCCTGCCAAGCCTCGAAGAGATTCCTGAGGTGTCCCTCGTTACTAGACAGGAGTCCTGACGTCACTGAAGAAACTCGTGTTTTGAAGGGCCATCCCCGCCGTAAGTCGAGAACATACCCCAGGTCCCGCCGCAACTCAAGAAAAACCATGAGACTTCCCCCTAGAGGCGAGATGAGGCCCCATTCCCCTGCAGTGCATGCAGAGCTATTCCGTGATCCCATTCAAACAAGTCAGGTACTTCGACTTGCTTAATGGATCTCAAGACAGTCCCCAAGAACACTGTCACCTGTCTAGACGGACCCTGAGGTTACCCCAGCAACGCAAAGCAGCTCCATGTGCCCCAAGTCAACTCGACATGAGGCCTGATTCCCCTGCATTGATTCCAGAGCCATTCCCCTTTCCCCATTCAACCCGACCGGTGGCTCGACTTCCTTCAGGCAACTCCAGAGATGCCCCGAGAACACTGTCCCAAGTCTAGAGGAACACCAACTTCAGCACAGCAACTCGAGGAATGCTCCGTGTACGCCAAATCGTCTCGAGATGAGAGCTGATTCCCTGGCTTGGGCTCAAGACGTATGCCAACTTTCCAGAAGCACCTCAGGAGGAGGCTTCTCTCAGCAATAGGTATGTGGGAGGGACCCCGAGTTTGCTGCCTCAAGGGGAATATACAGCGAGAAGCCCTAACTTGATAGGAGGCCGGATTTCCTTGCAGTGGCTTAAATACAGGCTCGTGTTTCATCTCACAACATGAAGGGATGACTGAATCCCCTGTGGAGAACTTAGAGAAAGCCCACGGTCCCTGCCTCATTTTGACGGATGCCTCACATCCCGTTGACACCTCGAGAGGCAAGCGGAGTTCATTCCTTCAAAATTTGACGATGCCTGACACCTCTTGAATACTGATAGGAATCCCAAAATCCCTGTGGCTACTGGAAAGGGTCCTTGGGTGCCCTGCCTCACCTCGAGAATCGTCCCTTTTGCCCTGCCAAGCTTCGAAGAGATTCCTGAGGTGTCCCTCGTTACTAGACAGGAGTCCTGACGTCACTGAAGAAACTCGTGTTTTGAAGGGCCATCCCCGCTGGAAGACGAGAACATACACCAGGTCCCCGCCGCAACTCAAGAAAAACCATGAGACTTCCCCCTAGAGGTGAGATGAGGCCCCATTCCCCTGCAGTGCATGCAGAGCTATTCCGTGATCCCATTCAAACAAGTCAGGAGCTTCGACTTGCTTAATGGATCTCGAGACAGTCCCCAAGAACACTGTCACCAGTCTAGACGGACCCTGAGGACAACCCAGCAACGCAAAGCAGCTCCATGTGCCCCAATCAACTCGAGATGAGGCCCGATTCCCCTGCATTGACCCCAGAGCCATTCCCCGTTCCCCATTCAACCCGACCGGTGGCTCGACTTCCTTCAGGCAACTCCAGAGATGCCCCGAGAACACTGTCCCAAGTCTAGAGGAACACCAACTTCAGCACAGCGACTCGAGGAATGCTCCATGTACCCCAAATCGTCTCGAGATGAGAGCTGATTCCCTGGCTTAGGCTCAAGACGTATGCCAACTTTCCAGAAGCACCTCAGGAGGAGGCTTCTCTCAGCAATAGGTATGTGGGAGGGACCCCGAGTTTGCTGCCTCAAGGGGAATATACAGCGAGAAGACCTAACTTGAAAGGAGGCCGGATTTCCTTGCTGTGGCTTGAATACAGGCTCTTGTTTCATCTCACAACATGAAGGGATGTCTGAATCCCCTGTGGAGACCTTAGAGAAAGCCCTAGGTCCCTGCCTCTTTTTGACGGAATGCCTCACATCCCGTTGAGACCTCGAGAGCCACGCAGTGTTCATTGCTTCAAAAGGTGACGATGCCTGACTCCTCTTGAATACTGATAGGAATCCCAAAATCCCTGTGGCTACTGGAAAGGGTCTTTGGGTGCCCTGCCTCACCTCGAGAAGCGTCCGTTTTGCCCTGCCAAGCCTCGAAGACATTCCTGAGCTGTCACTCCTTGCTAGACAGGAGTCCTGACGTCACTGAAGAAACTCGTATTTTGAAGGGCCATCCCCGCCATAAGTCGAGATCATACCCCAGGTCCCCGCCGCAACTCGAGAAAAACCATGAGACTTCCCCCTAGAGGCGAGATGAGGCCCCATTCCCCTGCAGTGCATGCAGAGCTATTCCGTGATCCCATTCAAACAAGTCAGGAGCTTTGACTTGCTTAATGGATCTCGAGACAGTCCCCAGAACACTGTCACCAGTCTAGACGGACCCTGAGGTCACCCCAGCAACGCAAAGCAGCTCCATGTGCCACAAATCAACTCGAGATGAGGCCCGATTCCCCTGCATTGACTCCAGAGCCATTCCCCGTTCCCCATTCAACATGATCAGTGGCTCGACTTCCTTCAGGCAACTCCAGAGATGCCCCGAGAACACTGTCCCAAGTCTAGAGGAACACCAACTTCAGCACAGCAACTCGAGGAATGCTCCGTGTACTCCAAATCGTCTCGAGATGAGAGCTAATTCCCTGGCTTAGGCTCAAGACGTATGCCAACTTTCCAGAAGCACCTCAGGAGGAGGCTTCTCTCAGCAATAGGTATGTGGGAGGGACCCCGAATTTGCTGCCTCAAGGGGAATATACAGCGAGAAGCCCTAACTTGAAAGGAGGCCGGATTTCCTTGCAGTGGCTTGAATACAGGCTCGTGTTTCATCTCACAACATGAAGGGATGTCTGAATCCCCTGTGGAGACCTTAGAGAAAGCCCTAGGTCCCGGCCTCATTTTGACGGAATGCCTCACATCCCGTTGACACCTCGAGAGGCACGCGGAGTTCATTGCTTCAAAAGGTGACGATGCCTGACTCCTCTTGAAAACTGATAGGAATCCCAAAATCACTCTGGCTACTGGAAAGGGTCCTTGGGTGCCCTGCCTCACCTCGAGAAGCGTCCCTTTTGCCCTGCCAAGCCTCGAAGAGATTCCTGAGGTGTCCCTCGTTACTAGACAGGAGTCCTGACGTCACTGAAGAAACTCGTGTTTTGAAGGGCCATCCCCGCCGTAAGTCGAGAACATACCCCAGGTCCCTGCCGCCACTCGAGAAAAACCATGAGACTTCCCCCTGGAGGCGAGATGAGGCCCCATTCCCCTGCAGTGCATGCAGAGCTATTCCGTGATCCCATTCAAACAAGTCAGGAGCTTCGACTTGCTTAATGGATCTCGAGACAGTCCCCAAGAACACTGTCACCAGTCTAGACGGACCCTGAGGACAACCCAGCAACGCAAAGCAGCTCCATGTGCCCCAAATCAACTCGAGATGAGGCCCGATTCCCCTGCATTGACTACAGAGCCATTCCCTGTTCCCCATTCAACACGATCGGTGGCTCGACTTCCTTCAGGCAACTCCAGAGATGCCCCGAGAACACTGTCCCAAGTCTAGAGGAACACCAACTTCAGCACAGCAAATCGAGGAATGCTCCGTGTACCCCAAATCGTCTCGAGATGAGAGCTGATTCCCTGGCTTAGGCTCAAGACGTATGCCAACTTTCCAGAAGCACCTCAGGAGGAGGCTTCTCTCAGCAATAGGTATGTGGGACGGACCCTGAGTCTGCTGCCTCAAGGGGAATATACAGCGAGAAGCCCTAATTTGAAAGGAGGCCGGATTTCTTGCTGTGGCTTGAATACAGGCTCTTGTTTCATCTCACAACATGAAGGGATGCCTGAATCCCCTGTGGAGACCTTAGAGAAAGCCCTAGGTCCCTGCCTCTTTTTGACGGAATGCCTCACATCCCGTTGAGACCTCGAGAGGCACGCAGTGTTCATTGCTTCAAAAGGTGACGATGCCTGACTCCTCTTGAATACTGATAGGAATCCCAAAATCCCTGTGGCTACTGGAAAGGGTCCTTGGGTGCCCTGCCTCACCTCGAGAAGCGTCCGTTTTGCCCTGCCAAGCCTCGAAGACATTCCTGAGCTGTCCCTCCTTGCTAGACAGGAGTCCTGACGTCACTGAAGAAACTCGTATTTTGAAGGGCCATCCCCGCCATAAGTCGAGATCATACCCCAGGTCCCCGCCGCAACTCGAGAAAAACCATGAGACTTCCCCCTAGAGGCGAGATGAGGCCCCATTCCCCTGCAGTGCATGCAGAGCTATTCCGTGATCCCATTCAAACAAGTGAGGAGCTTTGACTTGCTTAATGGATCTCGAGACAGTCCCCAGAACACTGTCACCAGTCTAGACGGACCCTGAGGTCACCCCAGCAAGGCAAAGCAGCTCCATGTGCCCCAAATCAACTCGAGATGAGGCCCGATTCCCCTGCATTGACTCCAGAGCCATTCCCCGTTCCCCATTCAACATGATCAGTGGCTCGACTTCCTTCAGGCAACTCCAGAGATGCCCCGAGAACACTGTCCCAAGTCTAGAGGAACACCAACTTCAGCACAGCAACTCGAGGAATGCTCCGTGTACTCCAAATCGTCTCGAGATGAGAGCTAATTCCCTGGCTTAGGCTCAAGACGTATGCCAACTTTCCAGAAGCACCTCAGGAGGAGGCTTCTCTCAGCAATAGGTATGTGGGAGGGACCCCGAATTTGCTGCCTCAAGGGGAATATACAGCGAGAAGCCCTAACTTGAAAGGAGGCCGGATTTCCTTGCAGTGGCTTGAATACAGGCTCGTGTTTCATCTCACAACATGAAGGGATGTCTGAATCCCCTGTGGAGACCTTAGAGAAAGCCCTAGGTCCCTGCCTCATTTTGACGGATGCCTCACATCCCGTTGACACCTCGAGAGGCACGCGGAGTTCATTGCTTCAAAAGGTGACGATGCCTGACTCCTCTTGAATACTGATAGGAATCCCAAAATCCCGGTGGCTACTGGAAAGGGTCCTTGGGTGCCCTGCCTCACCTCGAGAAGCGTCCCTTTTGCCCTGCCAAGCCTCGAAGAGATTCCTGAGGTGTCCCTCGTTACTAGACAGGAGTCCTGACGTCACTGAAGAAACTCGTGTTTTGAAGGGCCATCCCCGCCGTAAGTCGAGAACATACCCCAGGTCCCTGCCGCCACTCGAGAAAAACCATGAGACTTCCCCCTGGAGGCGAGATGAGGCCCCATTCCCCTGCAGTGCATGCAGAGCTATTCCGTGATCCCATTCAAACAAGTCAGGAGCTTCGACTTGCTTAATGGATCTCGAGACAGTCCCCAAGAACACTGTCACCAGTCTAGACGGACCCTGAGGACAACCCAGCAACGCAAAGCAGCCCCATGTGCCCCAAATCAACTCGAGATGAGGCCCGATTCCCCTGCATTGACTACAGAGCCATTCCCTGTTCCCCATTCAACACGATCGGTGGCTCGACTTCCTTCAGGCAACTCCAGAGATGCCCCGAGAACACTGTCCCAAGTCTAGAGGAACACCAACTTCAGCACAGCAAATCGAGGAATGCTCCGTGTACCCCAAATCGTCTCGAGATGAGAGCTGATTCCCTGGCTTAGGCTCAAGACGTATGCCAACTTTCCAGAAGCACCTCAGGAGGAGGCTTCTCTCAGCAATAGGTATGTGGGACGGACCCTGAGTCTGCTGCCTCAAGGGGAATATACAGCGAGAAGCCCTAACTTGAAAGGAGGCCGGATATCCTTGCTGTGGCTTGAATACAGGCTCTTGTTTCATCTCACAACATGAAGGGATGTCTGAATCCCCTGTGGAGACCTTAGAGAAAGCCCTAGGTCCCTGCCTCTTTTTGACGGAATGCCTCACATCCCGTTGAGACCTCGAGAGGCACGCAGTGTTCATTGCTTCAAAAGGTGACGATGCCTGACTCCTCTTGAATACTGATAGGAATCCCAAAATCCCTGTGGCTACTGGAAAGGGTCTTTGGGTGCCCTGCCTCACCTCGAGAAGCGTCCGTTTTGCCCTGCCAAGCCTCGAAGACATTCCTGAGCTGTCCCTCCTTGCTAGACAGGAGTCCTGACGTCACTGAAGAAACTCGTGTTTTGAAGGGCCATCCCCGCCATAAGTCGAGATCATACCCCAGGTCCCCGCCGCAACTCGAGAAAAACCATGAGA